TCGTGGTATGAAAATCTGGATGATTTGCAAATTAACAAGCCCGAAATTAATGTTCGATTATTAGAGCTTCCCAGTTTTCAATCGGAAGCTAAAGATTTCACCATTGACCCTTCATTAATACAATTTCCCAATGTTCAATCTTTGAGTCTTACTAAATGTGATATTGTTGAAAATAGTGTGGGTAGTTTTCAGTTAAAAAAACCTTTAAAGTTGGTACTAAAAGGGAGAGGACTTGCGTCTATAAGACATGTCATTGATTTTGACCAATTGCTTGATTTGTGGCTTTTCCCTTTGCGGGCTTATTCTGAAGTGTTTCATGAAGGTCCTGTTTCTTCTCTTACGTCTGAATGTCACTTGAGCAATATGTCTTTTAGAAAGTTATTAACCTTAGATATAATGAGTGTCCCAGTTTCCATAAACAATTGTGATTTTTCTTCTTTGAGACTAATGGATCTACGCTCTGTCGGTGATTTGATTTCTATCAAAAATCAAGAGTTTCCGCTTCTAGTGGCTGCTAATTTGAGGCCAGATATTATAGGACATGGAGCTGGCATTCATTTGGAAAGCGTCAGCTTCCCTAAACTTAAATACCTTGATCTTACAGCAGATAAATGTCATATTACCAACACAAAAGCACCATCTCTAGATTTTTTACATTTAGATATTGCTTGCGTTCTCCCAGGATCAGATTATGAGTTTTTCAATCAACCCTATAGTTTGTTTATCTTCCAGAATGTTTGTGAATTTTTGAAAAAGATTGATGTTACAAAATTAAAATATTTGGTTACAAGATTACTTTCAGATGATATTGGCTTTGAGACATTGATCAAAGATCTAGATTTATCCAACCTTGAGAGTTTTCATGTGTTTCTCAGTGAAGAATATACTGACTTGTGCGGTGAACTTATACCATTCTTCAATGGGCCAAATCTGAAGGAATTCAAGGTTGACATATCAAAAGACTCGTTTGATAATCTAGGAAATTTAAGTGAGAAGTTGGAACCATCATTTCCCAATTTGAAAAGGCTTATTATTTCTTCTTTGAGGAGTTCGTTCAAGATACGTGGATTGGTACACTCAAGCTTAGAGGACATCATAATCACCTCTGTGGATACTACATATAATATATTTACAGGTCATTTTGAAAACCTTCAAAGATTCTGTGCTTTGGTGCATATATTTGAGCCTCTGGAAATAGGTACATCACAACTGTCACTTAATCTTTCAGCCCCTAACTTAAAAGAACTCAATATTGAAGGTCACTCGCTCGAAGTTTTGGAGCTGTTTAATTACAAGCACTTAAAGCATTTACAAATAAGTGAGTGTGACGTGAATGAATTGATTGGAGCTGGACTTGAATTGTTAAATACTTTAGTTTTAAATAAAAATTCAGAAATAGCGCTAGTGAATATAAATGCACCAAATTTAAAAATACTTGAAACCCAATTTGCTCCAGATGCAAATATAGAGTCATTCAAGCTGCTTGTGGGTGGTGAAAGAATCAATGATACAGATGTTATTACCCCTGGTGTTTCGAAACTATTAGATTATGCGTCAGGTATACCTAAAAATGTTACAACTTCGCATGCCTATGATTTAAAGCATTTCACTGTATCAGATATTGAAAGGTCTATCGGGAGTTTAAAAAACCAAGAACATGAAATTGAGATATGTGGTCAAATTAAAAAGTTCAGAATATCTGCAGCGGCAGAACGTGATGAAGAGTCTGATTACTATACTGGAGGATGGCATTTCACACATTCTATCGAAACTGAAAGAGAAGCTGAAAGGTTAATTCGTGCAGGCGTTAGACCTCGGGTATGATTGCAGTGAGATGCTTTAATATTGAGATCACAAGACATTCAATATGAATATTATTTTGAAAATGTTACGTAAATTGGTCAATAACACAATTTTGAATATTGGTCCAAGTCTGTGATTATTCAATTAATCAACACAATAAACAGATCCATATATGAATTGTTCAGAACTGAGTGTAGGTCCTTTTTATAGTCAAATAATGTATAAGTTTAAAATAAACTTCAAATATACAAGCCACTGTATAGCAAGTCATATGCATATCTACACAGAAACTCGTATTTTCCATTGTGAACCAACAGGTTGAAACATATATTTTTTTGGAACAATGGACCTTTGTAAATTTGCAACTCACAACTAAACCAGGCTATTTTTCTCTCTGGGAATCACCAATATCCCTGTGTTCTCAATCTTCCCGAAGAATCAAACCACCATTTCGAACAGTCCTCAACTTTTGAATCTTTCAACTCTTCCAAAATAGTGTCAAGAAAAGTCTCAATACTTGATATAGTTTTAACATTTTCTGACGGTTGTTGGTCACCAAGTTTTATTCTTTTCTGCCTCTTTGTAAGGCCAATACTTGTGTCCAGTTTCAATATTACTGCTTTGAGTGGATATTCAGTGCGTCTTAAATTTGAAGCTTTAAGTATAATTTCCTTAGCTAGTTCTGAGCTCTTTTTAATACTCAAAGTTTCCAAAGAACTCAAGTCACTATAAGTAACAAGACTGTTTGCAAAATCAATTTTGATGGATCTTAAGCTTGGACAATATTTGAGCTCCAAGTTCGAAAAATGAACTGCTCTAGTTTCAATCTCAATAAGTCGTAAAGCAGATATTGAAAGAGAAACTCTCGAAAATAAATGCCCATGATAAGTTCGAGGAAATCTCCTGTGAGTTTCAAATTTCAAACTTTTGAGATTTGGAAAGGATCCTTCCATACAAATACCTGTATCAGAGTCCATTTTAATTAGCAGCTTTTCAACATTCAGAGGGAAACGATTACTGCTTATATGAATCATATAAGAATTCCTAAATTCAAGAACCAATTCCTTTAAATTTTCTAGACTTTCGAGCACCTGTTTAGCATAGGGCCCCCATTGTCCGCTGTCTATAATCAAAACGAGCTGCTCTAGTTGTGGTGCTTTAAAGATACCAGGAGATGCTGTCTCCATTTCTTGTGGATAATGAATCTCGGCTTTTTTCAGATTTTTAAACTCAAAATCATGAAGTTCTAAATACTGTGCATATCCTCCCATATAGAAACCTAGATATTCTAACCGGTCAAGAGATTTTGAGCTCATGGCTTCCAATGTTGCAACATTAATAACTGATATCGATCTAGTTGACTCGCATGAACTCATCTTGCGTAATTTCTCAATAATACCATCTTCATTTGGATGGGGCTCTGCATGTACTACATCACCAACTTGGTTTCCTTCTATCAATTCAGAAGCATCGAGAGGTTTGACTCTCATATCCATCAATTTGAGTTTGGGGAACTTAGTATCCCGGTTAATAATAGGAACAATAACATAAGATTTCCATTCAAAATATATCAACTCTGGGAACCTCGAATTTCCTATTTTGACATGTCTAAAATAATTATCATCACCTTTGTTCAATTTTTAAGCTTTTAAGTTTGGGAAAAGAACAATTTTCATTTATACCTTTAAAGACATTTTCAATAACCATTCTTTCTAGATTTTCGAAAGTACAATTTTTGAGCTCTAATGCACAATTGTCACCGTTTCCAGGATTACCAAATTTATTGAATTGAATCTGCATTTGAGTTATATTTCTGAAGTTATAATGTGAATATCAATGTTGTTCCAATTTGGGAAGATGCACATTTGGTCAATTGAACATTGATCAAAATCAAATGCTTTTAAAATTTGTAAATCTTTCTCACCTCTTATTTCAATATTTAGTAATGACAATTTTTTGAAGTTGAATTTTTCAAATTGATCAAGAAGCTGACAATCAAGAAAGAAAACATTTTTGATACGTGGTAAATACAAAGCAGATGGGTTTGAAATATTTTGCTTCCTTACAAATATAGTCTCCACTGAGTCAACTAAGATGTAATTTGGCTTCGTGGGAAAGAACGTGATATTCTGCATTTTATCTTCAAGAAACTTCTTCCACTTATCAATTGGTATTTCTGGACTCCTGGAGTAGACATAGAACTTTGGAACTTCATTAAACCCAATAGGAAGTCCAATTTCTCGATGTCTCCCTAAATTCTCCATAGTAGTTATTTCAAAAAGTTTCATAAGTCCATGTGTGAAATTTTGACGGTTTTTAACTTGACATTCTGATTTTGATGGAACATTTGTAAAGAATTGTGCCTTTTTCCTATCCTTATAAAGGGTCAAGAAACTCCCAAACCTTTGGGCGATGGTACGAATTGAAAACAAGTTTTTGATGTCATAAGGACTGAGATGGATCAGTACATTAACAAGCACCTCATCTGGTAATTCAAACAGGGATTCTGTCATCTTGATGTTTATGGGTATATTAGCCACTAATTTCAATGGAAAGGGTTCAAGAAAAGGGGATTTTGCTCTCATCATTATATTATTGTCAACTGATTATGTAATCTGTCGGTAAATTGTAATTATAAAACAGTCAATTTTCAGTGAAAACCAGCTTTTGAAAGTCAAAATGTATCATATTTAGCCATAGACCTATGATATCTCCCATAATGTGTACACAGTTAACTTTTTCATGCTAGAATATGTACCTTTGTTATAGTCTATGTGAAATGACATTTTATTTATCCGAAATTTTAATTTTTTTCCGGATTTTATTGTCTTCAAAATTTTGTGTCACTAACTTCTTGTAACAGCGACAGTTTGACCACTAACCACTTGTAAGAACGAATTGGTGAAAAAAGACACGCGTTATCATGAAGGGTAAAAACAATCAGCAAAGAGATAAGGAGATTCAATATAAATGGGTTGGTAAAGTCGAACTTCCATTGGTAACCCTTCATCAATATGATAGCAGACTTCCCTAGTTATAACAAGATGATTCAAAGACAATTATCAGATTCAAGTACCCTCGTTGATGAGCTTTTATTAGAAGAATCAACAGACCCAGAAGTTATCAGATACACTTACTTACAAAACTCAGAGGCATGGAAGTACCGTTTAAGCACTGAAGATTATGTCAAAAGAGAAATGTACCTACGTGAGGAGTCTATGATGTTAAATAATAAAACTGAGCCGCTAATGGGTATTCATCTATATGTTTTAAGGAGATCATCAGAATACTCCAAAACATCGAGTAAAACTGACAATATTGTTGCCTCCCTGGAAGTCTTGATCAGAAAAGCATGGAGGGTTGATGGCTCAAATAAAGAGAACGCGTATATGGTTAATTGTGCAACTGTTGGTAATGTATTCACTTTGAAAAACCATAGAGGTCAAGGTTACGCAAGTGAATTGATGAATAGATTGAATGTAATTTTGGATGAAAAACTTGGTCCGGGTGGGTTTTCTAATCTCTATAGTGAAGTGGGTTCTTTCTATTCCAAATTTGGCTTCCAAGATAGACTTGTTAAAGTGAATTATATTCCATCTGACTTTAATCTTGTGAAATTAAATGTTCATAAATTTTCATTTTTGAGATTAAAAAGTTATGATGAGCATGTTGAGCTAGACTCCAGTAATACTCTTAATGATTTATTAGCTAGAGCTGAACATTTAGGTAAAAATGATGTTGCTGTTTCCTTGATTCCAAAACCAGAAATTTTCCACCAAATCAATCTCAAAGATCAATTCATTCATAATGCATTATACCCAAAATCAACAAAAAAAGTTGAAAATTTTGGTGTAAAATTTCAAAATACAAATGATCATATACTTTGGAATCATGATTGGAATCAGCGACTCTTGGTTATAACAAAAGTTTTCATTGAAGATGAAGAAAATAGTGATGCTTATATAGATAAATTCTTAGAATTGGTGTCACTTGCATGCGTTGAAGCTCGAGCTCATGAATTAGCTAACGTATCTATTTGGTCCACTTCAATGGCTAAAACTCAAGAAGTACATTTTAAGCTTGTTAAAGTATTGAGTGAGTTTTTTCATCATTTTGATTACAAATTTTCTGATATGTCTCTGATATCGCATGGTGCTATTAGAATCAATGATCAATTAGCCGCTGAGAATAGTCAGAATAATAAAATCGAATGGGTGCAAAATGAAAAATGGTGTTGGTATTGAAATCAAAGCTGACGTTAATTTTCTACTACTTTGCTTTTAGAACTATATATTAGCTTGTTCTTTGTTTCCTTTTCCTTTATTTCATTAATATTGAATTTTCACCGTAATAAAGTGTAGTTTGATTTTTTTTTTTGGTCCGATAAAGTCCGGTGTACTATAAAATCATATTGAGTTCTTTTATATGAGTACTTTTATAAGAGCCTTTTTTCAATATAACACTGAAATCTAATATGAGAACTTTAAGCGTCAGTCTTATAAAGCCCAAATATCTCTTCTTTTTAAAATGTAATCAAGTCTCTGGCCCCACAATATTCCTGGCAATCCATCAATTATGTTCATTAACAATGCAACAAAATATAAGATTCGATGAAATTGTTGATAGTGCCCAAGGTTTCTTTGATTTACCACATGAATTAAGACAAATAATTTTCTCATACATAAGATTAGCTGATACTTATAAGACATTATATAATATGGGGATAGAGCTTAAAGAATTGGTTAAAGACACTGTGGTTCATGTAACAGATTCTGAATCATTATCACCAAGAGGTGATCCAGGGTCTTGTATAAATTCAATGCCAGAAGTTGAATCATATTCAATGGAAAATTTATATTATTTTTTACAAAGGAAGACTAACATGATGTTGTTTCCACCTACAATAGTGAATAAATATTTCATTATTGAATTATTTTATCAAAATACTAGTTATAAGTTACGGGAATGTCTTTCGATTCCACTTATACTTACAACTCTTAAACGTGTTCACCATTCCATTATTATCCAAACTGATGGATGCACACAGGTTATTGATGTTTCATTAATGGAAGATTTAGGAAGATCAAACTTTGAGACATTTACATACCTCATGAATAGCGTTGGAAAATTCACACATGAAATACAATTCCCAACTTTAACACATTTAAACATTGATTCAGATCTAGTCCTAAGACCTAAAATTGATTCAAAACTTTTACAAAAGGAGTATGAAAGACAATATTATGTTCCATGTGAAGGACGTACTTTGGAGAAACATTCAATAATTGAATTCACTTATCCAAATCTTCAAAATTTATCAATTCAAACTAATAAATTGAATAAGTTTGTTAATTTCAAATTCAATCATAATAAGCTCCGGAATTATTCAGTAAAGTGTCTTCCAGAGAGTCGCAGCTATTATTTAAAAGACATTGATCAATGTGTATCTTTGGAAAGGTTTTCATTGAATTCGGATCCTTTAAATGAAGATTAGATGTGGACTGAAGAACATTTAATCATTGTGAATTCATGTTTAGATTCATTAATCAATTTTACAATATATTCATCTACCTATAAGAGCAGTAATATAAATATGAAAAATTGCTATTTCGAAAGCTTTGAAATCAAGTCTCTATTCCTTCAACAAACTTAAGCCATGAAGAAATGGTTAAATGTATTGAATCTCTCCAATAGTTGATTATTATTGTGTGTCCCATAACAACATGGTTTTGTGTCAAATTTTAAAGAAACTTTTAAATCAAGTAAACTTTTGGTGACAACGATGCTTCAAATAAAGATGATCAATATTTTCATAGACCCTCATTACTTTAATCCAATAACATTGTATGAAATCAAAGTTTGAAATTTTGGTAATTTTGAAAAATCCCAGTTTCAAAATTAAGTATTTGAACTATAGGTCAATATATTTAAAAATTCAAAAATTTTAAAGAAAAACTTCAGCCTTTTTATACTCTTATAATAATTGAATTCTAATTTTGGATATATTTTCAGTTTTCTAAACTTTTCAACTCAAGTTTTGGGGGTGATATATTAATAAAATACTATTTGACGTTTTAAATAATATTGATCTTTATATATATTATCTAATAAATTACATAATCATACTGTGAAATTAGACCGTCCGCGAATTTATTTAGAAAATCGATATTAAATTAATTGTTGTGTTTGGTTTTAACTTTTTACCTGAAGTTACCTACCAGAACGAATTTGCGTTGGCTTTGAGTCATTATGAACCGTTGAATATATTTCCTTAAGCATCTTAGCGCTGCCTTTTCTGCATTGGCTACACTTTTGATATTTTGAACCTTAATTTCAAAAACTCAGACTACTACTTATAGATTCAGATGACTAGCTGTTATTCATAAACATGTTACGTATTAGCTAGAAACTATTTATTTGAAGCAGTATACAATACCATGGATTGGGTATCATATGAAAGTCACTCAAATTTGTGGTTTTTGGATGTACAAAACTCTCGGTTGACCTTTGGGTTAAAGAAATTGAGACCCATTGAAACAATACCTTTAGTCATATATCTTTAAAGCCACTATAAATATTTAATGCACAATTTTAACACATACAAACTAATTTCCTTCCCACCAGTAGACTTATTTGCTTATTCGCTTAGTATTCTAACTACTAGTTTGTTAAACGTTAATTTTGCCGTGAAAACGTTTTTATGTGGTCCATAACTTGTAAATATCGCCGTATAGTTTTTTTTTCAGTATGCATTTGTCAATTACTATGGTGTAATTTTAAACAAATACGTGGAACATTTCATGTAAGCCACTGGGTTTGGAAACAAGGAAGTTTGTGACATAAAAATTTGAAGATGTTGTGGTTATGAGAAATGTTGCTGAAATAATGTATTTATTTTCACTAGATCTTTGGATCTTTAATTAAACTTTAGTTTTAGTTGTTATACACATCAAGACATATAGAAGTTATAGACATATAGATATAGAGATGACTAAAACTAATCAAATACAATTAGAAAGAACAGATGATTTAGATATATATAAATATTGTTCATATAATACATCAATCACATGGAAGGGAAAATTAACATCAGAACAATATGTTAAAAGAGATGTTGTATTAAATTCAACTTCAAAAATTTTACAAAAAGATTCTAAAGAACAAAAAGGTGTTTATCTTTATATCTTACGTGATTATTCAATTCCAGCTTTTAATAAATTTGATAATATAGTGGCAAGTGTTGAAACTTTAAATGATGAATCATGGAGAATCAATGGTCCAAATGGTGAATTAATTAAAGTTATTTCATCTGTTGTTGGTAATGTTTTCACATTACCTCAACATAGGAAAAAGGGTTATGCAAATCATCTTATTACTCAATTGAATGAAATTTTAGATGAACAATGTGGTAAAGATGGTTATTCATATCTTTATAGTGAAGTTGGTGATTATTATCAAAAATTTGGTTATAATAATTTCCATATTCCAACTCATTATTTTGAAATTGGTGAAAAGATTGAAACAATTGATACAAATTCATTTAAATATTTATCATATTATGGATTCAAAGATTTAATTGAAATTCAAAAAAATCATACAAGAAATAAGCTTTTACAAAGGGCTCAAAATTTAAAATCTGATGAATCTATAATAAGTTTAATACCAAATATTGATCGTTATTCATGGCATCATGAAAGAGATTTAATAATATCTTCATATTTACACCAAGACTTGGAGATTCGTAACTTTGGTGCAGTTTTAAATAATTCAAATGATCATTTTATTTGGTATCATGATTGGAATGAATCAAAATTAGTAATTTTGAAAACTTTTATTGAATTTGAAAATGAACAAGGTTCAAAGAATTTTGCACAATTGTTAAAAATTGCTATAAAAGAAGCTCATGATTTTAAATTAAAAGGTATTGTCCTTTGGGATTCTGCATTAGGTGAATCTCAAAAATTTTATGATTTAAATCTTGAGTTATTGGAAAGTTTTAATAATACTAAATTATTTGGTGTTAATGATTCATTATCTGCAATTAGATTTCATGATAAGACTTCAAGTGATAAAATTTATTGGAATGGTAATGAAAAATGGGAATGGTTTTAAAAGAATACAATAAATTAATATAAATTAAGTTTATTGTGTTTATGTAAGGTATTATATAAGTAAAGATTTAAATAAAATTACGAGATTCAAAACTATAAATTTGTGGAGAAAAAAATCATTTCCTCTTTCTTTCAATGTATTTGATCATAAATTATAAATTTTCAATTATGTGCAATTTAATGGAGCTGTAATGAAAAAAAGTTTGTTACATAGATACTTAGAATTGCTTTATGTGATTAGAATGTGGTAATTGAGTTAGATCTACTACTTGTTATGAACTACAAATGGCTGCAAGATAATATCAACATGGAACTCATGGTTTGAACAAGATCTTCATCAAACAAATATAAATGATTTCTTTCTCTGTTTTAAATTTGAATTGTAGAGATTAGTGTAGCTGTAGGTCAGCGGCTAACAATTTGCCATTTTGTTTGAATTAATTAATAAAATCATCATGATGGCGGCTAATTTCAATATACGATCAAATATATAAATAACACAAAATCTTCAAATTCACTTTGAAACTATATTAATTTTTAATGAAAGTCGACCATGGAATAAATTGATTATAATTCAGCAATATTGTCATTTAATTTATAGTGCTTTGAGTATCGTCCTCCTGAAAGTTTGAATTTGATTAACATTCCTTTATTGAAATTATTTTCGATATTGTTTTCATTCAGCTGATTACCTGCAATATTATATTAAATATTAATTCAAATTATAGATAGTATTTACCATCATGGAATTACTTCAATTTGAAAATATTTAGATTAATAATAAATGTTGATATCATGTTAATGACATTTGATTATTCAAGTCATTATTAGTTGATATTGATTCATGTTTTACATACATAATTTTGTAGAGTAATTGAATACCCCCAAGTTAGGTACATTCCGCCATTCCACCATTCCACCTCCCATAGGGCTTAAAGATGAATAGATTACATTCCACAGATATTGCATAAATATTTGTATACATTCTTGAAATTAAAAATTTATGTTTTTGTATCAACTTTTACTATAAAGATATCATAAATCAAATCATAATATTTCAAATATGTCATCACTACCACCAAAACCTAATTTAACTAGGAAACATCAATCAAAAGGTGGTAATAATGTTAGATCCAAGATTAAAATTTTTGAAGAAGCTAATGGGTTAAATCAAAATAGTTCAAATAAGAATGATTCAATACCATCACACTTACCGCCAGAAGCTTATGAGTCTAAAGATAGACTCAAATCACAAAGAAATAAAGAAAATATACCACCATATGAAATCAATTCAACAGCGTCTTTCATAAATCAACAAAATGACCATGGAAATGAACATTATGAAGCAGCTGCTATTGATAAAAAGTTTGGATTACAACTGTCAAAAGAAGAACTAGTCCATAAAGAAATGGGAGAAAAGGTTTTAGAAATTACATTATATCATATAAAACAATTAGATCAAGATTTTTATGATTATTGGTATACAAAAACATTAGGCACAGGTCATAAACCCTCCAATACTAATAATTTAAAATTATCCATGCAGTTAATTAAAAAATTTTATATATCTATATTCACAACCATTTTTGATTATGAGAGACAAAATGTTATTACTGATATTAATGAAAAGTTGTTTGAAATACCTGTTGTTAATGATGAAGAATCTTTAAGAAGATTTAAATCATTTTGGGGTAAATTTCTGGGAAAGTTGGAATCATATCATGAGATTGAATAAAGAATAAATATATGAGTAGTATGAATATAGTTTTGAAATTATTTGTTTGTAGACCTTTGAATGATAATGATGTCATATTTAATTTAATTTAAATTTTTGAATTGTATTTGTACCATCAAATCAATTTTACACAAAGACAGCGGCTAATTTTAAAAAAATATAAAAAAGAACCAAAATCCACATTTTTATGAAGTTATTAACAGTTCAATTTTAAATAACAATATTCACTAAAGTGGTTTTTAATCCAGTTAATCAAGGTGTTTGAACAAAGTCAAATAAGAACCTATTATTTCTTCTCCTCGTTGAAGTTAATTTTCCGCAAGAGTTGTATTGTATCCATCAGTCAAGCATATTTTGATTTAATTCTTACATTATGATTCATTGGAACTCATTATGTGGTTATATATGAAATTATTAATTAATATAGAATAGTGATTGATATTCAAATATTCAAATATAGATTATTTGATTGATCTTTTAATTAATATCGAGTAAATGATCACTTTTAATATTTTGAAATTGATTTTGATATTTTGTAGTTATTGAGTTTTTGTATAGTGGAGATTTTTATTTGATCTTCAGCGGCAAATTTTTGACTTTCCATAAAATTATATAAACCAAGTAAAATTCTGAATTTAATAAATTTCTTTCACCTGAAAGAAAAAGTATTGAGCAAAAGAACATTAACAAGTTGTTGTTAAATCTGTTAAAGACCATGTACCGTTGACCACTTGGAGCAACACCATGTTAAACTGTGACCATTTGGTGTTAAAACATTTTGAGCACCGTTCTGGAATGAAATGGCCCTTGATCTATACTTTATCAATTCAATACTTTTATAATATGAGATGAATAATCTTGTTACAATTCTGATTATTTGATTATGATTTTAATACACATGTGATTGAATTGATATCTATTGAATATAATTTATCATGATATCATAATTTGTTTTTTGTTTTAAATTAAACTTTTAAATTTGTAGGGTTGTCAGCGGCTAATTTTGTGTATAAAAAGATCAAAAATTCCCACTTTTTTTTTGTTTTCTTTAACAAGTTTTATTGACAGGAATACCGAAAATTTGTTTTATTATCATAAATTGTAAAATGTGCAATGTTTGACTGAATTTTGTGACGTTGTGTTAGTATTAAATACTTAATTGAGTATAGAGAACTTGGAACCATAGTTGAGTTGTTGAATAGACAAGACATTTCACATGAGATTCATAGATTCAATAAATACAAGTATCACGAATGGATTTGAATATGAATTTGATTCTGATTCATTTCAATTGTTGATGTTGATGTTTTGATTTTATTGATTTTATTCTCAATCGCGAATAAAACTTCCTTATTTCCCCAGTAAAAACCACTCTTCAACATTAACCAACAATCATTGACAAGATAGACAAACAATAGAAAGACATAGAGGAATATGAGTGATAGAATAACAAGCATACCAGATGATATAAGTACATCAACACCAATAACTACAAGTTTCCCAGATAATGAAATCACAAGAATAGAATATGATTCACCTGATAGAACATTAATACCTCATCAACATCAACAACATCAACGTCCAGAATTTATAAGAACTGATCAAAGAATGGTTAGATCATTGCTTTATATGGGTCAATTACTAGATCTTAAGAAACCTAAAACATCATCATCAACTACTAGCGAGTTCCTTGTTGATTCTTTAGAAACTATAACTTCGTTTATGGATAATATTTATTTAATTACAAAATTTGGTATTGGAAAAAATTCTAAGATCTTGTCTAGAATAGGTTCAAATGCAAGTAAAGTATGGTTCATAACTGTTATATTTTCAATAAGGAATAATATCAAACAATTAATGCAATTATATGATTTAAAAAGGAAGATATCAAATGAAATTGAAATTGTTAAACAATTCATTCAATATCAAAATAGAAATTTATCCGAATTAATCCTAAAGAAATATCAATCAAAATTATTAGATTTACAAAATGAAATTTTTTTATCAATCATAGAATTATTGGGAAATTTAAATGATTTATTATTCGTATCTATAGAAATTTTTAAATTCAAGATACCAAAATGGATTGAAAAATTCTTGGGGTTCATATCTGCAATAATGATGATTTATAGAATGTCCAAAAGAACCTAACTTTGAAACATTTCTCTAAAACTTTTCAATGCAGCTTTATCATCTCTTGAAATCCATCTTGAACATTCATCAACATTATCAGTATATAAACAATCTTCATTAAAATTTGCATAATGAAATCCATTACATTCTTTACCAAGATAATTCCCTGTACATAACCAAATATATCGACCTCTATTTTCAGGTTTTTTAAAACTTCGACGTAAATCCATTTGATTCCCACATTGAGAACACATTGGTAAATTATCTTGAAACCGTTTTAAATAATTCCTATAAGTTAAATTAAACCTTATGGACCCTGCCATAGGGTGTGGATGAAATTCAGTTGTTGATGAAACACAATGTTTAAATTCTTCTTGAAAACCAGCATGCATTATTAACAGGGTATTATGTGGTAATGGAATTGAATAAATTGGTGGTTTTGAACCATCTTGTTCATCATATTGTTTCCTTATTCTGAAATCCCTTGTAGCACCTAATGTAAAAGATGCAATTATTGGATGTGGTCCAATATATGTCATTCTATCACTATGCCAATCTAAATTATTTGATTTTGATTCAAATTTATTACAAACTGCTAATTCACCTTTCCATGGATCTTGGTGTTGGAATGGTAGCAGATCCCTGGTTTGTAATTCTTTATTAACTTGATCTTCTATCAAAAGTTGTGTCATTTTTAAATCATCAGTGTATGATGATCTTGAAGTATATTTATGACCGTTATAATATAAAGTTTCTTGAGTTTTGGAACTATATACTTTACTTTGATGATTTGATTTACATGCATTACCAAAAAGATAAAATTCTTGTGGTGACCAGCCTTGATCATCTTTCAATAGGAAATTTAATAAATTATTTGATAATTCCTCTGGAAGGAAATTGAAATGAATTGAAGCATATGGTATGGTGGTTTCAATATCTGATTTGGTATATAGATAAATTGGTTTACTATGATTCCCAATCTTATTCAATGGCGTAGATTCATCCTGACCTAATAATGAATTAATATTTGACTGTCTTGACAAATGTGATTCTAATTTAATTCTTTTATTTTGTTGAGGGAATGATTCATAAAGTAATGATTCTGTAGTTGATATTGATCCATCACAACTGATTAATAATTCTAATAAAGATGATTCATCACATTCAGGGAAGGTCTTTTTAAGTTTTGATATTTTAGCCTCAGTCATATGGCATAGGCATATTATCGTTGAAGCTTTGTGGAATTGAAATTAGTATACTTGATTGAGTATTAATTGAAAAAATTGGCTAGACATATTCTTTTCGCGTATACCATATTAGAAATCAATACAAAACTAGTTATTTACATCAAAAGACCATAAGAATCCAATTGAAATGCTATGAAACATATAATACACTATAGAATACTAATAACCATCATATTCTCATCAAATAATTCCAAAATGATGTGATTTAATAGTTGATTTCCATAGATATTTCATAATTTCACTGCTATATGCGGATGCCTTCCCAATGTAGTAATTCAACCGACCGAGAAATTCAAATAATTCCAGAATTTTGATATAAAAGGACACAATTTCTACTTTTGAACCTTGCTTTCAATAACTTTTCAATTAAGAATCATACAATAACAACTCAATTGAATTAAATCATGGTTGAATTAAAAAACTCCACTTCAGAAATCACTTTAAACACCGGTGCTAAAATCCCAGCTTTAGGTCTTGGTACTTGGAGATCCCTTGAAGGTGAAGCTTATAAGGCAACTTTACATGCGATTAAAGAATCTGGTTATTTACATATTGATGGTGCTGCTATTTATAAGAATGAAGAAGAAGTTGGTAAAGCTATTAGAGATAGTGGTGTTTCCAGAGAAAAATTATTTGTTACTACAAAATTATGGGGGACTCAACATAGAAATCCTGAACAAGCTTTAGATCAATCTTTGAAAAGATTAGGTTTGGATTATGTTGATTTATATTTAATTCATTGGCCTGTTGCTTTTAAGACTGATAATATTAAAGATGGTAATTTGTTATCAATCCCTGAAAAACCAGATGGCACTAGAGATATTGATTTAGATGGTTGGAGTTTTATTAAATCATGGGAATTATTTCAAGAATTACCAAAAACTGGTAAGACTAAGGCTGTTGGTGTTTCAAATTTTTCAATTAATAATTTAAAAGATTTATTAAATGCTCCAACTACCAAGGTTACACCAGCTGTTAATCAAATTGAAGTTCATCCTTTATTACCACAAACCGAATTAATTGAATTCGCATTATCAAAAGGTATAATCACTGAAGCTTATTCTCCATTAGGTTCATTAGATTCACCATTATTTACAAATCAGACATTATTAGAAGTTGCTAAAAATTATGATGTTTCAGTTGCTCAACTTTTAATTAATTGGGCTTTGAAAAGAGGTTATGTTGTCTTACCAAAATCTGTTAACCCTCAAAGAATTGATGCTAATTTCAAAACTTTCCAATTAAAAGATGAAGATTTTAATAAAGTTAGTGATTTAGTTAAATTAGAAGGTGAACAAAGGTTTGTTAAACCTGATTGGTCACCATTTAAAGTCTTTGAATAGATCAGATAGATGAATACTAGAATAGACTTGGCTAAGCACTGGATTGTGGACCTGATAGATATACAACTTATTACTTTTTACTAAACAATTGTAGATTTGAATTGAAAATTAAGTGAAAATTCATAGTTTATATATGTTTTTGTTTACACTTATAATTATGACAGTCAACCCTGCCCGAACCGAGTTTTGGTGATTTTTTTGAATTTTTCATTGGAAGCTTTGAAAAAAAATCAATTTTAATGGGTATTAAAATCAAAAGAGATCAAGTAAATACATAGAGAAATCAGTAATCATGTTACGTTCTCAGTTATTAAAATTTTCCAAAAGATTCATGGCAACTGCCACTCAAGATTCTAAAAAGGAATTAGAAGAAATCACTAAATCATGGGCTTCAAATTCAAAATCAGATTCATTTAAAATTAAATATCAACAATCAAGAAGAGCTGTATTAAATGGTGTTGGTCCTTATGGTCCACCATCTTTAAGATCTAGAAGAGCTAAACTTCAATATATGTCACCTTTAGGTCTTGATGAAGCTTTTGATTCTGCTTATGAAATTTTAAAAACAAAATCTAATGAAACTTATAAAGAAATTGAAGAATTAGATACCAAGATTTCCCAAACCAAAAATGTTAATGAATTGGAAGAATTAAATAATTTGAAAAATTCAAAATTAGTTCAAGCTGAAATAGATAATCCAGAAGTTCGTTTCAATTTCACATATCATGATAAAATTAATAATGATTCATCAATTATAGATTATAATGAACCAGTTTATAGAGAATTGAAAAAAAAACATTGGGAAGATTATAGTCAAATGTTATTAATGCAAAGATTAGAACAATTAGGTGCAATCCCAGATACTTTACCAACTTTGAACCCAAGAGCCGAAATCCTTGTGAAATTTTTAAATCATACAACAATTAATAGATGGATTGAACCTGGTAAATTATTACCAACAAATGCAACAAGTTACCCACCATCTTTTAAAATTCAAGAATATGAAAATGTTGATCCAAAAAAACAATTATATACAGTGCTTGTGGTTAATCCAGATGTTCCAGATTTAGAAAATGATTCTTTCAAGACTTATTTACATTGGGGTCTTTCAAATATTAAATTATCAAATTTTAATGAAAATTTTATAGGACCAAAACAAATTTTAGAAAACAAGGAAATTAATGAAATTATTGATTATTTACCACCAGTTCCTGAGAAAAACATTCCAACTCAAAGATTTATTACATGGGTTTTCAGACAACCTGAATCAATTTCAATAAATTTGAAAAACAGAGATTTTGATATTAGATCATTTGTTGAAGATCATGGATTAGATGCTATTGGTGGTCATATTTGGAGAAGTGAATGGGATTCAAGTGTTGCTAAAGTTAGAGAATTATATGGTTTACCAAAAGGTACTGTTTATCATAGAGTTCGTAAATAGAATTATGTTAAATCAAACTTGTAAATATAAATTTAATATGGAAATTTACCAATTGTAGTTCTACATGGTTTATTTATGTTTCTAATTTTACATTATATATTTTTAATGATTAAACTTATATCATGATTTATCTAAAATCAAAGTCTAAAAAATTTATTCAATATGTTTTTTATTGTTTTTTTAATAGTTTATGTGATGTATGCTTTTTTTTTCTCCAAAGAATATTCAAAATAAATACAGGAATATATTATAATTCTCTAAAAATTTGATAGTTCAATTACTTTTAATTTTTAGCAGTTTCTAAAGATTCAACAGCTGAAATAATAACTTGAGCAAAATCTAATTTATCATCATCTAAGTTAATTTCTTTTGATTGAGTTTTTGGAGTTTCAACTTTCTTTGGGGCATTTAATTCAGCAAATTTGGCTTTAGCTTCAAGAATTAAAGCTTCTTTTTTAGCGAAAAGTCTTTGAGCTTCAGCTTTTTTAGCTGTTGATTCTAATGAATATGTATGGTAAGCACCGTATAAAACACCTGCAGCTAAAGCTGAATATCTGAAAACCTATAAAAATTGATCAAAGTTAGTACATAAATCTCAATTGAACCACAAGTAGTGGACTATGGAACCAAAGATTGTAAGAATATCAAATATTCAATTGAGTTATAACCATCCCCATACTACACCTTCAATTACCCATAAATACACCAACAAAAACCATAACCAGCCCTTAAACCTCACAATCCTCAGCACACAATCTCACCAAATCTCTCTACTCTTATCCAAAACACATACGTTAACAGTAGACATCTTGTTCTCTTATAGTTTATACCTATCAACAACCTTTCAAATACGCTTTAATTTCCATTTCCTTTAAATTTAATTTCTTTCATTTTTGATTCGCAGTAAAAAAAACCGAAAACAATTCGCGAAATTCACCCGGCAAAGGAAAACTGATTTTCCCAAAAGAGGTAACTGCCTAATTTGGTAATTTCCTTGGGTTTTTCTGAAAAGGTAATAAACTTGAATTTGATCTTTTATACTCGCTTTAAATATTAATTCATTTGATCTTTGGATTTACTTTGAAGGGGACAAGACCAAGGAGTATTAAAAATGTTCACCCAGACGTTAAGGAGAAGTGCGTATTTACTTGTGGTTTTTTTAGGGATCTTGTTAGCTTACAATTCTTCTATTTTAGATGCGTTAAAATATAGATCTAGATCTATAAATTTACAATTTAAACAAAGAAGGTTTTCAACATCTTCTTCATCATCTTCATCAAATACTACTACGGGTGGGATTAATGATATACCTTTCAAATATAATGTATCTGTTGCATTTCAACCTAAAGAACGTGATGAAAATAAATTCTTAAATGAAATGTTTAAAAATAAGAAATTAGATTCTCCAACAGGTGAAGATAATTATTTTATTGCTGCTAAATCTGCTCATGAAATCGCTGTGGGTGTAGCTGATGGTGTTGGTGGATGGGCTGAATTGGGATATGATTCAAGTGCAATTTCAAGAGAGTTGTGTAAAGCTATAGAGAATGGATATCTTTATGGTAAAGATGCTATTTTTTCAACAAATCCACAATATTTATTAAATGAAGCTTTTGAAACAATTCAAAAAAATGGAGTGGTTAAAGTTGGCGGTACTACTGCTTGTTTAGGTGTTTTTAAATCTGATGGTATCTTAAATGTTGCTAATTTAGGGGATTCTTATTGTGGTGTTTTCAGAGAAAATAAATTAATATTAGCAACTAAAATTCAAACTCATGGTTTTAATACTCCATATCAATTAGCTATAATTCCACAAGAAATTTGGGATAAACATACAAAGAAAGAAAATGGTAAAAAAGGTAGATTTATAATGGATAAACCAATGGATTCAGATACTTATGAATTTAAATTACAAAAAAATGATATAATAATGTTTGCAACAGATGGTGTAATTGATAATATAAACATTCAAGATATTGAAATTTTTTTAAAAGATAATGAAGATTTAAAAATTAATGAAATTTCTCAAAAATTTGTTGATAAAGTTTATGAATTAAGTATTGATGAAGAATTTTCTTCTGTTTTCAGTCAAGAATTATCTAAATTAACTAAACAATTTTATACTGGTGGTAAAGAAGATGATATAACTGTTGTTTTCGTTCAAGTTGATCAAAATTTATGAAAAAATACCACATCTAGATTAAACTGCATGAATGACATAAAATGGCATAAAACAATCACAGCTTCAAGAATTATATTTATATGACCTTTTGTATTTATTTGATAATTATTTTTCTTTTTTTTTTGAAATGTAAAGTCAAGATTATATCTATTCATTTTCATCATCAAATTTACTTTGTAAAATATATTTATTAATTTGTTCTTTTTGTGATCTTCTTCTTTTTTCTTCTTCAACAACATTATTTGCAAATTTAACATTTGATGGTAATTCAAAATTCTTTGTAGCTATTGATTTACCCTTCTTGGTAACTAATGTAAATGGAATCTTACCTGAAGAATTATTTGGTTTTGAATTATTTTCATTTGATTCGAAAAAATCTTCAGTTCTATTTGATTTAATATTTTGTGGTAATTCCAATGTAGTTTTATCAATTTTATGTGAACTCATACTATCAAAAACCATCTTTTTAAATTCTCTTTCTAATGCTTCTTCAATCTTACGTTCTTCTTCTTCTTGTAATTTACGTTCATACATTTCATAACTTAATTTGATATTTTCATCATCTTCTTCATCACCAGTAGTTTGTCCATCAATGTTTAATGTATTTCTATTCTTTAATTCATCATCAATTGGACCATCTTCATCTTCATCTTCTTCATCATCATCATCTTCATCGTCGTCATCATCGTCATCTTCATCATTTTCATCCTCTTCATCTTCGTCTTCTTCATCATCTTCATCATCATCACCAGATGTACCAGGTGCAATACCTTTTGATTTAACTATTTCATTTAAAGTTTCAATAGCAGTTTTCAAATCTGAAGATCTTTTAAATTTATATTTTTCAAATGCATTAACAACTTTAAATTCACAATCTTTTGGTAATGGAGAATCTTTCAAAAAGATATAATAATCAAAATATGTTAAAAATAATTGAAATTTATCTTCAAATTTTTTACTTCTTAATGTAAAATTTTGTAAAATTGAACAAACTAAATGAATTCTAAAATAATCATCTAATGGATCTAATTCAGATTCTCTTCCTGGCATTGGATTATTAAAAGCATGACCAAATGTTAAAATTTTATATAATAAATCATGAATTAATGAAACATTTATAATTTTTCTTTCACAAATTTCAGAAATATATTTAACATGAGCCATTCTAATTCTATTATATCTATAATCATTAATCTCTAAACCTCTAATAATTCCTTCTAATATGGTATCAACAACATGAATTTTGAAATCTCTTCTTAAATTCTTCAAAATATCTGATAATAAAGTTATATTTTCATAATTGATCTTTTCAGGTTTTGTAAATAATGAGCTCATTGTATCCATGATATCTGAATCATTTAAATCTGCAGATCTTATAATTGATGATACTTGTTTTAAAGTGCCATGTTTTAATTCACTTCTAACCAAAGTTTTAAGGAAAGCTTGTTCAGGTTTTAAAACTTTAGATTTATTTTGAATTGATTTAATACTTGGTGGTTTCAAAACTAAAAATAAATTTGAAATTGCCATTTTGTTATTTATTGTTAATTTATCATTTTTCCTTTTGGCTTGTAAAAGATCCAACATTTCTTCCATTAATTTATTATGTTCAGATAATAAATATTTCCCACTAATTTCGAAAAAAATACTAAGGATTTCAATATTATTTGGAGTGGTTAAATTTAAAATTAAACTTCTAATTTTATGGAAAATAACATGTTCTGGGACTAAACCAAATTTAATCATTTCACAGAAAAACATTATATTCTTAAAATTTAAACCATTATGATAAATTTGTGATCTGAACCCACGATCTAAATATTCTAATAATTCATCTTTCAAATTCCCTAAGTGAGGATCTGAACTTTTCAAAAATCTAGCATAGACTCTAACTCTACCTATATCTTTTGTTGTGGTGAAATGTTTTAATAATCTGTTTTTCGATGCTTTACCAATTAATCCTTGATTCCAAAATTCTAATGTCGCATCATCAATATCTTTCAAATTTGAAGCAGTTTCAAGATGAACCAAGAATTCATTCATTTCATTGGCTTTTGAAGAATCATTACTTGAATTTAAAGCTGAATCAATAACTTCAGATGGAATTTCTGGTAAAACTTGATAAAATTTACGATCTTCTTCATTCGCCCAAATACCAGAATCTTTATTAACAATCACTGATTCATTTTCATTTGATTTATCGTTATTATCATCATCTGTGAAAGATGGGGGTTCAATTTCGAAAAATGGACATAAGATATCAGTTGCAGTTTTGAATCTTTCAAATAATTCAATGGCTTTGGAAAGATCAGCTTCAATTTCTTCCACAATTCTACCAGTTCTAACTTGTGCCTTATGATTTTTTGTTTTCAAATTCTTAACAATATTATGTAAATCCTTAGTACGACTAATGATTATTTCTGAATAAGAATTCAATAAAATATGTAATTCTTCATTTGTTTCTAGTAATTTAGGGAATCTTTTGATAAAAGTTGTTGCAATTGATACAGTTAATCCAACTTTCATCTTGTAAGATAATGATTCCTTCAAAACAGCTGGTATTAAACCTTCATTTCTTGCAGCTCTTTGTGACATAAATTGCGGTAATGGTTCAACATTTTTAAAACCATTGAAAAGACCAACAGATTCAAATTCAACAAGGAATCTAATGATTAATTTGACTTTGGAAATACGCTCCTTTTCATCTTTCTCATCCAATTCAGTTTTAGGAACTTGAATTTGAAGAAACATCCACCCAAATAAATGAGGAGTAAATTCTTTATTAAATCTTTGATGCAAGGCACTAATAATCTCAATTGCACTAGGAACATCAATGGATTTAGTACATTTCAATAAACCTTCTTGAGAAGAAATGATAATTTCTGATAAATATTTGGTCAATGATAATGTCTTGATATCTTTCAACACCGAATCTTGGTTATCCTTATTGATCGAAGTCTTAAGCTTCTTGATGAAGGCATTGTTTTTCTTTAAACTGGTATCCAATTTGGAATTCCCATCTTGTAGCTCGTTATCCCAAGCGCTAAGATTGAGCTTCAAGAGCTCATTCTTTCTCTCCTAGAACAACCGTTAGCTCGAAAAGCTCCACAAAATCCACAGTAAACCAAACAACATATCAACTCACTTCATCCATAATACGCTGCCCATAAAACAAGCGCCCAGCAAGAAATAGCTCTTTGATTGCCTTTTTTCCAAGTCAAAATAAACTGATTTTGTTGATTTTGTTGATGTTTAATAATTTTGATAATTTTGACGCTGAAAAGAAGCTAAAAAAAATTCGCGAACTTTTGGCTTTTAACAGGGCTGCGAAACCAGCGCTTAAATCGAAATTGATTTGTCTATTAACAAAGAAGAAAATCTTGAAGTGAAAGGGAAGTGCTTTAAAGTGGATTATAACGGTGGTTAAGTGGTATTGCTGATATTTGATAGTGTCTTGATTGTTATTCAGATCAATTTGATTGTGCTCGTTTTTCTCTGGATTTTATACGGTTCTTGAAAGGTCAATTATTCATTATTATTGTTATACCATTAATTGAAGATGAGCTCAGATTCTATAAAGCCCACCAAAGCAGGGCCCAAAAGAGTCATTGGATCCTCACCAAAGAGACATCTGGGAGTACCCAAGCCCCAGTTGACCTCACATTCGAGATCTAGTTCAAATAGCTCAAATATAACACCCATTCCATCTCCATTATCAAAAGAACAACGATTCAATTCTCCATCTTTAGAAGATCATATCACTCCTACAAAATCTAAAGAACAACAACACCCACCAAAAATCCAATCATTAGTTACACCTGATATTGTACTATCAGATCCAGAAATCATTGAAGGCTCTGAATTAATTAACCCTTTCATTGTTGATGAACAATTACAGTCTTTACAACCAGAATTCAAAGAAAATGGTGAAATCATAGAAGAATCAATATCATGTCCCATTTGTGATGAAAAAATGGTTAGTTTATTACAATTGAATCGCCATTTAGATGATGCACATACAATGGATGATACACTGGATGGTATTGGTGCTAAATCCCCTTCATTAGAACCAACCAATGATGATATTAAATCTTGGTTACAGAAAACTAATGAAATGAAATCAAAATTACAAACTGCATTACCTAGGAAATTTGTTAAACTAGATATATTTGATAATAATAATAATAATTTTAGTATAAGTGATTCTTCATCAAGAGATAGTTCTTCAACTTCATTGAATACAGTCACACCTGAAATAACAGTTACAAGGAAACATTGGAAAAAACCAACGGGTCATGATAGATGTTCCGCTTTGAATTGTAAAAAAATATTAAATATTAAGAATGGATTAGTTAATTGTCGGAAATGTGGTGATTTATTTTGTCATGAACATGCAAATTTCAGAGTTAAATTAAATAATTCTGCTAATTATTTTAACGAAGGTGTTTGGTGTAAATGTTGTGAGAATTGTTTTACTCAAAAGCCAGGATATAATGATTTTGGACTTGTTAATGATGTTTCTAATAAATTTAAAATCTTGAGACAGAAAAGATCAGATGAAAAACAATTATATTTAAATAAATTAGAAAAGAGAATAATTAATTTAACAACGGCAATTTCAAAAATTGATAAAGAATATAAATCAAATGAATTTAATAATAATTTTTTAAGATATACAATAAGTAACAAGAAAAGAGAAGCTGAACAACAATTAGTATTATGGGAAGATGGTAATACTAAATTGAATTGTTTCCTTTGTTTAAGGAATTTTAGCTTTACATTGAGGAAACATCATTGTCGTCTCTGTGGGAAAGTTGTCTGTGCAAGTGAATCAACTGGTTGCTCTAAAGAAATACCAATTAACTATTTAACAGAATCTCTTGATGATGTCCCAAAAATCAATGATGATTCATTATTAAGAATGTGTCGAAATTGTAAAGATGTATTATTTATAAAGAGAAATTTCATCAAAGATACAAAAAATCAATTATCACCATTATTAGAAAAATTTGAAGCCCAACAAAGTATTAAAAGGGCAATTGTCATGTTAATGCCTAGATTCCAAGATATGTTGTATAAATTACAAAATGATTCTTCAATACAAAATAAATCAATAACAGCTGATGCATCAAAATTAAGGAAAAAATTAATGGATTCATTTGCAAGTTTTGATAAACTAACTAAAGAAATTGTTTTATTAACACCTGAAAATGAAAGTGAATCAAAAATTCAATTATCAGTTCAAACAGATTCTATAAAATTCATTCAAAAAAATATGATTCCATTAAAATCATTACCCAAAATCTTAAAACAAAAAGAAGATCTAGTCAAATCCCAAACCCCTCCAAAGCTAAACCATGAACAAATTCAAAAGATAAAACAAAATCGTGAAGAATTAATGGTTTTAAATGAACAAAAATTTCTTGTTGGTGAAATGATTGAAAATTGTAAAAATCAACGAAAATTTGATGAATTACCTACACTACAAGATAACATGGATGAATTGGAAAGAAATATTCAAGTATTACAATTATCCTTGGGGAATGAAGGGTTTTAAAATAGTATTAAAATGAATTATTTATTGGATATTTTTTTGTTTTGTAGGTTATATGATTACTGCCCGTAACAAATCGCGATCAAATTTCTCGAACAGTACAAAAAGTGAATAATACTGATCTCTATTATAAGATTATAGTGGAAACACACAAAAGTTTGTGATTAAACAAGGTTTTAAAGATGTCTATAAGGACCCTTGTAAAAGAGAGAGATGAACAATTGGATCTATTATTAGCATTCATACGACCAACCACTTTAGAATCATTCTCATCTTTGCTTATTTATGGAAATCCATCAACTGGGAAATCATATACAACTAAGAAATATATGGAACATGCACAAATCAATAATATATGGATTCAATGTGATGATTGTGTTTCTATAAAAGTTATCTTGAAGAGAATATTACAAAAAGTTCAATTATTAGTTACAGAGGATCTTGGTGATGATTTTATTATAAATAGAAATGATACATTAACATTTGATAATTTTTTGTCAACTTTAAGTGAAATTTTCACTGTGGGGGTTGTTAAAGGACATCATTATATCGTATTGGATAGAGCTGATGAATTAATGGATGATGAAGCTGATTTATTTAGACAATTTACAAGATTATCTGAAGTATCTAGGATACCGAATTTATCAGTAATTTTTATAACATCAATTAAACCAAGAGAAATTATAACATTTGGATTACCAATGATTTACTTTGAGAATTATGATAATGAACAAATTTCAAGGATCTTAAGTGCTGACCCAATTTGTAAATTTTCAGATGAATTGGGTATCAATGAATTTGAATTGAGAAGTTTTTGGAGTAATTATATAAATATTATTGTGGAATCATTTTTCCCATATACAACAAATTTAAATGTTTTAAAAAGAATTTCTATAAAATTATGGGATAAGTTCACTAAAGAGATTGAAAATGGGAATTTAAAAACAAATGAATTTTTAGCATTATATAGAGCAAATCTTTCATTATTATCATCAGATTATGCATTTGAATCTGAATTAAAAGATGAAAATGAAGAAGAACAAGAGGAAGATGAAAATGAAAATGAGACCGAGAAAAAAGAAGATGAAGAAAATGATAAGGATGAGGATAGAAAATCACCTAAACAAAATGATAATAATGAATCAGGATTTTCAATAACAACAAAATATCTTATAATTGCAGGATATCTTGCATCATTTAATGATTCAAAATACGATTGGGTTTTTTTTTCCAAATTAAAAGGTTTTCACAAGAAGAAACAAATTTTTAGAAGTTCTAAGAACTCTTCAATGAAGTTGAGCTCAAGATTACTAGAACCTTCATCATTTGAATTAGAAAGACTTTTAGCTATAACACATGCTTTATATAAATTAGAGAATTCTAAACCATTAATTTCAAATTTAGATTTATCAACTCAAATTTCCAATTTATCAACTTTGAAAATTTTAATTAAATCAAAAAATAATGATTTTATAAATCCAAAAACCAAGTGGAAAATTAATGTTAATTTTCAATATGTTAAGAATCTTTCAGATGAATTAAATTTCCCCTTGGAAAATTACTTAGCAGAATAAGTCATATTTTCCTTTATGGAGATTGTATATAACTACAATAGCTTTTAATGATAATGAACAATAATTAATTAATGCCTTATTTCAATTAAAATTTATCAATTTTGTTAATATGTATAAAATCGCTAGTTCCAAATTTCCTTATTTCAACATTATTTTGAAAATAATTTGATTTCCAATAGTTCATTTCATTTGAACCATATGGACCATGGATTTTATCATCACCAACCCAACGAAATTCCCACTGTACTGGTGATGTAGTTGATGTAGTCGATGTAGCTGTATCTGTAGATGTAGATTCCTTGATATCTTTTTGCTCTTTTTGTGGTTTTATATAATTCTTACCAGATTCTTGTTTATACCTCAACATTATTGATTCTTTTTCTAATTCATAAATATCTGTAACTCCATGTTCAATTAGTTTTTCAGCCAGTGATGTGATTTTCAATACTTTTTCCTTTTTAATTCTTTGAGTTTCTTGTTCCTCTTCTGATAATTTAAATTTTTTATATCTATTTTGCTTTTTGGAACCTTTGTTTAATCTTTGTAAAGCTTCTAATGGAGTTTCCACCGGATCTAGTTCACCAATCAATTCAAATAATAAGTCTTCAGTGAGTTTCTCATCATTCACTTCTTTTTTTTGTTTTGATAATTCTTGTCTTTTCAATTGTGCAGCTTTAGCCTTTTGAATATCTTTCTTCTTTAATCCATCAAGCCATTGATTATCTTGTTCATCTTCTGAACTTTCACCACGGATAAAATTACCATCTATGTCAAATCTACCTTCTGATTGTTCTGCTCTTAAGTTGAATGCATCAATTTTAGGTTCATGTTTTGGTAAATTGTTTGAATGTGATGATTCTTGATCATAGTAATAATCATCAATTGGTTTGGTTTCTTCTTCATCTGATTCATCTTCTTCATGATTATTATTATTCACTTCATCTTGATCAATCTCTGCTTCTTTTTCAAAATCTTTTATATCCATGAATTCTATTTTCGAGTGTTTAACTTTTGGTTTATCATCATCATCATTTTTGTCATTTTCATTTTCCTCTTCATCATCAGATGCAAACATATCACTATCACTATCATCCTTTGCATTCGTATCCTCTTTTGGCTTTACATCTTCCTGTTTTTCATAATCTTCATCAGAAGAATCATCATTATACTGACTAACATCAACTTTATTTGGTTTTTGAAATCTTCTTTTTTTATTACCTTCAATATCTTGATTTAATAATTGTGTCTCATCATCTTGATCATCATCTGATTCTTCGTGGTGTGTTCTTTTAAGTCTTAATGGGTTTGTTTCATCTATTATGAAGTTATCAGACATTATAAAATGAAATAGTATAGCTTTTTATACAAGGTTATTCCAATGTATTTTATTGAAAAGTAAATAAAAGATTACATACTAAAAAGTTCATACACTACGCAAAATGGCAGATTTATACGAAATTTTGATTAGAAGGTGATAATTCTATATGAAAATGGAGGTATAATATCATTTATTATCTGAAACTAATGTTCTTTTTGATGGTATTGCATTATGATGTCTTCCTTGGAGTTTTCCTCGAGAACCAGGTTAGAAGGGTATAATGTGATACCGGTATAAAACCTTTTACTAATCATGAACAGAGACAATAATACTCAATTATTATTGTATTCAAAATCATCCAAGGTATGCAAAACTATTGTCTTCTTTATCGTTTATCATATTCTTTAACCCATTACTAGGTCTATCCTTCTACCACATTCCCTCGTCATTAGTAAGACTTCCAATAGTTTGTTGAGACTTATCCTGTTCCAATCCAGTAATCACACCATTTAATTCATCCATAGAGTTCAAAGATAATTGTTTCTTAGATCCCACCAAGTTTAATAATAATCTTGTCTTATTTCTAATCTTGACGATTGATTTCTCAGATTCCACAACATTCCCATAATCATTATCATATTTAATACCTGATAATAACTCTTTCAATAAGGTAATTTGAGTGTGAATTTGACTATTCAACCCTGCTTGCATTTCCAATACTTGAATGATACCCTGTACTTGTCCTACAAACACATATTTCTGATAAGCTGCTTGGAAACCATATTCTTTCCCTTCTAAAAATGATTTTTTGGTTGAAGCTTCTTGACCTTCTGCGAAACCTTCCTTATAGAATCTTTTAATTTGTTAGTAATAATCCTGGAAATCCCCAATTTAAATTAGAACTTACTGTTCTTCGAGATTTAGCACGTCATCAAAGTCCATTTTGTATTTAAACAAGATGAAAGTTTTATCTTATTACTTTGTGAGATCTGATTCTTGGTGATATTTGGTATTTGGTATTGTTTTATACCCGTTGAAATTCTAAAGGAAAAAAGAAAAACTTATTCATTTCGCAAAAAAGGTGTCACACGTCAAACATCAAAACAAGGGTTCCTTTACAAAATTGTAAAGGTGATCAGGGTTATAAGCTACTGGTATAGTTCAATTTTGCTAAATTCACTCAATCAACACAGAGAAACCCAGGCTCAGAATGGGCTATCCAGGGTTTGGTTATCAAGATAAAGAAGCAGAAATCATAATCTCAGATTCAGATATAAATAAAACCATAATTTCTAACCAAGATTTAAATGAATTTTATGCAAATATTCCATATAAATTTTATATAAATGATGAAAATTATGAATTAGATTCAGATTTCTTGAATTTCATATATAATTTAATCTTGAATAATGATTTCGATTCTTTTATGAATAAAAATTTTATATCAAGTACTGAATTAGCTTCCATATTGAATAATTTGAATAAAAGATTGAAGAATAATGGGAAAGTTCCAATATTGAGTAATAATTTACCCATAAAAGAAGTTGATGAAGATACATATACAGATACTGATAGTGATTCAGATACAGATAGTGACGTTGATTCAGATGATGATTCTAAAATCATTGATATTCAAGGATTAATATGGGATAATATTGAACAACGTGAAAATTTGTTAAAAATAAGAGAATTAAAACATAAATCATTTACAAATATAACAGATTCTAAACAAGATGCTCAAAAGGATATCAACACGATATTGAAAAATATAAATTATGGTTGGAAATTTGGTGTTTATTTCAAAATCCCCAAGCCTAAACTTTCACATTTCCAATTAAGAAATAATTTAATTTGTTTAAATTCTATTAAGGAAGTTTTCTATAATGAATTATCAAATGAAAAACCACCAAATCATGACTATTATGATTTATCATTACCTACATTACATTCAGTGATCAAAAAAATCAATACATACACAGGTGATATTGAAACTGTCTTAAGTCTTGATGATGATCCTATAGAAAGAATCTCCACTATAGAATGTACAGATAATGGGCTTTTAATAGCTGGTACATTAACAGGTTCATATCATGTTAAGAATTTAAAAACTGGTGATACAACAAAGAAAATCTTGACAACAAATTCAAATGGGATTATAAATTTTGCCAAATCAGTAGAGGATTCTATATTGTTTTCAACAAATGATATGAGATTAATCACAACTGATTTACAAAATTTTAAAGTTAGAAGTATGGTTGATTTTCCCTGGGCTATAAATTCAGTTTCTTTCAACCCACTAGATCCAAATATTAAATTAATTGTTGGTGATAATATAAACTCATTTATTTTGGATGATCGTGTCTCTGCAAATAAACCTGTTAATATCATAAAAGGTCATAAAGATTTTTCATTCGCTTGTGATTGGTCACATAATGGAACTTCAATAGCTACAGGGAATCAAGATTCCACAGTCAGGGTATATGATATTAGAAATTTAAAAGAAAATCAATATTGTATGAAGGGAGAAATTGAAAGTTCAGTAAGAAATGTTAAATTTAATAATAATGATTCTATGTTGGCATTTTCCGAGGGGATAGATTATGTTAATCTTGTTGATTTAAATAGTATTGATTCTGGACAAGGTTCTAAACAAGTTATTTCAATGTTTGGTAAGATTGTTGGATTAGATTTTTCAAATTATGATGATGGAACTGGTGAAATGTTAACTGTGGGGATTAATGATGAATCTATTGGTGGGATTTTACAATATTTGTTGGAAAGTGAAGAGACATATGTTGATTATGATTGGTTTTAAGGAAGAAAAAGTAATGTATAAGAAAAGGAAAAATGGTTTATAATGGTTACATATTTGGTTTTAATGAATAACATATATTAATTTATCGTAACAAATCATAACCTTCTATTTCAACCAGCAACTTACAATTGATTCTCTAGGCAATTGTTTTACCACTGATAACTTCTTTACCAGTTTTTTGAATTGTGGCTAAAACATCTTCATATGGTAAGCTTGAAGTAACATCAACCAATTGATTTTCTAATGAGATGTCAATTTTGGAATTTTCTTCTTTTCTTGATAATGCTTTATTAACAGCATTTGAACAACCTTTAGATAACATAGTATTAGTAATGATCCAAAGATTTCAAAAATTATTGGTATTCAACCAACTGAAACAAGATAAACATACCTGAACAGGACATTTTAACGTTGAATTGGTATTGATGATCAGACATTGTGAATTATTTACTCTTAATTGAACGTAACTTAATATTTAATTGATGATCTTTTAGATAATTTAATTATGGGAAATTTCGGAAATTTGGGTCTTTTTATATAAAAACAATTCGCGAATTGAAGAGCAAATTCACGTGATTGAAAATTTCCGTTTTGAGCTGTTTGAGATATTTTAGCTGAACATCAACAGCTTTAATAACTCAGAAAGTCAGGGTGTTTGAGGGTATATTAGTGATCTAGTTATTTTAGGAGTATATTTCAATGGACGAGGATAGAAGGGTGTTTTTCGCTGTGAAAATTGGTCAAGAAACCATTCATTTAATCATCAAATTATCAATTCAAAGTAGAGCTCATCAAACCATAAAGAATTTTTATGAATTGATTAAATCAAATAGTTACAAAAATACAGAGTTTCATAGAATCATTTCACCAGAGTTTATTATCCAAGGTGGTGGTATTACTGGGTTTCAAGGGGAACTGCTAAGGTCTGAAGATGTCCATGAAGATACTACAAAGTTAGATAGGAAGGGATTAATTGTTGTTGCTAGTGATGTATATCAAGATAAATCAAGTGAATTTTTCATAACTTTAAAAGATTTGAGTGAATTCAATTCATTACAAGGAAGATTTATTGTACTGGGCGAATTAGAAAACAAAAGTTTGGATAAATTAATTGAGTTGACCAAGGATTTACAAGTTGATGATCGGGATAAACCTTTAGAAAGAGTTAGTATAATAAAGACTGGTGAATTACAGAAAAAGAAGAAACAACCAAGCACAGAACAAGAGGAAGTAAAGGAGAAGTGTAAAAGAAAAAGACATAGCTCAAGAGACTATGATGATCGTTCACACAGATATCATGAGTCAACTCATCATCATAGAAGTGAAAAGCATAGAGATGAAAAAGATGAATCAAGACATCATTCAAGACATCATTCAACAAATCATTCACACAGGTCAAGATACGACAAAGACTACTCAGATAGAGATAATAAAAGATTAAAGAAATCAAATACCAGATCTCAAGATGAAGTCAGAAAAGGTCGAGGATTTAAATAACTTAATGAATTACGAATTACAATGTATCAATAATTTTGTAGAAATCACATATATTAATTATAAAAAACTTATATCATAATCTATAATATAATTGTTAGTATTATAATTCCCAACATTGAAATATAACACATATCCATAAAATATTTTTCTTGTTGAATCAGATTTTTGATGAATGTTGGATTAGGAAAAGTTATCAGCATTGCAAGGCTCTGAGTGAGCTGAGTAAGGTTTTCATCAGAACAAAAAAAAATGTTTGGATGCAGAGTGTTATTGATATTATTGAAACTTACCCATTGGACTATGAAGTTGATTTAATAATCAGTTCTTGATGATAATATTCATGATTTCCTGGATTTTCATTGAAAAGTTTATAGAAGTTTAAAATTTTCATTCAAAATTTGTTTTTTTTATAGTGGGAAACGTGGTAAGCGACACATTTTTGTATTTATTAGGGCCTGTTGAAAGGTAAGAAAAGGGAGATATTGGGTAAATTTTGTATGACAGAATGTATATTTTATCTGATATTTATCATGAGCGCCACTGAAATAATATATAAATTAGATTATCAAGAACAAAAGAGCATTGGATCACTCAATATCTGGACAAATAATGTTTCCACCACTGTTAATACTGACACTTGTTGCTGGCAGATGATGGAGTTACCGCGAATTTCTAAATGTCAAGGTTTCAATTCTCCATAAACAACCAGAAAAGGAGATCTTGGTAGGCTTACAAAGGCAACAATTTCAAATTGGATCGAAGATCTCGAGGTAATTGAACTGCCTGGTGCTGATTATCGGTATATTGCTTTATTGAGACTGAGTTATTGGTGCTATTATTGGTGCTATTATGTCCAACGGAGCTCGTGTTCAAATACGGGAGCAATCCCATGAACAAAAGGATAAACTTCATAGAGATGCAGCTGAAAAGGCAAAATTAAATATAAACCCTAAACTAGTTAAATTAATATCTGTTAAATTGAAAGAAGCAGCTTTGGACTCTCCAAGTTTTAGAGCTAGTGTTAATTATTTTAATTCTCAAGTTGATCAAACTGAACATTGGATTGAAGGTTTATTGAAATCTTTGAAAAAATATCCTCAGCAATTTAATGATTTTAAAGAAGTTAATAATGTTTTATTTAATCAATTGATTCCGGATTTTTTGAAAGATGGATTGATTAATCAGGATAATTCAGTTGCTATTTTGGATACAAGTAAAACTAACTTAGGAAGTTTATGGGAATCAAATACTAAAGCTTTAGAATTAAAAGAAGCTGAAATTACTGAATTATTATCTGAATTTTCCAAGAATGAAATAAGACATTTTAAAGATTTTAAGAAAAATTTTGAATTTTTCCAAAACAAATTTGATACTTTAATAAGTAAATATTCTTCACAAAATAAATCAAAAGATCCATCTGCCTTAAGGGAAGATGCATTCCAATTATATGAAGTTAGAAAATCTTACCTGGCTGCCTCACTTGATATATGTGTTGAAATTTCAAAATTACATCAACAATTAGATTTCACTTTTGTTAATCTAGCTGAATTATTATTTAAAGGTAAAGTATCATTTGATGAAAAATATTTTGAAAAAGCAAGAGCATGGTCTGTTGCAGTATCAAAATCAGTTAAAACATTAATTGATGATATGATTTATTCAAGAAATCAAATTGAAGAAGCTACAATTTCACAATTTACTCCATCAAGAGACTTGGCTTCACATAATCCTGCTTTAATAAATCCTCAAACTTTAATAAATGAAGAGACAGAGCCAAACAATAACAACAATCAACAATCTTTTGAAAAACATGGTTGGTTATTTATGAAAACTACAGTGGGGAAACCTGCAAGAACAATATGGGTTAGAAGATGGGTTTTCGTTAAATCTGGAATATTTGGACTTTTTTCATTAGCTCCATCTAAAAATTTTGTTCAAGAAACTGATAAAATTGGTGTATTATTATCAAATATAAGGTATGCCCCCGATGAAGATCGAAGATTTTGTTTTGAAATAAAGACTATTGATGTTACAATCATGTTTCAAGCTGAAAGTCTTGAAGAATTAAAATCATGGTTAACTGTTTTCTCAATGGAGAAGAAACGTGCTATTGAAAATTCAGATTCAGATTCTGGCAAATATGCATTTGGTAGATATCCTCCATTGCTTTATGAATTTGCTTCAACTTCATTAACATCAATTGATATGGAATTAACAACTTCTAAAGCTGAAAACACCAAGGATGATGATACTCAAACAACAGTGGTTTCTTCATTTTTATCACAATTAGTTGGTGGTAAAGAACATTTAGATTTTAGATTATCAGGTACAGTGGGGGATTTCCAAGAACCTGATATAAGTGCCCCTATGATTACCAAAATGACAAAACTTTCCATATTGGCACATGCTTTCTTGAATTCTACAATTATACCCACTGCAGTCACGGCAAATATTTGGGGTAGTGTTAATTGGGGGACATATTATGTTTCAGATCATGATATAAGTTATAAATTAAATCAACCTGTATCTGATTCAAATATTTCTTCATTATCTAAGACACATAAATATCCAGATTTTTACCCACAAGATTTGAAAACTTATGATATTCAATTAAAATCATTATTTGATACTAGTGTTCCTAAAGATGAATTAGTGGTTTTACATTTTTCATGCCTGTGGGCTTTGAACCCTAAACAAGAGTTATCAGGTCGTTGTTTCGTTACAACTGAAAATTGTTATTTTTACTTAAATAGTACAGGATTTGTCGCTCTTTTAAAAAAATCAATTGCAGATCTTGTTGCTGTTGATGTTACCAATGAAAAGGATTGGGAAGTTTTAAAAGTTTATGGTATTGAAGGACTGAATATGAAAGGAAGAATTTTCTTGGATGATGGGAAATTAATTCAAAAAAAATTAGATTTTTTAATTAATAATTTATCAAAAGATGAACCAAAATTACAAAATGAAGTTATTCAAATTTTAAAACAAATTGAAACTGATGAAATTAAAAAAATTGAAAAGAAAAATTCTATAAAGAGGAAAAATACTGATGCTTCAGTTCAATCTACATCAGGATCAACACAAATTAATTCAGAATTATATTCATTTCAGCCATTTTCAGGTGTGGTTTCTCATAATAAGAATATGAAGACAAATTATAATGATGAATATCATCAATGTACAGTTAGAACTTTTGATGCACCTGCTAAAGCCATATTTCATATTTTATTTGGTGATCATTCTTCTATATTAAGAGATTCTATAAGATTTATTGATAATGATGAATATGAAGTATCACCATGGTATTCCAAAGGATCAGAATTAATTAGAGAAATTGAATTAAAATTAAAACTTTCCAAGAAATTATTTAGTTTGAAAAATAATAATGCTGGAGAAAGTGTTGTTCAACAAACTATTGAAGATTTTGTCGATATGAAGTATTATAGAATTAGAGAAGATAGAACTCCTTTAAAAATTGCAATGGGACAAGTCTTACAATTAACTAAGAAATATGTCATTATTGAAACTGATACAAAAACTTCAAAACTCTATATTTATACTAAATTAGATAGTATTGATCCAGGGGTAAGAAGTTTATTTGCACCTGCACTAAGGAAAACTTCAAAAAGTTTTTTCAAAGATGAAGATCTAACAATGATTGAACAAATTGAACATAATGTATCAAGATTAGGATCTCATGGTAAAATAATTAAAGCTATTAGAACGTTTGGGAACTTGAGTAAAAGTGATGAAGTTTATATCCCCAAGGAGAGACAGGTATTCAATTTTACATTGAATTTAATGTTTAGATTATATTTTAAAAAATTCTGGTATGATTTAGCTTCAGCAATTTTATGTGGTTCAAAATTAATTTTTTCATACTTGGGTAAAATTTTGGGTGAATTGGCAATGAATAAACTTATATTGTTATTATTAGGTATTTCATTACTTTTTAATTCTTTCCTGGTGGGTAAATCAACAGTTTCATTTTGGACTGCCAAAAAAGCAGAACATTTAGTTAAAGATTTTACAAAAGAATTAAATATGAATAAAATGGAAAGAGCTATTTATATTAATGAAATTGATGCTTTAAGTTCTTCAAATTTTAATGAATCTTCCATATGTTTTACGAAATTTATGAATTCTGGAAATATTGAAGATTATGCATCACAAAGTGTTGATAAAAGATTTAGAAATTCAAGACATGAAATTGCAGTTAAAAGAAATGAATTATTAGTTGAATTGAAAATATTGGAAAAAGTTGAAAAAGAATTAATTAATGGTTCATGGAAAAATTTCTTACTTTCTGAATTGAACTTATGTAAAAAGGCATTAGAAGATTTGAATGTTACAAATCCAGATTTAGAAATTTATTGTTCAAGTTGTATTGAAGATTTTCAAAAAGTTTCAGCTTAGATGGATGGATAGTTAAACTACAATTATTTATGATGATGATGATTATTATTTGTATATATAAAAATACTGTGCTTATTAATTGATGACCAATGTACATGATGACTGCTTATTTATATAACATGACTCCCAAATCCGTATAACCCAATTAATACTTTTCCTATAACTACTAAACTATTTACAAACCTCTTTTAGCCAAATAATCAGCAATATCTAAATATAAAGCCACTGTATTAACTTCAGGAGCAGGTTCTTCAGGTACGATTTTTGAAACTAATCTTTTAAATCCATTAGTCCAATTAATCAAATCTAAATGATCAACATTCATCAAAGTACCTAAGTAATTCCCCCATTTTGAAGACTCAACACTAACCATTCCATCATTTGGTCCAGCTGTTGCATTTATTATATTCCAAGTTCCATAAAAAACATTATACCATCTTGGTATAAAGCTTGCACCATAACTAAAATATTGTACATTTGGATCATTTGGAACTCTTTTGTTGAAATCTCTGAGGTATGAAGTGGTTAATTGATATATACTTGGTGGTAAGATTTTTTCAGATTGAATAGTTTGTGTTAATCCAACTAAATGATCTGCAACTTCAGAACCATGATGTGGAGTAGTTATTGTTGTTAAACTTACAACTTCAAAATTTTTATTTTCAATTTGTGATATTAGATATCTACAATCTAATCCACCCATTGAATGAGCAATCAAATTGACTTTAATTTTTTCTTTATTTTCTTTGAAAGTTGAATCATCTTTTGTTTCCTCTTGTTTTGTTGAATTAGGGTTTTCATGATAAATATCAGATTTTGATTTTGATCTTAATTTACCTGTATATTTTGAAATATAACGATTCAATTCATTAGCTCTATCTTCAATACTTCCAAATCCTGGTACTTTAGCAGTGATGACTGTTGACCCTTTAGCTTCAAGGGCTTCTTCTATCCCGATCCAATATTCAAGAGCTACACCTCCTCTATCTTGTAGTTGTTGTTGAGATTCTTTAGATTTACCACCAGATAAAATACTAGATACTAGATTTAAAGACGGTATTAGCAATACTCTATCAAATCCAGAAAGTCCATGACATAGTACTATAGGCTATAAGATAAATGTTAGTACTTAGATCTATAAAAAAAGATGTTACCAATACATACATATTTAGGTGCTTGATATTCCTGTTTTAATTTTAATTCATTAATCAATAAACTTGATTGCTCTGGGGTACCAAATTCAATTTGTTCTTTAGTTAAATCATCTTTTTTGGACCAACTAAACCATTTCTTAAAATTATTAAATGTTGATTCCACAGTCTTATCAAAAGGATCAGTATGTTCATCATCAGATTCTGTAAATATAACTTTGTTGAATTATATAGTTGTGGTTAAACCTGTAGTCACAAGAGCAGATCCGAGTTTTAAAAATCTTATACCACTCATCATTAGGTATGTGACTGCACTCTATTGTATCTATGGTTTGTCTAATAGTGTATATGCAGATGATCAGTGAAAGATGGGGTAAAGAACGTGCTTTATAATATTAAATAAACGTGTTTAGAATAAACTATAAAAAGATGTATAACTGGAAAAAAAAAACTATCGATAAAGAAATATTTCAGACTTCCTCGAGACGAAAACAATGTGTCAAAGCGATAAAAAAATGTTTTTCTTTGCTTTTTTTGCGGTTCGCGACACATTTTCTAGAAATTCGCGAATGTTTTTTTGGGAAGTTGTCACACTACAAATAAAAATGTTATTTAACCGTGAATTTTGATAAGAAAATTGGCAGAATTATAAGGTTTTATTGATTAATTAGTATTTGGATATCTGTTTTGAGGATCTAATTGTCTTGTTGAGTTCAGATAATCAGAGCCTAATTTGTGGCCATGTTCTCTTCTATTTCTCGCAAGATCAAAGTCAAATTCATAGTTATTACTATCTTTTGCTCTAAGCGTATCACGTTCTCTAACATCTAGTTCATGGGATGATGATCTTGTTGGGGATTCATCTCTTTTACCATGTCTTTTGGAGCTATTCCTTATATTTGGTCTCCAATTTTCCACTAATTTACTAACACTTTGACTAAAATCAACATGGATTCTTCTTTCATCAATCAATGTATTATCCATTTTGAAATATGCAGCTTCACAAGATTTTTTTGATTCATATTCAATAAACGCATATTGTAAAGAATCACCAGTTTGTTTATCTGTAATAACTTCACATGATAAAATTTTACCAAATCTTGAAAAAATAATATTTAAATCATCACTTTTGGTTAATGGATTTAATTTACATACAAATAAAACATTTTCCATTGGTTTAGCTTCAGCTGATGGTAAATCTCCCATGATTTCTAATGTGAGTGCTTTTGTTTCAGCTTCTCTAGCTTTTTGCTCTTTCAACTCTTCTTCTGTTAACTCTCTATCTTCAAGATCTAAATCTTCATTAGAATCTAATTTAATACTATTCAATTGTTCTTCAGTTGGTCTTGGTGGTCCACGTGGTATTTCCAATCCTTCAATATCTTCAAATGGATCATTTAGCACATATGTATAATGAATTCTTAAATCTTGTAATGGATCATAATCATCATTTATAGGAACATCATTTAATTTATCCAATATATCTAAACCTTCAGTAATTTGACCGAATGTAATTGAATTCTTAACAATAATTTTATCATCTTGATCTTTCAATGTTATATAACATAATGAAGTACTGAACAAATGATTTTCACCTTGTTTACTCTGTGTTGATAATAATGAAACTGCACCTTTCTTATTTTGTGGTAATCTATTCACTTGAGGTTTGAATGCCTTGAACCCACCAGCTAAACCCCATGCTGATTTACCTTCATCACTCAAGGGGTAATTTGGATCACCAAACTCAATAAATAAATCTCTTTGAAGGTTATAGAAAGGTGCAAATGTGTAATATTGGGCTTTACATAATTTAATAAAGTTTTTAGATTCAAGGGGCGATTCTTCAGTGTATAAATCTATGACGATTTGTCCTGGTTATGGTTAGTCAATTTGAGAAAAAAAAACAGAAAAAGAAGCCAGTGAGATAGCAAATACATACCTTTTGATGTCTGGAGAAGCACACTCATTTCCAACTAATACTAATATGATCCTGGTCAAAGACTGTGTAGTAACTTTTGGTGAATTTGTTCTTTTGTTGATGCTTTGATTTTGTTTCGTAAATTAAACCGCCTTCCCAAATACTCGCGAAATTCATAACGAACAAGTGATTCCATACGGAGTCCAGAATCAAGTCCAGAATCACCAACTACGAAATGACTTTGTCATAAATATTTATAATTATATATACAGAATTCTATTTACCAGATACTTTACCAATCATGAAATCTTTTAAAAGCGACATGGAATTAACAGCTTTCAATCCAAAACTTCTTAATGCCACAATTGGCTCAGATCTAATTGAATATAACTTGTGTAATTTATCAACAACACCCAAAAGCAAATGATTTTCTGGATAACGATCAGCCCAATAAGGCTCTAATACTAATGGATTCCCAATATCCAATCCTCTTTGCATACCTTTTTCAATAGCCCCAACTAAGGATTGAACATCCATTTGACCCATGTTAAGACCTTGACCTGCTAATGGATGTGTAGTATGTGCAGCATCACCAACTAGGGCAATTCTTTCTGAAACATAAGAATCAGCATGTGATAACTTGAGGGGGAATCTAGCACGAGAATTTTCTTCAATAGAAACAACTTTTAGTGGGAAATTTTCTTCTAATTGTTCATCTGAATATTTTTGAGTTGCATGATTTATTCTCCATTGAATATCTTCAATTAATCCTTCAGTTTCTCCTTTATTAAGTTGTTTATAATAAAACTGCATATCAACATCTTCCAATACAAACGCTGCATTAATTAAATTAATGAAAATCTCACTATCAATCTTGGTTAACATTTCAGAATTTTCCACAGTTTGTGACCAAACTAAAGTTGCATTATCATCTGGTAAAGGTAAAAGAGCAATTGGACCTGTTGGTAAAAATCTTTGCCATCCTGCGTATTTAAAAACTGGGAATTCTAATTTTAATGTAGCAACAACACCAAATCTATTATAAAACCAACCTCTTGATTCAATACCTGAAAATTTTCTTACTGGAGAATTGAAACCATCAGCACCAACTAATAATCTTGTTTTGATTTGTTCACCTGTTGATAAATGTACCACAGGCCATTGATTTGTTTCATCTTTAGTTATTTGTTCAACACGAGTATTATCTCTTAAATTTAATCCAAAATCTTCACTTTTAAGTTCACTTTCTTGTTCTAATTCTTTTATTCTTTGATATAATGATGATTGAATATTTACATTCTCCACCATGGTGGCCATTGAATGATGATCAAATTCAATTTTTGCATCACTTAACCCTTCAGTAACAACAATTGAATCATATGGTTGAATTCTATCTTGTTTAATAAATTTCCAACTACCAGTCTTTTCCAAAAAATTAATAGTTTGTGGTGTTAAACTAACAACTCTATTTGTGAAATGTTCAGGAGTTTCATCATAAAATTTCTTAACAGGATCTAAATTAAAACCTTCAACCAATTCAATTTTTAAATCTTTAGTTATTGATGAATTTTTTAAAGATGCTCCTAATGTAAGACCAGCTGGACCACCACCAATAATCAAAACGTCTACTGTTTTCACAGGTGGAACCACGCTCTTTGCTGTAGCCAGTGCTCTCTTGAAAATGAGTGACATTGAGTGAGTCTTTCTTCTCTGTGATTGTTTGAGTGGTTTGAGATCAGATTTGTTGAACTTCTTTTAAATCGAACCATTCAAGTTTTGTTTAATACGATGGAATAATATATGGGAAGCACGGGCTGCGTAACCATTGGTATAGAAGTGGTCGAAAATGTATGGAATTTGATGATTTTTGGATCAAAAGATATCAAAAACATTTATAAGCGCATCTCTTTTGTATAAATGTGATCAATCATCTATGAAACCCTTCAGATCACATATTTATTTGTTGTTCCTGACTCTCACATGTTAGCTCATCGCGATCTATAGCTGTGAAAAAAAAATCATTATCACCAAAATTCCCAAATATGCAACCATAGATCAGGAAAAAAATACATATTATTCACATAGAACTTTAACAGAAACAATTGACTGTTTGTCTTTGATCAATTATCCATATCCATACCTCATTCAGTCAAACTGTTCCTATTCAAAACTTCAAAGTCGGTCCAATTCCCGACTATAAAACATATATTCAACAAACGGTGAGTCAAAAAGACCTTATAGGTGATAAGAACATCCATACTAATCGTTTTCCTAGATTTTACACCAAAATGAGTCCCGATATCGTGTTGATTAACAAATTACAAGTCCAAGCAATTACGGGTAAAGATTATTGGGATAGACCATTTCCTCAACCAATTAATATTTCAGTTAGACTAAGGACTGATTTTAATAAAGCTAGTGAATCTGATGATTTAAAATATTCATTAAATTATGCAGTAATTTCAAGAAATATTACTGAACATTTTGAAAATAATAAATATAAAAATTTTAAATCTTTGGAAAATATTGCAAATTCTGTTTCTAATGTTATTTTAGATGAATCAAAAGGTGGTGGTGATAATGTTGAGATTAAAGTATCTGGTGAAAAAACTGAAATTCGAGCTGAAGATATTGAAATTACTATAAATCGTTTTAAACAAGATGGACAAGTTCATAAGATTGAAGGAACTGTTGACTCTATTAAAATTAGTTCATTAAAATTATTAACTTTGATTGGTGTCTTCACTTTTGAAAGATTTAAAAAGCAATTTGTTACAATTGATTTAGATATAAAATATGATACTGCCAACCCAGTTGATTATTATAAAATCATTGAAGATATTGTTACATATGTTGAAAATGCAAATTTCAAAACTGTCGAGGCATTAATTGATTCAGTTGCTCAATTAGTTATACAAAATAATGCATTAGAAGTAACTGCCAAAGTGGAAAAACCAAATGCTATAACTTTCTCACAAGGTGTCGGTGTTGAAGTTACAAGATCTGCTGAATTTTTTGCTAATTCACCTAGGATTGATGTTAATAATATTGTAACCATTGATAATTTCAAAGAATCTTTCAACTTACCACAAAGTTCTAATGGAAACAAATCAGATACTCATTTAGTATATATTGCATTTGGATCAAACACTGGGAATCAAGTTCAGAATATAATATCTGCAATTGATGCTCTAAATTCTTTAGAATCAACTCAAGTCCTAGAAACTTCCTCATTATATGAAAGTGAACCAATGTATTACTTAGATCAACCAAAATTTGTTAATGGTGCACTTAAATTACAAACCAAATATTCACCACAAGACTTATTAACCCACTTGAAAAGAATTGAATATGATTTATTAGGAAGGGTTAAAATAATTGAAAATGGTCCAAGATCAATAGATTTAGATATATTATTATATGATGATTTAGTTTTAAATGAACCTGATTTAATCATACCACATATGAGAATGATTGAAAGAACATTTGTTTTACAACCCTTATGTGAATTAATATCACCAATTGATATACATCCAGTCACTGCAGAACCTTATCTTAATCATTTAAAACAATTGTATAAATCTTCAATTGATCATTCTTTACAAAAATCAAATCAATTAACCACCATAGTCCCATTATATAACAAGTTTAACACCACTAACAACTCAACAAGAAATTTAGGTTTTGATTTATTAGGAAATTCACACAAGACTAGGATTATGGGAATCTTGAATACAACACCTGATTCATTTAGTGATGGTGGATTAAATGCATCTGTGGAAATTGCCATTAAGAATGCTTTAGAGATGGTTCATGCCGGGGTTGATATCATTGATATTGGTGGTGTTTCAACAAGACCAGGATCTATAGCTCCGTCTGAAAAGGAAGAATGGGAACGTGTGGTTCCAATTATTCAAGCTATTAGATCTCATAATGATGAATTGTTGAAAAATGTTGTTATTAGTATTGATACTTATAGATCGCATATTGCCCTGGAATCAATCAAGGCAGGTGCTGATTTGATTAATGATATTAGCGGTGGTCTTTATGATGATAAGATGTTTGATGTTATTGCTGAAACTGGGGTACCATATATTCTTAATCATACAAGAGGTACACCAGATACAATGTCAAAACTCAATCAATATGAAGAAAATTTAAATGATAATTTATTAGAATTTACTAATCCAGGTTATGAAATTTCTGAAGTTGATGAAACTCTATTAAAAGCCATTTCTAGAGAACTGGTGGAACAATATCAAAAAGCTATAAGTCATGGTGTTAAAAGATGGCAAATTATTACAGATCCTGGTATTGGATTTGCTAAAAATTTAAAACAAAATTTAGCAATTATTAGAGGTACTCCATTAATTAAAACTTATTCAAATTATAATCAAGAAACGAAAGAATATGGTAGTTTGAATGGGTTACCAATCTTACTAGGTCCTTCAAGAAAGAAATTCATTGGTACTTTAACCAATGAAAAGAATCCATCTGATAGAGTGTTAAGTACTGGTGCTGTTATCATGTCATGTATTGGTTATAAATCCGATATTGTTAGAGTTCATGATGTTGAAGAGATAAAAAAAGTTGTTGCCATTGGTGATGCATTGTATAAAGATTTAGTTTAATCAGTGCTTTAAATATTCTACAAATTAACTCCACTGTCTATATTTTCCTGATAACATAAATTGAACTTTTGTTGTATTAAATTGTTCGTAAACATATATATATATAAATTAGAAGTAAAAGTAAACAGTCATGAAATTAATTAACGTAAAAAAGTTATGACATAGAGTCTTCTGCACCTTTTGATCTCTTTCAATCAATTTAAAATCACCCAATCATCTTCAAATTATTCCACATCAAATATCACCACTCTCACTAAATCAAAACAAAATTGATCTAAGCAGTAGCTTCACCTCTACAGTCACGAGAAATATGACCAACATCACCACATTTGTAACAAGTTTTAGTTGAAGTGTTAACACCACCTGAAGCTGATGTACAATCTTTAGCTAAATGACCATCTTGAGAACCACATGCATAACATTTAACAACACCAGCTTGACAATCACGGGCGAAATGGTTTGGACCACCACATTTGTAACAAGTAGTAGCTTTATTATTTGATCTTGGTCTTTGATTAAAAGATCTTTGTGGTCTTTCTTGTTGAGGTTCTGGACATTCTTTTGAGATATGACCAAATTGTGAACAATTGTAACAACGAGTACCTTTAGCTTGTTCAGTACAGTTGGATTGAACATGACCAACACCACCACAACCATAACATTGTTTTTGAGTATCTTGACGAGGTTCTGGACAATCATTAGCTTGATGACCTGGGTTTGAACAGTTGTAACATAAACGTTCTTCTTGAGTACAAGCTTCAGCTAAGTGACCAGCTTGACCACAGACATAACAGGTTCTTGGGAAAACAGCAGCCATTTTTGTTATATAGATATATTTAATTCCTTTCTTCTTCAAATTAAAGTGACTATAAAAAAGTGTCAATTATATATAAATCAAAATCTCGCCTGTTATAAAAACTTTTCCTGATCTTTTTTTCCTATAAAAGCTGTACATCATAGTAAAAGAAAAAAAACTCCGAGAAAATTTACCCGGTGCGATGAGCCGATGGGAAAATGTTGCGCTGACCAAACGTATAAGTAAAATTATCAAATTACATCATTTTTAACAATAGGAATTTGATTCAAATTTATGCTATGAAAATGCTGTGTATTATTATTATTATAGGATATCAAGCTCTGAATCATCTTCAATTTCATCTTCTTTTTCAGATTCACTGAGGATCTCTTCAACATCATTTCGATTTCCTTGAGAATTTGTTGGTTTAGTTGATGGTGCAACAGGAACAGGATCTGTTATATATTTACCATAATCCACAGTTTCTTCAAGTATGTCTAATGCTTCACCCGCTGATATTTTCAAATCCTTAGCAGCCATTCTTACAGCAACTTCACATGATAAGACATAAAGAACAAATGAATCTAATGACCAAAATTTCATTGTCTTATTAATCAATTGAGCTTTTTCAAGATCTTTTTGATAATGTTGTTTAATTATTGATGCAATTATAGCTTGTCTTTTAACACCATAGAATCCAATAGTAAAATGAGAAATTGGAAGTCTAAGAAATTCTGATGATGATAAATGTGTACTTGGTGATTCTTTAGCAATATCTGATGCTTCTGCATAATATGGTGAATCTAGTTTACCAGAAAGTATCTTGGGGACGCATGATAAATGAGGTGTTGCTTTTGCAATAAAATCATCTTCATCCCAAACAATTGGAAATGATTTATTTTCATATTTAGATTCAATAATTTTTCTTTGTTTTTTGAAATTTTTAGCTTCATTAAATTCTTCAAAATTGTTAACTAATCCAGTATCAAATGACTCATCAATATCTATATTAATATAACTTTTATTTTTATCTTCTAATTCTGGTGTATCACGTTTAGTAATTTTAGATTTTTGTAAGGTTTCTAAGAAATCATCATTTTTAGCTTTGGTATTGGCTAATAGTTTACTGATTTTACTCTCACCAGTTAATTTAGATTCTTCCTCTGTAAATTCAACTTCAGGTTCTTTTACAGGTTCTTCTTTGTCTGAATTTTTGATCTTTGCAGTTAAAAATGAATCAGGAACTGATGATGGTGGTGCTTTTGTAGCTAATTTTAAAGTTTTATTACTTCCTCCCATAAGTTTCTTCTCTTCTTCTGTAAGATTGTCCAACAAATCTATATCTTTTGCTGAACTATTATCATTCTTGGACTTTTTATTATTTGATTTCTCTTTTGATTTATTATAGTTTTCACCTCTTGATGCATCGAATGCTGGATCTATCCGTCCAGGGTTTGGATTTGAAACTCTCTTTATTATTTTACTAAATGTAGGTCTGACGTCTGAAAGTAAATTTGCTTTATGAGGGCCCAAATCAGGAGCAGTCTTATATTTCCCAAATTTTGCAGCTTTACTAAACATTGAAGGTTTCTTCTGTTTCTTTACGGGGCTTTTTAAATCAAACTCTTCTTGTGATATATTTTCAAGATCATCTTCTTCATTTGAAGATCTCGATTGTTTTTCAGGTGTTACTTCACGATCAGAACTTGGATCACTAACAGTAATTGGCTTCCCCTTGTAATCATGTTTCCTACTACCAAGTGATTGATAGCTCCCTTGTCCTATACGTGGTGGAGGTGGCAGTCTTCTAATTGAACTAGTCAATCTAGGTTGTGTTTGAGATCCACTTGATTTCTGACCTCTTCTTGAAAAAGCATTGGACATTTTAACTTGTTTCTTTCACTAATATGATTCTCTAGATAAGATACACGTAACCAGCTTGAAACCAATCTTTAAAACGCGTGTTAAACCACTTCAATTCCAATTTTTCTTTAAATGGTTTGGTCAAATCTGTATACAAAATTGTTTTGATTTTTCAAAATTAATGAATTTCCTGCGCCAACCGATGGGTCTTTTCGATTTCAATCAAAGTGAAGGCCAAAACAAAGGATTCTACTATGAAAGAGAACAAATTATTTCAAAGGATTTAAGCAAAGGTTCTTCTTTGATTTCAGAAGGTATTATTTCAAGATGACTGTGCAGTACTTCAGAGATCTTGTGACAGTGACACTCCCAGACAACGCCAATGCTTCAAGAACATCTCGTTATAGACCAAATGAAGTCATAACATTACAATGGAACAATCCAGCTTCAAGAATAGCATATAGTAGAACTGATGGGACACTTAGAATATGGAAATTGAACAATTGTGAATTGGTAAATCTTCCTCCAGTGGTGATTGATGATTGTCATGCTAAACAAGTGGAATCTATATCATGGAATCCAGCTTCAGAAACAGATTTAGCTACTGTTGGTAATGATGAAAAAGTTAAGATATGGAATACTCAAAGAGGTGCTTTGATCAAGGAGATGGATGTTGGTGTTAATGGTAATATATTGGTTCAATATTCTGGAGATGCTAAATATATTGTCTCTATAAGTAAACAAAATGTTATAAATATCATTGATTCCAAGAGTTATAACATTGTGGAAACTATCAAAATTGAAAAAAATGTTTATTCAGTAACATGGAATAATAATTCATCTTTTTTGTTCTTTGGATTATCAGATGGTTCAATTTTATTATACAAATTTGCAAATGACAAGTTAAATCATTTACATACTTTAAAAGGTCATAGATCTATAATTAAATCCTTAAAATTTGAAGCAAGAGGTAATCGTTTAGTCGCTGGTAGTAATGAAGGTTCAGTTACAATCTGGTCAATGGATACAATGGCTGTTACATCTATATACGCAGAGATTGATGAACCAGTAGCACAAGTTGATATATCAAGAGATGGTACTTATCTTTCAATTACATATGAAGATGGTGAACCTGCAAAAATTTTTGAAATTAGTTCACATAATGAATTTCATAAACTACCCAAATGTATTGCTGGTGCTTCAACTTATCCAAATTTATGGTTTTGTCCTATTAAAACATTATTTGCTTATTCAACAAGTGATGGTGAAGTGCTTTTAACAATGAAAGGTTCAGGTCAAGGTGGTAGATCAAGAGATAGATAATTATAAATATAAAAAATATACAGCGCTTTTCTGGTTATACTACTATTTTGTGTAATTACTCATTCATGCCTTTATATATGTATTTTTGGTAGTGTTTTGATGATCTAAGTTCATCAAATGATTTTTCTTTTTTATATACAAGTTTATCCTTCTACTATACATTCATGTTTGCTCCGAATATCAACTTAGATATCAGATAATAAAAATTCAGTAGCATTGAAATAATCTTCTGAAACATAATCTTTCAATTCTTCTTTTGATAACCAAGCAAATTCTAAATTTGAATCTTCTGGTTTGAAAGAACCAGATAAAATATGAGATTTAATAATATATTCTCTTGTTAAATCACTGCTGGAATCATCTGATTTCACAAGTTTATCATTTTGGAATTTTAAAACTGCAGTTACTGTATTTGAAACATTCCATGTATTTATAGCTTCACCTCCTAATTTTCTTAATCCTTCTTCTGCTACTTCATTTAATCCTTTTGATGTATTCTCTATTGAGAATGATGGTAATCTCCAACCTAATTTTGAATCTTTAATTAATAAATATAATGTTCTTGGTAATTTACGTTCAAGACTTGTTATATCATTAATTTCATCCGCTTTAGTGATTCTTGAATTTGGAATAACTGGTCTATTAATTTCATCTAACGAACTACCTTCTTCAGTTTCTTGTCTTGGAATAACAATTTCTTGTTTCAATCTTCTTTCTCTGTTATGAACAACATCTGGTTTACCCTTTTCATAGAAAACACCTGGTTGTTTAGTAACTGGACCTTTTTGTGCTGCAACAAAACGACGTTCTGAAAGTGTACCTTTTCTAAAATAATAATATTGAGGGAAAGTCCACATTAAACGACGTTCTAATTCTTCTTGATAATTATAATAAACTTTTTCAAAAGGTGTTAAATCTGGTGTAACAATTGGATTTCTTGCTAATAATAATGTAGATCTTAAACTTTCTAATGGTATTGTTTCTTTAACTTTTGGAGCTGTCGCTAGACATCTTTTGAATACTATAATCATATTGTTAGTATACAAACTTCACATTAAGACAAGGCATCTTCACTATCTGAATCCATTACTTACTTATTGATCTTGACTGCACCATTTTTAACAAATATATTGGTCTTGAACTAGATACTAAACTAAAAACTTCTAAAACTTATTTACCTTCAATCTTTGAATTTTTCACTTTCAACAAAAAAAAATTGTACATTGAAAGATCAAAATTCGCGAATATTTTTAAAAAAGTGAACTCGCGAATTACTTTCAATTAAATCTTGGGCGTACCGGGTAAAACACCATACAAATTAATAAATAATATCATTTCATTAATTACTACAATCTTGTATAAAATATAAGTATAATACATTTAAAGAAAAACTATATAAAATCAAACATTATTTTGCTACTTTTGCTAGACTAAGAATTCATAATATTAAAAACAATGTTCTTTTTCGTTGATCTATTGTTGACCAGAATTTTTAGCTTGTAAAAAGGCCATCAAGTTTGATAATTGAGCATTAGCATCACCACCGGCAGCTGGTGGTGGTGGGGCTTGTTGAGCTGGTGGACCTTGTGCTGGTGGACCTTGAGTTGGAGCTTGTTGATTAAACAAGTTAGCTAATGGATTAGCTTTATTATTTGAACCTTGCATAAAAGATGGAATTGTAGAATTATTGAAAGGATCAGTATAACTATCATCAGGTTCACCTGGTTTAGTTGATCTTGGACCATTTCTTGAACCATCAGTTGGCATTTTCTTAGAAATAGCTTTTGATGAAACACCTTCACCAATTTCAATATCTGGTTCTTCCATAACTAAACCTGGAACTAATGGTCTTTCCATACCAACACCACCCCATTCAGCTGCATTAACCCAACGTCTATCAGCTTCTGTTAATCTTGCTAATGGAATCATACTAATACCATGTTGATAATCACAACAATCACGTGGACCAAAACCAACACCCCAACGAGTTCTTAATGAATAACGACCATCTTTATTAAATGATGACATGACATTTTCAGCTTCAGCTCTTGAATAAACTTTAACAAAAGCATGTTTACGTTCATTGTTTAAAATAACAGATTGAACTTCAGCAAAAGGTCTCAATACAGAAGCTAATTCCAAATCATCCATATAATTTGGAACACCACCAATAAATAATGTACGACTTAAAACTTTAATTGAACCACCTGGTAAACTTTCATCAAAACTAACATGTTTTTCTCTGTAATGAGCAGTGCCTGGAACATTACGTTCACCAACAACATGACCTGCTGGTGGAAGATCTTTATTAATTCTTGATCTATCTGGTGATCTTGATCTATTACGACCTCTTCTTGAATAATTATTTCTATCACGACTTGAATCAGGACCAGCACCATTATTACTTCTAAAACTTCTAAAAGCTTCTTCTTGTGATAAAGCAGCACCACGGCCACCAACTGGTGGTGATTGTTGTTGGAAAGGAGCTGGAGCTGATTGTTGTGCAGTTGGTGGTTGAGGTAATGGTGGCATTTGACCTGAAGCTTGTAAAGCTGATAACATTTGTAATAAAGCAGCTTGTTGAGCTTGAGGATCTTGAGAAGCTAAACCTGAAGATACATTTGCAGGTGGTTGTGGTTGAGCTGGTGCTTGAACTGGAGGTTGTTGAGTTTGACCTGTTAAAGCAGCTAAATTCTTCAAGATATCATTAGCATTAGCTGGTTGAGCTGGTGCAGCGGCTGGAGCTGGTGCTGGAGTTGGTGTAGCTGAACTTGGAGCTGAACCACCAAAATGTTTAGATTTAATGAATTGTATTTGTCTTTCTTCGAAAGTATTTGATCTTCTCCAAATTTCTAATAATTTACCAACTTTTTCCTTTTGTTCTGGAGTAATAACTTCTAAAACTAATGATAAAGCTTCTGGGATAAATTCATTAAATTTATATAAAGCATCAGCAAATGTACCTTCTCTAGCATTAGCTGAAACAGTTTCACCATTTTTATTGGCTTGTTCTTTATAAGCTCTCGCTATAGAGTCGATGACATATAACCCACCTAATTTATGAGTAGATGGTGCATTTCTTAAGTATTTCTTTGCTTCATCAACAAAATTTGATTCATCCTGGTTAAAAAGGGTTAGTATATACAACTTCTTGAAGGGGAATCACTGTATGAGTGTCTGAGTGTATCTGATCTAAAGATATTTTGCCACTAAAAACAAAAAAGAGCAGAATACTTCGATTTTGACTTTAAGATCAAATCACATTCATGAATCACATTAGACACTTATAGGTTTACCAAATACTTACGTTAACATTATCAACGGCAATTTGAGTCAATTTCTTAATACGTGAACCTGAAATACCTGATTTCATAGATTTTAACCCATCTAAAACTTCTACAAAGTTCTCAACCGACATTTTTGAATTTTGATACAATTTACTCTTGTTATGATTTGAAAGTACACTCTATAGTTACTTGAATTAATAATTAAACCTTTTTTGTTTACGTGTAGATTATGATATATCTTAATTGAATATTACTTTTCAATCTCTCAATTAACAAAATTTACCAAAATACAATTAATACGTGAATACAACTATATTATAACTTTCTTTTCTTGCTTGAATACTAGTCGTAAATGATACTGATTACGATACGTGTAAACTAATTCTGATACTTGAACTTTTCACTTGTTATCTGAATACAATATCTACCAAAAAACGATGAATTTGTTTATATTCTATGAAAAGTGGTTGGTAAAAGAATGTGATTTCATTAATTTGTTGGCATTTTTGTACCTTTTTTTTGGAGGCCAATGAGGTGATTTCGTGAAAACCAGAGGGTAACCATTAATCACGTGGTTTTGGATTATGTAACTGATTATTCATCATATTAAGCTTTGGTACAATACAATTCAATTTTAAAATTAATAAAGTGTTTTATATTACAACCTTCTTCTATACATCTAGTTCTTTATTTTTTCCAAGTATTCGTTATGTAGTTTCTTTTGTGCATCATATTGTTTTTGCAATTTCTTTTTAGCACTCTTGGTAACTTCATTACCTTCTTTATCTTTTGTTGGAATACCAGGTTCATCCCATTCTGAATATTCAGAAGTTTTAAATAAATCATTTGGTGCTGTTTTAGCTTTTTCCATTCTTTCTTTTTCTTGTTGTTCTTTTAATTTTTGTTGAGCTGCCTTTTTAGCTAATTTTTCCTTTTCACGTTGTTCTTTTTCTTCACGTTGTTTAATTAATTCAGTCTTTTCAGATTCTGATAAAAATTTAACTAAAGCTGGTTGACCATCTGTACGATCATCTAATGAAACACCTAGGTTCAATAAACCAACATCACGTAATTCATCACAAGCTTTTAATAATTCAGAATATTGAACCTTGTTTATGGAACCTGAACGAACAGCATCTCTAAATGAAGATAATTCCTTGATATATGGTAATAATAATTCTTCAGTTGAACCTGATGAAGTTCCATCTGCTGAATCTTCATCTTTCCAACCAATATTATCTGATCTTGATGGGAACCCTAAAACATTTATAATTCTAGTGATAAAATAAGCAACTTGTAATAAGGCATCAATTCTTAATTCAGTACCAACATTAACAATATAAGTATTAGAAGTTGAAACTAATTCAGCAAGTGATTTCAAGACTTGTGGTGTAGATAAATTATCACAGAATGCATTATGAACATCATCTTGTGTTTTTTCTAAACTTTCAAATAATTTTGTTTCTAAAGGTCCAGTTTTGATGGAAATAATGGCATTTGAATCAAGACGGCTCTTATAATCATTATTTAAAGCTCTAACATTTTTAAAGAATTTATTTAAAGTATTTTCAAAACCTTTAACTTCTTGAATCAAAGCAACTTTAAAATCTAATTGATTATTCCATTGTGATGAAGCAAATGCTAATCTTAATTGACGTGGTGTATATTGTTCTAAAGCTTCTTGAATTGTGATGAAATTTTTCAAACTTTTACTCATTTTTTGTCCTTCAATGTGTAAATGACCTGTATGTAAGAAATAATTGACCCATTGTTCATGATCATAACAAGCTTCAGATTGAGCAATTTCATTATCATGATGTGGGAAGGCTAAATCGATACCACCTGAATGAATATCCATTTCTTTACCCAAGACAGCTGTAGCCATAACTGAACATTCAATGTGCCATCCTGGACGACCTTTACCCCATGGTGATTCCCATTCAGGTTCACCTGGTTTTGATGATTTCCAAAGTGCGAAATCATTTGTAGATCTTTTACCTGAACCAGTTGATAATGAACCTTCACCATCAGCAATCAAATCAGCTTGACCTCTATTCCATGGTTGTAATTTAGCATAATCATGATTTTCTGATTTATCAAATCTAACAGTATCAAAATAAACTGAACCATCATCAGTGGCATAAGCATAACCATTTGAAATGATCTTCTCCACAAATTCAATAATTTCTGGGACATATTCTGAGACTCTAGTGACAATAGTTGGTGGTAAAACATTTAAAGCAACCATATCTTCATTATATTTCTTTTCCCAAAATGCTGGAGTAGCTTTAAAGATTTCTGGATCATTTATAGTATGACCTAATTCTTCATCCAAAACTGGTACAAGAACATCTTTAATATTTTCGAAAAATTCATCTTTTGGAATTGTTTTATAATTTTGGATAGCTGATAATGCAGTTTTGGCTGATTTCAAATGCATTGGGAATTTTGGTTCTTGAACTTGCTTTTCAGTAACATTAACTGATTCTGACCAAGTAATAAAGTCCGATTCTGAACTTGGAGCTTCTGATAAGTTTTTAGTAATGAATTTACTCCATGCATCTTTACTCTTACTCAAAACTGATTCATTAACAGTTGATTCACCAGAGTATTGCTTTTTGAATTCATCAAACAAATAGTTGACTCTAGCTCTAATGATGATTTTGTCATCAATATCTGTAACATTTTGAACGAATTTGATATTATACCCAAAATAATCTTGTAAGATTCTTCTATTGATATCGATTGTAACATAGTTTCTAGCATGACCCATATGACTTGAATCATAGACTGTAGGACCACATGAATACCATTTGACATTCTTTCCTTCAATAGGTTGAAATTCAGTTTTTGTTCTTGTTAAAGAGTTGTATAACTTCAAAACTGGTTCACCATTTTCAGTGGCATTTTTCTTGACCGGTGAGTTCCACTTAGGCTGTGTGACTTTAGCTTTATTGACAGTAGACATGTTCCTCAGTAGCAGTGTCTTTACTTTACTTAGTATCATGCAATGGAGTTGACGCTGTTCAAACCTGGATTTGATGTTTATAAGTTTATTACTCACAAAATGTCTCAATATTTTTTTCCACGTATACGTTCGCGAATTTTGTTTTAGTACGGTGATATTTTTTTTATAGAAGGGCGCTTAAAAGTCAATTAGAAGGCGTAATTGTAAGCAAAAGAGAGGAATTTTGAGGGCTGATTTGGTTATAACTTGTTTCAAAATGTGAGTTTTTCGATGGTGGAATCATTTGATTATGGTATTTCTGGTTACTAACATTGATTAAGGTCTGCTATCTACAAAGTAAGTTTACAATGTGAAGGTAAGCGCGTTTAGTATGGTGAAATATTAACAAATTTGGTGAAAAGTTATCAATCCAGGGTGTGAGATCGTTTGATCCAGGGTCACAAGAGACAATTGAGTTTGGAAGACCGTTGACATTGATTGTTGGTCAAAATGGTACTGGTAAGACTGTGAGTATGATATTTATTCTCAAATTGGTTATTTGCTGTATACTAACTAGTGATGTTAGACTATCATTGAATGTCTAAAGTATTCAACAACTGGTGATCTTCCACCAAATAGTAAAGGTGGTGCCTTTTTACATGATCCAAAGATGACAGATGAAAAAGAAGTCAGAGCACAAGTTAAATTAGCATTCACCAATGCTTCTGGTGTATCAATGATATGTACCAGAGCTATGCTTTTGACCGTTAAGAGAACTACTGCTACATTCAAGACATTAGAAGGTCAATTATTAGCTTTACATAGAGGTGAAAGAACCACTATAAGTACTAAATGTGCCGAACTTGATGCTCAAGTGCCAACATATCTTGGTGTCTCTAAAGCTATTTTGGATTATGTTATCTTTTGTCATCAAGATGAAAGTTTATGGCCATTAGCTGAACCATCAGTATTGAAAAAGAGATTTGATGAAATTTTTGAAGCCTTGAAATTTACAAAGGCATTGGATAATATTAAAGTGATACGGAAAGATATGGCTGTTGAAATCAAGTTGCTAGATCAATCGGTCAAGCATTTAAAGACTGATAAAGAACGTGCAGATCGTGTTAAGGAAAAAATCAGTGTTAGTAATAAACAAATTGAAGATTATAGAGAAGAAACTGCACTTCTAGAGGAAGATTTACAACGTATAGCTAAAGAAAGTAATGAACTTTTCAAATCTAATCAAGAATTTCAGAAAGTTTTATCTAAATTAGAAAGTTATAAGCATTCACAAAGATCATTGAATGAACAAATTTCAAGATTGGAAGATTCCACAAGATTACTTCCGGAATCTGATGAAGATATTCAGTACAAACTAGCTAATTTCCAAAGCATGGTTCAAGAAGCACAATCTAAAGTTAATGATTTAAAATATGAAGTTAGTGATAAACAATCAAACTTGAAAACACTGAGACAAGACTATAGTCATATGATCAGAGAGGAAGGTCAATTAAAGGGTAAAGAAGCTGAATATCAAGAAAATTTACAAAGACGTGAAACTTTAGTTAATTCAATTGCATCCAAATTGGGTATAGATTCAAGTTCGGGCGATGTGCAAAGTTTTGAAAGTGAGTTAACTAGCTTGGTTGATAATAGTGAAAGATCATTAGAGTCATTGGTGAAAACTGCTAAAAGGGCAGAAGCTGATCTTTCACAAAAATTGAAATTAGTTTCAGATTCCAAATTGAAAGAACGTCAACATAGAGATTATACATTAAGTGATATAGAAGCTCATGAAAAGGAAATCAAAGCACAAAACAATAAGATCAACGATTTAGATGTTAATGAAGGTGGTCTTGAGTATGAAAAGACCAAATTGGAAGATTTAGAGACAAAACTTAACAAATTGAAAGGTGAAAAAGTTGTTGAAAATTTATTAAAAGATATCAAGACTAAAAATACTGAAATTTCAAATTTAGAAATTGAACTTGAAAATATCGGTAATGAATTATCTCAGAGTCATAAACAAGCTGATGCGCATGCTAAAATTTCTTTATTGAAAGATGAAAAAAGATACAGAGAAAAAGCTCTTGCCAAACTTATTGAAACAAATAATGAGATTTTCCAAAAGGAACAACTAAATATTGAAGATTTAGATAAGAGTTATAGAGCTAAAGTGAACAAGGCAACAGCTGAAGCTAAAAGAGGTGAAATCGACTTGAGTAAGTTACAAGACCAATTTTCCAAACTTGAATCTGAAGCGTCATTCAAGAAGACAACAATTTCCAATTATGAGAAAGAATTAGAATCATCTTTACAAAAATATAATGATGAAGTTGAATTTGGTATCGATGATTATGATGATGAATTGGGTGATGCAGAAAAGCAATATAAACTTGCATTGGAAAACTTAAAGGTTACTAAAACAACATTAGAGTTTAATAAAAAAGCATTAGAAATTGCTGAATCTGATCATTCATGTTTTTTGTGCTCAAGAAAGTTTGATGATAAGCCAGGGCTGACCAACTTTCTAAAAGCTTTAAAAGAGAAAACTAATGGTGATGCTGAAAAATCTTTCCAAGAAGATGTAGTGGAAACCAAAGAATATTTGGATAGTTTGAGGTCGTTGTCACAAATAGTTGATAGAGTCAAGACGCTGAAGGATAAGGTTAAAACTCTTGAATCTGAAGTTGCAAAATCTGAACCAGGATATAAGAAAGTTGAATCTGAGTTTACTACACAAAAGGCTAAAGCAGATGAAGCTAAACATAAACTAGAAAGTCTTAACGACATTAAAAATGCAGTTAGTGAAATCACCAGAATGAAGCATGACTTATCAAATGTTTCATCTCAATTATCTGATAAAGAGAAAGAATTAAATGATTATGGATATTCTGCTAAAAGCTTAGATGAATTACAAAAAGAACAAAAGGAGAAGCATACAACTTTGAAAATTTTAAGAACTGAAGTTAATACCCTTCTTGAAGAGAAAGACTCTAAACAACGTGAAGTTTCCATCTTAGAAGGTAATGTTAAGGATAAAAGATTAGCAATTAGTATTATTGAAAGAGGTCTTGTGGAAAAGGAAAATTTGTTGAAATCTATTGAAGAGTATAAAAATAAGATTGTTAAATTACAAGAACAAGCTGCTAAATCTAATGGTATTCTTGAAGAATTAGAAGAGCAGGTTAATCAAGCATCTTCTGAACTCTCTGCAAAACAAAGAGAAAATGAAGTTTCCATCAAAAACCAACAAAATGAAGTTAGTAAATTCAAAGATCACCAAAAGGAATTTTCGAATTTGAATGGATCCATTACATATTATGTAGATGTTGACTCCAAGAAGTTGGCTAAATGTCAAGAAGAAGTTTCATTAATCAGTACTCTGATTGCAGAACATGAAGAAGAAATTGAATCAACTTTAGCTCGTGTATCAGATGAAGAGAAAAAATTAGCGGATACAAGTAGTGAAGAAAGAAACTTGAAGAATAATTTGGATATAAGACATATGCAAAAGCAATTAGATAATATTGAACATGATATTGAGAGTCTTGATGCACAAAATGCTGAAAGTGAAAGAGATCGTTATGAAGAACGTTCAGCAGTTCTTAGAGAACAATATTCCAAGATGAATGCAGATTTAGCTGGTAAAATGGGTGAAGTTAAACAAATTGAAGATCAAGTTAAACAATTTGAAAAAGAATTGAGAACTGAATTTAAACAAGTTGAACAAGCATATCAAGAAGAATGGGTTAAACTACAAACCAAGACTTTAGTATCAAATGATTTGAATACATATTCAAAAGCTCTTGATTCTGCAATTATGCAATACCATAGTATTAAGATGAAGGAAATCAATAGAACAATTGATGAATTATGGAAAGGTACATATAGTGGTACAGATGTTGATACAATCATGATTAAAAGTGATCAAAACACTGCAAGTAAAGGTAATAGAACTTATAACTATCGTGTTGTTATGGTGAAACAAGATGCTGAATTAGATATGAGAGGTAGATGTTCAGCAGGTCAAAAAGTGTTAGCATCAATTATTATTAGATTAGCATTAGCTGAATGTTTTGGTACAAATTGTGGTGTTATTGCCCTTGATGAACCTACAACTAACCTTGATGCTGAAAATATTGAATCATTAGCAAGATCATTAGGTAATATTATTGAAATGAGACAAAGTCAAAAAAATTTTCAATTAATTGTTATTACTCATGATGAGAAATTCTTAACTTATATGAATGCTGCTAAATATACTGATCATTTTTACAAAGTTAGAAGAAATGAAGCTCAAAAATCTCAAATTGATTGGGTTAATATTAGTCGTGTATCAGAATGAATTGTTGACTACATCTATAACTATTTGCATTAATACATACAATTATTTATTATTAATTCTCACTCTAATGCCTTTGATACCCAATTTCTATAATCTCTCTGTCTTTCAGCCATATCTTTCATAACTCTATACTTAACTTCCAAAAGTTTTACAAGTTTTGGATCACTAACTTCAGGTTCATATACAACACCATCTTCATTCAAATTAGAAATTATTTCTAACAATGATTTTCTTTGAAATGCAGCTATACCTAAATAAGCAGCACCTTTAACCCCAGAATATCCTGGTTGGGTCTTACTAACTTCAACAGGGAGACCAGTAACCATAGCTAATAATTTCACAAATCTTAAGTTTTTAGCTTGGCTCCCCGAAATGATTACTTTTCCGATATCATGTCCTTTTAAAGATTCCAAAACTTGTTTAGTTTGAAAAGCTAAAAATTCTAAAATACAAAGATATTTCAAAGTTAAATCATTCAATGAAATATCAGTTGATTCTCCAATGAACACACCTCTCATTGATCCATCTGCATAAGGTGTTCTATTTCCTGATAAATCACCATACAAAAAATTATCTTTATTCTTGAAATGTGCACTTTCTCCAGTAACAGCCTCCAAAATAGTTAAACGATCTTCTAATAATGTAAATGGATCTGATTCAATCTGTTTGAAAGCTGGATGAGTTTCAAATAAATGTTCAATAAGTTTCCCAGTTGTTGATTGACCACCTTCAGAAACTTGTAATTCAGATATTAAAGTATTATAAGGCCCCCAAATACCTGGTGATGGTGATGGATTATTATGTGCAACAAGGAAACAAGTTGAAGTACCTGCAATCATAGTTAATGTATTTTGAATTTTTTTACCACATGATGCTATCCAACCAGCATAACAATCGATTACACCATGTCCTATGGCTAAGTTTTCTTCAGTTATGTATACTAATGAGCCAGCATCAGGTATTGGTAAATATGTTTTGGTGTATGAAGATTCTAATCTTCCAATAGCTTTGAAATTTCCATTTGATAATATATCAAGATCTAATCTCTTCAAGAGGTCTAAATCCCAACCTTTTATTGATCCATCCATTGCAATATGATATCCAGTATCACTTGTCTTTAAATCTTGGGTCCCTGTGGAAATATTTGAAGCTTTGGAAAGTTTGAAAGTAATAAAATCATAAAGTTCAAAGAATACAATATCTTCAAGATCTTGATTTGGGATGTTATCAATTAGCCATTTTATTTTTGGTAACCCCATTTCCTCTATAAATGCACCACCATGATAATTCAGTAGCTTATCTCCTTTAAGAGAATCATTGATGTCTTTTGTTTCCTTTTCAGCTCGACTATCCATCCAAAATACTATATTTTGTTTTGAATCTTTGAACCCATAATCAACAGGATAAGGAACCAGTCCATCTATTGTCCTTTCCATAACTACCATGGAGCAAGTTGCAGCAACCCCAATACTAACTAGTTTGAATTCTTCATCTTTTAATTGATCATTGATTCGATTGATACATCTATCATAGCCCTGGAGAATTTGTTCAGAACTTTGTGTCACAAATTTTGGATTTTCTAAAGATTGGGTATAATCCAAATTCTCACTATCTACAGCCACAATCACACCGTTTGAATCCGTAAAAGCGACTCTTATCGATGACGAACCCACATCAACACCAACATGATAGTACTTCATTGTGATTTAGTGTCTCTGTTTACCACTGTTTTGAATAACTTTGTTATTTTTCGATGACGTACCAGCAATTTCGTGTATAGTGAAATTTTAATGCTCATCGATTAAAGTTTTGGACCGGGAAATGAAAAATCTACACATGCAATTTTTTAAGCTTAAGACGGAACTCTGCACATTTATAAACAACAGGTTCCCGCTGAAATCAAAATCAAAATTAAAACATCAACAACTTCAACAACTTTCGTTTCAAATTGATTGGGAATAAAGCTACAAAAGACACAGATCACTTCTACAGAGAGACACGTTGACAGAGTTCCCATTAGCCACAACGCTAGAAAACAAAGGCGAAGATCCAGACTGAACAATGTCAGAAGGCCGCATCGTTGAGCAGAATATAATCACATCCACAAGTCCAAAGAGTAGCAGTCCATTAAGCCCAGTTTCCAGATATACCAGTGATGAAGACCATCTACAACCGTACACAGGGATCGATCAGACGGTGGAAGATGCTAGTGATATGAGTGAAGATGCCGCTGCGTCATTTATAGGTGGTACATCAGTCACATCAAGGCCAGCAGAGGGTCAACAACCATTAGAAGCCCAGGAAGAACTGTTTGATGACCAAGTAACCACTGGTGATTTAGAAAGTGGTAAATTTAAGAATGAGCACAAGACATTTACTTTCCAATTGCCATTTGGTGGGAAATCATTATCCCTGTTTCCTTCATTCAAAAGTTTAAGACAAGGTTTACCCATCATTGGAACAAATTCTGATGAAGATGAAGATGGAGATTCACAATTCTCTTTAGATGAAATTAAATACAAATTGAAAAAACAACAATCAATCAGTACACTGGAAGAGAGTTATCTATTCAAGAACAAGAAAGGTGCTGATAATACCCGTCTAAGAGCTTTGAAAAAAGCTTTAACACCGAATATAGCTTTAGATCTATTAAGTAATGATGATAGGAGACATACTTTAGATACCATCTGGGATGATATAGATGGTGATGTTGTGGTGATTGGTGGGTATAGAGGTAGTATTCTTAGAGATGCTCGTACACATAAAAGAGTTTGGATTCCTTTGAGAGCTGGTTTCAATATTAGAAAAATTGACCTTAGAATTGGACCAAGAGATAAAGATGAAGATCGTGCACAAAGGAAAATAATACCTGATGGGATGTTAGATCATGTTGGTCCTGTTGATATTTCAAGAAAATTAAAAGCAAAACTTGATAATGGTAAAACAAAAGTTCATGAGTTTGGTTATGATTGGAGATTATCTTCAGATATAAATTCACAAAAATTGATTGATTTCCTTTCAACATTAGACAGTAATAAAGGACCAAATAAGAGAGGTGCTATTGTTATAGCACATTCAATGGGTGGTCTTATAACTCATCATGCAATGCAACAAGATCCTTCTTTATTCCGTGGTGTTGTTTATGCAGGTGTTCCATCTGAATGTCCAAATATTTTAGGTCCAATTCGTTATGGTGATTCCGTTATGTTTAGTTCCAAAATACTTACAGCTGAAGTAAATTTCATGATGAGATCTAGTTTTGTTTTCCTTCCAAGACATGGACGTTGTTTTGTTAATAAAGATACTTATGAGACTTATAACTTGGATTATTTTGATCCTGAAGTATGGAGTGAATATAACTTATCACCATTAGTCTCCAAGGAAAGATTACAAAAACCTGAAAGAAGACAAAGTTTAGAACATGCTACTCATCAAAAACCAACACATTTAATATCATTAGATATGAAAAAATCTTCATCAACTTCAAATCATAAAAAACCAACTGAAGAATTCCATGCCACATATGAAGAATCAATGGATTATTTATCAAGAACTTTAAATAGAACTAAGAAATTCTTGGATGAATTAGATTATGAACCAACAAAAAAATATCCACCATTAGCCATAGTGTATGGTAATGAAGTTCCTACAGTTAGAGGTGTTAGAGTTAGAAACCTACAAGATATAAAAGATGGTGAATATGATGATTTTTATTATGGACCTGGTGATGGTGTTGTTCATCATAAATGGTTGATGCCTGAAAGACGTGGTTTCCCAGTGGAAGCTAAAATTGCAAGTGCCGAAGGTCATATTCAATTATTAACTGATTTACCAGCTATGGGTGCTGCTCTTGGTGCTATATTATGTGCTGAGAATCAACAAAAACATGCTGAAGAACTTTAAACATGTGCCTTTATTTTTAATGACAAACTTTAATGAAATTTGATTTATCTTTTGCATACATTCAGTTATTTTTTTTTCAAAACTTGTATATATAATAGAAAATAAAGAATGAAATAGAACTTATGATAAATATACTGTAGCTTTTGTGTTTTTTTGCACTCATACTTGCTGTCCTTCTTCTTCTTCATCTTCTAGATCAAAATATTTAATCTTCAACCATAAACTACATGCATTACATTGAACAATAATATTATACCCACCGAACCCATCAGGTGTCCCATTTTCAGCTAGATCATCTTCAGTTAAAACAAATCCATTTTCTCCAGTACACCTTGGACAATCTTTCAAGAAATTCCCCATATCATCCTCTTCAACATATTCAAAATCATCCAAGTTTACAATATCAAGACCTTCACCTGTACTTATTAATCCACTTTTTTTATAAGTTTGAATTAACTCATCATCATATTTGGTCCGGAGTTGGGGATCTGATAAAGTGGCATGTGCTAGTTTGATTTTGGCTATTATATCTGAATCTAATTGCTTATTTGTCTTGTCAGGATGTATGTTTAATAATTTCCTTCTATATGCATTTTTCACATCTTGAACTGAACAATCTCTTTCCACTTCCAGTATTTCATAGTGGGTTTTTTGCGTTATGGATGTCATCTTTTTTCCCCACTATACCACACCAAGTATTTCTATCACTATCTATTATCTATGCTTTTTCCTTGCAATATAGTATCAAAATATCAAAGTTCACTATAAAATCAGAATCAATTATACTCACAAATTTCTTAACTATGGAAAAAAATTCGAGTTCCGGTTTTTGATCAATTTTTTGCTGAATTCCGGGGATTTTTGAATTTTTTTTTTATTCAAATTTTTTTAAATTAGGCACATAGTGGTAAATAAAGAGATGAGCATCCATCCATCAATTTCTGATCGAATTAAGTGATAAATTGCATCATGGGTTCAGGAAACAAGAGAAGCAGAGAAGATACCACTGCTGAATTGCGTGTCTCATCTTATACAAAACAACCACAAGTTGCCGTTGGTTCATTCTTTAACGGGTTTACTGCATCTGAAGATACTGAATTTGAATTATATCAAAAAAAACATACTGAAGATGAATTTATTTTCCATGGTGAAAATGAAAGATTGGACTATAGTGGTGCTACTTTAGAAGAAGATAGTAGTGGATATGCAGTTGCTGTTTATGATCCAGTAAGCAAATCTGTTGATTTATACCAAGCACCAGTCTTATTAGGTTCAGTTTCATCAAAAGCTCATAGAAAATTAAAAGGTCCTGCTGTTAAACAAAACAACGTTCGTATGAATATCCAACGTAATGCATTAGGTGAAGCTTTCGGTACGAAAAAGGCTAAGAAAGCTATTTCTGATCTTGAAAGAAATCGTATTGATTCTGATAAACTAGCTGATGTTGAAGCTGATATTGTTGATACAGTTAAAGCTAGTACAACTTCATTACCAACTAGAGATCAACTTACTGAAACTGTCTTGAATGATAGGCCAACACCAGCATGTGATGTTGATGCTACAAATGTTGAAGACATTTATCCAGTTTATAATATAATACCGAAAAGAGAACTCACATTCATTCGTGTTGGTTCTATACTTAACGAAGAAGATATCAAAAAGAAAGTTGAATTATTACCATATCAAAACTCACCTTACATTACAAGTCAACTTTCATCTATTAATAATGAAAGTCAAACACAAAAATTACAATTAATCTATTATGCATCATTATTAATTGGTGTTTATCAAAACAGACGTATATCTAATAAGGAAAATTTAAGTACAGCATTAAATACACCACCAGATTTATTGATTGATGGTATTTTGGAAAGATTTACCATTTTAAGACCAGGTCAATTTGGTCGTTCAAAAGATCGTGGTTATACTATTGATCCACATCATGAAGATAAATTATTATGTTACTTATTAGCAACGATCTTACATATCAACAATTTCATTGTGGAGATCAGTCCATTAGCTCAAGAATTATCATTAAAACCATCAAGATTAGTTGGTCTTTTCAAAGCTCTTGGTTGTATTGTTAAATCTGCTACTGTTGCTGAAGCTGAAGCTTTTGGTATTCCAAAATCAATTGCAGCTTCTTACAAAATTGCTTCATTAAAAGTTCCATTCAAATTACCACAAATGACTAGAAGAGGTAGAAAAACTTAGATATACAGTTAGTCAGTCAAATAAAAAAATAAACTTGTATATTAATGATAAATCATTTAAGATGAAAGCCATCATGTAAGACGTTTTTGAGAATTTTCACGAACATCTAACCTATTCTCTAGCTCCAAGAGGTCTTCAATATTGTACCTAGTCTATGTCTAGTTTGATGACCCACTATTCAAACCACTTTGACTCTGATAACCTCAAGTCTTTGTGCATGTTCCACTGCATTTTTCAACTCTGGATAGGCGTGCTGAAGTATGAATAACTGCCTTTGTGTTTTTTTAATACTTTTTTTCTCAATTAACTCAAAAAAGACACTAACTTTTGAAGGGTTCATGTTATTATTCCGTATGGTTTTGTAATGTTTCAAGATATTCCATGAGGTTTGTGTGCTTAAATTAACTTTGATTGTAATCTTTGATGGTGTGTATTGGGTTCTTCCATTGTTTTCAATTTTCCTGAAAGCACGTAAATGATGTGCTTCTGTAAGTGTTAAATCTTCTAACTTCTTTGTAACTTGTATATTTCTAAACTTTATCATATACCTTCCGTGGTTAAACCAACCAGTGAATGAGATTGACTTGGCTTTTGGTAATTTTAGTCCATCAACTGACAAAAAACGGTTTGAATGAAGCTTGAAGCTTTCTAGCTTCCCAAAGTAATAATTCTCTATAAACTCAATTGGGCAACCCATATCCTTCATTAGTTCCAGTGTTTCAAGTTTTGGAAAATAACAATCAACTAGTCTGAACTTTACTGTTTTATCAACTGGTACTAATTTGAGAAATTTTAACTTGGTTAAGTGTAACTTATTCAATACACATGGCTCTATGGTTACGCTTTGGACAATTAGTCGGAATTGTGTTAGGCTAGCTTCAATAGATAATGATTCCAGTGAAGTACATTTTATGATTTGATCAAAAAAGAAATTTGGTGAAGTATCACATCTGATTGACAGCTTTTTAAGCTGATGGAATGGTAAGTTTGACCCAAAGATTTTAGGTGCATAATCACCAACGATTTGTTATGTTGTTAAAGAATCTGATGATATTTTGGTACCTAAATCAAAAAAATTTGATTCATTTGACCGCCATTCAATACCACCTCTCTGGTCATTCGTTGATGCAAACATAAGCTGTATTAATAGTTTTTTAGTTCCCCATAGCTTTGTGTCTTTCCAATATATGGACATTAATTGCTTCATTATGGGGGATGAATAATCAAAACTTTCAGCAAGGATATCAGAAACGCCAGGGACTGTAATTGTCAAAGTTTCTTCTCTGTTAATGATTACAGAATGATAAATGCTTTTCTCTGATAGCTTCTTTGCCGTTTCTATAGCCATACCTATACCACCAGCAAATGCAACAGCACTTATAATAAAAAACTTATCAGTATTCAAAATGTCAGGAAGACGAAATACACCAAGAGCGTATACTTCATTGAACTCTGCTATACTTTTAATTCCGGGCATTTTAGAGAGTACGTCTTCAAATCGAAACTTCTCTCGACTGTAAAGATGTGTAAATGTTATTGAATTATCAATTGCTTCTCTTAAAGCAGGAAATTATAAAGAGAAAGGTATGTGTCAACACAACGCACCTGTTTCATTATGAGGATCAATATCTCTATTGGTAAATCTGATAACTTCGTTTTGTCAATCTTTCTGATAGCAGCCTTTCTGATATACTAGCACTTTAGGACACAAATTAATAACAGCTTGGTATTAATAAGATCACAATTTATATATTACTGATATATTCTTAGGCTCCTGATTATAGCTCTCATTATCTAAATTTTGTTACGGGCAAAATGGCGATAAAGTATGGGGAAACAGAAATTTACTACACCGCAATTTGATTTTGAGAAAATATTGAATTCAATTTAAACTAAACAACTATAAAATCAAATTTACATTTATACGCAAGCTACTGTTGGGTTTTACCATTTGGCCAGACTTTTGTTGGTGCTAGGACTTCCAAAACTACCGGAGACTCTTTAGAGTTTCTTCTGTCTTTGTTATCTCTTCTCTTATGTCTTTCGGTTGGTTTCTGCTCCCCATCCTGAGACTCAGACATTTTCTTGATATTCACCTTGACAGGTCCTTCATCATCAGCTTTTACTTTCTGTTCTGCTCTAGTCTTGTTATGTGGTCTATTTGCCTTAGGTTTTTTGTCTTTATAGCCTTTATTGTCTCTATTGTCTTTATTGTCTTTATTGTCTTTATTGTCAGCTTTATTGTCTTTATTGTCTTTCTTGATATTTTCTTTAGATGAGTTGTGTTTCAAGTTTACCTTTTCATTCTTGATATTCTCTCTAGATGAGATGTCCCTCAAGATTACCTTGTCTTTCTTATCATTCTCTTTAGATGTGCTGTCTCTAAAGTTCTTTTTGGCTTTCTTATCCACTTTTGAGGATCTATTACCACCTTCTTTTTCAAATCTTTTCTTGTCGGTCTTTCCTCCGTTCTTAATTCTTGAAAAGTGATCCTTCCTTTGTCTTTTATCCATTAACTTTGATAGATTCTCTTTTGGCCTGTCTTCAAGATGTCTTTCTCTCTTTGGCTCTGATTTAATTCTTTGAAATTTAACTTCACAAATCTTGGAAGTCCCATTAACACCAGTTTTTCTATACGACTTTGGTGACTGTCTACCAATCTCAATATCAGAAACCATAAGTTCAAGCTCTCTATCAATGTAACCACCACCTTGTTTCTCTTCCAACTTTATTGAGACATTTGGTTCCGCACCCCTAGTTAAACTCAGTAAGGCTCTAATATTATGGACCAAGCTCCATTTCTTATCATCCAAATTGGCTTTGAGCTTAATATTTGGAGGTACAAATTTTCTTGATCCTTCGATTAGCTTCATACCACAAAGGCTACTAGCATTAGAAAATGTAACTGATTTCAAATTTGGTGACACTAAAATGTTCTTTACTGAATCTTTCAACTGGAAGTTCTGAACTTTTGATTTGATTGAAATCTTTTCAGCTTGTGGAAGTACCAAATTTTCAATTAGTATGTCCTTATAAGTGTTGAGTTTGAACTTTTTCACATCAGCAAATGTACAATTTATCAAACTTTGAACTTTATCTTGTAATCTTTCACCTAATTCGGGAAGTTTACAATCCTTGAATGACAATTTTTCTTTCAAGGAGGTATTGACAATGAAAGTTTCCAGTTTGCTTAGATCTAAAGACTCGAATTCGAGTACCGGGACGTTTTCTGATCTTGATTTATCTATGTGTGTTAAATATTCTGGCCTTGTATCAATAGAAAGATACACCAGCCCCGGGGGAATTTGAAAACTGTTCAAATAAAAGCTATTCCTAGTACATTTGAATGTTAGCGTTTTCAAATTATGGAAATCCAAACCTGCTCCTAAAACTCTATAAGCAAAGCCAGAATCAATGTTTAAATTGTGAAGCTCTTTTGATCTCAAAATAGCACCCATATTTCTAGTTTCAGTATTCACTTTCCTGACATGATGATCCTCATTAAAATTTATTTCACTACCTTCAATATTTAAAGACACCATTCCACGGAATGTCACTTCATGTAAGTATAAAGGTATTGAATTCCCAAAAGCAACGGTGTCTATGTTTAACTGACAATAGTCACGGGTTTCTATCATAAGACCATGGGCTACTTTATAAACTTCTGATAAAAGCAAACATAATTCCAAGTTTATCTCTTTCAAAGAACATCTACCACCAACTAATACAATATACTTGTCTAAATTACTTCCTTGTAAAATCTCTCCCAATGGAAATGGATTATTTATTTGAAATCTAGTAACTTCAGATAGCTCACTCAGCTCTTCATCAAGACGACTGTAATTAACATTCACATCACGTATAATTAAGATTGAATTGATAACACACCAACGAAGCTCTGGTACTTGATAAAGCGACTCATAAGTATCAACTGAACGAACTCTTTTAACAATTTCAAGCAGCACCTCATCTGGTAACTTTGTTCCTTTCATTGTTACTCAATGGATAAACTTCCTGGTATCGAAAACCAACATTACATGGTTAACATTTTTAAAATAGTCACAAAAAGGGGCTCACTAGTTTATATAAACTTTTTTGATAAAGGTTTGTTACAATTAAAGTTTGAAATATTGATCTTTTTAGGAGACGTGCTTATATAAGAGCTATTTTTCGCGCGGTCTAGCCTAGACATAAACAAAATTTGTATGGGAGAAGAAATCTATACTAAAACATTCAATTCAAAAACAGTATAATTCGATAACAATGAGTGAAAAATCAAGTTTGTAAGTGGCTTTATATTCTACTGGTGGTCTCAATCTACTAACTATTTTCAGAAAAACAGTTGAAAATGCCTTAATTGGATTAGCTGAAGTGGAAGAAGAAATGGAAAGGGCTGAAAAAGCTGCTGGTGAGTATCAAAGACATGATATTTCATTTGAAGACCCACAAATTGCTAACAACTGCTTCAGAAATCGCTCGTTTGAAAAGTGTTCAAAGCATATACTCAAAAAGACGTTCATTCACACGTAACATTGACAAATTTTGGAATATTGTATTATCACAACATCCGGAGTTCTCAGAGTACATTAGATCTTCAGATTTCAAATTCTTAGAACTAATTAAAGATATATACGTCTCTTGGGATGTTGCTAGTACATCAGCTTCAGAAGATTCAACACCAGGTGATTTCTCAATAACTTTTGAGTTCGAAGGGTTAGATGATGATTTCCCAGAACAAACTATAGTGAAAAAATTCAAACTAGAAACTTTTGATCCTGAAGACTTACCAAAATCTAAATCTAAGAAAAGAGATATTGATAATAGTGATGATGAAGCTGATGCTGATGAAACTGAAAGACTAGTTTCTGAAAGTATTGATATAATATGGCCAAAGTCTTATGATTCTATAAATCCATCAAAAATTCAAGATAAAAAATCAGATGCAGGTAAAAAGAATTATAGAGCTGGTATGAAGAGTTTCTTTGGCTGGTTCAAATGGACTGGTCGTAAACCTGGTAAAGAATTTCCAAGTGGTGATGATTTTGCAAGACTATTTTCAGAAGAAATCTTCCCATATGCTGTTAAATACTATACTGAAGCTCAAAGAGATGGGTTAGAAGAAGAAGAAGATTCTGATGCTAGTGAGCCATTAGATTTGAGTGATGAAGAGGGTGATAGCAGAGGTACTAAAAGAAAACACGAAGAAGATGACGAATAATGAAACCTACATAGAATAAACTCAAATTTAAATCAAATTATCATATTAAAAAATTATATTATGTACATAAGGAATGTTTTATATGTTCATCGACAACACATTTTAAACTCTATCATCTTCAGCTTCGGTTAAATCACCTTCATCTAGTATATCATCTTCGATATCTGTTTGATCTCCACTATTTTCTGGAAGGTCTGTGTATCTAATATCCGGAACATTTTCATTACTCTCTAACGAAACAGATTTTCTTAATACCTTCGAAGAGATCCAATCAAATATAGTTCCAGTAGTTTCTTTTGTGATAGAGACCGCTCTGACAATAACAAATCCAGTTATTGAAGAGATTTTGCTGAAAATACTGGTATTATCAAATTGGACATCTTCATCACCTAATTTAATTTGACCATATTTACCAACATATTTGTAGTAAATAAAGTAAACGAAAGTAGCAGCTGTTAAAATTGGAATTATAATGACCAAAGCCAATGATAAACCTGTTAATCCCTTATGTCTAGCTTTGAATTCAGCTTCTTTACCAGCACATGGTTTAGCTTCAACTTTATCAAACTCTTGGCCACCTTCACAAGTTGTTAATGGAATACGTCTATAACCAGTAGCTAACCAGTATTCCTCAACACCTGGTTTCTTACAAACATCTGAATGATCTGGTGGTGTATATCCTGAAATCAATTTACATTCACCATTTGAGTCTTTTTCATAATTCCAATCACATTCAAAATCTTTTCTATTACATGGACAATTATTGATAACTTCGTACGGTTTACTCAATTTTTCACCAATGTAACAATCTCTTCCTGGGATTTTTTTGTAATAATGAGCTTCATGACCGAATAAACAATTATCTGGATGATGGGGATGTTTTGGTGTCCATAAATCAAAATCATCAGTATCTGGATTTGCCAAATCTAAATTACATTTTCTCTTTAACAACTGTGAGAAGTCAATTTGGTAAACTGTTGATTTGTCACCCTTATTTGAGGGTAGTTTTGTGAATAACAAGAATTTTCTTGAATCATCAGATGGAACAGTTGAAATATCGTTGACTTTAACTAAAGATTCTGTAAATTGATAATCAGACCATGTTTGACCTTCATCTAAAGAGTATGAAATAACGTTAGTTGAATCTTGAGCATTCACCAAAACAATAATTGAACCTTGGTCACCATATTCCCATTGATAAACACCTTTTTTAATTTCCTTCCAAGTAACACCACCATCTCTAGTCAAGAAAGTAGAGCCATCAAAATAAGCGTCTAATTTATTCCCAACATTACCAACACCAATCATCATACCAATAGCAGACCCGGATGAAAACGTATCTCTTGGATCATCTCTTTCTGTATAACCATGTAAATGTAATGAGCATTCATCTAATGATTTGCCCTTACAAGAATATTTCTTACCCTCTGAATCAGTACTTGGTGGTTGTAAATAATCCCAATCAGCACCATCGTTGTGGGTAATCATAGATTTTAATGTCTTTTTAGAACCTCTTCTTGCTTCGTTAACATTTGAAACTGTGTTCATGACAGAAACACCTTCAAGATCATTTAATCTTTCAAAATCAACAAAGCCATTTGCATCTCTGTTTACATTTGGAGCTGTGATAACGTAATAAGTACCATTTGAATTTGATTTCAAAATTGTCCCAAACTCACTTCCTGCTCTATCATTTGTTGTAACATGTAAAAACACAGCATGAGATGAAGCGGACAAAACAGTATAAGCCTGGTTTTTGTTAACTTTGAAATTATCTGGGAATAAAGCATCTGTCCAGTCTTTACCATTAACGGAAACATGAGCTATTAATGATCCATCCTTTTCAGCAGTTGCGGCGACTAAATAATCATCAGCTTGAGCAAATCCAACAACATCATCTAACGGCATATGAGTGTTTTCGAAGAAATCTTCTGTAACTAATAATTCAGATCCGAAAATTGTATTTTCATTTTCTTCCCTTTCACAGATGATTAATTGATCATTTGTTGGTTCTAGAAGATGACCAATGAATTTACACGTTTGAACATTATCTTGTAATTTAGCAAATCTTTTACCATATGATTTGGTGTAATAAGTGACTGTTTTACAGGCACCTTGGTGTTGCATACTTTCACAGCCTAATTGACCAATATAGATAAACCAGTTACTGTGTTTTGGGTGGAATTGTAATGGTTGAACACCTGGAATAAAATTTGCTGGTGTTCTGAAAAATTTCCAATTATCAGCTCTATCAGTTGAATAAATGATCTTTTGATTTGTTGATAATAAGTAAACATGGTTTGTATTGTATGGATTAACAATTAAATCTAACATTTCTTCCTCTGGTGCAATTTGTTCCCATGATGAACCTTGATCATGTGTAACATAAGCTTTGTTATGAGAAGTCAATAAAACGATAGTTTCATCTTTCAAGTTTGAACCTTCAACTCTATCTAAATAAGCATATTTGGTAATGGAACCATCAAACACAAATGTAGAAGTTCTAACTCTACCATCATTTTTTCCATCTTTTGATCTTTCTTTATCACCTTCACTTTCATCAGGATTTGTATCTGGGGCAGTTTCATCTGGGGTATCATCTTCATCATAATCAATCAATGAGTTATCATTGCTGGAATCGGTTTCTTTTGAGAAATTTGGACATGTTTTTTCAACTTTGACATTTAAGTTAACACCATTTAAGACTGAACAAACCGATCCTGGTCTAATTGTATAAGCAGAAGGCTCAAAATATGTTTGAGCATTATCCACACATTCTTTCTTTTGAACCGCATCTGGGGTCAAGCTTGTAACGGCTGGAACACATTTTCCTGAAGCATCTCTTTTGAAGTTGTAAGAACAAACATAATCTGCTTCGGTACATGGACAACTATCTTCAACAGCAACAGGTTCTTTATATTCATCACCGACAAAACAGTTGGCATCTGAAATTCTTCTTTTGAATCTTTGTTTATGTCCCATGAAACACATTGGTTGATTTGATTGTTCATCTTTGACAAACCAATCATCAAAATCAGAATCACCACATTTTCTATCATATAAGTTGTTGAAATTCAAGCCATATGCCTTGTATTGACCATTAGAAGTGAAACCCCCTAATAAAAACTTAAAAGTTGTAGAGTCAGGAGTACTGGTTAGTAAAGTAGCTTTAATAGTTGAGTCTAATGAAGCTTGTTGCCAACTTCTACCTTGATTTGTTGTGAACTTTAAAGCGTTGGTATCAGCATTATCTTCAATAGCTAAAATAACGGAACCTTGATCACCAAACTCAAATAAATGAGGACCATTCAAAGTTTTGGACCATGTTAAGCCAGCATCTCTTGAAATAAAAGTATCACAGTTATCATAAGCGTCTAATGTAGATCCAGTGTTACCAACACCGAGTAATAAACCAGGAACAGGTGAAGAATAATATTTCCCTGGTGAATCTGGATATTTAATTGCTCTTTGAACAATAGAGTGCAAGTTCAATTGTTGACCATCAGCTTGTAAATCCATCCATGTATTACCTTGGTTGAATGAAATCTTGGATTTTAAAGATTTTGCTTTTCCTTCTGACGCAACGACATCTTTCCCGTTAGCAACAACATTTGCAAGAACAACACCATCAATACTTTCAACAGCTTCATAATCGATATTTCCATTGGAATCTCGATTGGTATAATCTAAGGATTTCACAAAATATGAACCATTTAATCCAATAGAATTGAATAATTGACCAACTTCAGGATTATTTGGGTATTCAACATCAACAAATAATGAATTACTTGTAGATTCAACAATAGAGAAACTACTTGATAACTCTGATCCAGTTGGGAAGTCAACTTTATCCCAATCAAATCCATTATATGAAACATAGACACTAGAAGTTGTTCTATCACTCAAGTGTGATCCAACTGCAATCAAATAATGAGATCCTGCACCAAGTTTAGAAATGTCGGTGATCAATCCAGCTTTATGAGTAACGTATGACTTGGTACCAAAGTAATCAGATGATCTTGATAAGACTAATGAAGCATCTGAACCACCGTCAACGATACATGTAACCAAATTTTCATTTTGATATTTACCTAAATCAGGAGTAGCAGCCGAATAGACACATGAATGAGCTTTTGTTAATTTTTCTAACCCATCAAAATTATTCTTTGTGTAATAATATTGTCTTTCACATGGAACACCAGCACCATCATTTGCAGTTAAACAACGACCAGCAAAAATTGCAAATCCTGAACTGTGGCCATGGAAACTCAAAGGATAATGTTTATTAGTCAAAGTTGGGATTGATTCTAAAGCTGGAGGTTCAGGAGTTGTGAATTTTTTCCATACCTTACCTGAAGAAACAGTTCTAAAATGAGTCAAATCATCAGACATAGCATAAGCATAATCTTTATCATAAGGATGTTGTATTAAATATTTTATCTTGACACCTTCAGTATCTATTTGATTGAAATGTTCACCACCATCTCTAGAGAAGAATAAATCACCAGAACCGCTGTCAAGAAACACGATATTCTAGATTCCATTTGTTAGTATTGACCTCATGATGAAATGTTCGATCTAATAATGTACTTACTGAACTGTCTTCGAAATAAATCAACTCTGGAGCACCTGAAAATGTATAAGAGCTGATTTTTGGGCTGAATAAAGCATTTGTGAAGCTGAAAAACAACAGCGTCGTTATAACGAACTTTTTGAAGTGTATCATTTTGGGAGAATTTTATCAACACCAAAAATTATCAACACTTTCCAATATGAAGATTCTTCTTTGAACGTTTTTAACAAAAGTAATATATATGAGTTGAAGTTTTACAAATCACAAGATAATTTTCCCATCATCATCACATTCACCATTTTACGAGCTGGCTACTTAAGTTTAGTGCCAAACGATATGGCCCTGGGGTTTAATTCTATTGAAGGGTGTGAAGCTAAGAGTTTAACCAGAGCGCCGATTTCTCCGTCACTTCTACCAAAACTTAAACAGCTAAGTTTAGTGAAAGATAATTCCCAATGTGGACTCATTAAAAGTTACAGTGTTTCCAAATGTAGTGTCTACGCTTCCTGCTCGTAGTTATCGTTCTTCTTATTCCCTCTATTCTGGAACAATGAAGATCTTAATCTTGATACTTATCGGAGATGAAAATAATCACCAGCGTACAATGAAGGTGTACCGGATTTATTGGAGGTATTTTAACATTTTTGCGGTACACTAGTCAACCCTTAACTATGAGGATCTTCATTTCTACAAATATAATGCTAATTCATGAGGTGTTGATTCGTTAAATTCGTTATTGTTTATACTGTCAAATATCGGTGATACTGGATGTAAAGCTCAAGAACATTACTCTAGCAATTCCTTATTTTGATGATGAAGACGAAGCAGCTTTTGAAGCTAAGAACTTATTCCTTAGTTCTTCTTCTCTTGATAACAATGGTGTTTCGTTGTTTCTATCATGTTTACCTTTTGATTCAATTAGCATTTGACGTAATCTTGATTCCCTTTCTTTTGCTGGATCATTTGGCTCTGCTCTAGTGACTTGATCACGTTCACGATAATCATCTCTATAACTCTTGACTTCTCTTTTATCATCGTGTGATCTATAAGAAGATGAATGATGTTCTCTATCTTTATCTCTTTGATCTCTAGATGATCTGTGTTTATCATTTCTTTCACGTTCTTCTTCATCACGATAGCGATGACTTGATCTATGTCTATCACTTCTATGTCTATCACTATTTTCCCTACCAGTTTCATCTTTGTGTCTGTCTCTTCTTTCTTTGTCATCTCTTAAACTTCTTGATCTAAGTTTGTCATCATCATAATGTCTTTTATGCCTTCTATCTTCATCTCCGTGTCTTCTATGTTTCTTATCTTCATCATCATATCTGGATGATCTATTTATACCATCCTCATGTCTTCTGTGTCTTCTTTCTGAATCATCATCTCTAGATGACCTATGTCTTGAGCTATGTGAGCTATGAGAGCCTGATTTTGATGAAGACGATGCTAATTTCTCTTCTAATCTTTTCTTCTCTTGTAATTCTTGATATTTCTTAATTTGTTGAGCTTTTATCTTTGCCATAGGATCTTCTCTTGATTTATTTAATTCATCTCTTTCATTAGTTTTGAAACTATCTTCAAACTTATCAAATCCAGATTTTTTAACTTCTTTTGGCTCATTATTAATAATTAATGAATCAACTCTTTTTTTACCTAATAAATATTCTTCAGCTTCACTTGTGATTAATTTCCCACCATCACCAACTCCTGAATTATCATACATCCAGTCCATACGATTTTGAACACTAGAATCACCATTCTTAGCACGTTGTAAAGCTTTTAATTCATTTAATTCTTTCTCTTTGGCAATTTCTAATTGACGCTCTTGAATTTTTTTACGTTCTTGTAATGCTTCTTGTTCTAATTCCCAAACTTTTTGTTGATTTTTCATCAACCCTGGATGCCAGGATTTTTTCAAGTTTAGATCACCAGGTGCCATTTTAATAAATATAAATCTTTTATCTAGTTGACTATTGGTTTCTTAACGAACTTTTGCCATTATTGTAGTAGAATTTTAATAATGATAACTTTTACTGTCAAAAATAATAATCTGACTAAGCACTGAGCAGCGACTCAGAAATTCGCGGGTAGTTTAAAAAATAGAGAATAAATTTACACATGTTACAAAAAGTCCGATTTTATGTCAAATTTAAGCTGAACTACAATGCTTCTTCCATATTTTTTAACCCAAAATACCATAATGTTGACTTATACAAAGTGGAAAATAAAAATAATTGAAGCAACAAAATAAAAAATAATTAATATCATTCAAAAATTCAAGACTTTAATTGGAGTCGAAATAAACATCTTATGGACCAGTTATGTAAATCTTTTATTAAGAAAACCAGTTCACAATTGTTTGTAATCTTTTTTGAATACCTCCAATATAATGAAGTAAAGCCATTGAAAACAAAACATCTAGAAACCATGGATCTTGATGTTTTTCTTTTGTAAACCTAATTGAGAAGTTAAAAATTCCATAACTTTAACACGTTGGTCACCTTGTAATTGAATAACTTCACCTAATTCTTCATCTTTAACAATGTTACCGTTACAAGCAAAATCTTTTTTCAAAGCACGAACAATTCTTTTCAAGTCATATTCATCTGGTAAACCTTGGACAGTAGTTAAGGTTTTACGACCATTTCTTTGTTGGATACGAATATGAATATAGTTTGTTGGTTGAGTATCGTCGTCACCAGTGTCGGCGAATGGATCTATTCAAACTTGTTAGTCATTGATCTTGTTTCTTATGCCTTTCTTAACTTTTGATCAAAATATAAAATTCACATGGTGATGATTTGAGCGCCTCAAGGGGCATTATTTCCCCATTCACACGATGACTTGAGAAATACCAGAAGTAAATAACAATCCAAATCCATGCTTAAAACACCATAAATCCAAATAAAATTCACATAATAGCATTCCATAGAATAAATACCATCATATTATCTGAACCGCCCGGAGTAATAATCCATTTGGACCCCATATAGCAATAGCTGAACATTTTGATCAAAATAGAACAATAAACATAGTGGCAAAAAATCAAGCTATACTTACCAATTTTGTTCAAGTTTTGGATAGAGCTCATATAAATAAAAACGTTTAAGAATGGAAAGGGAGTCTCTGTTGAAAGTCTCTTGTTGTTGTTGAAGATATGTACGGTTTTTGGTACAGATGCTCTAGTTGAAGTAAAAGAATTCTATGATGTTTTCTATAAAACGATTCGACACTGAGGGAAAAAAAAAAAAATATTGAATGGTTTGCGCCATATTGATTACTTATTTGGGCTATTTTCCTCTTTTGGATGTTTTCCTCGAGTTTCTGGCAATCTCGCGAATTTCAAGGCGAAACTCAGCGGTTAACATGAATTCGAGAAATACCAAACAGTTGTCAAAGTGTAAGTCAAGGCAAAGCTAGGAAGTAGACACCAATTGAGTTCATCAAGGTTAAGATATTAGGTGAGTAGTTTGATGATGATTGAAGACTGATGGTATAATTTTGATTTTATGTGTTGTTTTGGGGAAAAAGTTGCCGGGGTTCACTACTTGAAGACCGATATCTATACCCCCTATCAATATCGTTGGATCTATTACTACCCATGAGCAACATTAATACCAGAACAAAGAACTAACAATTTCGATTCAATAGATCAAAGATGTCAAAGCCTATATCTGAGACTGATTTGCAAACAAGTATTAGAAAAGCTTGTTCTCCTGATGAAACAGCTCCAAAGAGAAAACATGTCAGAGCTTGTATTGTTTATACATGGGATCATAAATCTTCCAAGGCATTCTGGAACGCTGTGAAGATTCAACCAATTCAAACTGATGAAGTTCAACTGTTCAAAGCTTTGATCACAATACACAAGGTCTTACAAGAAGGTCACCAAAGTGCTTTGAAAGATGCTGTTAGAAATACCGGCTGGATTGAAAGTTTAGGTAGATCTATTCATGGTGATGGTTTCAAAGGTTATGGTAGATTGATTAAAGAATATACTTTATTTTTATTAAGAAAATTACATTTTCATAAAAATCATAGAGGTTTTAATGGTACTTTTGAATATGAAGAATATGTTTCTTTGGTCACTGTTCAAAATCCTGATGAAGGTTATGAAGCAATTTTAGATTTAATGTCATTACAAGATGCATTGGATGATTTCCAAAGATTAATCTTTGCAAGTATATCACATGACAAAAGATCTGAATGTAAAATTTCAGCACTGGTTCCATTAGTCGCAGAATCTTATGGTATCTATAAATTTATTACTTCAATGCTTAGAGCTATTTATCGCTCAACTGGATCTGAAGATGCGTTACAACCATTAAGAGAACGTTATGATTCTCAACATTCAAGATTATATGAATTTTATGCTGATTGTTCTTCAATTCGTTATTTAACTTCATTGATTACAATCCCAAGATTACCAGGTACTCCACCAAACTTATTCGTTGAAGATGAAGATGAAGATGGTGCTTCAAGACCAAGATCAAGACAAACTATCCAATCACAACCAACAACAAGTGCACCATCCCCTGAACCTGTTTCTTCACAACCAACAAATTCGCAATTTCAACAACCAATCCCAACTCAACCAACAGGTGTTGATTTCTGGAACAATCAACAATCTAATTATGAAGCTGAACAACAAAGGTTATTACAACAACAGCAACAACAAGCTTTACAACAACAACAATATGCTGAACAACAACGTCAATTATTTGAGCAACAGCAACAACAACAAGCTGAACAACAAAGATTAGCTCAAGAACAATTATATCGTGAACAATTACAAAGTCAAGCACAAGGTAGAGTTGCAGAATTAGAACGTGATTTATTGAATTTGAGAGGTCAATATGAACGTGATCAATTATTATTAGGTCAATATGATCAAAGAGTTCAGGCTTTAGAAAGTGAAATTGCAAACACTACACAATCTGCTACTCAACAATTAGCTTCTAAAGATGAATTAGCTAATAGTTTACAAGAACAATTAGGAATTTGGAAAAGTAAATATGAATCATTAGCTAAATTGTACTCACAATTAAGACAAGAACATTTGAATCTTTTAAATAAATTTAAAAAATTACAACAAAAAGCTGCATCTGCTCAAGAAGCTATAGATCGTCGTGAAAAATTAGAAAAAGATCTCAAAGCTAAAAATGTTGAATTAGCAGGCTTAATTAGAGAACGTGATAGAGCTAGATTAGATTTAGAAAAAGTTAAAGGTGGTAAAGATGGTGAAATTGACAATTTGGAATTACAAATTAGAGATTTAACATTAAAATTAGATGATTCTGAAAGATCTCAATCATCAAACTTATCATCTATTTTTGCTAATCATAAAAAGGAAATTGAAGCTTTGAAATCTCAATTAGAAACTCAATCAAGAGCTTTAAACCCAGATCTAGAAAGACAATTAAGAGATAAAGAAGAAGAATTAGAAATTGTTCAACAAACTATGGATGATGCTTTACAAGAATTAGCAAGAGTTCAACAAGAAAATGATACAGCTATTGATGAACAAATTGATGAAGTCTTATCGGACCATTTATCAAAATTAACTTCATTAGTTGATGCTATCTTACAAAGTGGTATTAAAAGAATTCAAGATTCTATTTATGAATTAGATTCTCCAATGCAAGCTGGTAATCAAAATTCTTCACCAGAATATTTATTATCAGTTATTGAAAAAGCTTCTTCTTCAGCTACTGAATTTGCTAACTCATTTAATGATTTCATTGCTGATGGTCCAAATGGTGATCATTCTGCTATTATTCAATCAATTAATGATTTTTCTTCTGCTATTTCAGATGTCTTATTAAATGGTAAAGGTATTGTTAGATTATTGAAAACTGATGATGAAGCTGATAAACTCATTCTTTCCTCAAGAGATACAGCTCATGAATCAGAAAAATTCTTCCAATCTTTATTATCAAGTCATTTACAAGGTAATGAAGAAGAAAAAACAGAAACAGTTATTGTTGGTAATTTAAATGTTCAAGAAAAATTACAATATTTGATCAATTTAGCTGAAGGTTTAGCACCAAGATCTGTTATTACCAAGACTAATGGTGATTTAGGTGAAGTTGTTGATAATGAATTGCATTCTGCTGCGCAAGCTATTGCAAATGCTTCATCTCATTTGAATTCTCTCTTAAGCAAACCACAAGATCCCTCATTATCACAAATTGATTTTGAAATCAATAAAGCCATCTTATCAGCTGCTATTGCGGTTACAAATGCTATTGCATTATTGATCAGTGCTGCTATTGAAACTCAAGAAGAAATTGTGTCTCAAAATAAAGGTTCTGGTACTCGTGCTCAATATTATAAAAAACACAATAGATGGACTGAAGGTTTAATATCTGCTGCAAAAGCTGTTGCAGGATCTACCAAAATATTAATTTCAACAGCTGATGGTGTTTTAGGTAATAAAAATTCACATGAAGAATTAATTGTTGCTTCAAATGAAGTTGCTGCTTCAACTGCTCAATTAGTTGCTGCTTCAAGAGTTAAAGCTACATTCATGTCCAAATCTCAAGAAAAATTAGAAGTTGCAAGTAAAACAGTTACTTCAGCATGTAGAGTTTTGGTTAATCAAGTTCAAGATATTTTGTCAAAAAGAACTAATGGTGGTGAAAATGAAATTGATTATTCAAAATTAACAAATCATGAAAATAAAACTGTGGAAATGGAACAACAAGTTGAAATCTTAAAACTAGAAAATGCTTTAGGTGCTGCTAGAAAAAGATTGGGTGAAATTAGAAAATATGGTTACAGAGATGGTGATAGTGATGAGGAATAATTTAAATTAAAGGGCCCATATATTATATGAAATAAAATTAAAGCAATTTTGTATGATTGTCTGTAGCTATTGTTTTCCTTGAATACTTATTTTGTTCTCATTCGTTTATTCGTAAACTAGATCATTAATTAGTAAGGTGTTCACTGTAGAAGCTTAGGATCAGTAACTTACCCATACGCGAACTTGCACTGGTGTTAATCCGCATTTCTCTGCAATCAGTTGTCTCTCTCTGCTGTTTGGAGTTCTCTTAGAATTAAAAACACTTTCCAGAAACGTTTTCGTCTCCTTAGGAATAGATGTTCTCTTTTTGTTTTTAGAGGCTTCAGAACTTCCTTCTCGTCTGATATAATCTGATGCACTAGGACTATTTGCAATTGAGTTGTTTAAACTGTTCTTTAAATCTAGCTCCAGCTGAGCTTCCCCGTATAATTCTTGAAGTTTTGACATTGACTGCTTCTCATTTTTGCATATAGTTTCTTCTATTTCCGCCTCAATAGCCTTTCTGTATGTTTTTAATACCTTTTCTCTAGATATATACTTCGTACGCTTTCGAATAGTTAGTATAAAGAACATTCAAAACATTGGAAGCAAACTTACGCTCAGTCTTTCCAGTGACTTTTCAAACTCATCCATAAGAGTTGTTATTGAGGTTCTGTAATCCTTGTGTACTATCTTTTGTATTTCAGACTTCTTGAATGGGTCATCTATGAGCAAAGTATCATATGTCACTTTATTGTTCCCTGAAAACTTAGAAGAAAATTCAACCAGTGAATTTAGTTGTTCTATTGATTCATCAAAGCTTGAACCATCTGGTGTAACCATTTGTTGTTGTGGGGATGAGCTTTCTGAAGGCTCCATTTTAATGTTTTGATTAATAAAAGTAAGGGGTATAGCTGCTATCCTTGGTAGTCAGTTGGTTCACTTGATAATTCATTGTTTATAAATTATATTGGAATAGTAGAAATAGTATCCCTTTGAATACCGAGGGTTGAAAAGATCAAATCCGGTCAGATTTGAAACATTAACGATACAAAATTAAAGATACTACTCTACGTTTTTGGAATAGCAGACGGTTAGCTGAAAACGATCTTACGTTTGAAGATTCGTTTGATTTTGGTGCTGTGTAAAGAACATTTTTAGCCACAGAAACGTGCAAGCTGAGAAGTATAGCTGATATCTTGATCAGATAGAAACCGGATCTTACTTTACTGCTTAATAAGTAATAATGCTTGGAGCACGCAGATACACTATGTTTTGAAAATATTGTAGCCCCATCTCATAGTTGTAACATATATATATATATAACACAAAGGTAACTATTGAACCATCTGTTGCTCTTTTTCTGACATTTATGCTGCTTATAAAAACTAAACGTATTGATGGAGTATAGCATGATCAGTTCAGCGGAAGCTGAAACTAATTTATCCTTTGTTTCGTTCAAGCTAAAAAAGGTGGATAACTCAAAAGAAGAAATATTACAGAAAGATAAATTCCCAGTTGTTATAAGGCCGGTCACAAATAATATAATAAAAGGAAGCCATCAGTTTGTGAATTTCACTGAGCAATCATCAACAGTTCCAGCATCGCTGGTGTATTCTCGTCAACCTGAAATTGCTAGACCAAGAAACAAATTTATCATAGCAAGAAGTGTTTTAAGTAAACCAGTCAAAAACATTTATAAAGATAATACTGATGATGTATCCAGAATCATTTCCATGGTGAGTTGACCGTATTCTATTACCTCAAGGCTAAAACTAACAAAATATGAAGATATGGCGTAAACATCAGGGTGATAATTTCCAAACTTATTTTCAATATTTATCTTTTTTAGAAAATCAATGGCATGAGTCTTATTATCCACTATACCATTATCAACCAAAGAAAAAAAAGAAACAGAATACAACGAATGTACCAAATGAAAACTTCTCTTCAGTTGTGTTTGTGAACGAAGGTGATGACTTGAACTCGCCTGACACTTCAACCACTTCCAGTCTGGATGTTGCCAAAGATATAAGTGATATATCCAAATACGTTGATTTATGCTCGAGTACATTCTCCACAAACAATAATAATATGAAACAAACCCAGAAACCAAAACAGAAATCTTACAAAGATGGAGCCCTCAAATTTTCAATTAATAAAGTTACTAAACCAAAAAAACCACAAAAAACAGCGTCTAAGAAGCTGCCACAAGATGAGATGATGTCTCAATTTTTCAGTAGTTTTAAGTCACTAATGTACGGTGAAAGAGCTGAAGATATTTGTTTCAAATAGCATATAGAATCTTATCATATAGAGCATAATTAGTCATTATTATTATGAATATCAGTAGCATCAACCTTCAATCAGATCGTGTAAGACTGAATGTTCTTGTACAAATTAAAGCACTGTCGAACTCTAAGATAGTATATATAAATGACAGCTATTTGTTATATATCAAGCAGGTATTATATAGGTACAAGATCAGGGACCTGCCGAACTTCTATCTTCTATTCTAAAATCGTGATATATATATATAACTATATAACAATTAGTCAATTATATATAATTATATGGCTTCGATCTGTAGATGATTCATGTTAATAAATTTAATTGCTTTAAAATAAACGCTTGAGAAATGAAACATAGAATAATGATAATAGATGCATTATATATATTAGATACAAGCCGTATAGTTCTATATTACAGATTACAGATTACAGATATAGGATGTATCATGGAGGTAATACCTGGCGTCGCTATCAACTTTCAAGTTCAGACAGACAGCTTCAAACCTGACTCCTGAGTAACGGCTCCGGTATAAGATCCCTGTGATTAACCTTAACATGATAACAATATAACAATATAGCCTATATTCTATAGTACACAGCTATACAGTGGTATAGATCTGATTATAACCTATGAATTTTGACCTCTTACAGTGAATTGAATTCAAGCTGTGAACAAACAATTCATGATTAAATTTTCAACTTTAAGCTTGAAACTTAAGCTATAATACAATAACGCATTACCCAATTCAAAAGTTTAGGAGCTGGGGAACAGGGAAGTTGGAACTGGACTTCATTTATAAATTACAAGTACAAAGATGCTCAAGCGCTCAAGCGTCAAATGATAAATCTCAAACTACTTCCAAGTTCCAAGCTGATGAGTGAACTCTAAAATCGTTCCGAACTTGCATGGAACTTTTCCCACAGTCAGGCATTTCCCGGGTCGACCAATTTAACAGTTTTTCTCCTCTAAAAATTTCCAAATTTGTACAAAATTCAATTCACAGCTTACATAATCCACATATTAAAATTTAAATAAAAGCAGCTAACAATCAGCCATACTTGATAAACTTTGAGAGAAGAAAAAAAAAATTTAAAACTTTGATCTTGATATACTTCAACAATTTAATCAAAAACTATAAGAACAAGTATCAATACTATCATATTCCAGGTCCACTTCATATCTATTTAATCATTATCATCATCACCATCATATCTTGCATACTTAATTAATACTCACCACATCATATAAACACACAACTTATCAATCATGTCAAAAATTGTTCAAATTCAAAATCAACAAACTCAACAAGAATTAAAAGATCCTCAAAATTCAATAATCCCATTAAAATCAGACTTGGCTAAAGTTCAAAATCAAAAAATTAATAAAAAATGGCCATTTTGGTATGGTGGATTTGGTGGTGCAATTGCTTGTATATGTACACATCCTTTAGATTTAGCAAAAGTTAGATTACAAACCGCTTCAATCCCAAAACCTTCATTATTTCAAATGGCATTATCTATATGGAAATTAGATGGTTTCCAGGGGGTTTATTCCGGTTTAAGTGCTGGTTTATTAAGACAAGCAACTTATTCATTAACAAGATTTGGTGTTTATGAATACTTAAAAGAAAATTATGTCCCATCTGATAAACAAAGTTCAATGGCTTATCTTTTACCAATTTCAATGATTAGTGGTGGTGTTGGTGGGATTGTAGGGAATCCTGCTGATATTGTTAATATTAGAATGCAAAATGATACAGGATTACCATTAGACAAGAGAAGAAATTATTCTCATGCTTTAGATGGTGTTGTAAGAGTTATTAGGGAAGAAGGTTTACAAAGTTTATTCAGAGGTTTAGGTACAAATTTAGTTCGTGGTGTTTTGATGACTTCATCACAAGTTGTAACTTATGATTTATCAAAAAATTTATTAATTGATTCAATCAAAATGGATAAAGATTCAAAATTAACTTTCTTTACAGCTTCCCTGATGGCTGGTTTAGTGGCTACTACTATTTGTTCACCTGCTGATGTGCTAAAAACAAGAATTATGAATTCAAGTGGGTCCGGTGAAGGTGTTTTGAAGATCTTGGGGAATGCTTTTAAAAATGAAGGTCCAAGTTTTATGTTTAGAGGTTGGGTACCAAGTTTTGTTAGATTAGGTCCAAATACTATTATTACTTTCTTGGTTGTTGAACAATTAAGAAAGTTTGAAGTGGGATTGTAATTTAGCGCCAGCTAAATTAAATTGAAAAACTATGTTTTAATATAATTTAGCAATATTTATAGGAAAAGCTTTAGCGCCAGCTAAATTAAACTGTTTATAGGTAGTTTTAATATATTAATATCATATCTACAATTCAATTCTTTATAAATGTCATAAATAATCGTTAAATATATAAATAAAAGGAGCTATATAACTCCAATTTTTTTCAAAACATCATCTGTACTTTCCTTTTTCCAATCAACATTTTCTAAAATTATTTGAATATCATTAATTTGTAAATTTATATTATGTTTTTTGTTTAATATTAATTTTGAAATTATTGATGAGAATTGTAAACATGAAAATTTATTATTGAGATCAATATTAGTTGGGCCATCATTTTTTTTGAAAAGTTCAATTAATTTTAATAATTCTTCATTTTGTAAATTGAAAGTTGTTAAAAATTCAATTAATATGGAATTAAATTCTTCAAAACCTTCATTTATGAAAATCAAACAATTAATAATAAATGTTTCGATTAAAAAATTATCAATAAATAAATTTAAATTATCTGAATCATCATTAATATAAAATTGAAAATAATTTGACCATTGTAAAATAAATCTTGAAAACAATTCCTTCATTTTATTTAATTGAATTGAATTATTATTTCTTGATTGAAATAATGATGTATTTGATGAATCATCTTGTATTTCAATAAATTTTAAATTTGTTTGTAATAAATTATAATAATTCTCAATCATATTAGATAAATTTATTGGAATTAAATCATCATGTTCATGATTTTCCAATGATTTAAATAATTTAATATATTGATCAATAAATCTTAAATTTGAATCTTTATCAAATGAAATTTTTTTCCTATTTGAATTTATATTTTTTTCAATAAATGATATAAATTTTGTTAAATGTGTAAAATTTTCATCAATACCATATAACAAGGTATTCAAGAATAATAATTGAATTAATTTCTTCAGGAAAATTTCACTATTAAATATTTCACAATTTATTAAATTTTTCAATTGATCTTTATTAAAAATTAAATGATAACCAGGTATTGAATTTATTAAAAAACTTGAATAAGTTGATGAATTTGATGCTTTATTTTGATTTTCAATAATTTGATAATATGAATTTAAATAATCCTGTAAAAACAATTCATAATTTAATTGACTTGTTGGATTTATATATTGATCATTTGGATAAAAAAATCCAATCAATTGAATTAATAAAAATTTATTATTCTTGTATATTTCTTCAACATTAAAATTCAAATCAAACCATGATGTTGATGATGTTGGTTTAAAATCCGAATTATATTGATTTAAATTTTCAGGTGTCAATTTAAAATCGACATCATGCATATTCGATTGAATGGCTTTATCAGTTGTTGAAAATTCATTTTGATCATTTAAAGTAAGAATTCCCGACCCAATTTGACAGACTTGTTCAAAAAATTCATGACCAAATTCTGATGATGCATCATCAACTTGTTGATAAGAGCTAGTATTGTTGTTTAAAACCGATACAGGAGATGCAATTGATGAGTTATCATCTGTTGAAGAATCTAAATCATTTGTTAAATTAGAATTTTGGCGTGATGATGATCTTGGTGTTGAGTAATGATCATTCAAGTTTGCTGTTTGATACAAAAAATTTAATCTTGAACATAATTTATTCAATTTTTTTTGAAATTCATCAATTGAAATGATTTTGTTATTAACACAAAGGTGTTTTGCATCTAATAAATTTATTGAAATAAATGACCCATCTGATAATTTAATTAAATTGTATGATTCATGACTAGTTTCATTTGAATCGTGATGATCTTCGCATGATGATGTTTGGTCATTTGATGATGTAGTTGTTGACATATTAGCTTGCTTTGATGCCTTCCAATCTTCAAAACTTTCAATTTTAATATCTAATTTATTTGAAATCTTGGTATAATAATCTTCTAAAGCTTGATAATTTTTTTTAATATTATCAACTTGTCCAACGAGGTTTTTCAAATTATCTGATCTTTGAGGTGGTAAAACATAATCAATTTTACATTGAATACCCTTTTTAGCACATGATGAACAAGGATTTGGAGCTAATTCACTTGCATTACATTTTGTCTTATGTTTTCTGCATCTAATACAAGATTTTAATATTTTTGGTTTTGGTAATGAAGAATCAGAAGCCATTGGCATGAAAACATCTGTAGTGGATATATTATTGAAAGTATCAGCTAATAATGTAGTTTGATCCAAAAGAGGTGAAGATCCAGTTGATGATGAAGGTGATATTGATGATGAAATATTATGATGATTTGGTTTTGTTATACGAAATGAATTTGAACCTGGTTCATGTTTTGGTTGAATCTGTACTTGTTTCTTAGCCATGATTGTAGAGAAATATATTATAAATAATTGAGCTATTATATCATTTCTTGATATCTTCTAGCTGTATATATATATAAATAAATATAATGATCAATAAATAGATAAATAATTCAGGTGTAAATAAATATTAAAAGGTCACTCTTTTACCTGGTCACAATGGCTTATGTACGTCTTTATCTCTTTATCTATGCAATCTGCAATTGAACCGCTGTGTCTGTTGATCTTCTGAATCCCTTTTGTTGAATCTGTCTTTGATCTTGATCTTTTGATTAACCGCTGAAGGTTTAACTTTTTCCCTGTCAAAAACAACAAAATCAGTTTTTTAAAAGGGAATCCAAAGGATACTTATACCAAAAACAGCCAGTTTAAAGTTTTAGGAAGATTTAGGCGCTAAAGACTTTTTGCTCCATACTTTTAAGCGACACTGTGCAAAATGACAGAAATTTTGAGATCAGACTAGATTCCAGTCTCGGAAAATCTGAGCCTTTAGTCTTTGTTTTGGAATAAAATTACAATTTGCTCAACGATTATTGGCTGTTGGTGTGTTTTACTTGCCCCATATGTACAAGTTAATTATACATGTACTATGTACTCCTTTCTTACACGGTCTCCTATACATTTAGCGACAGGCACAATAATACAGAGAACAAAATTTTTGATCTTTGCTAAACAGAGCTAGACTATTGGATAGTCAATCACTGGAAAAACTCTTGGGAAAATTCTGGGGGACCTTTGATACCCGAATTTTTAGTATGGTATCGTATAATTATTTAGTTTTTGTATAAAGTTGTTGATGTTGAGCTATATAGTTCTTAAGTAACCCTTATAACCCTTAAAGTCCCACATGGATACATACTACATCATTATCATTCCATTTCAATCCATGATCAGCATAGTCTTCACTTTCTTCTTTAAACAAAAGTTGATTTCCATTCTTTTAAAAATCTCTCATAAACTTTGGAAATTCTGTGCCGTGAAATTCTTTAATTACGTAAATTCGTCTCTCTTTATTGTTTTTAGTATTTTAAGACGCCATTTATGTATGTAAAAAACTTCAAATTCGGATTCCGAATGCCTAGTCCAAGCCAATTATACAACTTCTAAATCCGATTATCGCTAAAGGTGATGAATAACCTGAATTCTTAATGGCTTGAAATGGTTATTTAAACTTTAGTTTGTATGTAAGTGACTGTTAATTTATGGAGATGAATCAATCATTTGACTCAAAAGTCTTTGTGTGATTGTATGTTAAATTTCCATTGCTCTATGGTTAAAGATCTAATCAGATAAGTTTAAGCCCGTAATTTGGTCTTATATTGACACAAGTGTTAAATCTAACCGTCAGTTATTATTCGAATTTCGGTTCCACTTTGGTTCCACTATTTGAATATTTCGCTTTTCTATTCAGGTTCAGGATTCCGAGACTCAATGAATTACTTAGGATTCCGTGTAACGGGATACCGTGTACCGTGAAAAAACATCATTATCAATATAAAGCTGTACTATATCTTAAAATAGTTAGGTTAAGATTCATACGGTATTCGGTCGAAGAATAATTTAAAATTACACTACGTATCGTAGTCCTCTTTCTCTTGTTCATATCATTTACCCCAGATTTATTGTATATCAAATTAAATGCATAACACTTGGGTGTCATTGGCTAAGTTTAAAATTCTAGGGTGTAAAATTCAACCCACAAGTTTGGTTAATCAATCAAAAATATGGGGTAATTACATGATATATTACCATGGTATAACTATGTTATTGAGGTTCTCATGAGTTCTTCGTGTGTTGATTTGTGGTGATTAGTTGTGAGACTAGGATACATTTGTATAACATTGAAGATGATGAATATAAGCACCAAATGGTATCTTCAATAAACTCTGAAGTTACAAGTAACCAGTATTAATTGATCATGTATTACTTTAACTTTGTAAAGCATTTTAAGCTTGTACAAATGATCTATTGTTCTTTTCTAGATCAATCATCAGAATCAACAAATTAATTTGACATCGAACCCTTTAGAAAGATCTCTTCTTTCTTCTTTCTTCTCATAAAACTAACCATTTTATAAAGTCAATTCGATATACAAGGAGTTCTAACTTTTCACTCAATTCATTTTGTAATAACATCGTTCACAGATTGCCTGTCTTAAACTAAAAACCTAATTTGGTACTACGAAAAAGCAATTCGTTTCATTGTGCATTATCTATAGAATCGTATAGTTGATTGAAACTAATGTCAAGTAAGTCAAGTAACAAGTACTAATTGAAACACTTTTTTCGTAAATTCAACTTTATTATGTATCTAGAATTGAAACAATCTATAAATTATATCTTAAATATTAAAAGATTGTTGAAACGTTTAATCTAAAATTGTTTGCTCTTGCATTAATAGAAAAAGGAATTCTCATAAAATCTGTCAAATTTACATGTGTTAATAATCATACTAGTAAAATCTAGATTTAGATTAAAATCTGGAACTCTTAATGTAGTTGATAAATAATTTGTGATCTATAAAATTAATGAACCTTGTAATTAGCAATAATGTGGCTTTGAAGAACAATTTAGAATATAGTAAGTATGTAGTCGTGGTAAATAACAGATATATAACTTCGATTTTTTGCCTTTCGACATATATTTTGAATATCGCGGCGCCAATTTGTTAGGCTAATAAGCTTCAAACATTAATAAGAACATCAATTTTGAAACTTTTACAGAATTTAAAACTTGAATATATAACTAAAGCTCGTATAATTTACCTAAACCTATTAAATACTTAAAAAGAGTACTTTAAAAATTTTAGAAATTTTTATTCTTACTTTTAAAGTTAAAATAATTTTTATATGGTTGATAATATTTTTGAAATTTAAAAACTCATAAAAAAAAAGTTTGATTTTCAAGCAATTAACTAGATTTCTAAAATATTTGAGTGAAATAAATTCATATTATAGTTTTATTTATCCATTTAAAGTTCATCTATGATGTATATTAACTAACTTTAAATAAACTGAAATTTTCCAAACAAGGAAATTTTCATCTAACCGGATATAAAAATATGCATGTAATTTTTACTAAACAAGTTATTTAAATCCGAAAGAATCAAAAGAATAATCTAGTTTCGAATCTTATGAATTTAAAGTTTGAAAAACACTTTCTTTGTTTATACTTAAATTCAGATTTAATTTAACCTGCATTAATACAAATAAGATAAATTGCTCTCAGATTGGTACTTTTCCTGTCCTTATTGGATTAGCTTGATGTACCGTGTGTTATAAAAGGGTATAGAGTATAGAGTTGGTATAACTTTCATGATAATTATGTTTACATGAAAACTTTTCAATACAGCTAGTCAGTTTTCAATCATATCTTAAATATATAAAGGAAGTTACAATTCCTCCAAAAATGAGAGAAATGTTCAGAGTTGTGGATATATTATTATCGTGTTAACCATCAGAATCAAATTCAACTAAAGAACATCTCTTTTATACAATGTTAGTTTTATCTATAATCCAAGTTTTAGTTATTTATCTTTCAACCATCACTGCAGTTGTTGAAGCTAGTCCAATCTTAGCTGAAAGATTTGATGCTAATGGTAATCATACAAGACCAAGACCAAGACCAAGACCACCACATCATAATTCCACTGCTGGATTTGAAAAGAGATTTGATAGTTATGGTAACCATACAAGACCAAGACCACCATATCACAATTCCACTACTGAATTAGACAAAAGAGCTAATAACAAATCACCATTCACTGAAGGGTTTGCTTTAAGTGCTATTCGTTCAGGTTCTCCTTTACAATATCAATTGGTTACTGTTTCACGTGCTCAACTGTTTTTAAGTGGTAATGCTTCAGATCCTTATAGATTTTTAGGTTTCTTAGAACAAGATGGTGCTTTAGTTGTTATTCCAGATCCAACTAGATACTATCCAGAATCTACTGATGATTCAAGCAAATTATTTTTGAATCGTGATATTGCAACTGGTAAATTGTTAACAACCTCAACTAGAGAAACTTCATTCAGTGTTAAAGATGGTCATTTACTTTATAAAGGTGAAGATAGTTTTAGTGTTGTTCCTGAAGATAAGAGAGGTTATTCTTATTCTTTGAGAGTTGGATCCAATCAAACTGATGGCATTGGTATTGCTTTAAGAACTGTCACACAAAGTGGTGGTTCCATTGGCAATTATCCATGAGGAGTTATTTTCAGTGGTTTAGTTCACTAATGAATTATTGAAAAGGGTTTCAATTCTTCATACAAGAGATGATCTTTATACTCTTGCTTTTTCTTTTATATTCTTTCAATTCTTTCAGAGACCTTTCATATTCTAGGATCCTCTTACTTTTTTTACATAAATTTATAAATTATTTTAAACTTTTTGATTTTCAGAAATTGTTGTAGGATTCTTGATAGAATATATTCATGACGAGATGAACTTTATGATGACGTTACGATCATATAAGATACGTCAACAATGAATATTATGGTGATGAAATAGTTTGGTTAACAAGTTAAGCATTTAGCTAGTAGTAAATGCTCATAGATAAGAAGGTATGGCAATATCATTGGTAATATTGGGTTTACATGACATGTTATGTCATGGTTTTGGTACTTACGTCAATAAGTATAGATTAGCTTAGACTATGATTTAGGAAACTATATAAAGGGAAGTAAATCCCAGGTAAATATGTATAGAAATTGTTTAATACATTATCCCCCATTTGTTATTACAAGTGTACCCATTACAATTATCATTGATAAGAATTTTGATTCAAGTTAAATTATCTGACAACAACATTCAATCACTCAAATAGGTTCTTCATCAGAACCGGAATTCTCTCAATTCTTGTGTTTGTAATTAGATTGGGTGAACTGACCGATTCTCCTTCAACGTTGGGACCTGCAACATTATTTGAGTTGGTCAAGTCATGTCTAAAGATTTCAACACAATAGTTAATGAAAGCTAGCCCCATTCAAGATTTGTTTCAATATATAATACAAGACGACCCAAGGAAATCAAATAACAAACCATTGAGTTAGAATTTCAGACCCAATAGGTATGAGTTTTGGTTAATGATTGTGAATTTTTTTGGGTACATACGTACAGCGTGAGTGTTTAAGCCAGTATAAAATCGAAAAAATCGTGGCTTGAAACTTCAATTATTGTTCAATTATTCAAGCTATAAACGCCTTAAATCAATATTAATTTAAAACGTGTCAAAATTAAGGGTTTGATTCTCAGCCCAAAATGATTAATTGAAGTAAAAAAAAGCCAAGAAATGATATACGCGTTCATGCCTAATCAGAATACCAGCATACGTTGCTCTTCGAATTGATACCTAAATAATCATATACCACCATGTACCCCTAAATTATCATACTTAGTGATAGCTATATTGTGGTTAGTTGTGAACATTAATCAACACCAACCCCCAGAAGTTTATATACTTTAGACAAATTTAGATAATTAATCTTCGTACTTTAATTTTATCGAGTCACATGTATGAAGAATTTGGTAACTGTGTCTAGAACTTTAATTACCAGAGATACCAACTGATGACAACATCAACAATTAACTTTAGTTACACTGGTAATGAACTAAAGTTTAATTACTAACATTGCGGTACTATATAGTTCTAGCCAGTTACTTATATCTGAAGCATAACGTAATACTGTTAATCTAGGCCAAACTGCGATTACCTCAACACCTCAAGTTTCAACTTTCAACCCAAAAAGTCAACATGCAAAGCTCAAACTTCAGCATGTGTGATCCTCAAATTCATTCAACTGCAGATTTTTATTCCTCTTGAGGATCATACGTAGTTAAATGGCCCATCTCTAATTGTTTTTCCGATTCCATAATCGTATTTGACCTCCAATTAGTTACTAAAAGTTCAGCTAAAGAAGTATAGACATCTATCAAACACGATTGCTACACATTGTACTTTGTTAACCACAGATAACAATAAAAGTTTTGCTATGCTACTGGAATCTCACCTAAAATATAAAATATGCCAAAATAGAGGTTCATAAAGGCTCAAAGCGCTTTTGCCTAAGTTTCGATTAAATGTACCTTTTTGTTCCTTTATATACCGAAAATCACCGAGATCTACACATTCCATAACTGAAAACGAAGATCTTTAACTGTTCAGATCTGATAAAAAATCTTCAACAACTTCCTGATTCTATACACTTTTTGTACCAATTTGGATCATGGATGCAGTTTGATCTTCAGCTTGTCAATCAATCTTGGTCTGGTAACTACTAACTGGTTGTTCTGGATTTCGATCCACAAATTACCACAGATTTCATTCGTAAGTTGTAACCCCCCCAAAGATTACAATAGTGGTGAATCTAGGCGTATCTATATGAAATTCAAACCGTTGAGATCCATTGTTGATTGGTGTAAGGGGTTATTTCATCTTGAAATTAATCAACTACAGACTACAGTCTAGTATCTACGAACTTTTGGTCAATGTTGAAGTCTGGAAGTCTGGATATATGAGCTCTACCACAACAAGATACAAACTGCCTGAAGGGTTGATGATATGAAGTCATTAGTATTTATTAAAGGCTTTAGTTCAAGCACGAGGTAGCATTATTTGGCAGGCTATAATATTCAAGAAGAAACTAGAAGAGGTTCAAGTTGTGAGTAGTTGATCGTTAATTACTCAACAATTGCAATTTTTACTGTAAAGTTAAAAGAGGTGTTTGAATTACCAAGTTTACCATGTTTGTATCATACCAACAAGTCAAATTTGTATGAGCTCAAAACTTTTTGACATGATAATGATTGCTAACTTTAACTGCTTGATGTCTAGTTTGAGGTTTCATCACAGTATATGCTTATGAATAGGACTGTTCAATTCTAGAGCTACTTGGAGAAGTGAGCACCTTTCAAGCACTTGTAAAAAGCTATACAGTTAATTTATTCCATAACCTACGCGTCACATTAATCAGCTACACCTTAATTCAGCTTATCGTTTTCAAATTTCCACCTACCTTTCTACTTTCTGGTTCAACTTCCTTTCTATACCGGCTTCTGGAGATCTGCATACTGCGCATAGTCACAGTCACTTCTGGACCTTGCAGTAAAGAACAGATTTCTTCAGCAAGTTCCAGAACAGAATAAAATCAAGATTTTAGTTATCTATGGTAGTCCTATTGTATTTACGTCTAGAGAACAGCTTCAAAAAGTATGGTTGTAAACTCGGATGCCCTATTTATCAACGCCACCTTTGAGGTTTAAGCTTTATAAAATTGCGCTGACTATCAATGTATGTTAGTGCGTTAATTGTTTAAACTTTTGGAAGTTGTTTAGGTTTTCAGCGCCATAAGAGTTGATCTTTTATGTGTACACATGAAGCAAATGGAAGTAAAAGACTTTCATATCTTTGAAGAAACAACATGAATCTACAGATCTCGAAACAATTGATCTATAAAGTATCTATTCCATCAATTTGAATATAAAAGAGCGTTGATTTCCTATATTTTGTCAAACTTTTTGTAGATACATTCAACATATCAATTGAATTCATATCAACATCAATACAACATGGTCGCTATTAACAACATCATTGCTTTAACTTCAGTCACTGCTTTTGCTTCAGCTGCTGCTTTACCAGAAGCTAACTGGTGGGGTGCTCCAAAACCAAGTGAAGGTCAAAATCCAACTTGGGGTCCAAAACCATCAAAATCTCATCCAGCCTGGGGTCCAAAACCAACTAAATCTCATCCAACTTGGGGCCCAAACCCATCTAAGTCTGAACATCATTGGGGTCCACCAACTGGTGCCCCATTCCCATCTTCAAATGGTACTTTCCCTCATCATTCACAAGGTCATGCTCAACCAACTGGTCATCATTCATTTGTTTTACCAACTAAATCATGGCCATCTGCTTTCCCATCAGAATGGCCAACTGAATTCACTGGTGCTTTCCCAACTGGATGGCCAACCGCTGTTCCAACTGATATTTCTAATATTGAATCAATTATCAATGAAATTTGGGAACACATCACTTCAGCCATTGGTGAAGATTTTGGTGCTGCTCCAAGTGATGCTCCAGATTCCCAAGATGCTGACTTCTTATATGCTTCATCATCCACTATCACTTTATAAGATGTTGAAAAATAATTTTAGTTCATTCACAATTTATTGAATCGAATTTATTTCAAATATTTTGAATTTCTCATATTGATTTGAAAGTGATCTGCCAAAGATAGAAATAAACTAGGTCACGTTTTTTCTAATTCTTCAATTCTTACTTCAGATTTCTTATAATCTTTAGTTTTTTTATCAGTACCAATTAGATTACAGGCTTCCTTAATTTCAAGGTAGAGCTGATATATTTTCAAAATTCCTAAGATAATGTTCAGGTTTTATGAAATATATGTCTATTGATGAGACTTGGGTTGTTAAGTATCTGGGAACATCATCAATAGAATTTTATTTGTTTTTAAACGATTTTTCAAGACTTGTAGAAAACCATAGCACACTTAGCGCAATCAAAACCCACGGACCCAGTTAAAATAAGAATGAAACCAAAATGGAGTTAAAGGACATTTTTGATCTGTGATAGGATACAATTGGTAAATAAAATGTAAAAAAACAACCTATATTTATCATCATGTATACGGATCTAGCTTAAAAAGACAAAAGAGTAAACCATAATCAATTGAAATGATCAAATTATTTTTTCAATTCTCTAATAACATCATGAACAATTGTACGAGTCATGAATTCATGTAAACCTTTAGTTTCATCAACAAATTTTTCTTTACTAGTGGTGAATAATGAAATATTAACCAATCTAATAATCAAATTTTTTTCTTTCTTTTCATTTTCAACAATTTCATATTCTAATCTATGACCACCGTTTTGTGGTAGGAGATCATTACCAGCAGTAACATCATAGTAACCACCATTTGAACGAACACCATGGTCTATAACGTTAAATAAACCATAAACAATTGTGTTACTTGGCAATAAACCTTTATTTTGATCAATATCATCAGCAGTCCAGACATATCTCAATTTTTTGTTTTCAGGTAATAAAGGAATTTGAATGAAACCTTTTGGCAATTTGTTGATGTCTAAATTTTTCAATTCTGGTTCAAAATAAGTAAAACCACCAATTCTGTTATGATCACCTTGACTTTTGAAGTATGGACTTAAGAGGAATCTGTGGAACCATAAAGTAGGACCAAGGAAAAATCCTCTTTCTAAAGCTTTCAAAAAATCTTCATTAGTTTTGTATTTTTGTAAAATCGAGTTTGTAGTTTCGGTATCTAATCTTTGTTCATAAAAATCGTAAAGTGGGACAGTTTTGTTTGGATTCAGAACTTTTTGTGTTAATGAATTATGGAAGTTATCAGCATCTCCCAGCACTTTACTCTTGACACTTTGAATGAATGTTTTTGGAGCTTCATAGTAAGGATTAACTTCACGATATTCTCCATTGTAAACTGTATTTTTGATGTAATAACCAGCAGCTAAGGAAGGAACTGAGAGAAGTAAAGTGGCTTTAGTGAAACGACCCATAATTATCTTCGAATATTAACTTGTGGAGCTTTGAAATAGATATATAGTGACTTTGTTAGCAGTTGAATATGTAATTGAAAAAGAATGGGTGCACAAGATGCGATATGAATTATATCCCTTAAATTGATTGACATATAATATTAGGGTGGAAAATTCCTTATTTTCAAGACTTTATATTTATTCGCTAGAATCGCGAGACATCAAGTTTAAGCCAAATTTAGTGTCAAAACTAAGGTTTATGTAAATGGAGTACAAAAGGTCTCAAAATACACAAATTTGGTATCAAAAGAGCCGTAAAGAGAGCATGAAGTCAACACAATTATATTGGTAATCATAAGTGCCAATTCAAGACGAAAAAGCTAGAATGATTCATCGACATCACTTAATCCCGGCTAAAGCAAACATCGTAGCCTATTTTGCAATTTCAGAATCCACACCGGCTAATTTCCAACAACCTAATATATATTAAGATACACCTTAAATTAGCGCTTATATTTGAGCTCATAGCGGAAATTTGAGGAAGGTTTCAAAACCAGTAAGTTGTAACCAGATCTCAGCATCTGTCTGTATATATAGCCTAATTTGTATAAGTTTTAGATGTCAACGGCTTCGGTAAAGTGAGAACTCCATAGTTTAGTAACAATGTATACGTAACCATTTCCCATTTGAGATATTTTTCATCTACAATACAAAAACTGACTATGAAGTAGAAATTTTTGGCACATAATATTATAGTTGTTGAGTATAAAATCAATCAACTGTTTTTAATGTCATTATTAGCACAGGATTCCAAGTTTCCAGTTCATACTTTAAGAGGCCACACATCTTCAATAACAGCTTCCGAATTTGTCAGAGTACCCATTTCCACAAGAGCTAAAACTATAACATTAAAAGAACAACATAACAAAACAACTCTCAAACCATTTCTATTATCCGCTGATGATTCGGGGAAACTTATATTATGGGATCTTACGATCCTAAGGCCATTGAAAACTGTTCAAGGCCATAACACACAGGTGTTAACAATACGACAATTGGGTATAAAAGATAATGAAATCGACTCACGATATTTTGGATTGGTTTTAACCCATGGAAGAGATCATACAATCAAGTTCTGGAAAATATTTGATGAATCTGGTGTTATAAGTTTTGATTTAGTATATGAATTACCTGTGAATGCATTGAATTTCAGTAATGTTGATATTATAGATGATATAATTGTCACACCAAACACACAAAATTCAAATACTTTTGATATTTATGATATAAGCTTCCTATCTCATGAAAAAGTTGATGATTCAAGATTGAAAAGATTATTTGAAGCCGTTGATGTTTATAAAACAGCAGTAGAAAGGGATTATTCAAAATTTGAAGAATTTAATATCAAAAGAGATGAAATGGATGATGATGTTAATAGAACTGATAAATTTGGTATAATTATGAAATTATTATTTATTACAAAAGAATTGTTATTTATAGGATATGAGTCTGGTCATGTTGCTCAAATAAGGCTGAATCGTGATTCTAAAACTTTTGAAATTATTAACATTGAACACCAACATTATCCAAACCCAGTTTTATCATTAACATTTGATAAAATCCACAATGTCGTATTGAGTACTTCAATAGGCTCTAACATTGTTATTCATAGTCTTGAAAAAAAAGATGCAGTTGATGTTAAGCTTTCAAAATTTGGAAAAATTTCAGGAGTTGCAGTTGTACATGATAAATATATAATATCTTCATGGAATGGATATATTAGGTTTTATAAATTAGGTTCAGATCATACAAGTTTGGAATATTTGGCAAACTTTAAGAAACCAAAAGGATTATTAGCTGGTGATTTGAACATTATTGGGAATATTAATAATGATGCTGAAGCCATCGGAGAGAAAAGTACCACGATAAAACCTACCTCTCTTGAAGTTTATCAAGAAGTTGAAGTTGTTGATCCTTTGATAAAAAAGGGGATACATAGACGTGATTTAAAAGTTATTGAAACTTCATGTTTAGCAGTTGGATATGGAGATGGTACAATTACACTTTATAATGATTTATGAAATGAAAATGTTTTGATTAAAAAAGGGAAAGTTAGTTATCTCTATATAAAAGAATTAATAATGCATCTCTATTGAGCTTCTGTAGTTTTTTGATCGGATTTATCTTCTGATTTTACATCTTCTTCTTTTTGTTCTTCAACATCTTGTTTCTTTTCTTCTTCAGGTTCTTCTTTTATAGTTCCCACTATTTGTTCTGACTCTGTGTTAACTTCTTTCTCTTTTGAATTTGGGGTATCTAAAGTTTTTTTATCAGCATCACTATTATCCTTAGCCTTTTCAATATAAGAAGATTCAGGTTTATGTGCACTCAAATCATTATCAGACTCTATATAACTTAAATCTTGATCATCATCTGATTCATCATTTTCATCACTATGTGTTCCTTCTGAATTTTGATTTGCACCTGATTTTTTACCTCTTCTTCTTCTACGTCTTCTTCTTTTACGTTTTGGTTGTTCAACAACACCTTCTGTTGAAGTAGATGTAGGATCAATTGGACTTGGATTTGGAATAGAATTAACAGTGGAAATTGATTCACTTGTTGTTGTCATGGCAGTATCTGGACTTTTTGGAAATCCAGCACTATTCAAAGGGGTATCAAAATCGAATATTTTAGATTGTCTTTTGGTAGAGTTATTACTTCTTATACTTTTATCATCAAAGATTCTTGAAGAGCGTCTTGAATGTGATGTAGATCTTGTTGTTTGATTTCTATCATAATCACTTTCAAAATATCTTGATGAACGTCTAGAATCAGATGTTGGAATTCTTGAAGTATTTGAATTATTACGTTGATGTCCTTTAACACTTTTTGATCTGTTTAAAGTACCAGCATTTGGTGTTATTCTATCTTTCAATGGGATAGATTTATTCAATTCTTTATCCAATGATAAGACTCTTTCTTCCACACTCGAATTTCTTTCAGTATTTGTAGATGAATTTGAAGGTGATCTTGATGCTGTTTTTCTTTCATTTCTCTTTTTAATATTAATTTGTTGAGATGGAGTTTTTCTATGAGATGGAGGTCTATAAGGAGCTGGTTTCTGCTGTTGTGGTTGTTGCTGTTGATCCGTTTGTTCATTTTGTTCAGAAACTTCTTCATTTTCCACATTTTCTTTGAACGGATCTGTTCTTGTTTCATCACCAGCAAGATAATTATTCAGCAATTCCTCTTTATTTATTTGACAACTTATAGCCACTTCATGGAATAATTCTTTAGAAAGTTCAATCAATTTAGAAACATCACGATTTTGTTTATTATTAGCGTTTGTAACTTTTTCAAGTTTTGATGCTAATTTTCTATCTCTATCTTGATATAATTGTTCTAATTCCGCACTTCTATTATTTACGGATTTTAAAGATCTACCAATTGTGGAGTCACTCTTTGTAATTAATGTGATGTTTTTACTGATATGCTCTTCCTTCTTAGCAATAAATTCACTTAATCTATCTTTTAAAGTTTTAATCTCTTTGTTATAATATTCTCTATATTCTTTTTGACTTGTTACTATGGTATCATAAGCAATTTTTAATCTTTCAAATTCAGCAACAGAAGTTGCTTCACTTTCTCTAATTTTTTCACATCTAACTTCTAATTGTTGAAATTTAAATTTTAAATCATCATTCGAGCCTGAAGTTTCATTTAATTGATTTTCAAGATCATTAATTCTTCTTTGTTTTCTTTGTAATAATGAATTAACAGTTTCATTTTCATGTTTAGAATTTGATAATTGTTCCATAATTTGATCTCTTCTTTTCTTTACTAAATCATGAGATTTTTTCAATTCATCATTATTTGATTTTAGTTTAATTCTTTCAGATTTCAATTCATCAATTTCCTTATGTAATGCTTCAATAACTCTTGTTGAAGATGTAGTAGTACCAGGTCTTCTAGGACTTGAAAATGCACTTAAATTGTTTGATTGTGATTTAATGTCAAGTTGTTGCTTTGATGGTGATATGTTGTTTGATTGTACCAGAGGGGTTCTTGTCTTTGAAGGAGTAGACTCGAAGCTATCTTGTCGTGTGAATTTTTGATCTTCCACAGCTGGGCTATTGAAATCTTGATCCATGATGGGGTGATTCTCTTTGTTTTCTTCAAGTATTGACATTTGATTCACCTCTTCAGCAGCACTATAGATGGTAGCGATGATTCAGTTTGAATTACCAGCTTTTTAATCCTTTCCAGCTCTTTACCAACGGAGATCAGTATAATATTAAAATCTGGGCTATAATATTGATCAATATATGGGCGCTTAAGACGAAAAGAACAGTGTTGAAAACCGGTAAGTTCAGAGATCTAATGAGTGACTTGTTTCTAGAGTTTCTAGGAGCCTTTTGTGTCTTGTAATGGTGTGGAATACCAATCGATTCTATCTCAAACCGTGGAAAAGTGGTGAAGAAATGTGAAGAATCACTTTTGCTATCAATTCTTTACCAAAATCTGAACAAGTCAGTACTTTTCTAAGAGTCGGAATTCTTATGATAAAATTTAAAAAAAAAATATCTTCTTTGTTTACATTCTTGAAATTGTTGCTGTGGTAACAAAACAGTATAATTGTTAATGCGAGAATGTTAACTATGGAAACTACGCTAAAAATGAGCGATAATCGGTATGTAACCTATTAAACTCACTGGGTATCTGGGAATGATGATATTTTGGTGAATCTAAGGCCATTTGGAATCGATCAGAGATTGGTGTTGAAACAGGTATTTAAAATGGGTCTTTTCGGTATTCCTGAGATACTCTTCTTCAATTTCTCCTTGAGTTAGAGGTCAAAGATTTGATTAAAGATGAAGTCACCTACAAAGTACGAAAAGAATATAAAGAACATAATTGGTAAATTTGATAAGATTAGTTCACCAAAGAAGAAACCATTAAGTTTTATTCAAGAGATTCTACCTAAAGATCAAGAGTCACATATATCTTCGAAAGATATTAAGCATGATCAATCAATACAGCAAGAGCAAGTACAATTATCCCAAGATCCAATATTGCAAAGCTCACCAAATGTGAAAGTCTTATCACAAGAACAATATGTTCAACAGATTGAATCTTATATCAAGTCAGGATATCTTGAATCTATAATTGATTCAGAGGAAAACAAGAATGATCTTGAACCAAAATTGATCGATTTCGATTCAGCTCCAAAAGATGAAGATTCAAATAGCAAACACGAGTCAATTAAGTATGATATCAAACCAGAAATGAAGGATAATGAAAATAAACTAGAAACAATTAACTTTCCTAAAGATCAAGATCAAACAATTGATGATCCAGAAGCAACCAAATCCGTTATATTCTCACAAATAGCTGAATCTAACCCAATTGTGCAATCTACCAATCTAGAAACAATAACGATAAATGATTATGAATTTGATGAAGAAGATCATTCACCAGATTATGTTTATCGACCACTTGCAGAACCACAAGAAGAATATGACGAAGCTTTTGGAAAATTCACATTTAAAGAACGCTATAAAAACATTCAAACTGATGATATCGAGCTACTAGAAGATGATGAAGAAGAGGAAAGCTCTTCATATAATGATTCACCAACTTCACATCAATCATTATTTGGCTCAACATTACAACAAGATCAAGATGAAGAAGATTCATTAATAAAAGATGCAATGCATCATGAAAGACCTTTTTTCAAATCAATAATTTATATTGATGTCTTTACAGGATATATTGGATTAGGATTATTTGTTTTAATGATAATTTTAAGATTTCTTTATATGTGGCAACAAAGAGAAGAAGTTTCATTTTTACGTTCTGAAGTTAAAGAATTATCTGGAGTGGTTAAAGCACTTGAAATGAAATTTTCAAAACTTGATGTTACAGCTTCAAGTATTAACATTCCAATAAATTTTGCTCAATGATGCATTGATGTTCATGTCAGTTTTCAATTCTAATGCATCTGTTTCTAATAAATGAATATACCAAATACCCTTTCTTATAATTAAATGGTTAGTTTAATAATTTTAATACACATATTGTACATGATTAACTAAACCCGACGTAAAGACATGAATTAATTAATTTATTATACAAACTTGAACTTATGTTTTTTTTTCTTTTTTAACAACGTTTTTTTATTTTATGAGTTTTAATTAAATTTAACCCATACCAAATTGTTTCATCATTTGCTGTACTTGAGGATTATTCATCATTTGACTCATATCTGGCATACCACCACCAGCACCACCCATCATCTTCATCATTTCATTCATATCTGGCATACCACCAGCTCCAGCACCTGGCATACCACCACCACCAAACATATTCATCATTTTATTCATCATACCTGGATTTTGTTGCAGACGTTGTTGAGCTTGTTGGATTTGTTGAGGTGTTGGTTTAAAACCTGGTGGCATACCTGGAAAACCGCCTGGTCCAGCACCACCAGCTTTTTGATCCATCATACCTTTTGTTCTTTGTGCCATTGTTGCCATCATTCTTTGTTGCATTAAAATCATTTCAACTTCTGTTGCAGAAGTACCTGAACCTTGAGCAACTCTAATAATTCTTGTTGGTTCATTAATGAAAATTTGTCCATCACTATCTAATTCTTTTTTAGTCATTGAATCCATTATATAAACCATTCTTTTCATTTTATTTGAAGCTTCATCTTCACCAACTTGTCCCAGCATTTGACCCATACCTGGAATCATATTTGCAATTTGTGACAGAGGACCCATTTTCATTATATTTTGCATTTGTTTTTGGAAATCATTTAATGTAAATTTACCTTCTTGTAAATTTTTCATAGTATCTTTATTATCTAAATCTAAAGATTGAACATGTTCCATTAAACCTTGAATATCTCCAATACCTAATAATTTAGAAATAAAAGATCTTGGTGAAAAAGTTTCAAAATCTTGAACATGTTCACCTGTACCAATGAAAACAATTGGAGTATTTGTTGCAGCAACTGCAGATATAGCACCACCACCTTTTGCATGACCATCTAATTTAGTTAATATTATAGAACCGAAATTTGAAGATTCTTTAAAAGCTTTTGATTGAGATTCTGCAGCTTGACCAATTGAAGCATCAAGAACCATAATTGTTTGATTTGGTTCAACAGCTTCACCAATTTCAATCATTTCTTGAAATAAATCTTCTTCTTGTCTATGTCTACCTGAAGTATCCACTATAATGATATCGAATTTTTCCTTTTTAAATTTATCAACACCATCTTTTGAAACTTTAACAGGATTTGTTTCAGTATAAGAACCATAAAATGGAATTCTTGCCTTTGTTGCATTTTGTTTTAATTGATCAAAAGCACCAGCTCTAAAAGTATCAGCACAAACTAAACCAACTTTAAAACCTCTTCTTTGATAATAAACAGCTAATTTAGTACATGATGTAGTTTTACCAGCACCTTGTAAACCAACAAACATTATAACATTACTTTTACCCTTTTTAGGTTTATAAGGTTCAGTTTCAGTATCAACTAAACGACATAATTCATCAAAAACAACTTTTTGAATCAATTTTTTCTTATTAATACCTGGTTTTTCACCTTCAGCATTTAATTTATGTTTAATATCTTTTCTTAATTTAACAACTAATTTAACATTAACATCTGATTCTAATAATGCATTACAAATTTCTTTCAACATTAAATCAATAGCATCATCATTGACTTCATTGGACTTGATAGCCCCTGAGACGGCGGTATTGATCCTGCGTCCTAAATCAACCAACACCATATTCACTGATTATAATTATAGTATTCTGATCTTTGGAGATGGTTGAGATGACTCTTGATGATATTAATACCCATCTCTGAATTGTTCAACGTCGTATTTTTATTCTCAGCGTTCAAAAACATGCGCGAAAACATTTCGCGAATTTCTAATCAATTATACTCGTTTACATATATAAGTTAAATTTAATACTAAGAAAGTCACAAGATCTGATAAAATCAATTGAAGAAATTGGTTTCAATTTGTTATTTATTATGGATTTTTTCAATGTTAAGACAGATTCAGAAATCATACCAGCAACTCCCGAACTTTTCGCTATAGTTGATCCTAATTTAAGTCATAATGAAACAGATTCACAAAATCAAATATTAATGTTTTGGTATAATTCTACAATTGATGATAATGAAAAACTACGAAAGATTGGGATAATTCAAGGCATTAATGAGTTTACTAAAAGTTTTACTACAAATGATGAGCAACAAGAACAAGGACAACAGGAAAAAGTACGATATATTGAATTGGATAATCAATTAATTTTATTTGATATATGGGAAGATAAATATCAGGTTATTTTAAGTATAAATTTAACCAAGATTAAAGATGAAAATGCAGTGGAATTTATACAAAATGATATATCACCAATAACATTCTTGAAAAAACTAATTAATCAAGGTTATAATGAATTTAAATTACATAATGGTACTATAACTAAAATTTCTCAAACATTAAATTCCAATGATTTTAAAGAATTTTTAAATAATTGGTGGATAATATGGTTAAAAAATTTACAATTAGAAATAATAGAGAATGGGGTAATGAAATTATACAATGGATTCAAAAAATCTTCATCATATCAATCAATTACTACAGATTTATCAAATTTATTTATATTCAATACAAACAAGACAAATTTTGAAAATTATGGATTAATTTATACCAATAATAAATTATCATCACAATCACAAATATCATTACTTAATTGGATCGAAGAATTAGATAATTATGAATTATTAAATACCCAGGGGCTTATATTATCACAAGTTTTAAAAACTCCAATATTAACATCTGGTCAATCAAATGGTTCAACTCAAGAAATTGTTTATGATCCTTTTAAATTAGTTCTCAATACTTTAAGTGAAGTATCTAAAATTAGTGGTGTTACCGCTGGTGTTAATGCAAGTGTTAATGGGATAAGTTCTGGGATTAATACAATAAATGGTTATTTACCAAATGTATCAAGATTACCTGAATGGATGGGTGGTGGTGGCGGGAATGGTGGTGATGTGAATGTTGAAGAAGAAGCTAGAAGACAAGGGTATGAACCTATTGAAAATGCTGAAGAACATGAAAAATATTTAATTGGGAAGATTGATGGGAATATTATTAAAAAGGAAGTTTGGTTAGATAATGATGATGATTATGAATTAAAGAAGTATAATGTTGTTGTTTATCAAAAAGATGATTTATTATATTTATATGTATTGGATGATTTTAATGGAGATTTAGATGATGGTAGATATTATGATGAATTAAAACAAAAATTTAATGAAATTTCAACACAATTATCAATAAAAATAAGTGAAAATAAAGGTTTTTATTTTTTGATATATGATCAATTTCATAAATCAATTGAATCAAATTTACCAAATATTCCAACATTTGATAATGAAGAAGTTAATGATTTAAAATATTTTCATGATTTAACCAGTTCAAAAACTCAATCACAATATTTACATAGAGAATTAATTAAAATCTTAGGTACAATCACCCCAGATCAAATTGAAACATTAAAAAGAACCAAAAATGGTTGGTGGATATTAAGATTATTACACCAAGGTAAAGAAATATTAATAATCAAGAAATGGTCATATTCAAATGGCGTTTCAAATAAAACAAATTCAGTTGATCCAATACGTGAACGAATTTTCCAAAATTCAACAAGTCTTATTGGTAGTATTGGTAAAGATGCAAAAATATGGTTAGATGATTATTTAACAAAGAATAAAATATAAATTATTATTTATTATTACCCATTTTATATACCTTCTTCCCTCATTGTAATCACGATAAACAATTAAATCAACATAAAACCGACAACTTTTCTTCTATATAGAACCCATATGCAAAACACCAAAACAAATACACATCATCAAACTAGTAACCGCCCTATGAATTACCTTCCTATCAAATAATCAAAAATTAACCGCCAGAGGCAAACATTTAATCTTCTTTATTTGAATCAATAATATTAATTAAATTAGTTATAATTTCATCATTTTGTAAAAATAAACCATCTTCATTATAAATTAAATCATTTTTAAAATTATCATCTAATGTAAAATTTGAAATATCATTAACATAATAATCAATTTTTTTACCAGTTTCTAAACGAATATGATTAATTATACTTGGTGGTACGATTGGTAATTTTTTAGAATGATTTGATGATTGATTGTTTAAGAATGATTTTGTTAATTCATCATGATGTTGATGTTGATGTTGATGTTGGTGGTGTTGATGGTGTTGGTGTTGATGATGTTGGCGGTTATTATCATTTATTGAAAATAATGAATTATAAGAATCAGATTTTTGATTTTTTTTCAAATAACTATCTAAACGTTCATTTTGATGTGTATAATTATTTTGTGAATCAAAACTATTTGCAATATTTATCTTTGGTTGTTGAACTTGTTGTTGTTGTAATTTTTGTCTCTTTATTGGATGAATATTTATATCTTGTTTAAATAAATTTTCAATTTCTTTTATAGATTTATCAAATATTTCAAATTCATATCGTTGTCTCTTTGAATAAGATGCTTGATTGGGTATTGTATTAATAACAGTTGACATGTTTAATGAATGAAAGTGTAGCTCAGTATGAGTTTTCAGTAATCAAGATTTCAAATTCTTTTTATATAATATCAAAATTTGATACAATTCCACCACGAGATTATCCTATCAAAGACTCCTCACTAGATTGACAGTAAAAAAAAATGCAAAATAGAAAGTCAAAACTTAAGTTTATTGTGTATAAATTGGAGAAGCAAAGCGCAACTGAGGTTTTAAATAATATATAGTGAACTGGTGATGAAGATGGAGTCCTATAATTTAAAGTCGGATAAGTGTACTGTATGTCGTGGTGTTATTTGTGTATTGTGGTGTAATTTGTATGGGTTTATGGGATCATGGCGTTGTAGGATCCGTAAGTGGCACCAAAAGGTATCTTTTGCCCATGAAGAGAAAAGTGAGCGCGCGTGGACTCCCACTAAGCAGACCAAGCTTACCACCCAGATACCCAGATACTACCCGAGAAAAGACCTAAGACTCTGTGGAGATAGAGATAGTTCAAGAGATTATCAAGAGGAGAATAGAATAGGAGTATGACAGTATGACATTCTAGTATCAGTTTCTATAACTAATATGATCACAGGTGTACTTTTGTATTTTGTATCGTTAATAAATGATCCGATGATTTTTACAAAGAAAATTACTCCGAATCGCAATTTAAATTTTTCAGTTTTGGAGTAATCATTGGAGAATATTACCGCCCCTCAATACAAACCATGATGAGATGATTGAATGATATTAGACAATCTGAATGATTTCATGTCATGGAATGTTCTTTATGGCTAATGGGTAGTGGAAATGTAACTGTGTATCTTTGTTATCTCCACATATTTTATATACCCTGTGAGTCTTGCGGTCTTGCGGTCTTGCGCTTTCTTATCTATTGAAAAATTAATGATATGATGAAACTTGGTGATGTGAAATCGTAAACATAAGATTACAATATTACTAGGTTTATCAACAAAGCTGGGTTATCATAGGTTATCTTCCTCGGTACATACTACATGCTTCAAACAACCTATCTAAACTTTAACAATTGCTTTTAATATTCCCCGTTGGACCAGTTCAGATAGCTTTATAGTATAGAAATTTAGCTATCAATGCACAAGTACTTAACTTATTGACGTGTGTTTATTTATACCATTTGACATGTTTTTAGATAGATTAGACACCTATTAATTCATTATTGGAGTACTATTGGTCTTGGAGTACATATATCGTTATCTTAGCAACTTTATTTTAATCATAGTAGACCCATATAGACCCCATATCGATCAAATAAATTGCTCAAAGATTTAAAGATTAAAGATATACATCAAGATTACACATCTGTCAAAATGCATTACAGCCTGTCATAAGTATTTGTTATCTTTTAAAGTTTTTGATAACGTCATTAAAATTCAACATATATATACACCACACCCATAAACAGTTGATCTTTCTTAATCTTAAGTCACTGGATTCTTTATCAAAAAATCTATATGATTATCAATAAATTTACAAATTGATTCTTTATCAACATTTTCAAAATATTTTAAATTAATTTTTAAATCACAAAGTAATGATTTCATTCTCTTGTATTGAACTAATTCAAAATCAAATGGTTCAACTAAAAATTTTGAAATATCTGAATATAATCTAATTTCTTCACCTTTTGAATTTTTTAATTTATTTTCTTTCCATAATAAATATGGATTAAATTTTGGGAAATTTGCATGAACAGTAAAAACAGAAGCTAATCTTGTATCAAAATTTTCTTCAAATCCTTTAAAATTTTCATTTTTAGAATTTAATAATAAACGTTCATATTGTTCATAATCTTCAATTGGTGATCTTTGTCCCATTGAAACACCTTGAAAATTCCCATCATCAAACCAACCAAATGATTGAATTTCTGATTTAACTTGATAAAATTTTTCATTTGATTTAATTGCTGCTGCAATAAATGTATCTTTATCACCTTCACCACTTTGTCCTTGTGAAAGTAATTTATAAAAAAAATTTGGTCCATAAAGATTATAAAAAAATGATAATAATATAGTTTTTAAATGATCAGATTTTCTAATCATTAATTGTCCTGATTCTGATGATAAATCTGGTATTGAACCTTCTAAATCATGTAATGGAACCTGGTCTAATTGATTTTCTGGAATAATTTTAGATTCTAACATTGGCCATTTCCCCATTCTAACTCTTTTATTTGTAATATTAATATTTGCAATATCATAAAATAATGGTGATGTTGTTCTTAACCAATAATCTGGCCATAATACCATACCATGATTTATAAATGGTTTTGAATAAAATAATTTATCAGGATTACTAACTAATATATTATCACTATCCATAAATAATATACTATCAAATGATGATGCAATTAATGCTAATGATTTATATTGATATCCTGAAAATTTCATTGTTGACATAACTTCTTCACCAAATACATTATCTAATAATATACATTTCCCATTTAATGAAGGTAATATAATTTCACATAATTCTTGTTCATATTCTTCAATAGTTGGTATAATTAATTCTATTGGTAATTTTGAACCAAATGATCTCAATGATTTTATTGATAATAATGATAACCATGAAAATTGAGCACCTCCAATCATAACTATACCTTCACCTTTATAAAGATCTTTGGGGAATTTATATGGTAATTCATTGAAAACTTCTTGATGAATTTTTTGTAAATTTTCAATTTGAATTGGATCTAATTTTAAAAATTCTGATAATTTTTTTTTACTCCAAATTAATTCAGAATCACGAGAATCTGCTTTACCAATAAGATCTAAAGCAGGAATTTTAAATTTTTGTTCATTAAGAATTTTAAACATTTTTGAATAAAAATTTTGTGATTTTTTATTTCTCTTGGAATCTTTAATATGACTTTGTAATTCTTTATTTAATAAATCATCACCAAGATCTATTTTAGATTGTGATATATGTCTTAATAATGAATTATTATCATTTTCATTAAAATATGAAAAAATATTTTGACGAATACTATTTATCTTAGAATTTGTTGATTCTTTTGATGATGATGATGATACTGAAACTAATGAATATATGACGAAAAGAATGATTGAAGACAGGATCAAAAGCCTTCTTAGCCTTGGTGTTATCATCTTGATCTATAATATAACCTATCACTGATGATCTAGATCAATAACAATAAGTAAACAACACAACCCAAATCTATGGTATTGTTTTTTTAAAAACAACACATTGGACACGAAATTTATGGGAATGCTTTTGGTAAGAGACACAGTGCAGACGACCCTCAAATTTTATTTTTCGCGATCATAATTTGCGTTTTCATTTCAACTACGAGTATTAAAGATTTTAGGAGAAAAGAATTCACATAAATTGAAAGTCTTATATATAAAAGTTTCTAAAAAACAATTGTTAGTTGATTTGTTTCACGGTGAAAATATATTCCAGATTGATTATTCATATATCAGAGTCATTAAATCAGTATTTTTGTTTGTTAATCAATGATGGGCAGAAACCCCATCTCGTACAGTGTGAATATAAAAAAATCATCACAATATGAACAAAATCAATCATTTGGTGTTATCAAGTACTTACCAATAATGTATGAATGATAAAATAATTATGTTATCCAAGAATTATTGTAAAAAATCTCTATTGAAATCTTGTTAGATTTAAATCCAAATAAAACATTTCTGATTAAAAAGTTAAAAGTCAGCGAAACGACCTTTCATCAATTTCAACCCACCAGCACCCTAATTTGTACACGAAGAATGCGGCTACCAGTAAACTGGTGATGAGTCAAACACATATGTCCGCCCGGTCGATAATATATCCTCATTCAAAAAACCAATTTTTTTAATCATTTCCAAAAAATCATTGAATTTGAAACATACTCTTTTGAAAATTTGTTAGTCTATTAATCCTAATAAAATCAAATCTATTAACTGAATCCAATGTAAAAAAAGGCTCATACAAGGCTGAAACTTAACGATAATGCAGTTGTCGACAAATGGTTATTCAGTCGGAACAATTGGTAAAATGCAAATAATCACCGCCGGTTTTTTTTTGGAATTCAATAATGAACAATATAATCTTAATTCACATACTTATTACTTTCAAAAATGAAAACACCCTAGTAAACCTTTAATCTTTTGAATTCATGATACATCATGAAGACAATTGATTTTTGGTTATTCTTCATAGTTGTAAAAGAGTGTTAAAAGGAAAAAGTTTTTTTTTGTTTTTCATTTCCATTGTCGAATTGATGATTTTGAAGATTCTCTTAATTCCGGGTTACAATTAAACTCGCGCAGTACCGGTAAAGGACACATACGAATTAGGGCATACCTATAAACTTTTAAATTTAACATACAATTTTCTATTTCTATACTCTATTGTATGTAAGGTTGATGATAATGATGATGTTCATGACTTCAGAGTTCATCATCATAATAAGCACTTATATCTTCAAATTCAAGATCATCAGAAGTGGGTGATACTTCTTCTTTCTTAGTTTCAAAACTATGATCTTTACCAAAATGAAGATTTGTTGCATCAACTGCAAATCCAAATGATTCAATATCTTTAATCATTTGTATAACATTAAAAGTATGTGGAACACACATTGATACTGAATTCCCTAATACAACAATGTTTTTATTCTTTGGTTCAACTTCAACACCTTGATTAAGCATACAATAAACACCTAAAAATGTTGACATTATTGAAATTACTAATAATGTAAATTCTGATCCAAATGCTGCACCATGTGATTTCCTTATAAGTTGACCTTTTGGTGATACTATAAAAGTATTTATGAAGAAATCTTCTAATGCTTTAAATAATCTATGGTTTGATGAATCAGATTCTTTACGTCCTTTATGATTATTATTAATGATATCTTTATTGAAAATCCAACGATGAATAATCTTGAATGTATTTCTCAAAAAATATGGTGGGATATTTTGATGTATGTTTAATATTTCAAATTCACAATAACGGAAGTTACCATAACTATTTAATTTATTATAATAGTTTTCATATGGTAATTTAAATGGTGATTTTGACCAATTATTAGGATCAACAATCTCATTATAAATTGGAGTGGTGAACATTCGTTCAAAAACTGTAGTTATAGCAGGATAACACCAAGAGCCCATGTATTTTTCATTATAGAAATCACCATTCGATTCAAGCCTCTCCTCTTGATCCACATTTGTGCTATGGGTTTCCATTTCAGTTTTCCTAAGCTTTTTCGCTTCCTTTCTTTCTCTTCGTATTGAACTATTAGATTGATCTTCAGTATCATGTTTAATATTTGAATCATCCAAAATGTATTTTTTACCAAAACAAACAGGTGCTAACGCTTTAGCACCCATTTTGTGAACATCTCTATATGTGTTCAGTGATAGCTCAGAAATCCAATCCAGACAGTCAGCTTTTACACTAGCAAATCTCAAAAATGGTAGGCCAGGTGAAGCTGTAAGCTCAAAAACAGTATAATCTTTACCATGTGCTTCTGCGATTGATAAGATTTGATCACAATCACCATCGAATACACTAAATAAATCTTCAACAATATTAAATGTGCTTTTAAATAATGGATCAAAGTCGAATTTGGGATAATTATCAAACGTTGCTATATGAGGATTGAAGAACTCTTGAACTTTATTTACTTTAAAATAATCACATTCAATCATTGGTATTGGTGAATGTTGATAAGGTAATGTCTTTGGATTTCTGAATGGCCTGAAGTATCCTAAAGTTGATAAATGAAGACCATTAAAAACATCATATGAGCGCATGTAAGTTGCATCGTAAAGATGATTTAATAATCCAAATTCTCTAGAATTTTTGTACCATTGATCCCAACGATCCGAAGTCATCAAATGATCTTTGATTATTTTTGATGAATGGAACCCGATAAGATCTTTTTCATTGGATTTTCTAGAATTAAACCAATTGATATATTCGATTTCAATCTTTTTAAAGAAATCAAGCTGTTCTCTAGTATACTGATCCCTTTTAAACCGCAGTGGTTGTCTAATCCCCCTTTTTCTTCTTCTTGTTTTTGGTGGGGAGATTTCTCTATTTAAAGAAGGAACATTGATTTGGTTTGACCTATTCACTGAATCACTTTCAGCTTTATTATCATCCTCCACATTATTAGAACCCCGATTGACCTCATTATTAACAAAATTTGAGTTATCATTAGGTCTGATAATTTGACTTGGCCTTTTCACTGATTCATGCTCAGATTTATTTCCATCTTCCACATAATTAAGAGCCTGGCGAGCTTCAATATTAATCAGCTTTGAATACTCATTAGGTTGACTATAATGGCGCTGATATGAAATTCTTTTTGCATTCTCTTGAGAGGTCAGAAACGGCCGCTGTGATGAAGCTTGATGTATTTGAGGCGATGGCCTTTGATATAATGTTTGATGTCTTTCACCATTATGAGAGATACGACCACCAGCTAGAAAAGAGACACAAGCAATCAGCAGAGTACCAGCCAAAGTAGCACCAATCACAACGTCCATCTTAAAAACCGCCCAACTTGATTAAAATCTTAGGTTTCTTGTAATATAGGGGTATATCTCTATAGTAGCCAGCTTCTTCCTCCTAGCTTCACCAAGCCAATTCCTCTAACCAGGTTCTTTACCCACCGATTATAGCTTTCTTTTGAAAAAGTGTTTGCTTGTTTGTTGATCAAAAGGGCCCCTATTGTTTAAGATGTTTGAGATCTATCACATTCCGCCAAAGTTTAAGTAAGCTAATAGTAGATTGAATTCGCGGAATTTTATCCTTACAAATCGCGAAAATTTTGACACATATTTTCAATTTTTTTATTTAGGGGCGGGCCTGGGCCTAATGAAAAAGCTTCTTGAATATGAATATATGAAACATGTGTAAATTTGATTAGATGAAAGGCGTTGGGAATATGACTACACTGACAAGTAGTATAGCTATAATAGATTCACATCCCAATTTCCAGCATAACAAAGTTAGTATGACTACAAACCATTTCAAGGAGATAGTTGTGCAGTATCACCCTTGTATATGACTTGAAACAAGCGTGTTGGACCGAGGTGGTATATTTGAACGTCCATTTATTGATAATTATATCATGGTTATAGTGTATTTTATATTAGACAAAGCTATATGGGGCTTACAAGATCTCAATATCCCCAGGCGCTTGTAATCTCATCCCCTATTTCATATGAAATTCATGAATATATACCCGGGGTTGTAAACCACGTCGAAGAGCTTATATCGATTGAGAAGTCAGCAGTTTAATATCGTATTTCACTAATTTGCAATAGATATAAGCCAGTTGAGTGTAAGTTAAGTATGGCGTTGACCCTTCCTTCCAAGTTCCCTGTCATTAATGAAAACGTTGCAAATCAATTAATCTAAACATGTTTCTTTGAAGAAGCAATGAATTTAGACAAGGGTATATACAGGTGTCAATTTTTGAGCTAACTTTCATATGGGCTTGTATCTAGTTTTAGTTAGATGCACCTCGTAATAAGTTATAGGGAACATCATGTTGAAAGTACTTGAAACTTTATCATGGAGGCTGCATTAAGTACTAAGCAGCTTACAGATTCTTCATATGATTCATATTATCCTTATCACTAAGATGTCAACCTTATCAAATTGAATATCAAAGTTAGCTTAACTTATGAAATAGACATAGTACGTTTGTATAAGGTTATAAAATATAGCTAATATTTATGCATACTGATGTTACTGTCACACCCAAACTTTAAATGGGCTTGTAATTTGTAATATCGAAAGTATAGTATATCATCTCGAATTTAAGTTTGTAATAGAGCTTAACACGTCGGGGAATTGTTATACTCATGAGCTATAGGTATCAAGTGCTAAATCACAATGTGAAATTCTGAATATGCTGGTAGTATATAATGTAATTGACCTCTGACATGTGTATAGATCTCGCTCATTTCCAAATAAGTCATGAAGCTCGATATGACTAGATTGATTACTCCATGTGTCTTCCAATCCACCATGTGTAAAGTAATTAGTACATGTGACTCGTGAGTACCTATCGTGATTAGTGACGCAGCATGCTTAATAAGTGTGATAAAACTATAGCATTAAGCTGTTCGAAGACTTAAAACCGGGGTTCATCTCAATATTATCAAAGCATGTCTTATCAAACTGATATCCTTTTAATCCAACATACATAGACCAGCCGAATAAATTATACACATACACATGTGTTTGTAACGTCACTTTAAAGCCAGATAATATTAAGAGATCTAGAGCTAGCAAGTAAGCTAGTCTAGATAATATTCCTGGATCAATATACGATAAAGCATATAGTGCTAGAGCGATCATATAGGAAAATCATTATCCTATAGAGCAATCAAGAAGAGATCATGAGATGGTTAGGGATCATATATGGTTTACTCTAGGTCATAAATGGCTTCGTATTCACAGCAGCTGTCAAATATTGGTCTCCATATTATAATCCTGGATAACGCCTCAATATTTTATACTTCTTGCGAAATTCTGGGGTTGAAACAGCATTCCCTATACCTCCAGATACTCGAATGAGTTGAATTGATACACATATGCTTTTGATTTCAAAACTTTCTTTATCGCCGATCTCTTAAGTTTTAACTGTAGTTACACAGAGTTTGTCGATCCCTGGCAGAAATTGGATCTGAAAAATTTATGGGAGTTAAAATCTCTGGCTGGAAGTTTGCCTGATGATGAGCAAAACTATTAGTGCTCGTACTCAATCAACGTAAGGTTTAATCATTAAAGAATCTCATTTATACATTCGAAAGTATAATTTAATCACTTCACTAAACTTTCCAATTTCATCTCAAGATGTTTCACAGATTCATGGATTCAAGGCCTAGCTGGTTCTGAAGTTAATTCATTTCAATTTTCAAACATGTATCCAGGGAATTGAGATTCACAACTGGTCCTACGCTAGAAGGGTACCGCACTAAACGAACGTAAACTACGTTCAATTCTCTGTTCGTTTTTTGATTGTTACTATAGTTAAAGTAATTCGCTTTATTATGATGTCCTATTCTGCGATTGCCGTACAGCTTGTGTTATTATTTCCTCTGAAAGTGATTGGTTCCTCTGTATATGCCCTTTCTTTATTTTGGCTCTGATGAAAAATTTTGTATGTACTTTATGCCGCTTTCAGATAATTTCTGTACGAAACTTTTTATCCGTAGGCAGAAGAGTTAGACAGAGAGGTCTGTTTAGCTATTGAACACTCTGCCTAAAGGTGTCTATCCCTGCCTATCCCCCTCTAATACGTGAGCCCAGCGCTAGGCTGGTGATGAAGAAAAGATTGGCGGGGCTGCTAGAGTAATCTCTTCCCGTTATGCATAATTATGTGAGTTTTGCAGGTTAAGAAAAAAAAAAATTTTTTTTTTGCCCTTCGTTACCAAAAACAAACAAAAAGAAACTTTGAAATAAAAATTTGTACATAATCCTCTATAATTTTGGGTAAATCCCATAGTAAAATCTTTATATATATAGGAGTTTGATAATTTTATACTCCCTATATATAGATAATTGATTCCCCTTGAATTTAAAGAAACTTGTTCCTGAACTTTTTGAATTTCTTCATTCATTGAATCAAAAGTGGTTTGAATCTATCAATTGATCAATCACAACTTGCTCATTCAATTCTATCACATATTCTTATAGACAGTTTACTTTAATAGAATATTTCTTTTTCTTATATTTTTCATATACATATAAAGATCTAAATTCTATTTAAAAAACTGTTCTCAGTGGAAATCTTAACATACCAAAGTACCCATATTCAAACATATTAAAGAGCAACATATACCATGGTTTTCCAAACTCGTAAGTCTAATCGTTTTCGCAATTTAAGTTCTAAAGCTAAACAATTACAAGAACAACAACAATCACAAGTTATCAAGAAACCAATTTTGAGATCTATCACAACTATTGATGATGATGAAAGTACTTATAATAATATAAGTTTCAAAAAAAGAAAGACTTCACCAAGTCCAACCACTAACGTTTCAAATTTTGATGTTTCAGATTATAATAATGATATTGATGATGATGATAATATTGAAAATGAATTGCAGGAAAATTCAGATGATGAAAATATTTTCAATTCAGAAAATGATGATGATTATTATAGTGCACTTTCAGATTATGAATCTGATTCAAAACCAAAATTTCAAACAAGAAAAGCTTCAATTAGTTTGTCAGCTAAATTAAACAATTCAAATAATCATAATGATTTACATGATCAATTAAGAATTTCACAAAATAGAATGATGGGGTTTGAAGATGCATTATTTGATGAAGAAGAATCAGAATCATCAGATTCAACTTCAACTCCAACTTCAACACATTTCAATTTTGGTTCAAATGATGAATTAAAATCATTAGAAGAAAATTTCCAAAAAATCATTAATGAAAACATCAGAGCTAATCAACAAACTAAACAAGAATTCAAAACACCAATTGAAGTTATTAATGATGAATCTACACAAGATATCAAATCTCATGTTAAATTTGATGAATTTGTTAATTATACTGAAGATGAAGAATCTGATTTGGATTCAAGTGAAGGTGAATCATCATCCGAACAACAACAACAACAACAAAGAAAACAACCATCCATTTTACACTATAGACATGATGAAAAGCATAATTTAGCTTTCCCAGATGTTTCAACATTCCCAGTTAGATTTGATCCAATGATGAAGAAGAAGAATACAAAGAATGTTAGAGCATTAAACAGAAGAGCCATTCTATCTGGTAAGGCAAGTGAAATGGTTGGTACTGGTATCACTGCTGGTGATTTTGGTTTATTTTAAGGAGTTATACATACATTCGTTAAGTTTTCGTTATACTTTATTTCTGCATTACATACATTAAAGGTTGACAATTATCAAGTTTGGGTCAACTGTTCATTTCTAGATTTTCAATATAGCTGAATTATCTAAAGTTTTAACTACATTTTTTTTATACCACATGATTTTATAAAGTTAAAGGGATTGTTTTTTTTTTTCATTTCAACTTGATTTCAATTTGTTTTAGGGATATATTATCAACAAATTTATGTATATAGACACACATTATAGGAGTACTATTCATACTGTTTAAATTGTTTCACACTTGATTTTAATACAAAATTTATATGTTATACTTGAACCAATTGTAATATGTTCATTTCTATAGAATCAACTTAACCATCATTCGTAAGTTAATTTCGTATACCCTCAAAAATAACAGCCAATGTTAAAATGGGTATTAATTGATAAGCAGAGTAGGCTATTTATATTCCGACCAGATGCACGTGATACCAATTTGCCCTCGTATATCCTCTTACGGAATCTTTATTTTGCACTTCTCCAGAAATGTGAAAATTTCGCATATGATCAGAAAAGCGCCAAAATTTTCCATACAACCAATTAATTTTTTTAAAGTATTGTTGATTAACGGCCGGTCATCAATTTAAATTTTTTTGACGTTAATAATAATACCTTGGAACATTTTTCTGTCTTAAAAATTATGTTTTTGGGTACTAAACTTTTGAGTTAACGTTATCCAAACAATCAACAACGGGTTGTTCATCAAGGAATATTTGTGGAGTTATTGTTCTTTCTTTATATATTTCAAAAGCGGTGTCAATTTTTCTCCATACTTACCACGGCTTGATTTTTTTGCGAGAGAGTCACTTTTATCTGCATTTAAAACAGGGTTCAACTTTCAACATTAATACTGAAAGTACAAGAATCATTCATATTCAAGGTTTGACAACTATCAAAAGATGACTTCAAAAGTTGTACAAGCGCTGAAGGATACCTTTTTACCCATCCCACCTGCTAAAGTAAGGTCAGCAACAGAGCAACATGATTATGAACTATCAAGAGTTGAAGGATTAAACAATGGATCAACAAAATTCAACATTTCAAATGATGTTGAAGATATAACAAAGAATGAATTCATCACTGATAATACTTCATTAAGTGATGCATCTACAGTTGTGGCACAAACTCAGAGAAGACTGAAAAATAGACATGTTCAATTAATTGGTATATCTGGTGTTATTGGTACTGCACTTTTCGTTTCCATCGGTGGTGGTCTTTATAAAGCAGGTCCAGCTTTCTTATTACTAGGTTTTGCAGCTTGGTGTATTCCAATCTTATGTATAACAGTTTCAACAGCTGAAATGGTTTGTTATTTACCTATAAATTCTCCATTTATTAGAATGGCTGGAAGATGTACAGATGATGCATTTGAATTTATGGCAGGTTGGAATTTTTGGTTTTTAGAATGTGTTCAAATTCCATTTGAGATTGTTAGTGTTAATACAGTTATTCATTATTGGAGAGATGATTATTCACCAGTTATTACATTAGTTATTCAAGTTTTTCTATATTTTTTAATTTCTATATTTGCTGTTAAAGTTTATGGTGAAGTAGAATTTTGGTTAGCTATTGGGAAAGTTATCTTAGCCGTGGGGTTAATGTTTTTCACATTTATAACAATGGTTGGTGGTAATCCAAATAAAGATTCTTTTGGATTTCGTTATTGGAGAGAACCTGGTGCTTTTAAACCATATTTAAGCACTGGACATATAGGTTATTTTCAAGCTTTTGTTGCAATATTATCACAAGCAAGTTTCACTATCGCAGGTCCTGATTATCTTTCCATGGTTGCTGGTGAAACTATATTACCGAGATCAAAAACATTACCAAGAGCTTTTAAACAAGTTTTCTATAGATTAACATTTTTATTTCTTGGCGGTTGTTTATGTGTTGGAATCTTGGTTGCATATGATGATCCTGCATTATCATCAGCTATTAATAATAGTAGACCAGGTGCAGCTGCTTCACCATATGTTGTTGCAATGAATAATTTGGGGATCAAAATATTACCACATATTGTTAATGGTACTTTAGTTATTGCAGCTTTCAGTGCAGGTAATGCATATACCTATTGTTCATCAAGATCATTATATGGGTTAGCATTAGATGGTAAAGCACCAAAAATTTTCACATATTGTAATAAGGCAGGTGTTCCAATCATTTCAGTTTTTGTTTGTTTATTATGGTCATTATTATCATTTTTACAATTGAATAATAATTCAGCTGTTGTTTTGAATTGGATTATTAATTTGATTACTGCATCACAATTGATTAATTTTTCAGTTATGTGTTTTACTTATTTATTCTTTTATAAGGCTGTTAAAGCTCAAGGTATTGATCGTGATTCATTTACTTTCAAAAGTTGGTTTCAACCATGGACTGCTATATTTGGACTTGTATCAGCATTCACAATGATTTGGGTTGGTGGTTATACTGTTTTTTTGAAAGGTAATTGGGATTATGAACAATTTTTATTTAGTTATTTAGCATTCTTTATTGATGTTGGATTATATATTTTTTGGAAAGTTTTGAAAAGACCAAGTTGGAAAAAATCTAAAGATGTTGATTTAGTTAGTGGGTTAAAAGAAATTGAAGATCATGAACGTGAATATTATGAAATGTTGGAGAATAGTGAGAAGAATCAAGTTGAAAAAAATTTGTTCTGGAAGTTGAAAGATCAATTGATTGGATTGATTGTTGGTAGAGATTGATTTGTCTACATCATACGATAGATTACGCGTACGCGTACTATATTTATTTATTCTTAATTATAATAATTAGTTTGCATAAATATGTATAATATTATACCCACTGATATAGATAATGTAAAATAAATTGTTAGTAATTGTTCCTTGACGTGTATATATTATTTGCGGTAAATGTCGACGTACTGAATATTATACTTCTATACATCATTGCTATATGTTGGATGCCACACCAGAACAAGCAATATTGATTTGATATCCTTCATTTCGATCAATCAATCTCATGAAGTGATCTATTCACTATTTGATTGATGAGGAAGGCCCATATTATATGTTTGTTTATTGATCTATAGTAGAATGATGTTTGATGATCGATCCTTTATATATATGTATGCTATCTATAGAAACAGTAACCATGGTGACCTTCTTTTGTTTCAAAATTCACAATAAAATTACACTGCCATAATCCGTTGAAGAAAAGTTTTCACATTGAAAATTTACCCCATCGAGTAATTTATATATCAAAAGGAAAGGCTAGATGCTTTTAATTTCAACACGATCTTCAAGTTTCAACACGCTAAAATATAGGGCTTATAACTAGTACTAACTCCTACACTGAAGGTTCATTTATTAAGAAAGGGATACCTTCACGAATCACAATACATATTCAGATCTAGCTGGCTAGCCGATAGTATTGTGCAAGAACGTCAGCGTGCAATCCGATTGCATCTAAACATATGTATATGACGTCTAATTGAGCTTCTTCGATCCTAAAATTGTAAGCAGGTGACAAGCCAATAACAAAGATCTACGTGCTTGGTATTTTTTATTGACTCAGGTACCACTTTGTGCTTGAAAGCTAGCGCATTTGATAAAGTAAGGAAACAAGCTTTAACATGTAGTGAAATTATTGGATGTGCATGTTATTCCCTGACGGCTATTTGATGAGGAAAGTGGCTTTGTGGGCATCGCTTAATTGAGGCCCTTTATTGTTTCATATTCTTCGAAAGTTAATCTGTTTTGTTGTTGATGAAGTTGGTTGTTTCCTAATGAAGTATCTGATTATTCGATGAAAAGGGAAGTTGCGTGCTCGGAAGATAAGCTGCGAGGTTCGCGCACATCCGTGAGTGTTTCCCCAACTGACATTGAATCTGGCGTTCTTCAACCCTGTGTCGATGCTCTAGAACATGGTTGCGGTGTCTTTATATTGAACAGTTGAAGTAGAGAAGGGATGACGCTTTAAAGGGAGGCAGATATGAGGATGATATTATGTCGTTAGATTAGGATGAGATTGGTGTACTTGTGGTTAAAATATTCATCTAGAAACGGAACAATCAGCTTATAAATAAGGAAGGAAAGGATCAAATATTATAAATAAGCGTATACTCAAGTGTGGATATGCATCATTTTGGTTACTTTCACGACCACAAAAGGCCCTTTTCCGAAGATTTGTAGTAATTTATATACGCAAAGAGTAATTTTTATATGTTGAACGGTGTGTTAATTCAAACTTTTGTTGCGCAAATCTAAACATGTTGACGAAAAAAGATACTTCATAGTTCCCACAGTTACCTATATAGCCATCACAATTTTCGATAGATTATAAATATCAGCAAATATCCCCTTAAAGTGCAAAAGATTTTGTTTTAACGTTCTTTATAAACTATCAAGTTTTATATTATTCAATCGCTCAATCTCAAATAATAATTTCACAATGCAATTACAATCAGTCGTTTTATTAGGTTTAGCTTCCGTTGCTTTAGGTCAATCATCAGCTGCTGCTCAACCAATCTCACAAATTGGTGATGGTCAAATCCAAGCTTCTACCAACACTGAAGCTCCAGCTCAAGCCTCATCAGCTGCTGCTCAACCAATTTCTCAAATCGGTGATGGTCAAATTCAAGCTTCAACTGGTACCGCTCCAGCTTCATCAGCTGCTCCAGAATCATCTGCCGCTCCAGCCTCATCAGCTGCACCAGTTCAACCAATCTCACAAATCTCAGATGGTCAAATCCAAGCTTCAACCAACACTGAAGCTCCATCATCATCAGCTGCTCCAGCTTCATCAGTTCAAGCAATCTCACAAATCTCTGATGGTCAAATCCAAGCTTCAGCTTCATCAAATGGTACCCACAGTGCCACCGTTTCAGAACAATCTGAAAACGCTGCTGCTGGTTCTTTAGGTGGTGCTGGTTTCGCCGCTTTAGCTGCTGGTGCTTTATTATTTGTTTAAATTCATTGAAAGATCTAAACAAATATTTTAACTACAAAAATTTACAAAAATCAATTTATACAATTTCGTTTGATACGTTTTAATAATTATCATTTAATTTTCTAATAATGTTAGGTGTCATTCCACTTTTAAAGTCTTTTAATTAAAGGCTTGTGTGTTTTTAGTGTATAGCTACTTTAATTGCTATGGGTTTTCTTTTAATATTTTTCAATGTAGTTGATATTCATGAGTCAATTGAATAACCGATAGAGTCCAGTTTGATCCAGGAATTATTAAAATTATCCTTGATCACGATTCACAAGTTACAACACGAGCTGGTCTAAATTTTTTTAAATGAATGTAAATCTTTATACAATTAATCACAGTTCTATTTTAAGAAGTTAATATATAGCAGATGAAAATCTTCAAAGCCACTATACTGAAATAAAGTTTGAATTTTGATACTGGAACATTTAAAAGTTAGAACAAAACGAATTACCTTAAGGGGTAAATTTCAAGTTCGAGATCAATCGAAGGTATAGTTTTCAATTACATTTGAGTTTGGAATCAGGATCATGGAATGTAAGGATTCAGCTTATGGGGGTACAAGGTTGGAACTTGGAAGGGTTGTTAAATTCAAAATGGGAAGGTGTTTTACCAGCTGAAGTTTAACACCTTTCCAAGTAATTACGTTCAAATGAAGTGTTAGTACATGAAGTTAAGATACACTATATACTATGGATCTCAATACATATCATAATGAAATAACGCATTCGAGCCTTACATTAATATCTGTTAATCGGGAAACGGATGATGGTAAGTATGTGTTTCAAGCTGCTAATATTATTATAGTGTTATACTGAAACTTATCGATCACACACAAGCCAGTAGCGCTACTATTTCATATATAATACTTCTTTTCAATGCTTTATGATATATCACGAACTGAACAATATATCATTAAATCCCTTTTTGTATATAATCATGTGTTTGAAAGTATCCCTTGTTCAAAAGTTTATTCATGATGAAACATCTACAGTAAGTACACATTTGATATATACTCCAGTCATAATGTACGTTTATGAAAACAATTGACCTGAGGGAGTGACTTCTCATCAATGAAAATACACACTATATCCTATTCAAATAGATGTATTCTAGCTGTTATTTAAGTTGAAGATAGAAGATAGTTTAATTCTCTACTATGATTACACATCGCTTATCTAATACATCGCGAATACGCGAATGCGTTCTTTGTTAAAATCCATTGTGAAGGTGTCGATCTAAAATTGATTCACAATTGAAGTTTTACATGTCATCTAATATCAAATAATTATATCAAAAGCCAGAAATATCTAAAGCAAAGCGGACCTTATTATTGAAAGCATTTTCATTCTACTCAATCATTCAAATCTTTAATTTCAATTGCTCATAAACCCCCTTAGAATTCATCATCAAAGTTCAAAGCTGATACGTTTGCTGTACGTAACTGCGCTTCAGGTGTCAAAATAATCACACAACCTAGAACTTATCATTGACAATGTCGTTCAAAACAATTATAATATCATATCTTATAGGTGGGCTAACTTTACCGCCGTTATTGATAATTGCTGCTTTATATTTATATTATACTGTTCTGCCGCGCTATGTGGATGATGATGAAATTGATGATAAAGATGATGACTTGTCAGAATTTACTACAAATGAATATGAAAACTTGAAAATGACAGAGGTAGAAGAGAAGCAAACCAGTGGAGTCAAAGCGTTCAAATCAGGCTGGCTCACAGTTACCAGGGAATATCATACTTTTGTTAATAATGCAAATGATAAACAATTGGAAGGCAAAGAACCTGAAACTAAATCCGCTTATTCCTCTCTATACAGACTGATGAAGAGTAACAAGAAACAAGCTCAACAAAGTGAAGCTGGTGATGATAGTGCTTCGTCTGCTACTGGTGATAAAGCTACAAAGAAAATTGTTCGTCGTAAAAACAGATATTTTGGTGTATTGAGACATGGTAATTTATTCCTTTATAAAGATGATACTCAACAAGACGTTCAACATGTCATTGTGTTATCAAATAATATTGTCACTTTATGGCCGAGGGACCTGGGTGACGCTGAATTATTTACCAAAAGAAGTGCCATTTGTATCTTGAAAAGACAATCAAGAAGAAAATCGGACTTACCACCAAAAGAATCAAGTGCTTCGTTGAGAAATAATGAAGTTGGTGTTGAATCAACTATAGATATTTTAAAATCAGGTATTATCCCACCCAAAAATAAAGGATTTTTCATCTATTGTGATACAAATTATGAAAAGGAAGATTGGTATTTTGAATTGATTAAAGCCACTAAGAGAGACAATTTCCAACCAACCAACACTGATTTGGACCTTGTTGAACCTTCTATTTATGCTAATGCTCTACATTTCAAAACTGCTGATATTATTAGTTTGATTCAAACTTTACATTCTTCAGAAGGTCAGTTACAAACACGTTGGTTAAATGCCTTAATTGGTAGAATTTTCCTAAGTGTTCAATTCACAGAATATTTCCATAACGTTGTTCATGTCAAGCTGTTAAAAAAATTGACCAAGATTAATAAACCTGGATTTTTGGATGAAATTAGAATTACTAAAGTTGATGTTGGTAACGCAGCTCCATTTATAAGTTTCCCCAAATTAATAGAATTAAACCCAGATGGTAGTTTAAAGCTGGGTATGAAATTTTCATATACTGGTAAAATTTCATTACAGGTTGCTACAAAGATGAATTATTTCAAATCAAGAGAGGTGAGTATCTTATTAGCTGCTACAATCAACAAAATTGAAGGACCAATGATTGTTCATGTTAAACCACCTCCTTCAACAAGAATTTGGTATACTTTTGAAACTATGCCAACTGTGGAAATGGATATTGAACCTGTTGTCTCAGATAAGCAAATTACTTCTAGCATGATTAGAAAAATGATCGAAGGTAAGTTTAAAGATGGTATTAAAGATTCTTTGGTTTTGCCTCATTGGGATGATATCACATTCTTCAATACTTCTGAAGAAATTTATAGAGGTGGTATTTGGGATACAACCAAAAGACCAGATGACAATGATACAGCTGTTGCTTCTGAGGCTGAAAAGGCTGAGATTTTGAACGAAGAAGATGATTTGTCAGTAGATGTTGATTTAACAGAAACCATAGATTCAGATTCAAAATCTGACATCATTAAGTTGGAATCTGATATTACAGATTCAAAATCACCAAATTTTGAACCAAGAGATAATAATGATGATTTTAGCTCACTAAGATCCAGAAATACTACTGCTTCTGGTACAGTGAGATCTAGAGGCTCATTCACAAACTCTATATCAAGTGGTAAAAAGACAACACCTTCAATTGTTACATCTAGTGAACAATTTTTATCCAATGGAGATTATGTCTCTAAAGACATAAGTGCCCCATCCTCACCTGTGAAAGAGGCAAAAACATTTACTGCTTCAACACTTAATAAATCAGAAGAAACATTATCTTCAGAAAAAGAAAAATCATTTTCAAGAAGTAATACAATTCAAATTTTGTCAGAAGAAGCTAGTGCATCTAAGAAAACAATTCAAAATTCAATCAAAAAAATTGGTAAATGGTATAATGATAAGAATCGTAATGGATCATCAGCAACTTTTAAACACCAAGATGATGAAACTTCATCATCACCATCAACAACAACAAAACCTTATACACCACCAGAAATGATCCAATCAAGAAGAAAAGCTCCAAGTACCAGTGAAGGTTCCAAAAGACAACCAAGAAGAACAACCAGTACAAATACACTGAACTCTCAAGATAGTGGAAGCATGAAAGCAGCACCACAAGCTCATACATTCCCTGCTGAGTATCTGTCAGGCTTGGAACCATCAGCACCTGATTCACAATCAAGTGCAAGGCATGTATTACCACCAAAAAACTTAGAAATGAAATCACCATATGAGTCAATGGGCCCATCATTTGCTTCACCAGTCTCGCCACCAAAGGAGACATCACCTACATCACCAAACAAATCCCAATTTCCAAGAAGGAAACCAGTATCAGAAGATCACGCTGCTCAAGTTCCATCTGAAGATCAAAAACTTCCACCTCCATTACCTGAAAGAACTTTACCAACTCATGTTCAACAATCAAACGTTCGTGAAGTTCCGTCAAGCTCAGAATCACATATAACCAATAGCTCATTGGACACAAAATCATCTCTACCTCCACCATTACCAGTCAGAGACTCTCTATTCGAAAAAGTGGACTCTGCTGCTTTACCAGAAAAGAAAGATGAACCCGAAAGCGGGATCACAGTTGGTGATCATGAAGATGACTTGAAAGAAGCAATTGAAGCCAGTCTGCACGAGGAAGATGCAAAAGATCAGGCTGATTTGTTAAATGAAGAATCTCATATTGAAGCAAAAGATGAATGAATATGGTGCGTATTGCATACACGAAGTAACGAATATATAAGCATGTACATTAGATTTTTACGGGGTATTTGTAGTACAAAGTAAGACTAATTAGTTCATAAATTCGTAAACTTGTCTAACTATATTGCACACTTTTTTAAATATTCATCACCAGAATGCCATCCAACCTATATACATTTGGCATAAATTCTCCAATGATGTTGATTGTTGAATTAAAAATTCAGCTTGACCTTGTGTACTCATTGGTAATCCTTCCTTATCTAAAATCCCTCTAATTTTTCTTCTAATTGTTGATAATGCTGATTGCGGTGTGTTTCTAGTCCTTCTTTTATGTGACCAATCCATAATAGGATCATGTAAGAAACTTTCTAAAATATTCATCAACGTAGTTTCATTATTTCTCAATAATGCTAACGTAACTTCACATGATTTCCTGAAAGTACCTTCAACACCCGTGATACCAAAAGCATCAGTCATATTTTTGGTCATTCTGAAAGGCACACGTTCTGGAACCGTCAATTCTAAACCTTTTTCGAAAAGACAATCGAAATCAACATGTAATATACCACCATCTTTTTCATTTAATAATAAATTTTCACCATGACGATCACCTAAACCTAGCATATAACCTACCATAGACATCACAGCAGTGGTTCTAGTGTAATTGTTTCTTGCATGATACCAAGACGATGGATCAGGAAAATTTTCAATGAACCATTGGTATAGAACAGGTGGGTATTTGTCCAAAATCTCAGTCTTGAATAATGCTGCTTTTTCAGAAACATCACAATCCTTATCTAAGACATTTCTGATCAATGGAATATCTAAACCTAAATTGATATTTGAATAGTGTGTCTTTAGAATATCTCTCATTGTACGACTGTTTTCAACCCATTCAATAATACCATGGTTTTCATTCAAAGGAATAACAGCATATGTCTTGATATGAAGTTTTCTTTGTTCGGATTCATAATCTCTTTTTAATAAATGATCCACCATAGTTGTGAACTCCATCAATTTAGCATCTTTTCTTAAATCATCATTAGGTTTACATAAAATACCATATTGATAACCATTTGACCCTTTCAAATACAAATGTCTTGGTTGTTGCATAGAAGATAATACGTCAACTCTATTATCAAATCTATTAATTGTGACTCTTGATGAACTTGGAAATGGATTATGATATTTCAAGGCTTGAACTGATGCTGGTAAAGTGATATCAAAATTTGTTTTGACAGGAACGACCAAAGGGCTAGGAACACAACTATGATCAAATTCAAAATCGTCTTTCAAAGAAAGAGGTCCTTTAACTTTAGGTAGTTGTTTTTTGGAAACCTCAATCAATTGATTGAACAACTTCTTAGATACAGATAACAAGGTTGCATTACTCATGTTTGGATGTGTAGAGTCTGAATTTTCAAACAATTCCAAAATCTTTTTAGCCTTTCTAGATCTATCTTGTTGAGTAGACTTATATTGGGCTAGCACTGACCATAATGCATGCGTTGGATACTCAGATACAACAAGACTTGATATCATTATGATGATTTGACCAGTAGGCTTATTTGGATGTAATAATCTCGACAATAATTGGGAAAACACTGTATACCAAACATACTTTGGAAGCTTATCAGCACATTTTGATATATCATCATGAATGTGTTGCAAGTGTTTCTTTCTTTCTGCCAACACAGTGACCCTTGCAGAGTCTTGAAGCTCAGCAGGGAGTTCCTGTATATTTGCTGAAAAATCTAACCACACAGTTATGACTTTTGGAAGTGCTTCATAAATATATTTCATACCACATTGGAGAGCTTTGAGATAAAAGTTAATGGTACGGCGTTCATATTCACCAGAAATATCTTTCAAGTTTATTTTTTCCGTAGAAGGTGACATCTTAATATCCAAAAGTTTATTGTAATACTTTGCTAACGCATAATAATTTTTCTCCCAGGTCGGATCCAATTTTATAGCTAAATTATACTCTTCAATGATTTTGGTCGAGCTGCTATTGTTGGAGTAATCAAGCCATTTGGTGAATTTCAATTGAATAGATGCTTTATCCCTGGTAGATAGCGGTCTTTCTTCATTTTTCAAATCCTCTATGTATTTCAAAGCTCGAGAGTGGTCACCTTGGGCCCAAAGCAATTTTGCGTACTCTAGCTCAGTGTTTGCATTGTTCAACCTGATGGCATTCATAATGGATGATGTAGCTAGGTCAATTCTATTATGCTTTCTAGCCAACGATGACGAGGAGACCCAACTATCACTAATATCAGCAAGATTAAAATCATTACCAACAATTCCATCTGCTACTCTTCTCATTGAAGAAATGTACCAGTTAGAAACAAAATCATTTCCAGTATTTTCCAGCCTTGTATCCATTAGAGCAGCAGTATTAGCAAATGTATGTGAGCTCCCTTGTTTTGATATCGAGTCTATATCACTCAAAGAATGAAGCACCACAAGCATAGAGCGGCTTTTGTACAACGTTGCTGGTCGGTTCATACTGATATGACCACCAATTAACAACTGTGCTTTTTCAACAGAAGCTTTAAATTCATCAAGCAAACCGCCATTCAAGCTCACCAAAGCTTTTCCAATATGATAATTAACAAGCAATTGTGAATCATTTATAGAGTTTGAATTTTCAAATTTGGACATCCATTTACTTAATGTTTCAAGATTCCCAGATAAAATAGAGGCTTCTAAGGCGATATTAAGCCATTCCTTTTTAACGTTGGGTTCATTAACTTTCACAAGATTTTCTAACTTTTGAAGCGATTGATCATAGAGATTATGGTTGTATAGAGAATTCAATAAACGCGTGTCAGCATCTAACTTTAAAATATCACCACCATCTGAGCCTAGAGCTTCAAAACAATCCTGAGCCATTTTCCAATTATCACTATACTCAAGCTCTGTGATCCGATCATTTAAACTTTTCGTAGAAAATTTCTTTAGAACACCATCAAGAGCATCGATATCACCAACGTTTGCATACATATTTTGAAGAGTACCAAAAAAAGAAGTACCGAAATCATCATATGAATCTGTTCTATAGCACTGTTCCATATATAAAATGGCTCTATCAAAAGAGTTTGATTGTAAAGAGCGTTTAGCCATTAACTGCTGTGGAACACTATCAAGTAGCCTAGTGACTGCTTGTATACCAAAATCAACACCTTTCACCATACGTCTCTTTAGTAGTTGTTTTCTTGCAAAAATCCACTTTCTAAAATAATCCAAAAGATTAAAAATTGATTCATAACAAAGCCTTAAAGAGTCTGCAGCCAAATGGTGAACTTCTTCTAAATTAGTTGACAAAACAGTCAAAATTTCAGTCTTGATTGATTCTGCATGTTCACTATCATGTTGTTGGATTACCAAATTTAAAGCAGCATAAGGAAGGATGAACGTACAAAATGACAAATCTTGATCCTTCACCAGTGATGAGCAAACAGAGAAAATAGGTTCAGCAATATCACCTTTAGCTTTTCTCATACAATCCAAGGTAAATTGCCTTAACCACTTGGTGTGTGTTTTCTTTACATCATAAATTGGATAACTGATTGGCTTATAAGTACTAAGACTTGCACTATACTTGGACGAAACTAATGGGGTTAATGTGGATTTGGAAATATCACTGAATTGTGACCATAGCAAATATTCATGAGACGTTGGATCGTGTTGATTCACATTAAATTTTGAGGAATCTAATCCACATAATTTCAAAAGCTCCTGCATTGCATAAGCTAAAAACAATTGTTTTCCTGGGTCTTCAGATGCCCAAAAAGCAGGCACTAGATGTTGGTCAATGAACTTTAATAGGAACCTGACAGTTTCTTTGGGATCTTCAAAATTGGAAGCAATTACCATTTGATCTCTTTTCTTCTCTATTTCATATTTTGTAGGGTCTAAAGCACCAATCAAACCCAAACATTTAGAAGACTGAACACAAATGTCATCAGAGAGCTTGAATTTGTGCAAAATATCAAGAAGAACACCAAACAACATCGATATAACTGGTGCAAAGTTTGGTCTTGGAAGATGTGTTGTGTATACCTCGCTTTGATACTGAATAAAAAATCTGTTTAAATCCAACAAAGCCTGCTTCACGACAAATTTGTTGTCATTTTTACACCTTCTTGTAATATCATATAACAATGAATTGGTTTTTTCATTCTTTCTAATAATATGATGTACTTTGGTATAAACTTCCAATAGTTCGTCATTAGCTGAAAGTGAGAAAAAACAATGTACATGTTTGGTTTTGAATGTTTCCGATTTTTCAAGGAATGCAGAAAGTAAGTTTTTTGCCTCCATTTTGCATCTATTATCAAAGCTCTCCCATCTTTGTAATACTATGGCAACTGATAAATCTAGGATGGTAACCAAATGTGTTTCCTCCAATTGTTGAACTAAGATCTTCCAGCATCTTAAACCAGATTCTCTTAAAAGAGTAATCTCTAGAGCAGCCTGTAAACAAGTGATGATTTGAGGTAAGGCTGAAACGATAGATGACCCTGATATTTGAACTAATAACTCTATAGCATTTATGGCTTTTAGTTTCTCAACATAAGGCTGAAGACCTTTTGTATCATGAATCGCATCCGAAAATTGTTGAACAACACCAAGAATATGGCGATCTAGCAAACTTTTAAGTGATTTCTTACCTGAATTACCATTATCAGAAATCTTCAGTGCAAGTTCCAAAGCGTTTTTTATTTCAGTTTGATTTTGTTGTTCTTGAGAATAACACTTCAAAAGCTCCCATACTGTTTGAATTAATGGTAATAGATCATACAACGCCAGTGTCTTCAACTCTGGACATGCATTAGACAAAATGCTGTGAATTTTCCCTTCACTTACATCAGTGACATTAGTTAATAGAACAGCAAATACTTTAGCTCTATTATCCAACACTAATTCGATTTTCTTTTTTCCTGCTGCTTTTGCAATCTCACCAATTAAATCTTCCTTATAATATGTCAAGAGATAAGGAACAGTATGTGACGCAGTTCTTGATAAGATTGTTGGAAGTGGAACACCAACCAATTCTGAAATCTTCTGACCTAGTGCAGGTTTAGAAAATAACTTTTTGGCAATCATCAATGACAAATCTGGCATTGAAGGAGTTAGTAATTGCCATGGCGTTTTACCTTTAGCTGAAGCAATTATTTGGATTTCATGAAATGCGATTGATGATTGGAAAGGATTTTGTGAGCTAAGAAGATCAATCAACTTGAACAAAATTGCATTTAATCTTTCACCTTCTGATGCTATTGCAAGTTGCCCCCAGACCATGGTGGTTGACTCAACAAGATACAAATCTGACTTTATATTAATGTTGTTCAAAAGTTTGAACATTGGCTCTGAGTTGGCGTCTGTATCATTGTACTTTGAGACAAAATAAATTGGTAATACCCGAGCAGATTGTAACCTGATATCTCTATTAGTGGAAATGATTTGTGAAGATAGAAATTTAAAGAATGGACAATTTGGTTCAATTTGTGGAGGCTGATAATGGAAGAATATCTTGAAGATCGTCATTGTAGCTGCCATTGATAAAATAGTATCGCTTTTAACAGTATCATCTGATAGAATAAATCTTGTAAACAATAAATAAGCCAAATGGACTTCATTATCTTGATCAACATCTTGTCTATATTGGTCTATATGGTCTAGATTTAGTGATGACTTGGAACATTTGGTACATAATTGTGTTTTAGTATCGAACGAGCCAGCATAAGCACAAAAGAAATCACCTAAACCAGCAATGATTTTGAAATAATTCACCTTGAATGTATCATCATTATCCTGAAGTGGTTGCTCTAAAAGCTTTTTGACATGGTTTATCCATTTTGATAACGTATCTATACTTTCGGGTATCTCAATTCTTAAGGATTTGACCAATGATGTTGATTTATCTGAGTATGATAATTTTGTTAAAATGCTCATTTTTAAGTTTTCAAGATTGATTTCTTCAAAGGTAATATCCTCAATATCTTGGTCATTTTGATTAACCTGTGATATAACTTTCCCAATAAACTTAAAAACCTGATGTAACGATGAGGATGGGAATGTCTTTACCACGATAACACTTGTATTTTCATATGCAGTAGAGTTCATGAATAGAGTTAAATTTTCTGTAGCCAGGCAATGATCCAAAGCTTTCAATAAAGAATATGATATGGTTAGTTGTGTTGATACATCTGAAGTTAATGAAGGTGATTGAATGGTTTCACAACAAAGTTCCATGAAATGTTTGAATCTTGAGTATGTAATATATTCATTATTAATTGTGTAATTAAGCATGCTAAGTATTAAGTGTGACCTTATTGTATCAATTTTGTCATCTTCACTTGATCGGCTAAGGCCTGTGATAATATAATCTAGTTTTCTAGCTGACGATTCAAATTTTTGATCATATATTGAACTTATGAGTAGCTTGCTTCGTACTTCATTATCTGTTAACAACGATAGTAAATTGGTTGATATAGATAGTAAGCTGATCAACTTATCTTCGATTGACGTTTTGAATAGGTTTGTGAGGTAAGTATCAAATGTATCAAGAAAAAATGTTTTAATATCTTTCTTATAGCTAAACAACCGTAGTTTTGTGGTGATAAGGTGGATCATTGTCAATACTGTTTGTTTAACATTCTTAACTAACAGAAGCTCAGTTGTAGATAGCAATGGAATCAATGATTTCAATATCCAAACATAGATCATTGTTTCTGGTTCTTCTGACTCTCCATTAAGCAAATGTGGATCTTTTTCACATATTATTTCTATAGCGCTTAAGCAATTCCTTATCCAATCTGACTGTGTTATACCTATATAGTTTGTTAGTTCTTGATATTACACCAATACGTTTCAAAAAACATACCATCTGGTTTTTTGTTGTCTTGAATACCATGTTTGACAATAATTGTTAACAACTTTAGTTGAGTGTCTGATGAATTGTCTTGAGATTCGCCACTTAAAATAGCGTTGACCAGCTCATACAAGGCATCCAATGCTATAGTACTTCCATTCGACATCTACTTTGATTCTTTAGCAGCATATAACTATGGATAAACTTATAGTTGAAGTGGATTCAAAATTACCTTAAACGTTTGCCTATAGATCTTTGATCCATCAGTACCAGTAAAATTTACCTTTGTTTACCTTACGCGAAAAAAAAAAAATGCCTACTTTACGTGAAAGGTTCCAAATTTCAGTATATAGAAAGCTACAATGCCGTCATGAGCACTTTAAAAGATTTAAATATACGTATGGTACATGTTTTGAATTTTTTTTATTTACTTGGTAATTTTTTGTTTTGCCTTTTTGTTGGTATCTTCTTTGTAAATTATAGCCATATAAACCAGCTGACTATGGTTTGTGAAAAAAACAATAAAGGTTGTAGTATGCTAAGATTCGTGAAATTTGGGTATAGTTTGTAATTGGAAAGTGATGGTTGTATTCATAAAATTAATAAATGATAAGAATTGTAGTTGGGTAGCAATTCATTTCATGATGATGATCAAATTTTAATAAGTTGTTTGATGAAAAAAGTTCTATCTTTATCTACCAGCGTCAAAGTTAACAGAACGTCTTAAGAGATTGTTAGTGATCTAATATTCATATGAATGGTTCTTTTTTAACAAAAAAATATTACTTACTTGAATAATAAGATATGAGGTTCTGGGGCTAAAGTAACGGTTTGTTAGTTATCAATTGTTTATGGGAAGTTTAAAGCATCATCAACAGCGCAATACTCACCATGTGTTTCATAATGTTCCCAACCTAAAGATTGTGTAATACCAAGACCCCTCCATTCATCTTCAGTTAAGATTCTTAGTGTGCCAGTTTCTGAATTGAAATAATCTGATGGAATGACTTTTAACATTGCCTTTGGAAGCATAACATGACTATAGTAAAATAATTAGTATATCACAACTTTAAGCAACAGCGGTTAAGAGAAGAACGTACCGATATTCATATTCATCATCCGAGTATCTATTGAGCAAGTGTTAGTATGTCTGTACATCTATTTGTTACATTTCTAGCAGTTTTGATCTGAGTTTGAATCTCTTGATTTTAAAACAACAACAAACCACAATAACAAAACACGGAAACATACCTTGGTGAATAATGAATAGACTCTTGGAACTCAAAGACTCGAGCACGCTCTGAGTCTGTCAATGGACGGCCTCTGAAACTCATTGTATGATATCACAAGTGTCGAATGCTAACAATAACAGATCTGCTAGGGATAGAAAAAGTATTTTAGATCTATTCCTTTGAGCACTACGCGTATTTTTTCACCAAGCGAAAACAAAACACCAACAAATGCTGCACTTACCAAGATGAAAAACTCCTTCATTCGAAACTGGTCGAGTGCGTTTCCTTTTTTTTTGCCTGCACAAGTTTTTTTTTTCTGTTTTGGTTTGTTTTGCATTTGAAACAGGCATGTTTCACTTTCTGGCAGTGGATCAAGAAGTCTGAAAAGAATCTTGTCTAGCTATTCTGAGACCAGAATTTACATTCATCTATATTTGGTTTTGTTATAGATCTCGTTATCCAGGAATAATTTTTTAGATCCATAGTATCTACAAGTGGTGTGTTATTATTAGGCCTAACACAGAAAAAGTTTTGATCTACTAGATTCCCATCGGAGACAAAAGTGGTACCTCAAAAATCTTCAATCAACAACAAACAATCATATCCCTGTTGAGAAGTTCTCAAAATTGTGATATAAAGACTCCATATATGCTATAAGGTGAAGTATAATAGGAAGATTGGAAACACATTGGAAACACCATTTCATATTCAATAATAGATCAAATACATTTTATGCCTGAAATATGTCAAATGATTTAGGTTCGCCGTATATTGGGGTGAAGCCAGCATTATCAACAAAGGCCACCGCAGGAACAAACTCGTCTTTGGTTGAGCAATATGTTCATTTTGGTTACGATCAAGTATTATTATCGATTACAAATGCTCATTATAGAGAAAAATCAAGAAAAGTATTTCAAAAGGCCAAAAGACTTGTTGATATTACTATTCCATCGCCAAGTTTGACAGATGTCAACATATTTGCTGGACCTCATGTCCAAAACACTATTGGTTTGTTATCCAGTTGGATTGAATTAGAAAGTGAAGATGAACTAATATCAGAGTTTTCCAAACAAGTTATGATCAAAGAGTTAGAATATGCTAAATTTATTGGTATAAATCATTTAATAATGGCACCTCCGAAGAATTTAATCAAATTAGCAAATTATTCCAAAAGTGTTAATGATGCTTTAGATATAACCCAAACTCATAATATAACAATATCAATATCATTGCCATTATGTGAAGAAATAACAGAAGATTCTTTTAGATTTCAACCAATAGATTCATTAAGTACTTGGGACATGTGGAATTCCATAAGGACAAGTTGTGATTATAATCAAAGATTAAAAATCTCATTGGCAATACCCAAAAGTGGTATACCAATAAATGTTGTTGAAAGGTGGTTTGCAGAACCAGTTTCAATATTATTAATGTCATCATCTATATTTATTCTTAATAATAAAGGATATCCAGTCCTTTCCAAAACAATTCAAACGTTATTACATCATTTCCATATTAAAAAGCCATTATATTTATTACACGGGCTTGAGAAAGTACCTGAAGAAGTTGATTCTTCATCTTATATGAAATATATCAATTACATATTAGTACGGAATCAAGCACCTTTAAACATCATTGATAAAGTTTCCAAAAATCATCAAGATGTATTATTACCTCCATTACAGCCGTTGGCTACCAACTTGGACGATTTTACATACTCCATATTTGAAAAAGATGATGTGAAATACGATGTTTATGGGAAAGCTATTTATTCTGCATTATCTGATTTATCACATTTACATACTATAAACATTGCAATTGTTGGTGCTGGGAAAGGAGGATTGGTTGAGCAGGTTGTTAAAGCTGTTAGAAAACTACAATCAAGCTCCAACATTTCAATCACAGCTATTGAAAAAAATACTTCTGCGGTTATTTATTTACAAAAGAGAAATTTTGATGATTGGAACCAATCAGTTGACATTTTGAACATAGATATGAGAGAATGGTCACCAAAAGAAAGTCATAATATCATTGTGAGTGAATTATTGGGGAGTATGGGATGTAATGAATTATCACCAGAATGCCTTGAACCTTTGGAAAAATATCTGGATAGAGAAAATGGTGTGTTCATCCCACAATCTTACACATCATTTATAGCACCAACATTCTCACCCAAGATCTATAATTCAATTCGTTCTAAAGGCGGTCAACTCAATTTCCATAAGCAATATGTTGTCAAACAATTGGAATCAGCATCATGTTCAACAAAGATCAACGAGATTTGGTCTTATCAGCATCCTACCATTAAAGAAAGATCAAATAAAAGAAGAACCATTTCTACTTTCAAGATTCGTCATAAAACTGTCATTCATGGCATTTCAGGCTACTTCACAACGAATTTATACAATGATATAGAATTATCAATCAAACCAGACACGCATACTGAAAATTTGACATCATGGTTTCCCTTGTTTTTTCCATTAGAAGAACCATTATATGTTCCTGATGATACAGAATTAGAAGTATTCATAACGAGAGAATCATCAAACGGTAAAGTTTGGTATGAATGGAGTGTCGAAAGTTTTATGTATCTTGTTGTACCGGGTGACAATTCAAATGAGTTTCAAATAAGAGTCAGAACAGGTATGTCTAAAATTCACAATCAAAGGGGTAAAGGTTTTGTCATGAACCTGAATTTTGAATGATCTCTCAAAGATAGATCAGTTCACCCAGCTGAAGCTTGATATTGCAAAATTTATTCATGAAAGTGTCGTACTTACGGTTTGCCTGTTTACATGGAAATTTTATAGGCTTTTGGTAAGCAATATTATCAACTTACATTTTGTATAGGTTTACTATTAATCTAATGATCTACTGCATAGATCTATTGTCTCGACTCTCAAGTATCTTGAATCGACACCCAGTGCATTTACTCACTTTTCTGAATTAGCTCTATTTTCACTACCTACTGCCTAGTACCTCCTACGGTCCACCTATGATTGTGTCAGCCTGGAAGGTGAAATATCTAGATAGGTGTTAAGGACAAAGATCTTCAAGACTAGTTGCAGATGAATTATATTTCTTCCAACAGTTTCTTCCAGGTTGTGAAATCTGAATAAGTTACAACGTACTTACAACTTACAAGTTACAACTAATATCATCGGAGTTTGAGTACGTGTTGTTGTTTTCCCTGTTGTCGAGTTAAATAATTCAGGTACATAAATACTACAGAAATATGTGCAAACATTAATTACGATATATTTCAAAAGCTATGGGTTCATAAATTTATTGACACCTATCATCATCATGATTATCACACCACCTTTTGAATTTTCCGGAGTTTCAGAATTGAAGAGCAGCACGACGTCCAGCAAATTGTTGCAACTCTTTCATCGTGTCATGATCAGTGTAGCATGTTTTGTGATCAATGTTGTTTCTCTTAATTGTTCCAATCTGATTTCTAACCGCATGTTGTGCTAGCTTAGGATAGTAATCAACTATAGTAACTGAATGTTTATGGTTATTAGACAATAGAACTTCTTTTTCGTTTCTTCCGAAACATCATAAAGTTTTTCCGAATTGGCACATATGCGGTTTTTCCAACCTCAACTTTGACACCTTTTAATCAGGACATTTTGTGCATATCATCAAATAAACAACGAGTATCACGAATAGAATTCTACCGCAGTCCAAAAGGTAGAAATGGAGCTGGATCTTGTTAAGAAAACCTTGAAGCTAGAAATTCATGATATGCTCCAATCTTAAAGTGACACGATTGAACCTGATAGAAACAGGTTTTCTGAGACATCATGTAGCATGTATACTGGGGCGGACAAAACTACCGAGCTCTAATACTAGTAGAATGTTACCAGAACTAGCTCATATCTGACCATTAACTATTCTGAAAAAATTCACAACTTAAGACATGGATTATAATAGACAACACTAGCTTCACTAGCACCAAAGTGTATACTTATCAAGATGATATATTAAGCATCTCAACAATAGACCCTTTAGTATTTACTGATTCTTTAAATATACCTTAAGCTGTCTTGTTGAGCACATTTGTACTCCATTTAATGCTCTTACAAGGTAAGTATTGAATCAAACGTCGTTAAGATATTTACGATATATGTAAAGGTCATTGTAATAATAGTATTACAATTTACGAGAAGCCGATTAAGATAGCTTCAAGTGGAACATGTAATATAGTATATACTACGAGCTGATTTTTTCAATTTATCGTGATTCATGTTGTTGTTCTCTATCTGATTATATTTTATTGATCATCATAATTGTTTGCTATGCGTTATGCTCTAAAACAGAGGTCTCTTCATCCGCTTTCACAGTTCATTTCCCAACGCTTTATAATTAAACTTCCAGCTTCCAAGCTGAGATCCTTCCATGCATTATTTGAATCATTTTAAGACGTTTCATTTGTTATAAGGTATAACATGAATTTATACATTAAAAGTTGAACGGCGTTCTCTAGTTTAAGATATATTTTGTAGGTAATAGCTTAATATTGTTAGTTGAGTTCTCAGAATCTTTGGATCCTACTAATACTAATGTGACTAATTGAAAATCTTCCGAAGCTCCATTGCATTATGAGATCAGAGCCAATGACCATAAGCATCATCACTAATTTTGATTCTTATAGACATAGGGGTTCAAAGTTCAGGATCTTCCAGGCATTAAGTAGTAGTATCACACTAAATTCGGAAAAACTTATAATTAATCCATGAACTTGTATGGCTTAAGTTTTAACGATCGCGACGTTGAGAATTAAAGGTGATTTTTTTGCATCAAGAAACTTTTCGAAGTCCTTTCTTTTCCAACATACGCGGCGAATTTGACTGAAAACGCCATTTTATTACTTTCTGTGGTGTTTTCACTTTCAAAAAGCTTCGAGTTGGAATGCGTTTGGGGTATCAAGTTTATAGGGGTACGTCTGAGGTATGGTTGAATTCCAACCATACTCTTTTCGCTAAACTTGTGGTGGTGTTTGTTTGTGCCTGAATCTTCTTAACGGAAAAAGTCTTGGGCGTACCGTCAAGTTTTTCCGTGACGATCGAGAAATTTGTCCGAGATTTTGCAGCATACATAAGTCCACTTTACTATATTTAATTTGTCCCTGATCGATGATGATTTGATCATTCATCTACTAGTAACTTGTAAGTTCTTGAAGGCTTATAGTTATGGTGTATATGGTGTAAAATTACGTTTGTTTCACAACGGTTTCGAGTGGTAATTACTAGTGTTTTGGTCATGAAGTTGTCGGTGAAAATAATCATGGTATTTTTTGTCTATGAGTGCTATACATGGTCAGATATATGTGTAGTAGGTCTTCCTAGCTTCATAACACACGTCCATATTAGAAACATTAGTACAAGATTGTACTATATTATCCAATTATAAGTAGCACACATATCAGTTAGAAATCAACAGCCTTTCACGTGTACACTGTCTAGTATATATAGTATATAGGTTATCTACTGCCTAGCTCCCGAAGTTTTTTAGAAAAGACATCGAAGGCCAGCTATCAAAAAATTTGTGGTGCTATGAACTTCAAAGAGGAGATATCTGTTGAATTTTTTGGTGATCTTACTGGTTTTGTTGTTGTTCATGTTGAAACGAAAATTGACACAGCGACTTACAGCGCTTCAAAGATTTCCGCACTCCGAAAATTTCTGAAATTACATACGTTAACGCCAAATATGGAAGTACTAAGAGCTTTTTGGCGTAATTTAGTATTTACCCCCAAGATTAATGATCGAACTGAACCCTTATTAAAGACATGTCCATTGTGAATATCATATAGCCAATTGGATATCATACAATATCATCCGGAAAATTAATCATGAACTAGAAGGAAATCGGAAGAGTTTTTCCAGGGTTGTGTAATGAACAGCTCACAATTACATTTTGATCATACTATAATTTTCAAAAGAAAGGCCACTTTGGCAGGAAGCTAAACTTTCGCGAAGCCTTTGGCGCTAGAAAATGTCCAACAACGAAAAATTTTCTGAAAAGAACTCATTCGTATTCATTGCCCGTGAAAAAATGGCAGAAAATATAAGTACGGCTAAACAATGAACAATCAAGATCTAGTTAAAGAACTTCCAAGAATGACTTTGGTAATCTTAAAGTGGAACCACAAGCACTCCATTATGTTCAAGATTACTTCGAATGTGAGAACAATAAGAAATCCTAGACATTAAAAAAAGGACGTTCACATCCGCAATTAATTGGTTATTAAACCAAATCTAGACGGCCAACAAAAATTTTGGACATCCAGTTGATACTCCTTTCTTGGTTTAATCTTCTCCACTTTAAAATGGACAGTACAGTACAAAACACAGTACACAATGTTCTCATTTCAGATTTTGCTCTCAAATCTGCATATGAAGTAAATTGAATGTTTGTGGTGTTATTGGTGATGTGGTTGAACGTAGCGTTGATTGTGGTGAAGTATACTTCACACGGGTTACAACTTACACGGTTCTCCTCAGTGTAACTTTCAGGGGGTCTTTAACATAATTCGAGGTGAATGAACTTGAAAAACCATCACGAATATAAGGTTGTATGGGATGTATAATTCAAATGTGGTATTATTATGCACATATTTCAGGTTTGTTCGAATTGAGTAAAATCTGAGATGAGTTGAGTGTTCTCTCCAGCGCTGATATGACTTGTTGAGTTAATTATTCGACGAAAGTTACAAGCAACAACCTAATATCTAGTATATACACTAGTGCGAAAATTAAACATCTCACCTTACAAATCTGTCTCAATCAATATCAATCATTAATCCCATTGCTTTTCAAATGTGTTGAAACTGAATCAATTGCTCTGTTTGTAAATGTTTAAACAGCATAGCTTCTTTACAGATCAAAACATGACACTTCAGTGTTCACCAATGTCACCAACTTCACCTCCAGCATCAACAGCATCAAGGATAGCAACTGACTCATAATTTCCCTAAAATTCTCTTAAACTTATGCAAAATGTCCCATCTTGGAAAATGTCTCCTTTTTTTGCGGAAAAATTCTAAAAAATCATCTGCCTTTTCCCATCTAACTGTTAACGTTGAGCAGTGAGCACATTTCTTTTTCGTTGCAAATCCAAATGCAGATACGTGCATGTCCCGAAACCTGATTCGAATGCAGCTTTAAACTTTGTTGTGATTCAGATAACCTTTTGGACTGAATATTCTTCAACGTAGTTAATTTGAGCCATGTTTCGGTATATAATAAATTGAATTGGCACTTTTATGAAGACTTATATGGGAGATGAGAAAAAAAGGAAATTTATTTATTAACCATTAAACCAAGTCTTTATAAGCTTATAATCCTTTAAGGATAACCAACATTCAATTGGACATATTATCAATTCTATTTACCCTTTAAATATTCTTAGACAGAACATAAACGGGTATTAAAGTTGATTAACTAAGTCAAAGCAAGCAACAACAAAAACAGAAACATTAAATCAGTTAGCAAAAAATAAGGTTTCTATTGTGTCCCTTATTGATATCTGATTATTATACATTTATTTATTTATACCCTTTGAGATCCCAAATGTCAACTTTCCAAGATATTAATCAATTTGATTGGAATTCAATGTTGAGTGATATTCAACAACAACGTGAAAACATGAACCAAACACAACAACCACAATCAATCCCTAATGCTATGACTGCAACTACACCATCAAAACAAGATTTTTATGCAGTTCAACAAACTCAACAACCTTCACCAATTAGTTCAGATGATAATGATATTTGGTTTGATAAATTTTTGAATCAAGATGGTCAAATGAATCAAGATGATCAAAGAAGTTCAATGTCATCAAATGCTTCAAACACAAATGCTACTACCTCACCATTAGAATTCAGTTCATTGTTTGATGTTAATGATAGAGAAGATGAAAGTTTATTCTCTTCAAATGTCACAAGTCTTGATAATTCACCTTTAATTAAAGCTGAAGATTCCAATCAACAAATACCAAAAATGGATCTTCTCAATCAAACAATTCCAGAACAACCAACCCCTGAATCAATTGATGAATCATACCCAATTGATCAACAAGAACAAACTGCTACTAATGCTAACGCCACTGGTAGTGATGCTAAGAAACCAAAAAAGAAGAGAGCTCCAAGAAAGAGATTAACTCCACATCAAAAACAAGCACATAATAAGATTGAAAAAAGATATAGAATCAATATTAATGCAAAGATTGCAGGTTTACAACAAATTATTCCATGGGTTGCAAGTGAGAAAACTGCTTTCGAAATTGGTGATGGAATTAAAGTTGAATCTGAAGGTGAAGTTCCAAGATTAAACAAGAGTATGATTTTAGAAAAAGCTACCAGTTATATTCTACACTTACAAGAATCAGATTCTAAATTAAAAGAAGAAAATGAAAAATTAAAGAAGGAAATTGAAAGATTAGGTGGTAATGCTAATTTATAAGAAAAGTTATGATAAAGAAAAGAATTGATGAGATATATGAAAAGATATGAGTTTTTAAGTTATGTTATATTTAATTGAAGAAGAAAATTATAACGTTAAAGAAGAAAGTTTCAATTCTGCAGTTTTAGTTTGATTTTAGTTTTGGTTTCTATTTGATTTTCCAGTACAGTTTTAAAAGATATGAGAAGAGTATTTGAATTTTATACAACTTTTGATCAAAAGCCAAAAAAATATTTTAGTTTTTACAATAGTTCTTACAATTTAAATTAGAAAAAATAGATGATTGAGCTTGATGTTGATTATATTCAATCATCGTTATATATATATGAAATGAATTATGGGTTTACGTGTTTATAGATAATAGAATGAATTTGATTTTAATAGTTATTTGAAATTGTAGAATTGAAATTGTTTATTCCTGTTTAAACATTGGGTATAATTGTTGGGTATTAAGTCTTGGGTGTTAATCTCAAATGTGTTTTGGTTTCGAACTTTATGTGGTGAAATTATTTTTGTTGATCCCGATGAGGTGCTGCGCAAACCAAAGTGACACATTTTCCGCGAATTCTAAAAGCTATAGCCAAAAGTTGAAACCCATACATCAATTGAGATTTTGAAGAGTATTCGATTGAAAGATTCAGGGATCAGATACTTTGATCATTTATTATTATATTAGTGTAACTTCTAAGAAAGACTGCAAGGAATTTGCTATATAACTGGATACAGCCCATGTTTTGTCTCATTAATACAGTCAGAAGCTAGTACCTCGTAGCTCTTATCGCTTTCCGTTCTTCCTTGGAGTTAATAATTATATGTTGCAACTTGACTCAGGGGATTAAACTCATATTAATGAGATCTAGCTGAATATGTAAAACAAAATGGAATTCGTCAACTCTAATATAAGAAAAGATCATCGATGGTATCAACTCTAGAAACCCAGGAACATTCAAATCATTCATATTATACGCAATCAAGTCAATTTACCCCTGGTCATGCTCCCTTTCTTCTGAGACTGAATAGGTCTGTTATACTTTTTATATTACATATATAACTCAGTTAAGGTTGTATTGAGATTACTCTTGTAATAGTTTTAGCTGATTGCGTCTTTGAGGATCTCATGATCAATAGAAAGTCTGTCGTATTGTTCACACATTACAATGGTCAATAGAATTATATGTCTGTATAGTGAGAAGTGTAACTGTTATTTCCCCCATGTTCTTCAACTTATATATTGAGATAATTAGAGCTTATAAATAGATAAACATTGGACAATATATGAACATCTAGTTTGTTCATACTAAGTGTACTGTCATCAACTGGAGCTTAAAGTTCACAGTTGTATTCATGAATGCCGCAAGAAGTTAATAAGTTTACTTGAAATGTGTATAGAATTGTTGATCACAAATCGTTCTCTGGGACAAATTGTTTTACTTTAAGCTTCTAACCTACTCGAAAAGCATAACCTTCAGCAGAATTAGCTAATGATTTATTATTCCAGCATATGAGTTTTTTTAACTTCTTACTGCTTCTTCATCTTGATTTGCGTGTAAGTTGTAACTGACTTGTCAATCCTAACTCTCCGCATATAACATACCATATTCTATATTCTCAAAACAGAACAAGAAACTCACAATTTCAGACACCAAAAGCTCAATTAAGCTTGAAAGATGAATTGAAGTACTAAGCATGACCTAAAGAACATTCAATTGTCTTAAACAATACTTGAAGTTTATAGTTGAGGTTGAAATTCGCCGGTGATAAAAGGAAGGTCGTAATTTTGTGGCAAGGTAAGCCCTATAAGATATACAACCTCAACAATCTCGTTGATTAGGATAATGAAGTTACAACTTACAGATCAACAATGTGAATAAGTATGTTGAGATATTATATTATCAGCACGTTGGTAATGGATCTACTCATGTTCATATCTACTAACAATACTGCATTAATTCAACAATTTACTTATCGTACAATGTTGCGCAACAGCTCAGGCAATCTTGACGTACATACTGATACAAGATACAAGATCTTCCTTTGTAACTTTTGTCACATTAATAAATGCAACAGAATTATAGAGGACATGTTGAACAACATGAGCCTCCAAACCAACAATATCATTATAATATAAAGACATGTCCCAAACAGCGAGGCATCCAATTCATCTAATATATATCCTTTTGTACCGGTATGGTTTACCGATCATTCTTTCAGCCTTAACAAACAACTATAACCCCTATTCATGAAAGACATTTTCTGTTTGAGTTGATATCGCCGTTCTAGCCTTGATTCCTGTCTCAATATCACTGCCCATGTCAACGACAGCAACTTCAACCCCCTTGTAAATTGAGATCACGGCAGTTTAAGAATTTGTTAACACCCCTGAAACATGTTAAGTACAGGCAATTTGTAAAACTTTATTTTGACATAAACTGTCCAGAGATTCGGAAAAACTTCAACAAATTATTGATTACACATGTGTAAAAGAAAGGTATATCTTGTCTTGATAGCTTTTATAAGCATGTTTAACACCTTCCTTTATACCCCATCTTGATTAAATTGCCTACATATTGACACCTATATAATGACTACGTGTACTACATATACACGTGTAAAATACTGAGCAATTAACTTTTATTAACATTATGTTTAAACTGATGTCTAGCAATGAGTTTTCTATCTTCTATCGCATTTAAACGGACTTTTGAAGATCAATTCTTATCTTTTCACCGGGTGATCATTTAATTATCCCAAAAGAATGTTAATTTATCAGGTGCACCATCTTCAATATCACAATCTTTAGCAAAATTTTTACCATCCATTCTATCATTAATAAAGTTTTCAAAATCACTTAAAGAGATACTAAAACCTGGGCCTTCTGAATGACCTTCAATTGGTAACACTGCATCATTATGAACAAATCTGACAAAAGGTTCATCATAACCTTCACATTCTAATCTTTCAGTGATTAATCTAGCACCCATTGGAACTATGTTGGAAATTTTCCATAAATGATTGAAACTTTGATGATCTGTTGGTAAATCTTTAGTTTCGAAAAGGCCTAATAATGCAACAATATGATAAATATCTGTATCGTGAGCGAATGATAATGTCAATTTCTTGGAGTCATCTTTAATTAATCTAATCAATGCATCAACATAAGTTGAACCAACAGTTGTAGAAAGATTATTTGCAGTACCATATTGATAAAAATATGTCAAATCATAAATATATGAATAAGCTAAATATTCATCATTATTGAAAATGTCACAAATTTGAGTTGTTCCTTGAACATTCAATTCGAATCCACAATAATCTAATAATGATTTAACAATTTTTGAAGAAATGTTCAAACCTTCATTTTGTCCATTTAATCTATCAGCAGTTTTATTCAAGAATGAAGTTGATAATTGATCAATTTTATCTTGATTTGAATCAATATCATAATATTTACAGCTATTAACAGGTGTAAGAGTATTTGCACCTAATTTTGGATCATGTTCTTCTAGATAAACAACAAGACTTTCATTATAAGCTTCACCTAAGAATCCTTTAGCAAATTGCTTTGCAGAAACTGCAACTCTTTCTTGACTAGCTGTAAAGAACTTGATATCATCTATGAATGTCAAATCATCATACTGCTCTCTAAAAAGAGTACCATGTCTATATTGATCTAATAACCCTGAATAAGGACCTTTACTAGTTTCATTTTCAAATTCATCTTTATCAAGACCTTTGAATTGATAATCTTTCAAAAAACTTAAAGGACCTTTAATTTCCTTAACATTAAGCTCTATGATATTTTCAATTATTTCTTTACCTAAGTCTGTAGTTGGATATCTTTCACCATGTCTTGAGATTAAATTTGCTTGTGTAACTTTACATTGATATGGAGCATCCCTTTGTATACCATAACCTGGATTTTGAACATATGGAGAAGCAGCACCGATGAATCTAAGCACGTTGTATTGATCAAGAGCATTTTGGCTATATGGTTTCAATGAGTATTGTTGTTCTCCAATCGGTAATGCTTCAATTGCACTTATGGACAAAGCCAATGTTGATAAAATAGCTGATGATAATTGCATCTTGTTGCTTGTTTACTTGTAAGTTTGAAACTTTATGTTCAATTGATTATATCTGAATCTCTGGGCACTGATCATTTTATAAATTAGGATACTTATTAGCTTTTTAATACCAGTTTCAATGGGTGTTATTTGCCTCTTCTTTGTTGGGGAAGTTCATATTAAGTCGCCTGTCTGCCTTTACCCCTTGATTGAAGCGGATATAATGAGCACTTTTAGTTAACAAAACGGTCATGAACAACCTTTCTAGTCTTCTTTATTGGTTAATTGGATGACTTCTTAGAGGTTTCAGGTTTTTGTTGGATAATTAAAACCATCGTGGGCTCTCTAAATGCTTTTAAAACAAGCTAAAATGTTGATTATTTTCCACGTTTTTACTTATTTCGGTTTTCGGATTTTCGATTATGCACATGTTTAGATTTCCTAATCGGTAAAGCGCATTTATAAGGAACTTTAATCTGATCAAATTGATTAACTAAACTTATCAGATGTGAATCATGGTTGGCTTCAGTATCAATTCATGTTAAGGAAATACAGATCAATTATACAGATTAATCAAAGTTATATTTATAAGTCTATTATTATATCTGTTACTCTATTTACATTATATCTTAATCCCAAAAGAAGGTCAATTCAGTTGGAACACCATCTTTAGTACCACAATCTTTTTCATAAGTCTTACCATCTAATTTATCTTCAATGTATTTTTCAAAATCACTAATTGAAATACTATACCCAGGACCTTCAGAATGACCTGGGATTGGTAAAACAGCATCATTATGAATGATTCTAACAAAAGGTTCTTCTTGATCTTCACATTCTAATCTTTCAATGACTAAACGAGCCCCCATTGGTGCAATATTGGAAATTTTCCATAAATGGTTGAAACTTTGATGATCGGTTGGTAATTCACCATCAAATAAGCCTAATAATGAAACAATATAGAAAATATCTGTATCATGAGCAAATGATAATGTCAAATTTTTAGAATCATCTTTGATTAATCTTGTAATGGCATCAATATAAACTGAACCAATTGTTGCTGAAAGATTATTACCTGGACCTTTTTCATAATAATATGAAACATCTTTAGTATATGAATATGCTAATAATTCATCAGTTGTGAAAATTTCACAAATTTGATTTGAACCTTCAACATTCAATTCAAATCCACAATAATAAATCAATGAACCAACTTGTTCTGGTATTAAGTTGATACCTGGAGATTGGTTATTTAATCTATCAGCAGTCTTGTTTAAGAAACTTGTTGATAATTCATCAATTTTATCTTGATTGATATGTTTATCATAGTTATTACATGCATTAACTGGTGTTAAGGAGTTTGCACCTAAATCATTGGTATCTTCATCAATTTCTTGGATATAACTTTCATTATAAGATTCACCTAAGAACCCTTGAGCAAATTTTTTTGCAGATTCAACAACTCTTTTTTGACTAGCAGAATAAAATTTAATTTCATCACCTTCATTGTATAAATCATCATAACGATCTCTGAAAAGAGCACCATGCTTGTACAAGTCTAATAACCCAGAATAAGGACCTTTACCAGTTTCTTGATCTAAACCTTCTTCATCAAGTGCCTTGAATTCATAATCTTTTAAAAAACTTAATGGACCTTCAATTGTTTCAGTACCATTTTGAATTTGTTCAAAATGTTTAGCCATCTTCTTTCCTTGATTAGAAGTTGGATATCTTTCACCATGTCTTGAAATCAAATTTGCCTGAGTGACTTTACATTGATAAGGAGCATCTCTTTCAATACCATATCCAGTGTTTTGAACATATGGTGAAGCTGTACCTAAAAATCTTAATACACTGAATTGATCAAGGGCTTCTTGTGAATATGGTCTAATTGATTCTGATTTTGAACCAATTGGTAAGGCATCCACTGCGGTTATTGATAACGCTAAAGCTGATAGCACGGTTGTTGATAATTGCATAATCGATGGTAGTTTGGAAAATCACCTCACAAGCCAAGAGTATATTCTTCAATTGACGTGAATCCTTCAAGTATTTATAGATTTACTATATCCATTGGATTTTTAACTCTTTGCCCAATTTTATTCTTTCGAATGTGATCTGCTATACGTTTCAACGTACATCTGTAATATGTATTCTTTACACCCTTTAAATCGATTGGGCAGGAGCGTTTAATCTCACTTCACGATGCACATCAACCGATGATATTTGAGCCAATAGTATTGAGCGATTTGTCACAGGGTCCACCCAAAGGGTTGTTTTTTGATGAAGTTTTGGTTGTTTTCAGTTGATGATTCTATCAAATAATAAACAAATCCACGTTTTTTTGGCTGTTTTTAAATTTTCATATAGTAGTCCCGACCCCGTGGATCGTGCATAGTATAAGTAGAAGCTAAAAGGGTAAAATAGCTTTTTGATACGTCTAGATTGAAGCATGTTATGCTGCTTGAAATGCAACCAAATACAAAAGAGAATTATCGAGTTTGATGCTTAAGCGATGCTCGAATGATCGCTTTAAAAGTACTCACTAAATATACCTACGTCGCCGATTACAGATCATCATTTTAACAAAAAATCAAACAATTATCAAACTAATCAAAATCCTAGCGAATTTGGAGTAGCAACACAATTCTTAGATTCAAAATGATGAATTAAATCTTTCCATAATGTATCACCATTTTGCATGCAAGACTTATTACCAACAAGAATTAAACCATATTTAGCTCTTGTTAAAGCAACATTTAATCTTCTAGCATCTTTCACAAACCCAATATTATTCTGAGGATTTGACCTGACACAAGAAAATATAATGAAATCCTTTTCACGTCCTTGAAATGCATCAATTGAACTAACCATGATACCACAAATTGTCTTAATACTAGCAGGCCTCTTATTACTTGAGATAGAGAAGTCATCATCAATTTCTTCTTGAATTCGTTCATTTTTAGGATTGATTAAATGATCTCTTTGAACCATTTCAGCAACTAGATTCCTTTGTGCAGAGTATGGGGTAACTATACCAATGTTTCGTCTTGATACATCCTTCATAATAACCAAATCTTTTAAAGTTCTTAAAATCATTTGGGCTTCACCTTTATTCTGAAATGTATACCCACGATTAACATCACTTTTGGAAGAGTTCATAACTTTGGATTCCTGATGAACTTTACCATAATCAATAAAAGTCAAAGGCTTTGTATTTTCAAAAGTTCTTTCCTCTTCAGTAACACCATCGGTTAATAGACCTTTATAAAACCTCTTAATAGGGAACTGGGAAATCATTGGATGCATTCTATATTGAACATTTAACATATGTGGATTTTTATAAGTACCATTTTTCAGAATCCTTTCAAATAATGATTGTTCCAAATATGGAATTTCACTAAATGAACTTAATTGTTTCTCATCACCAACGAAAACAAATTTCTGTGCTTCGTAAGCACTTAATGGAATCAATGAACAAGCTTCAGTAGATTGCGTACTTTCATCCATAATAACAACTGGGATTTCCTCGAGCTCTTTTACCTGGTATCCACCTGCAGTCACCGAAGTAGCTAGTACAACTTCTGCCTTTGGTACTAATTTAGAAATCAGTTTACCTTGTGCTTTCATTAATTTTTTATATTCCTCTTTTCCAATAAGTTTTTTACCATATCTTAAATCCAACATAACACTTTGATTGGATTGTGATAATTTATCATAAATATTTTGGTGTAAACAAATTGAACTCAATGGATGTGTTTCATTATATTCCTTTTCTTTCTCTGCTGAAACAATTCTTAATATTTTATGTTTACCAAAATCAATCAATTTTCAGCAATGTTATCAATTGCAATATTTGAAGCTGCAACAACCAAAATTGGAGTTGTACCATTCTTCATCAATTGTAAGATAATTTCATGAATTGTTGATGTTTTACCTGTGCCTGGGGGACCTTGAATAATAGTTATATCATTATCCAAAACATGATTAATTGCATCTTTCTGTGAACCATTTAAAGTTGACTTTGTATAGTTCAACTTACAATTTTCTGATCTGATTTGATTAATTTGTTTATTACCTAGTAATAATTTAATGAAATTGGGATTTGAAAAATGATTTATTGGATTTGAAAGAAATTTCATTGGATTTAAAAGAAAATTCATTGAATCTGATAAAGGTTTCATTGAGTTCAAAATCCTTGAAATTGGGGCAGAACATGGTATAATTGATTTCAAATTTGATCCACTTCTAAGTTCATCAGCATCATTCCAACCATGTAAATTAAAAGTCATTGTAATTATGGGTGCATTCGCACCGCCCGTCAATTCTTCAACAAAAACTTCCCATATTTTTGTATCTGTACCAAACTCTGTGGTGACAAAAAATGATTGATTATTACTGAATGGCGTTGCACGTAAGTGTCTAAACTTGAATGGAATAAGTTCTTTAATTTTATCAGTGTATGGAAGTTTAATAAATACTTGATTCATGGTATCAAGACTCCATTCTGATGAAAATTCAGTAATTGAACCAGTTTCAATTGTTTCTTCTAAATAAAGATGATAACACATTTCTTTGTAATACGTTTCTAGTGAATCATAAGAGAGCTTTGGACCAATACTTTTAAATTTTGAGGAATGTTCAAATTCTTCATAATCAACATTAGATTTGGACTTGGACTTAGGCTTGGACTTTTTACCTCTTGAACCAGAATTGTTATCACCATGTCTTCCACCTTTAGAACCATCTTTATCTAAAGTGAGCATATGCATCATACCCAACATATGATAAACGAAATCATCACTCTCCTTCTTAACAATCGTTTTGCCGCGTAACCCTTCTCTATTGATACAATCACCACAATAAACGAACTTTGTATCAGAAGCATCAACTTCAAGATCAGTCTTCTTTTGACATGATTTACAACATAAATCATTAATTTTGAAATAGGTTTCCAAGTTGTTAAAGAATAACCCATTTTGTAAAGAATCTTGAGTAGTAGGTTTTAATTTTTGCCTAACAACACAACTTTTACAAATCAATAAAAGTTTTTCACCACCAATTCTTGAAACAGTCAACTTATGAATATTATCATCTTGACATTTTTCACATTTTACAGCCTCTTTAGGTTTAACACGTCCAATACTTCGATGTCTAAGGACTGATAAATGTTTCAACATCTCAACCCCGTCTAATTTAACTGAGCATCCATTGCAAATGTACTTCACCATCTTTTCAAAACACTTGCGAGTCTCCTAAAGCATATACCAACTAAAAGGTGAGAGGGAAATCATCATGAATTCAGTGGCAAATGTATCCTATTTAAATATCAATTGCATAATAATTTGTTCATCTCTTGTTCAACTTTATTTAATATGGCGCCTGGAAGAACTTATTATTTTAAAGTTTAACTTATCTTGCATTCGCGTTATGTAATGATAGGAGATTTATCGAAATTAAGGGGTTGAAAGAACAAGACACAAGCGATTTGTTGAAGAGGTACCATAATGAGCTTTTTAGACGTAGGTGTTAATGCTTCCTTTGGTTTATTGGAAGTTATTTTAGAACGTATGATGATTTAATTATGAAACGAAGAGCTTGTAACGGTTACATATCAAAGTGGTTTGCGCCACATTTTATATATCACTTCATTATTTCCTAATATTGAGCTATTATGATAGTAAATATATGAATTTTACTAATCAATAATCATTATTTTGAGCTCTAGTTTCATTTGGTATATCTTAAATATGATTTTAAGGACTTTGAAATTTTTTCATTTTTTGGTTTTTGAAGTCTTTTTTTGAAATATCAAAAGACTGAGTTTCTATTTTGAAATAAATGAAAAACAGCTCAGAAATAATATTTCCAGCTTTAAATCAAGAGATTTATCAGCATAATAATATTATTCGGCATTTTTAAAGTGCCAATACACTCTTAGCTTTTTTATAAATCTGAATTTTCCTTACTTTTAACTAAATAAATGAAGGCTCACTTTTTCTCGGCCGAAAAATATATATAGACTGAAATTAAGTAGTTTCAAAACCACAACTAGAGAATCAATTTACAAATATACGTTTGAAAGATAGCAAACTAGCTAGTAAAAATAATATATGATATTGAATTCATAGGATGATATTAATGTTTTGCTGGTATAATTCCATATAAGGGAAATATTCTTTCGGGTACACAAAATTGAGGTCCAACCACGCATATTTAAGGAAATTGGCGCTTTTATATCTTTCGTACATATTAGCTTTAATAATTATATGATTTATCAATTTCCAATTTTATTTAGTAATTATACACAAGGAAAAACGAAAAAAAATCATTTGTCCTTCTTACGTCTTATAACTTTATCAGCAACAAAGACGGTTCTATCTACAACAGCACCAACAGTTAAAATACCACCAATTGCACTGATAACATTTAGTAAAAATCCACTCCATGAAGTACCATAAGTTTCTTTATTAATGATTTTTAATGGTGACATTTCAAAATGGAAGAATAAACCTGGAATACCACCTCTTGCATGGAATGTATTCGGATGATCTTCATCACGACCACCAGTCAATGGACGATCATGATAAGTTGAACTGAATTGATTTGTTTCCACTTTAGTACCATTCAAATATTCATATCTTGTTGGAACCACTTTTAAGAAGTAAGAATATAAATGATCTCTACTACCTTGAATTGCATTAGTACCATCTAATGGATGACTTGATAATTCTAAAGTCTCAGCAGTATATTTAGAGTTGACATCTGGTCCAAAACTGAAATGATTAATGACATGACGGAAATTGAAATCTTTATTTTTACCATATAGTGATAAATCATGAACATGTCTATTTGGTGCACTATAACTTGCACCTGGAGCAAAATGAATATTACCATTAATTCTATTCAATTTAGCAGTACCTTTAACTCTACAACCTTCACCTAGACGATCATTGATTTTCTTAACATAACCTTCTCTTTCACATTGTTCGACATTTTTACCATCAAAGAAAGCCCAACCAACTGATGCATAAGCTTTTCTTACACTATCACAATCATTACAACACACTTTTTCCTCTTGTGGTTTATTTTCATTTTTATCTTGATTCTTAGCACCATAACATGGACCACAGTAATCAGCTGGAATATCAGCATCAGCATGACCATGATCATCACCAATTTTCATTTCTTCTTCACCAATTTCCTCACCAGTTTCAGTCAACCTTATCTTTGTAAAACCATAATTGGTAACATCTAATTGTAAATCACCACTAACGTCCATTATATCTAAAGACATGATATCACATGGTAAGTCTGGGAAGGTGACATCCAAATTTATATCCAATTTCAAATTACGATCTCTATCCACAACCAATTCTGGATCAATTGTAATTTCGTTGAATTGTCTCCATTCATTTATAATTAATGAGAATAGCGTTAAGATACACGTCACTGTGATTAACCCACCAGAGGTAGTCTTGACTCTGGCATCTTCCACAGTCTTAGAGAAAGCATCAAAGGACAAAAGCCCTCCCTTCTTAGCCATTGTATTTGATCAACAAAGTATGACTTTAAACTTCAATATTTTGTCTTACTTCGTATAGATTTGAACACGAAGTTTAATTTTTCGAGATCAAGAAGAGGCTCGGAGTGAAGTTTTTGGGAACTTTTGATACGAGACACAATCATATAAACTACAGATTTTCAAATATTATAACAAAGGAATCTTTTGGAGACCTTATGAATGCTCTATTAAATTAAAATGTGGTGGTTTATATACACAAAAAAAGAACAATTACTTAATTCAATGTCTTGTTTGGAAACCAGCGACTAAATCACCTGCAACGTTTAAAATTTCATTGAAAATTGCCTTTTTATTAATTTTAACTTCATCTTTGGTAACAGGTTCAAAATTATAACCTAATTGAACTTTAAATTTGGAGTTTTGTAATTTACTAGGTACGAATAATCCAGTGATGACATTTTCACCAGATTCTGATAATGTATGTGAATGATATGAAAAAATTATAGTACCTTCAAATTTAGAATTTAATTCTTGAATTAATTTTCTAATTGGATTAAATTTAGATGTAATGTCTGATGGATATGAATTACTTGTATTCAACAAGTTTTTGAATGCAGATGTATTTGGTAAGATACCTGAAGAGGTAGTTAATGGGATGCTTTTCAAATTGATAACAAAATCATAATCACCTAATGATGGTGTAAATAATAAGTCCAAAGTTTTCTTGTTCAATCCATTGTTATTAATCAATTGTATAGCAACTTTTGATAAAGCTGTTAATCTTGTAGCAATTGGTAATGATAAATTATGAGACCAAGTAATACCTGATGGATCAAGTTTAGTACCAACGAAAAATTGTGTTTTCAAACCTTGAGGATCTTCTTTACGAACTTTTTCAAAATTTGATTTAATTTGTTGATGTGATTGAACAGTTAAACGATCAGATAATTTTGATAAAATATTAGCTTCTTCTTCATCTTCTGGTTTTTTACTTAAATCTAAGATTAATGGTTCTTCTTTCCAATTCCACTGTGAAATGAAATGTAAAATTCTTAAGAACCCATTTGAAACAGAAGATGGAACATCAAATTGACCAGGATCAACAAATGGTTTCAATGCAATTAATTCAACAAGTTCTTCACTTAAATGGGATAATAATAATTGATCATCTAACCATTTTTTGAAAAGACGAACTGTTGGGGAATAATATTGGAATTGATGTGATAATGATGAGATGGTTCTTGTATGTGTAACTGAATCTTGATAATTTTGTTTGAAATTGAAATAAATTGAATCTAATGCATGTTTTTTCTCCTTCTTAGCATTACCAACAGCTCTTAAATATAATGTTTCATCTCTTTCAGTTAAAACACGTAATTTAAAGCCATAACCTTCAGGCGTCAAGATATTCAAAGTTGTAATATCAAAATTATAAGGAATAATATTTTCTTCTTTTGTTAAATAACTTTTATAAGCAGTTTCTGCTGATAAAATTTCATTAATTTTCAATAAAAATGCAGTTTTAACTTTTTCCAAAGCAGAGATTTCATCAGGCCATTTAGTTGAGGTTTCAAATTGTAATACAAGGTCATTAAAAAAGTCATTATTTGAAACGGCAAATGGAACTGGTTGTAAATATGATGTGTATCTTAATGCTGGACTGATTGGTAAAATTGATCTAATTGATAATGGTAATTCAAGTTTGAATAAAATCTTATATAAAGTATCGTAACTTCTTAATAATGAATTATATGAATTTGTAGAAACAACAGATTGTTTTGTTGATGATGGTAAGTTTGGTAATGGTAATAATTTATTAATATTTGTAATATTACTCTCTATTTTCAAATCTTCTCTAATATGAGTTTTCAGAATATAATCAATAATAGATAAAATGATTGGTTCTTTATAATCATTAGACCATATCACAGAATGTGTAATATTACCATCTTTAAATCTTCTTAATGATGATTTTGGACCCCAGAAAGATCTAAATTGTGTACTATCTTCACTATCATTTGGACCTTTTGTAACTAATTTTTCAGCTTCATTAGGATTAACTAAAATGCCCACGATAACATTTAATGATTCCTGACTTGATGGTTTTCTCTTTGATGTATCAAATTCAACAGTTCTTTCAAATCTAACATCAATACCACGAACACGATCTCCTAAACCATATCTTAAAATTGTGGATACTTTATTTGCAATATAATTTTCATAAGTTAAAAATGTAATTTTTTCAAAAGGACCAAAAGCAGCATCACCATTTGGTGAAAGTTGGAAATTAACACTAAAATCATATTTAAGGTAATCTATATTGGAATTTTTCAAAAATAATGAATCAAATCTATCAACAACAACATCATTTAATAAAGCTAAAGTTTTCTTAGCATGATGTACTAAAATTGTATAAGAATTTTTGGTAACTTTATGTAAAATATTTAATTTTGTTGATTTATCAAAAATTGTTGGTGTATTAAATCCCCCTTTAATATATTTTGTTGAATCATTTGAATCTGAATAAAATTGTAAATGACCATCAGTTAATAAATCTTGTTCAGCAATATATTTAATAACACCTTTAAATAATTGATAACTTGAAAATCCATGTAATAAGATTTTATTACCATTTGCACCACCACCATTTAATAAAGCAGCAGTTAAAACAGCAAATTCAAAATGTCCAAAACCACCAGCATCCATTGTAGAATTTAAACCTCTTTGAGATAACCATAATCTACCCAAGATACAAGCTTCTTTGAATTGATCTGCAGATTTTTTAGTTTTATAAAGATATTTCAAATATTGATCATATGAAGTCATTGTTAAGATTGATGCATTATATAATGAAGTTGGAGGCAATTCTAATTCTTCATTTTTTTGAACTCTAATACAATTTTTATTTGGTAATAATTTTTTAGCATCAAAAACACCAAATGGGAATCCCACAAGAACATTTATGGAAAATTTTGTCTTGTAGAAATTATATTCAGATCCTTGATTAATATTTAAAGCTTGAATTTTCAAAACTGGAGTCAGTATATCATCATTTAAATAAGTATAAGATAATTTTAAGAAATCTAAACCTTCTTTTTTGAAAACAGTTTTCAAATTTTCAGTTAAATAACCTAAATAAAATGAACGTTTATGAAGAGCTCTATAATTTAAATAATCTTTAGCTTGTAATAATTCTTTTGGCATTGTGACATTGACATCAATTGATAAACCATGTGGTGATTGTATAGCAGTCTTCAAACCGAAAGAACCAATAATTGATGTGTTTTCAGGTTTACTATAACCAAATTTATAATTGATATTTGTAGGTTTAGGATCATTATATGGTATGGTGGTTTTTTTAGATTTAAACCAAAGTTCAGCATCTTCTAACGAATGTTCTTTTAAATCTGGAATTGTTTGAATCATATCATATAATTTATGTAAGAATTTTTCAATTTTGGCAACTTTAGTGTCTTTTAATTTAACTTCTTTAATTAATTCATCAATTTGTAATTTGAAAATATTTGATTTGAATAATTCTGCAGTTTCTCTAGCAATTTGAACTTCTTGAGCAGATAATGCACTTTTGTTTTTCTTACCAGATTGTTGAACTTCTTGGCCATTGGTTTCTTCTTCATCTTCATCACCTTCACTTTCATCCTCATCTTCATCATCATCAATTTGATCTGATTCTGGTTCATCTGCAACATCCTCATCGCTATCTTCTTTGACATCTTTCTTTGTGAGTTTCTTGATAAGTTGTTCCCTGGTTAATGTGGATTTCTTTAAAGGTTGAACATCCTCCACGATCTCTTGTTCTCTAGTTCTTTTAGCCATCTTTATGATATTTTATTTGATATTTAGATATATATCTTTAATTATGTCTAATGAGCCTTAACAAACACACAAACAAAGGTAAACAAATACCTCCAATCTTCCCAGACAAGGACTATAGTACAGTGGCTTTCAAAGGGAAGTCGTAAATTCAACCCCTGATCTCTATGACACGTTGGAACACTTAGCGCTTAGTCTTGAATTCAAAACCTCTTTGTCTTAATGCCCTGTACCAGCTAAACAATTTTTTCAAACTTTTCTGTCTTTCGCGTGGAAATTTCAGTACGTGTGTGTAAAAACCAGAACACCAGTACAAACAAAAAAAATAATATTTCGCGAAGATCAATAAAAAGTGGTGTGTGGATGTTGTTTTTAAGGCCCCAAGAGTGTGTTTACCAATAAAAATGACTTACCTAAGCATTATATAATTCAAGATTTTTTCAAAAAATCGCGGATTCGCGGGTTCACCGGTCCGGAGAATTTGTACTACGTTGTAAAAAATTATATGAGGGAGATGACTTTATTTTGATTTCATTAATACTTTAAAATAATTTTTAAATTGTTGAACTGTTGAAATCTATATTGTTGTTTTTTTGTTGATTTCATTATTATTCACTTTACTTGTTGCTATTAATAGTACTTTGGATATCATTGAATTTGTCAAATTGAATCTTTGGTTGTTATAGAAATCATTTATACCCATTTACTCAACAAATTTATATAATATTAAAATTTTAACAAAAATGATGATTAGAAGTATATTAGGGCTTCAATCAAGAAGAATAATATCTAGAAGAGCTATATATCCAAACCCATTGGTTTATAGATCATTACATTCTTCATTAATAAGATTTCAGGAACCTGTGAAACCAAAAGAATCACATGTGGCAACACCATCAACACCAGCTGCTAAATCAGTACCAAAAAAATCATTATGGGAAAAAATTAAACATGAAGCTAATCATTATTGGGATGGTACTAAATTATTAGGTCTTGAAACTAAGATTTCTACAAAATTATTATTGAAAAGTGCTGCTGGTTATGAATTAACTAGAAGAGAACATAAACAATTGAAAAGAACTACACAAGATGTTGTTAGATTAGTGCCCTTTGCGATGTTTATCTTGGTTCCATTTGCTGAATTATTATTACCTGTTGCTTTAAAATTATTCCCAAATATGTTACCATCAACTTATGAATCTAAATTAGATAAAGAGAAAAAAATGAAAAGATTAAGAAAAACTAGAGAAATTGTTAGTGAAGTTTTAAGAGATACTGTTCGTGTTAGATTACCAAGTTATGTTACTGAAGATCAAAAGGCTGATTTTAGAGAATTTTTCCGTAAAGTTAGATCTGGTACTGAATCTCCATCAAAATCTCAATTATTAAGAGTTGCAAGATTATTTAAAGATGATACTGTATTAGATAATTTACAAAGAGCTCAATTAGTTGCGGTTTCTAAATATATTAATACTTCACCAATTGGTACTAATCAAATGCTTAGATTTAGAATTAGATATAAATTATTAAAAATCAAACAAGATGATAAAGCTATTGATTATGAAGGTATAGATCAATTATCAACAATTGAGTTACAAGCCGCTTGTGCTTCAAGAGGTATTAAAATTAATGGTGTTGCTCCACATGAATTAAAAGATGATTTATCAATTTGGTTACATTTAAGATTGAAAGAAAAAATTCCATCAACTTTATTGATCTTATCAAATGCTTATACTTATGGTGATATTGAATCAAGAGAATCATTATATGATGCCTTACAATCAGTATTAAGTGCTATTCCAGATGAATTGTATCATGAAGCTGAAGCTGAAGTTGCCAAAGATGATGTTACAAATAAACAAAGATTAGAATTGATTAAAGAACAAGAACAATTAATTAAAACTGAAACTAAACAAGAAGATGAAAGTGGTACTGTTGTTCAAGTTAAAGATAAAATTAATTTAGATGATGCTGATCGTTCAACCCCAAGAAAACCATTAGATAAATAAATTTAGAAAAACTCAAAGAAGTGATATTATTTGATAGATAATCTTGTATATATAAATACTATAGTATATACCCCTTTTATAAAGATAAAAGCATGTAATATATATATAGCTATATATATAATATCAATTTCCCTCTGTCCAATCAAAATCTTTAAAAATTTCACTCATTTCACTTATACGTTCATCATTTTTGATCCAATAACCTTGCTTTTTGATAATCCAAGGATCAACACCCAAGACACCACCTATAACTTCTCTTGCAAATAAATCACCACGAGGCCAATTATAAACATCTTCCACAATATGACCAATCCCACCATTTAAATTAAACCAAACATGGAAAAAGGGTGCTTCTTTAGCAATTGAATAACGGAATGCATCACGTCCCATGGTTTCTGAATTTTTATTTGTATTTATTATAGATTTATGTTGCTGTTCTAATTCTGAAGAATTTTCAATTATTGCTTGTTTGAAAAAACCCTCAATTGTTGATGATAATGATAAAGGAATAGGAACTGCAATTATAGCAGCATGATTATGTTTCTTGATTGAAGATTCATAAAATATAACAGATTTATTTAATTTAGTATAATAAAATTTTGATAATGAAATCATATAATTTCTAATTTCATCCCATTCATCTTCATCACAATTTATGGTATTTTGAACATGATTTATTGGAATAATCATTGTGGAAAATTTTGTTATTGAAGGATTAGGTGTTAAAGTTAAATAAACTTTATCACTCATACTTAAGATATCACAACAATTATCATTTTCAATACATAATTGACAACGATCCAAAATCTTGGCCAGATTTTTAGCCTGTGAAGTTTCAATGTTTTTCAAATCAATAGAACCTTTTTGAATATGTTTTGCTAATGAATCTGATTGATCATCTTGATAATCTAAATCTGTGGAGAATTTTTTATCTTTTATAATGTTTTGAATATCTGATTTTCGTAAGCCAGTTGTTGTTTTCTCTTCACGTATCATATCTTCAATAGTCATATCATCTGGATTAGTTATGGATGTATAATTTTTCTGTAAGTTTAATATATCATTCTGTTGCTTTATAGATTTACCTTTGTTATGTTGTTGATAAAATTTTGTTTTCAAGTTTTCATATTCAGATTCAAGTTCTGGTAAGTCTGATGATTTCCTTAGTTTTGCCTTGAGTATTTTAGCATTTAATTCATTCAAATGTGTTTGTGTTATAGGTTCATTATCTGTATGTTTTGGCTCAACTAATTCATATTCATCATTGAAATCTTTTGTATCTTTTATTGGCCTGTCATCTCTTTCCCTATAATCATCTCTATGTCTATGTGATCTATACCTATGTTCCTTTTCTTTATCTCTATAATCTCTTGAGCTTCTATGACGATCTGATCTATGTGAATGTGAACTTTCATGATGACGCCTATGTGAACTTCCATGTGAACTTCCATGACGATGAGATGAAGATCTATGATGGTGTCTATCATCTCCATGTCTTGATGAATGATTTCGATCTTTTCCATCACGATGATGATCTCTTGAAGAGCTATGACTCTGTTCCTCTGACATTCTTTTAATTTGAATTTTTGTTGATGTTTGAACTGTTTCTATGATGTTTTCACATTATTAAAGAAAAAATTATACTTATATGAAAAAAAAAGTAAACAATTCGGACTTCCAGGTATAAAACAGACATGAAGATCAAGAAAACATAAAAGACACTTCAGATATGGCAAGATATTGGTGTAATCAGTGTGAAATAGTAAGTATATTCAAACTCAAATCATTTGGTTCAGTATACTGACTTTCTTCTCCCCAGTTTGTTGATGATAATAAAATCTCAAGAAAACATCATGAAGATTCTTCAAAGCATAAGAATTCAGTACAACGATCAATATCAAAGTTACATCAAAAGAATAAAAATATTCATAAAGAGAAAGTAGAAGCTGAAAGGGAACAGAGGAAGTTGAATAAAGAATTGGGGATTAAGAGTGATTATAAACCTGAGTTTAAGAAGAAAATTAAGAAAGATGAAGAAGTGAATGAAGAAGAAGAAGAAGATACAAAGGAATCTGATGAACCGAATATTGGGGAATGGTCAGTAGTTGAAAAAGAAGATACCACAAGTAACAAACCAACATTAGCAGAACATTCTACAGTTCCAAACAAACCTAAGAAGCAATTATCCACTGCAGACTTAGAAACAAAGAATTGGAACTTAACAAAATCAAAACAAATTGATCTAAGTGATTCAGATGATGATACAAAGAAGAAACCAACATTATTTAAAAAACGTAAATTAAAGACGTAAAATAAAGAAATAAATAAATAAAACTACCAATAAATAAAATATAACTTTGTTTTAACAAAAAAATGGAAACAAATTCATGTTCATGCTGTATTATACTTTTTCTTATATACATGGTATTTCGTAGATATACACACTATAATCATAGTCTCATTATGTAGTTTTGGTCTTTTTTAAGAAAGTGATTAAATCAATGGAAAGGTCTTGAACCACCTCTAACAAATTCCATAATTTTCCAACCTTCAGTTTCTTTATCATCAACATCTTCAGCAATTCTTGTTAAAACCATAGCATAAGAACTCATAACAATGTTTGATTCAGTACCAGCCGCAATTTCACCAGTTTTAGCTTTTCTATATAAATGAATTTCTTGAGCTCTACAGCCAACAACCAAAACAGGAATATTTGAAGGTAATAATTTTGCACTAACAATTTCAACACCTCTAATATCTAAAATTTTACCATCTGCAAATAAACCTTGTTCTCTAAAGATTTTTTGTTGAGCATTATAAACATTATATGGAGCTTCACTAAACCAAGTTTTCAAAACTTCTTCTTCACCTTTAACATAAGCATCTAAAACTTCAGGAATTATATATTCACGTAAATTTTTTGTAAAATCTTCAGTATTAAAAGCTGGATCAATTTGTTTAAATAATCTAATAACTTGTGCAGATTCAGTTTCTGCAAATAATCCACCAATTTTTTCAGTAATTGATCTTATAGTTGAAATTAAAGGATTTTCAGATTCATCCCAATATTTAACTTTAAAATCAGAAATTTGACGACCCACAGTAGTTTTTGTTTGGAAATCTTCAATTTTTTTACCTAAACCTTCACCTTCAGGTTTTAAATCAGTAGCAACTAATGCATTACCAGCTTCTTCATTTGATCTAACAGCTTTTGGTCTTTTACCAGAAGCGATTTCTTTTTCTCTTCTTAATCTTCTTTGTTCTTTTGATTCAAATCCACCATATCTTGAAGCAGATCCATCATCTAAAACTTCCTTAACATCTTTATAAACTTTAGTTTGTCTAACAGGTTCAATAACAGAATCAACAGCATCAACAGTTCTTTCAACGGTTTTTCTTGTATATTTACCAGCTTCAGAATCCCAAGCAGTAATTACAACTTTTTCTACAACTTCACCAGTTTTTTTAACAGTTTTACCAATGACAGTAGTTTGAGTTTGAGCTTTTTTATAAGCTTCACGAGCTTTCTTATAGGCATCAGATTCACCAATTTTACCAGTTTCATCTTGTAAAGCTTTTATACCATCTTGTAATTCTTTTGATTTTTTCCATTCTTGTCTAAAAGTTTCTGTAAAAATTTGTAATGGAGATTTTGGAGGAGAATTTAAATTTTTAAAAGACTGATGGAAAGATCTTGTTATCACAAGTCTTTGTGATTTAGTAATTTGATTCCTCAACATCTTTTGATGTATTTCTAAGGGTTTATGATGTATATCTTTAATACTTGATTTATGTTTATAGTCATTTTTCGCCATTCATCGAGATTTTTTTTCACCGAATACTTTTTTTTTGGATTATCAAAGCATCCGGAGAAAAAGTCGATTTGTATGGGAGTCATAAAGGTGAATCATGTATTAATGAGAATTAAAGAATATTTTTGACTAGCTGAAAGATTCATGAAATGGATTAGTGTTCTAGCTACAAAATGTACTTTTCAGATTTTCAAAATACCAACTTAAAGGTGAATTAAACCAAAATTTATACATATTTACCATACAATTGAAAAAGACTCGAAATGATTATATCATCACAGTGCTTTGGCTGAGTAAGCAAAAAAATTAAAATTCATTAAATTCAATATTAAATGGTCTTAAAGGCTTGATCAGGATGATAATGTTTACATAAGGAGTAATAGTAAATTATTGAAAGCATAATTACAACAGATTTAAACACCCATCCATGCTTCAATATTTCACCTCTTGAAAATGTGGTGAAAATGAAGCTCCTTACTTTGCGGGACGTTCTAATTTTTTTTGTCCACTACGGTAATTCTGTTACATAAGCGATACATACACTGCTTACTTATCATTAGTCTTCAAAGTAGATATAATTCATAAGTTTAAATGAGAAGTGGTCAGTATTACTGGAGAAGGATCTATGATAATTAATGAGCTATTGAATGACACCATTATCCTTATACCATCCACAATCCAATATTTCACCACTAGTAAACCCCAAATTCTGTCCACTCTAGTTGTCCCATTTTATTGAGTAGCTTAAGTAAAAGCAAATTTCGCGCTTAAGGAAAATTAAATCCGCCTAGCACTTCACTGGGATTTTTTCTGTACTTCTGCCTAAAATTAAAGAAGGCTGGCTAACTAGTTGACGTACTAAAAAGATTTAATCATTGTAGCGTATCTATTTGATGTTGACTCTTGAGATTCCTTAATGAGTAGGTGATATGAAATTGGGTATTAGAAGCTCACATTGGGAAATTTGTTGTCCTGTTTAAGTGTCTTGTTACCTCGATCTACAATTTCATTTACGATATCCAGAAACTTATCAACAAGGTAATTTCAATAAGGCGGTTAGTATAGAAACATCGTATACAAAAATACTATGGCTCTTTAACAAGTATATACTACAATTTATATTTATTATTATTGTTATTTTATTAGACTGTCTAAGCTGTAAACATTAAATGCAAATTAAATTGAAAAAGTACCTTTTGAAACCTTGGATACCAGCTGAATACCAAAGAATTTAAACAAAAACCAAACTGAAAAGAAAAAAAAGCCGTAAATTGAAAGTCATTAATTGGGTATGTAATTGTAGATCTGTGTCATTGAGAGAGTATTGGTTGATTGTGATGATGATGGGGGATGCTGATATGTTTCTATATCAAATTTAAATTAACAGAATGACCTAAATGAGGATAATCATCTTCATCTTTATATTCAACATGTTCAGGATCAAATACTTGTTCTTTCGATTCATCATCTCTTGAAATTAATTCTTCATGATGCTTATAATCTTGATTTTTAAATGAATAAACATCTTTAATATCCATAGATTCACGAATATTAGTTGTAATTGAATTTAAATCATGATCATCACCACATGAATGAATAAACATAGATCTTGTTTGAAATAAATCTAATGATAAATAAATGAATAATGTGAATGATAATCCAATAGTAATGTGTAATAATCTAGTTTTCCATTTATCTAAATTTGAAATTTTTGGTAATTCTTCTTGAGTCTCTATTAGACCAATAGTTTTTTCATCATCTGTAAAAGTCATTGTAAGTGAGTGTAGTGTATAAATTGAATCTTGAATTAAGAGTAAGAGTGCTATAACTCTAAACAAGAATACCAGCAGATTACTCCATTATATACTAGATTCCCACATTTTTTATAAAACAAAGCATCGTGGGTTAATGCTCTTCATAATTTTCTTTTACAAAACGTGCAGCTTTATCAGTTCAAAAACAGAAAAACTGATTCAGAATTTTGAAAAGCACAAGCACGTTTTGCATAATTTTAAAACCGTCTCGCGAATTACAAAGAAGAACCACACAAGAACAAAACTGACTAACCAATTTTGTAAGCGAAACTCATAAGATGAACCAATAATGAGACATAGACATAGACATTGACAAACAAGAGTATGTCTAAGTCAAGTACACTGTACACAAATGGTCTTATTAACACGGCACCCTTGTTCACGAGTAAACCACTGGAAAATTACTTAAAGCTGGTACAATACTATGAAACAAAATTTTCATGCGTGAAGAACAGTGAATATACGTGACTAAAAGTGACTCCAGTAAGCACCGTTAAAGTCTATTTTTGGCACCAAATGTGGTAAATATACATGCTTAGCTTATACTAGTAAGATAAAAGAAGTACTAATATGTTGTATAATTGTAAAGTATACATAAGTTAGAATGTCATACTTTTAATTCATAATACATTTAAGGCTCATCAATACAAATTAGGAGGACCATCTTGTTTTAACATTCATTACATCAAATCCTTATAGTCCTTGAATCAAATTTGGTATAATCAAAGGCTCAAAGCTGGAAATGAACGTTTAATTCTTTCTGCATTTGAAAGTATTACGTACTAAAAAATAGTGACATTGTTTTAAGTGTTTAAACATAATTTTTTGGGGTTTGTTTTCGTTTAAATGTTTGATAGATCTCTTGGCTGGTTGGTTAGGTTATTTGTTTGGGTATTATGTTTACTTGATGTAGAATACATAGTGAGTATAGTGATTCAAGATGAAACATTGATAAATTACTGAAACTGAAGTCTAATATAGTACAGTAGAGCTACATACTACATAGTACAACCTGAAACCAGTGTGTACTTTTTGTTTCAAAGTTCATTTCTCATAAATTTTAGCGCCATATAGGCTCTATAGACATTTCTAAACTACCAATTCAAACTAACATGATCATTTTTTTCAACATCATCATGATTATCTTGTTTTTGCCAATCAGGATGATCATTTGTATCTTGATATAACCTTAATTCTTCTAATCTTTCAAGATCTTGTAAATTATCTTGAGGTTGTTCATAATTTGTTACTTCACCTTCATGATTTATATTTATTATATCAACATCATCAATTAAATGTTCTTCTCTTATATTTGTAGCAATGTTTAATGGTGGTGTTACATCTGAATCATCTATTGGAATTTCTGATATATCAATAATTTCATTTGAATAATTGTTTAATCTTGATACTATTGAATTTATATTTTCTTTATAACTAATTGAATTATTTATGTTTGATACTTCTAATGTCATACATAATAATAATATTATGGATATTATAATCATGAGATTTATTAAAGATTCTTTAAGTCTTATGATTTTGGATTTTTTGGTTTGAAAATTTATTAAAACATCATTTGGATTAATTGCTATTAATTTTTCTTCATCTAATTGAATTGACATTGTGTAATATTAATATTGATTGACCAGTAGTTATATTCAACTAAATGTAATGATATCTATGACCAACTTATTATACCATTTCATCACCAAACAATACAAATTCAAGAATTTGAAGAACCTTTCTTTATTATATATTAAATTTATGCGCACCGCCGTAAAACATCAAAGGCCTCAAAAGGTAAAATATGACGTGAAACAAGATCAATTTTATGGCCATAGATTAGACACACGAGTTCAAACGACCGTGCATCAATAACTTATCATTCAGATCATGAGATTTGATCCAATCATGCATTGAGGAATTTGTTATCGAAGGAATGGCTAACAAAATTAACAACGTGCTCAATGATCCACTATTGCTATATAGGCTTACTACTTTCAAAATTCAAAATTCAATACCGATACATGACAAAATGATAAATTTAGCCTACCAAAATTCAATTAATCAACCAATCTTTAAACGATTTATATTTAGATCATTGATTGCATTATCATTTTAAATTGACGCGTCAAGTATGTGAAGTATTACTAGCTTTATGGTAATTCTCAGAATTCTACTTTATATCAATATTCAAAAGGAGACATTCGAGGCTTAGACTTCCACGAATATGATTTTTTTAGTTTAACAATTTAGCATCAACCAGCATTAACGAGAATAATTCATAGGGCATATTGTTATGATTCAGGCGATTATACTCAAGTGTGTAGTTTATACCATTCTTTGTTCTATATGTTATTAGAGTATGAAGTTAATCGGTTGTAAACTGTAGTATTACAGTATTACTCTTTCTTATTTGGTAAATCTCACCATCAGATTTCCGAAATTATAGTATGTACATCATGTAGATCAAATTTGTAATTGTCTATAATCATTTGAACTTTTGAGTCGTGTGCTGGCCCCTGGGGTAAGTTGTGAAATATTAATCTGAACAGTTTGGAATGGTAGTTATATTCTTTACCATACTGGATATTATTCACCATTAAAGTATATAGTTGAGATATATGTGATTAGGAGACAAGGATTTGCATCATCAACTTCTACAAATCATAAAATATTAAATTAAGAATACACGTTAAACATAAAACTCATTAAACAAAACAAAAAACTATAACATGAACCATGACAAACACATGATTAATTTTTACCTTCATTTTGTTTGATCAAGTTCTGGATAATCCGTACGATCTTTATACTCAACTTTTAAATCAATATTTGTATCAGATTCTTCATATAAACTTTTAAGAGTTCTTGGTTGTTTTGTGAATTCATAATCAACTTTATCTTTATCTTGTTCATATTCTTTAACTTCATTTACTAATATTTGTCCAAATTTTTGTTCTTTCCCCTTTACCTCTTCATTATTATTAGGTGAATTAGAATCAATAACTAATTTATCATTATTTGTTTCATCAGTAAATTGCTTCATAAAATTATCAAAATTTTCAATAATACTTTCTTCAATAATATTTGAAGGTATCCATTCTGGGAAATCAAAATTATCATCAAGATCAATTTCATAATCATCAAGTAATTCATATTCCCAAAGTAAATTCTTTATATTACCCAATTGATCTGATCTATCAATAGTTATACAAATTAATAATATAACACCCAACACAATCATTATATTCAATACCAAACTTTTCCATTTTTTTAAATTACTTCTCGAGCCTTTATGTTTATAATCTTCTTCAATTAATTCACCTTCTATAAATTCATCATCAGTTTCATCTCCAAGATATACTGAAACTTCTTTCTTATAACTTTCAGCAAAATCCATTAATTTCTCTTCATCATCTGCATAAAGTTTATATTGTTTACCACTCTTCATTATAATATATTAATAGTCTTGGTAAATATTTAGTACTCCAACTCCAGTATATTCAACGGTTATCGTATAAAGATTTGACAGGCCGTTAAAGTAAACCGATTCTTGTCAAAAGGAAATTCAAATATCTTTATAGTATCTAATAATCAAAATTTCTTTAATGCAGTGTAAAACGGGTTAAATCAAATATATAACGACACGGCTTGAAACCTTTTAAGCTTATAAAGAAGTTTGAAGTTTAAACCAAAGAGCAAATTATTGGATAATAATTAATAAGACGCGGTACTGATTCCTGATCCGTCTAGTGAACATTGTGACTCCTTGTAAAGTTCAGAATCCAGATTAAACAATATTCCAAATATAGCACATTCTGCAGAGATCTAACTTGCGCTCTGCAGATAAAAAAGGTGAGCACTGAGAATCAAGATCAAGTAGATCTGTCATCCGTTAAAACTTAAGACTCCATATATTAGCACCAGCATGAAATGTTTAATCAAGCTTCTAATCTATTGGGTAGCTGGTTTCTTTTCATAAGGTATTAATTAACCTGCAATATAATGAAAGTTTGAGGAGCTCATGAATGAAAATAACGTTGAATCTTGGGTTGTTGCACTCGTTAACCGTTTGTATATACAAAATTGAAAGACGTTGAAACTTGACTACAATTTACAAGTAATTTTTCTTTTTTTTTGATCGGTAAGATTTAAATTTAGAATTTAGCACGGAGTGACGGCACTATAACTATGGAAACCAATATAAAATTTTACAGAATGCATAAGTAAAGTGCATATACGAAAAAAAGATTACGATTTGTACTGAAGATTACTAATGAAATAACATCTACTGAAGTCTGAAAGTTATTAATATGGGAACTTGTTGAATCCATTACAGCGCTTTCATATACAAATAATTTTAATGTCGGATAGAAGTCTGATTAGTTTAGTACTTTTGATTGATCACAACGTCGCATTTATAATCATGAGATCGATATAGTATTATAGTTGTACTGTTATATATTGAGTACACTAGTGACGTACAAGCCCCACGATATTGTTTCGATAATATACGGCCATGGTATGCTACTACAGACCCCCTGCTTATATTATTATAATGAATATAAACATTATTAACTCACTGAATGAACACGTCTAATAGCTGCTATAATCTACTCAAAATTGTAACTCGACGTGATCACGGATTTATTAATCACCAATGATGAGCTTGAGAACTTAAAAGATCATATGCCAAATTAATAGTTAACATAAATTATAATAACATTCGCTGAAGAGGCAGTGTATCACAAATGCCCGCCAGATAATTGACGTTTAGTAAATTGTATTATCATCCCCTTCACCTTGGGCCGATCTTTTGTTTCATTTACATATTCCGTACTTTTTAATTGGTTCAAATATAATGAAAATATACATGATTGAATTAATCTTATACACAAACTAAACGCATGTATAAAGAAGCCTCTCTCGATTACAATTATGCTAGGCTTCGTCGCTGATGATGATGGACTTTCAATGTACTATATTCTTTAATAGCTTCATTGACTTGGAGTCTAAATTTAACTTTATGATGATGGTGTTGTTTCTTCAGAATTTTCGGAATTTTCTAAAGTTTTCCCTGTAGTATAATATTCTTCTTTGATTTGTTCATTGATTTTTTTGAATAATTCATAACCTTTGAAAGATAATCTAACAGCAACATTAATACCAATGATGATACTCCACAAATAAATCAAAGTATCTTTATAAATGGCTTGTTGAACCAAGATATAATAAAAAGCTGCTCTCAAACTGGTATATTGGAATGAATGTTCAAAATATTCATTCAAAGTGATACCAATCTTCACCAAAATAACAATCATTTCAACACTAATCAATCTTGAGATAATTGGTAATGCATAACGTTTAAAGACATTCTTGAAAGTCAATACTTCATCAGGACCTTCCCTTAAAATCTTTGAAACATCAGGTCTGAAACGCATCAAAAATGGAATGAAAGTGAATGATGCAAGAAGTAAATGTAATGGAATAGTAATATAATCCAAATGGAATGAAATGCTGGTATAATCAATTTCACCTTTTCCATAAAAATGTCTATAAGGTGATTCAATAGCATTAATATGTGCAGAAACACACAATGCAATATTGATACAAACTGAAATGAAGAAGAAAGCAGTAACAGAAAATATTGACCCTGTGATTAATATAAATTTCCAAACATCACGAGCAATAGAACCATATCCATTATCACCATTAGCTTGTTCACGTCTTAATTGTTCTCTTGCATTGATTAGATCTTGCTCTAAAACGTTTGCGATATCTTCATTAGCAGCGTGATTAGCAGCAGCTTCTTGTTGACCATTATCATTACCAGCTTCACCAACGACATCTTCACCTTCCATGATTTGAATATGACGTTTTTGAATAGCATTATCATAGAATGCTAACAAATGAATAACAATTTGAGAACCAACGGCCAAGGATGTTGTATCTAATTGATAAAGACTAATACCAGATTGACCAAGGTTAGAGTACAAATGACTCCATTTGAAAGTTTCCTCTTTGGTAACATTGAAAAACAATTGAATCAAATAAGTGAAAGGTTTACCACAAATATTTGCAGTTAAAATAGCACTAACAATCAACAAAGCTGCAAAAATCCACAACATGGCCAAGAATAAGACAATTCTAGTACCAAAATAAGGTGGTCTATAGACAATTTCATATTGATTTGTTGTTGTCAATTCATCTTCGGAATCATCAAATTCATCCAGAGGGTATTTTTCATCAACTTTATCTAGGCCAGAATCATTAATACTTTTTAATGGTTTATCATCTTTAGACACTGGAATGAATAATTTTCTAACAAATTTTCTTGAAACTGTATCATGTTTTGGTGCTCTGACTAAATTACCATCTGGAATGAACACAGCTCTAACATCAGTAGTCTTAAATAATTCTTTTGCTTGTGAACGACTTTTTGGTTCTGTATAATCTGGTTTAGCACCTTCTAATTGAGCTTTCAAATTACGATATAAAACATAACCTCTTTCACGTGAATCGTGTTTGCCTAAAATGAATGATGATAATTTTAATTTTTTACTTGTGATTCTAAAAGCACGGATCCAATATTGTCTAACGTATTTTTTGATTAAATCCATTTGCTCACGAACAGTGTAAACGATAAAGTTAACGAAGAACACACCAGATAATGATTTCAGATCTAATGGTAAGACAGAAGAGCCTGTTAACTTGAAAAGTTGAGTAACAGCACCAAAACCAATTAAAATAAATAATGTGTAAACAAATCCTGATAAAGCAATTCTTGAAATTTGTAAACCAAATGGACGAACCAGAGCATCATGAATTAAACGAGCATTTGGATCTTCTGGTGATCTAATGAAAAACAAAACACCTGGTCTCAAAATAAATTTTCTAGTCATACCAACAAAGAGAGCAAACAGACACATGTATAGTGTACCAGCTGCCCAATAAACAAAAAATGTCAGAGGCATATAGTCTTTTATGAAAAAAACTTTAGATAAAATCAGTGCAGTATCATAAGAGAAAATCGGGGTTAATGATAGCTCCAATAAGAATCCACAATACATTGGGAAAAACACCAATTCAATTGCAAAAATCAAAAACACTTTGAATGTACAGACAAGATCCAACAATAGAACAAATAATTTACGTTCAAAACCTAACAATGGATTATTTCTTGAATGCTTTTTAGTCTTTGAAGATAAGTAGTATAAGATCCCACTATAAATTGCACCATAAAAGATGGATAATGGAATGATTCTTTCAATTGTTGATTGTGGTAACTTATGTCTATAGACATTATCAAGAGTGGTGATAACAGGGGAAATAAAGTAATAAATGATGAATTCTGAAGTGATTGGGAATTTATCTTTTGTTTCAATGGCTAAGTCAAACAATCTGTTTAAACCTTCTTTACCTCCTGTAATGATCAAAAATTTGTTAAATGCTGCTAATATACCATTTGCTAATAAAGCAGTACAATAGAAAATCAAATTACCAAAACCAGATGGAACAAAATATGCAATGAATAAATAAACAGCTAAAAATGCATCACCACCAACAATAATCATGTAAATTGGCAAAGACAATAAAACATCATCATCTTCTTGAGGAACAGCAGCAACAGCAGCAGCAGCAGCACCTCGAGCTTGAGCAGCTTGACGACGTTCAGCAGCTAGAGCAGCAGCAGCTTCTTGGTCAATATTAGGCAAAATAGGAGCATTGGCTGCATTTGGTGCAGCTGGTTGTTCATTTGGACGAGGTGGTTCATGGAAAGCTTCCCAGACTCTAGCAGGAATTGGTTCTTGGATTTGACGACGAGGATTAACAGCATTTGGAGGACCAGCAGCAAGTGCGTTTGGGAAAGGAATGATAGGTCTTTGATCATCCAATTCAGGTTCATGTTCTATTTGATGATCAAATCTTCTCATTTGTTCTCTTAAACGATCCAGTCTTTCAGGTCTCAAAAGATCATCTTCATCTCTTGTATCATCAGATTCATTATCAGAACTTTCTCCACTACGAGGTTCAAAATCAGGATCTTGATCTTCATCCTCTTCATCCAATAATTCATCTTCATTATTTCGTCTTCGTAGTTCATTACGACGTTCTCTTTGTAAAGCATTTTGTCTTTGTTCAATAACTCTAAGAGCATCTTGGATTGCTTGATTTTGAGGATGATTTCTATTTTCTAACATCACTTGCAGATTTTGAACTTCCCTTAACATTCTTTCATTATACTCTGGATCATTAACATTATGTCTCAAATTTGTAGGACGTGCAACGTTGACAATAGTTTCAGCTGGACCAATTTTCTTCAAAATTAAAGTCTTGAAACCTGGATCTCTTGAAACCCATTCGTGTTCCAAAAACAGGATCAGATGGATTGGTATCCATGTCAACAAAAATGATAAAGAATCAAAATAACTTGAAGTTAAAGCACTAGCAATTTTTGAGAGTTCATATGGATCACCTTCAACTTGTAATTCACCATAAATTAATGAAATCAAAAAATCTTCATGAGGCATAGCACCATCTATTATCCAAGTGAATAGTCTACTAGCAGCTTTCCAAAACAATGGTATTTGAATCAGAACACCAAATAGCAAACCTGAAATTGTTAACCCGTAACGGAACAAGTGAACAAAAGTATCTTTAAATTTAACAAAAATTAACTTTAGTGGGACTCTATCTGGTGTATCTTCTTTGAATTGTGTGGTGAATTTATATTTGACATGACAAATATCACAACTTGGATCTCTACCTGAATGTTTTAACCATTCTTCAAGACAACCTTGGTGAATATATTTGATTGAACCTCTGCATTTACATGGGTAAAATAATGGATCATCCGGAGTGGCTTCACCACGACAGATACGACAAAATTGTTCTTCCATGTTGTAAATCAATATGAGCCTGCCTGTGAATCTCTAGAGATAACCAGTTGTCTTTAACAGACTTCTTTATAAAGAGAAAAACGATGTTTCCTTTCCTTTTATTAATGACAAACTCTTTGTAACCAATAATTTATCGATTAGTTAGGACAACAAAGGATAACACCTTTTTATAACCAAACAATATCTTATGTAAACCGATAAAAATGCAGCGGTAACCTAGCTGAACCTTGTACTGGTTATTGAACAGGTAAATCAGGAATGATTATTCAATGCAACTAGCAAAAAATGATATACTGAAACCAACAAAATATTACGTTGTGTCACTTCGCTTTTTCAGCAAAAAAAAAGCCATAAACAATTCAGCGCTAAAAAAATCGAAATCATCAACTGAAATATTCGCGAATGTTCTATAGCTTTGATTACATAAGCGATGAGCTAATAAACCATGTATCACCCGGATATCCACAGATCAATTTCGCGGCTCAAATATACCTTTATTTACATTTTGAACCTTTTATATTAATCATTAGAGAAGAGGTTGAAAAAGAGGCGGTATTCCAAGTCAAAATGATTAGAAGACAACCAACTACAATCACACTTTCTCCAGAAGATGTTATCAGTTATGATGATGAAAAAGCTAAACAACAACAACAACAATCATTGAATCAAAATCAAAACTCATATAATCAAAATGGTAATACTTCTCAAGATTCTGTTTTACAAAGATTACAAAGTCTGAAATCAAAAGATGAAAGAATTGGGTTGAGAACCAGTAGTAGAAATTGAGATTCAATCCACCTGGCCTGTGTTTCAGTTGATGAAGGGATCAATCATGAAGTGAACACTTCAATCCCATTACATTGTTATTGTTCAGATTTATTGTTTTGCTCATAAAGTCCAGCGCAGTTAGTTCTACAAACACATTAAAAACATTGATGTATTAAAATTAAGCATTAATGAATGATTAGCAAACAGTCTATTATCCTCCCCAAATTGTTAAACTAAAAGTTGCTGTAAAAAAAATAATTCATAAAAAAAAGAATAGAAAAAAAACATTAAACTCCATTTTCCTTGGACCTAGAAATAACACAATAAATAAAGCATACAAATATAATTTGAAAACAAAAAAGTTTTTTTTTTTTTTTTGCTTGAGAATGGTTGGTAATGGTGATAAGCTAAAGAGGATTGATCTTGTTATAAGTCAACAAAATATTGCTGGTATATAAGTCTAATGGTAATAATTTTCATTTGAAATATTTTTTAAACCTATCCAAAACAGACATACTTGTGTAATATCTAACTTGACGACTACCATTAGTATTCTGTAAGCTAACCAAATTTTTTTGTTGATTGATTGAATTTGAACATGAGCCATTTACTGGCGTATCAGTACCCATTAGTGTACCTTGAGTACTTGAAAACAGTTCATCATCACTATCAATTGACTTGAAACTCTCATCATCATTTTCTTTTGTGATATTATCAATAGGATTTTGACGGTTATCAATATCTGATGATTCGAATGGACTTATATCACCAGCTGAAATATTTGTAAAAGCACTCGTATCAGTATCAGATCTATAGTTCAAAGGATTATTATTTGAACCTTCATTTGTGACTTGATTTGAACTGGATTCAGTTGAGTGATCTAAAGTTGGAGAAAAGGCATCAAATGAAGTATAATTTTCATCAATGGTTGATTTCAGATCTTCATTATAAATACTGAGATCTTCTGGATAAATCACGTTATTTTCAATACCTGTTGAATCCTTTTCAATTTTAAATTTAGAAGTTGTAAGCCATTGTCCATCAACAACGTACTATCAAAATGTTAGTATAATCTCACACCAAATAATTGATGAAAATACAACTCACTTTAAATACAATTTTCTCTCTTGGAACTTCAATTGTAGCAGTGTATAATCCAGATTTACTTTGAACTAATTTCACAGATTTGGACCAGTTATCAAAAGTTCCAGTAACATAAACCGCCTCATTTACTTTAGTAGGCCTTTATCTCAATTAGTATGATATACCGCCATAGTCTATTAACTTTATACTCACCAGTCAAACGTAAATAGAGAGTTAGGCATCTTTCTCTACTCAATCTTTATTATACTACCCTTAATTATTTTTTTATATTATAATAACCGCCAAAACAAAACAAAAATAAACCAAATAAACAATCAAACCTAAAGAAGCAGCTTGTGATAGCGTATACTACAGCCCGTGTCACCCTTAAATGACCTTTTGAACAAAACTTGGTCGCGTCTATCTTCAACAATAAAGGTGTTAATGGCGGATCTCAAGGAAAGATACTAAGAATCACCAATTTTTCACAATTTTCACCATATCCTTAATTTTCAGCCCTTTTCAATTTCTTTCTTGTTCTTTTCGCAAACACTCCCTAATCTTGAAAATATTAACAATTGATAAACTTTAATTGTATGTTGATTCAGATTTGGAGCGCACCACACAGGCATGTGATTTTCAGGTGACTAAAAAAAACAATAAGTTCTGGTTCCTGAGACATTTTGTGGTTCACTTTTATGTAACAAACAAAAAAAGAGACTAGCTCAGGAAACTAACCTTCACATGGCATGTTGCATATATGTTGAAGCACAAAATATACACAAAATGGTTATCACATATGCTAACATATTTAGAAGAGATACCTTAGTTGGAAGCTCCTTCAATTACCTTCAACCTTCAACTTGCAGAATGCACATCTGCAGATTGAACCAATCTTTATAATGGCTAGCTATACTGACCAGCTTCACATTTCTACACATAAATCATATGATACACGTTGAACCATGCATATTATCTTTTTCATCATCCACCAACGATTGTCTTTAATGTTGTGAGTCCGGGAGTGCTGATATTTCACGAGTTGCAACATGCTATATGATTATAAATATTGCCCCAAAATCAATTAAAGCTATAGTGGATTAGATCCACTAAATCAACCATAACTATTCTAGCATGGTTGCTAATTAAAACCTGAATTCACCAGCCTTAGGATCTTTATAATTCAATCTAGTTAACTGATCACATAAATGTTCCATGATGTAGAATAACATCAATATGAAAATTACACGTGTCGAGCCAGAGCAGAGAAGTATCTTAATATTATTGAGGACCATGAATATAACCAACTAGGTAGCCTACAGCTTAAAGCCATATTAATATATTGCTAGCTGATCATATTAAATTAGGATATCCTTATAAGTAAATGATCAGAATCTGATCAAGTGCTTTTATATATACGATCACATAACCAACGCGTATATAATGTAATATATTATTCCAGCCCCGTTGCAGTACGCTATATAAATTATAGTAGATATTATATTATTATATATAGTCATTATACAATTGTATATGCACAGTACTATAATAGTACTACATATACGTTTGGCTAAACTACTGCTTAAGAACCTAACTAGCTGTTTTATATCAATATTTATATCAACACCATTTAATCAGATTAGCATATTGGTATCTATAACTCTCTAACACATGGTTTTGGGGGTACTCATGTCATTTTCCATGTCGTATATATGTAACTTGAAAACTCTTCTATATGCTTTTCAGTGTCAATATAGTATATAGTATATAGTACTGAGCTAGGGGCGGCTAGCTCGAGCCTCGGACTTACTCGCCGGTACTGATTTCAGCACATTGTTCAAGTCTAATTAACCATAATTCTGGCATCTTTTGAATTTGCTTGATCAGGAAAATATGATAGCTGGGCAAAAACATAGCTTTCTATAATCATAATTAAAGGACTATAGCTTTGGAAAATTGGTATATTTATCGCTGTTCTCCTTAGAAGTTAGAACTTGTTCACTAGTCTCTAAAGTTAAAGGTGCGCATAATTTGTAGATCAAAGAAAATTACCGTATCTAGAAGTTCAATAGAGCGCGTAATCTTTTTTTTCACTCGCGTTAATTTTTTTACGTACATTAATTATCGCACGTCAAGACTCAATATAATTGGACGATGAAAAATACACCCCCAGAACAATATCAGCGATGCTAGTTTTATCATCCAAGTTATGAAGAACGCGATGCTAGTTGACCATGTACCAACTTTCAAGTGCATAGTTAATAAATTTCACAACATCGATCAACAGATGCATATATGTCGATGAGATCGTGTACAATTGTACCCGACAATTAGCTCTATCAGTCGTTATGTAACAGCTCGTTCAAACTGCTTCATAGCTCATCAATATAGATATTTTCTATGTGGATATTCATATGAATTCTATCATGTCTTTCAAAGATCAGCGTTTATATTTTGATATATGGTTTCATAAAATAGTAGATACGTCCCTACTACCTAGCCTCATATCACTGTTGATGGACATCTCACGTAGCTGCTTCAACGCTATTAACCATGGCACTAGCGTTAAAGCGATATACGCGTTACTTAACTTGTTATAAATATTGTCAGTGTTTAATGTCGATTAAGTGATCGATCGTTGATTTGAGATTGCAGACGTTAGTAGTGCTTCGACAATTGGCATCTACAGCTAATATGGCCAAATATATTAACACATGCTCTCTTTGATATTGAAGCTTCACAGTCCAAGTATTTTATTAATGAATTCATTCGTGACTGATCCTCAACATCAACAGCAGCTATATCATAAAAAGACCTTATATTTAATGATCCAGATAATGATCTTCTTGAACACAGCTTTAATATTGATCCAGCCTTTATAATCATGCTAGGGCTAATCAACCCCGTCGATTTATTTCAAACATGTTATAGTACACGTAACAGATGCAACGAGTGAGGACACGGTAAAACATTTAATTGAGTTGAGATCAACCTACGATTTTATGAAGCATTAGTGAAGAATGTTCGAAGTATTATGAGGTGATGTTTGAAGGTGTTGATCGTTTTAAACTGTGAAGAGGTATAAAGTGCTCTCTCTATAGCAACGCGAAAAATTAAATTATACACGCGCGTACTAGCTTCTCAGTTTTAAATCTTCACTACGAATAATTATTAACCAATATAATTGGACGTAGCTAGCTTGCTTTTCTCGATTAGGAAAGTCGAGAATTTACCTAGTCTTTGAAGTTTGAACCTCATTCGCGAATTGGTTGAGCTACATGTATCCACCCAAGATTGGGCAATTGTCAGTTAGCTTTAAAAATCGATCACCTTGTATTTCTCTTTGATTCTTGTATTATATCTGTTTCTATGTCAAACATTTCTCTTTATAATATATAGCTACACTCTTAATATTAATTACCAATATGGCAATTACCAATATGGCAATATTTACCAATATGGCCTAGAATTTTATAAAGAAATTATAATAATATGCATATAGTCTAGACCCTAGGTCCTACTAGTACCGGTTTTCAGTGCATGTGTGACAAATTACAATTACGTCTCTGAGCTGTACAATGCTGACAATAAGCATGTAATTAACAGATTGTAGGTATGAATACATTAGACTGCATATTGTTCCTTAGATCTATAAATTTTCAAGACTTTAATACTCCTTGAGAATCTCTGCTAGCTGGCCTTATGGATTTCTTCATACACAAGACGAGCTACTGTTATAATGATCAAGCTTAGGCATATCGGTATTTCTATCAATTATAATTCGTTTCGAAGTATTAATATATAAAATGAATAATGATCCAACTTCTATATATACTGCTACACGTCGTATAACGTACTCCACTATAGCAGGGTCTCAAAAAATTAGTATGAAGATATTGTACAAATTATATAGCGGTCGACCAGCTAGTTAATATATAATATATCTAGGTCGATATGATGTACTTAGGTTATGAAATTGATTCAAATATAATATAGCATCATAGATCCGAATGTACTTTAAGTAATTAATTAATCAAATGATCATTCGAATCAAAGTCTGTTTAATGGACAGCTTAATCATGTAATTGATCATATATTATATTCCGACGCCTATACACGTACAACTCAGTGCACAATGGGCTAAAATTATATTTGAAGATATTATATGTCAAACGCTAATATAGGGTTTACAAATAATGAATTTATAAATTCGATATATTCACGACGTGTATATTATATTCACATATTTGATTAAAACACTTCAGTAATTCTCAATTTTCCGACGTCAATATCAATGATGTTTAAGGATTATATCGATGTAATATTCATGTAATTATAAGCTGTTAAACTAGCTAGATATGTACCAATCTCAACAATAATCCTTGTATTGTATATATGTATGATAGATGCGATATTTGGTATCAATAGTACGTCTTGCTTACGTCTTCACCAATGGTTATATGAAACTTACAATATTACTGTTCAATTGCACAAGATCATCAGCTGATATGAAAATATTGTTAGTAGAAGTTTGAATTCAGCATGCTCAACCATTGCTGAAGACAACGATTTGATATACCATGTGCCGTATTAAATTATGGGAAACGGTTAAATGAAATCAGATTATCAAAATTCAGCCAGACGATCATATGCAAATTGTACTATTAGTTAAAGGCTTGAGCAAAGTGTTTTTAAATTTTGATCCAAACATTATCAGGTTTCTGTTTGACAATTTGACCATAAAAACACACAATACATTTACCGAACTAAGCATTAGAGTTCAAATGTGTTGGGATAAGTCTCTTTTCTTATAGTATTACAAAATTTGATGGATGGACACTTCTCGATAACCGATGAGCATCGACAGTTCGATATTTTTCTCAGTTTTCTCAATTTTCAAATACTCTGCTGAGTCTGCTCGTAAGTAGTTACTTTTTATCATATAACATCATGATATATTGATACAAGCAGTTGTTTTTATGAATTCTGTCCAATTAGCCTTCATTTATTGCGGTTCATTAAAGTTCATATAGAGATGTCGAATACACTAAGTTTGAATTTTTCGCGTCGTATAATTTTCCGATCAAAAAAATCGTCCACAATTTTCATGACATGATGAACACTGAACAGCCTGTAACAGCTAATGTTTATGAAAATATTGGTGAACCCACCGTTCACATAACTGAAGCAATCATAGTTGAAGTACCCGCTAATCGACAAGATCTGAATGTTGATGATTGAACTTTTCACTTCTACCAAGTTTAAAGTGGATAGGAAACAGTTGATATCGTGCCATCATTACGTATAATTTGTTCGGAAAGCGATGGATCATGGTATCATGGTGGTGTTGAACCCACGGTTAATGTAATTGAGATCCCCATTGAAGAATCAATAACTATTTCATTTTCGCATCTGACTACAGAGTACTACTACTGTTGTAAACCATATAAAGCTAATTGATTTTGCAGAGTATTGAAATTTGAATCCTTAGTCTGAGTACAAAAGATTTTACTTGTAATTACCGCTTTCCATGGAGACCCTTTATAATTTTTGCAATTATACCTTTGTATACTTTGAAGATCTCAGCAGAAAGTTACACAACTTTGAAACGGCCTAGCACTAATTGAGCTCGATAGTAGAAACCTGAAATTAAAGGCTTGTGTAGAGCAGCTGGTATATTCGGGTCTACAAGCCAAAGACTAGACCTTCTGTGTAGGATTTGGGGCAAGTACTAGTAGTGATTAGTGATTAGTATACTCACTGCACATGAAAAATCCAGATCCAGATAACTTGTATACAGGATGCAAGGACCACAGTCTAGTACGTCGTACTCTCAAGTTCTCAACTAGTTAGTAGTAGTTATAGTTTATAACTTATAAGTACGTGGTACGTACTTCAAGATGTAAATTTAAAACATGCTAATTAAAATTAGACCTTCAATAAGTTTAGACAATGGGGTACTTGATATGAACTAATTGAATTAACGTCTTGAAATCATTAACATGCTTGAGCATCAAATCATGCCATTAATAAATATCAGATCATGGTTTCACAATTGAAAGCAGGCCCTGATGTTATAAGCTAGAACAGTGAAGAACTATTGACGTATAGCATTGATGTTAATCAAATTTAACTTTCGAATTGATTGATCACAATTGAGTTAAGAGTCGACAATCTGTATCTGTAAATCCATATACAAATTAGCTTTAAGCTTCAGTACAGAGCTCCTCTATTTCATACTAATTCAGGAATATGGAAAAAAATTGACCCCTGTACTTCAAAATATTTCGATCTTTATCAGTCTCTGAAAAATAACCAACTGGGGTCTGGTTAAGACTGAAACTCTCCCGACTGTTTAAACTAGATACGGTTGGTAATATAGTGTGTGTTCCTTTAAGCTCCTTCAAATTTGTATTTTCTTTAAATATTGTGTATAATGTACGCTTGCTTTTTACCATTAGTGGATCTAAAAACTAAGAATCAGATCATTCATTTTAACTGATTTGTCAATTCAAAGACAAAATTGTCGTTCAGCCTTGAATATGTTCAAAATACAATATTTCTAGCAGCAGCTGGACGTTTAAAGTCTTGTAGTCTCATAAATTCTATAAATTCTCAAAAGCAGACCATGAACCAGGCTAGTACCAGCTCCTTTCAGTCTCCATAGTTACAAATGTATGTAAACTAAAATATTTCAAATATTCAAAGCATGCAATGAAAAGGAAAAGGAATCTATAATTTGGTTGAATCGACATGAAAAGTAGTACGAGCTAAAAGTATTCCTGATGTTGATTGTTATATGGTTGAATGAGGCACAAATTAGAATAATACGAAACTAGCTTAAGAAACTGAGCTTTTTGGGACATTAACCACCAATCAGATTCACTTATAGTACACCATTTGTGAGGTCTGTACTATAGTATATTATGTACCTATGTGGTCTTCGAATTATATAATTCTCTGTAGTTTAAGGTTTCAATCTACCGTAACTTGAAATAGCTTAGTATCTTACATAGCAGAAAAGTTACATTTTTATAGGGGTAAGTAAGATTGACTTACCTCAGTTAGCTTTTATATCTACTTAATTATACCAGTTGAAGTATCAAATCAAAGATCATGAACGTTACAGGAGCTCTTGATTTTGAGCCTTGGAAATATTAAGAGAGATGTGATTAATGATTACCATTCAAATCACTTCGTACAAATACTAAATATACTTGATCATCAAACAACAACACTATAATACACATCCCCCAGGTAGATCATCAGATTCTATGATGAGTTTAGAAATTCACTAGCTTGGTTTTCAGTTACTAACTGTGTTCCTTAAAAGCTGATACGAACTATTCATAGATCGAGCCTCTTTAAGCTACAGAGGTGTGAAGGATGTACTATGTAGCATGAGCTTTTTTGAAACTTAATGTAACCATAGTTATGGATCCTGCTTATAAATTTTTTCACTATCAATAGATCAATTTGATGCAGTTGAACTTTGTATAAATTTCATCTAAGCCATGTTTAAATTATTTGATCGGAGGATGAGACTCAAACAAGAAATATAAGATATTCAAGTCTATAATTTTAATACGCCTTTTGATGCACGTCTTTTATTGAGTGCTCATGCTCTTAATTAAAGATTGGTGCACACTGATAACCATGGTGATGGGGATCTTAGTAAACTTGCAGATGAAAGAAACAAAACTGTATGTAGGAAGAAACAGGAGTTGTTGCACTGCGTATGTGAAGTTTCTCTCAGGCCAATTTTTAAAATTTCTAGACCCGAATTTTCACACAGTTCTTTTTTCGGCCAACCCTGGACGTTCAACACAGACGTTCGATATATATAAAAACTTATAGAATTCCTTAAATATTTTAAACAAAACTGAAGAGATAGTGATATTCATTGTGAATCTATTGAATTCATTTTTTCCTTTTACAATTGACCTTGTCATCTCCTCATTTAGCACTTGTTATTCCATTAAAAGTCCTTTTACTTTTCACTATCTTTTGCTAGCTATTTTTTCATCTATTTGATTTTACATCTTTGGTTACTATTAAGTTATTAGCCAGAAAGTCAAATACCAACAAAATCATTACATTTTGCTAACCATTCATTATTCATTTATTGCTCAGTCATCATTTAACAGTCATCGTCATACTCTGAGCTTCAAGTTACATATATTCAAATCATCAATTCACATTCATTCTGCACTACTCAATAGAAATTTTTTTTTTCATAAGTTTTAGGGCTCAATATATAAGAAAAAAAAAACTTTTGATATTTGAACATCAACTTCTTTTCAATCATTTCAAATAACAAATCGATCTTCAAATTCAACTTCACATACAGGTCTATGCTCAAGAACTTTTGATTATTGCCACAATTTGTCACTGCTCCTCTCTTTTGTCAACTGCTTCAACTTTTCACTGAATCAATCCTCAATTCATCACAGCGCTTAGTCCATAAATCATCATCATGTCAATGTATTCAAATACGCCAATGGCTCTCAAAAGAAGAACAACCGCCAGGTTAGCTGCTGCTCATCCTAAGTTGAAAGCTATGGAACAAAAAGCTCATACCAATGCTGTTCAAACATATATACCTGATATTCTTAAGCATTTAACAGAACTTGAATCTACAACCAAAATGAATCCCCAAATGATACAATCACAACCTCAAATTACTGTTGCAATGAGACCAATCTTATTTGACTTTTTGATGGATGTTCATAACAGATTAAAGTTATCAAGTCAAACGTTCTTCCTTACCATAAATATCATTGATAGATATTGTTCATTGAGAATTGTTAGAAAAGATCATTATCAATTATTAGGATTAACCGCATTGTGGTTAGCTTCAAAATATTGTGATTCTAAAAACAAGATCCCTTCAATTGAGTTCCTTAGAGCAACATGTTGTCATTGTTATTCCAAAAACTTATTTGTTGAAATGGAATCTCATATCTTAAAATCATTAGAATGGAACGTTGGTTCATCAACTCATGATGCATTTATTGATTTACTTTTGAAAGAAAACGCACTTGATTTTAAACCAGAAAGAGTTAATGATATTAAATATGGTGCTAATTACTTATCTCAATTAAGTCAGTTCTCCACTAGAATCACTTTCAACTATTCAACATCAATGATTTCAATTGCATCTGTTTTAATCATGACCAATTCATTATCACTTTTGAATGACAATCAATTTGTTCATTTCAATACTCAAACAGGCAACAGTTTCAAATTAAACAAATTATGTGCTTTAATATTAAGTGTGATTAGAGAAAATCCACTACCAGCATCAATTGATAACAAGTTTTTCAAATCAAACAACGATAATACTACCTTAGATTCAATCGTTGCATATGCTAATGAATTTAGAAGTCATTCACAATTCTTTTCCCCGTCAACACCTTTATATAATACACCAATGGCTTCAAGAACATCATCAACATCATCTCAATCATCAAATGCATCAAGTCTTTTGTCCAAATCATCAGCTGCTTCCAGTTTAATGACACCACCAACATCATGTACTGCATCACCAATTGAATTCAATGCTGGTCAAAACAATTCAATTGACCAACAAAAAGCTGCTATTTTACCTTTACAAGATTTGAAAATTCAATGTCTTCCAACTTTCTCCTCAAATTATACAACCACTCCACAACATGTGCAATTACAAGATATAGAGAGAAAGAGAACCAATTCTTGGGGTTCCGAAGATCAAGTTAAAAGATTTTTATCTCAAGATAATTTGGCATCTAATTGAAGGATCGAATCATCTTTGTTTCCATCTATTATGAATAATGATATTAATAATTATAATTACACTAATGAAATGAAAGTTCATAAATAAAGAAAAGAACAAAAGATAGAACAAGTTAATTATTTATTATAAACAACCATCTTCACAATTACAATTACCCATCATTCCTTATATTCTCCAACATCTTAATAAAAAAACCCAAAAAAAAGAACTAGAGTATTTACTGGTGATCCATTGAATAGATTGACCAGATGACCTTATGAACATATGTGTGTTTTGAGTCTTTATACTATAATACTTCCATTTTCACCTACAATTTGAGTCTACATCCATTTTTTTTGTTTGTTTTTTGTTGTTTTGTCTGCTTGATTTCATTCAAAGTATCAAAGCTGGTCTTTTATACATTCCCTTTTGTATAGTATAATTCGCTATAAATTTATATATATAATATATTACTTTTGCTATAGAATCAATTATGTTGTAGGCCGTCAACTTGTGATAATTTCAATAGCTCATGATTGAATTGACTGGTAAGGCGTATCCTCTATTTATTTTCAAGTTTTTAGTACTGTTATATATTTTCGAGTCTGATCGGCCAGAACAACTGAAGTTTTTGGGGCTAGATATCAATTCCTCAACTTGTCGAAAGTTGCATTATCGATTTAATTTTGAAGATGCAGAAGTTGAAAAATATACTTCATATCTTGGAAGTTAAATTACGCACTTTATCGTAAGTAATGGTTAATCTAGTTATACAAATTTTGGCCGCTCCGGAACTTTATATGAAAAAAAATTCCCTTCTTGGACAATAAAGAAAAGCTATTTATATTAAACCCACCACGCGTCACTTTGAACCAGGATAGATTAATGAGATTGATGTGATTTGAGACTCATTAGATATATACTACAAATGTCAAAAGTTGAGGCGTTGAAGTTCACTACTTGATGAATAAGTTGTCGAATATGATACCTTTTTGTTCAAGTTACTAATGTGGGATAAATTGACCATATTGCTGCTTTAAGGGTTATAGTACGTGAAAGAAATTTTAGACTTTGAGAGAATATCAAACAAAGTAAATATACTGAATCGGATTATGGCTGAATAGCCAAAACTGGAACATCATGATTAACAAACTACAAGTTAGAGAGCCTTTCAGATTTCACAAAGCTATACTGTCACATATGAGGTTGAATTTTAACTCTCAATTACGTCGGTATCATGTTCTGTACAGAAGATGTATTTGAGTTATATATCTTTCAGGCTATTTATATATTAATGATAAGAATGTTTGAGGCTTCCAATTTCAAATCAAAGCTTACAGCTATAGTTGTTATTATTTAGATCTTTTTAGAGTTTGATTTACCCATATTCCAACTACTCTGATCGAGCTGATATATTAATTAAACGGTCGTGATATATTATGTATACGACATTAATTATAATTACAACAACATATATAGGAAAGTATACTGAAGCATACAGCTTTTTAAAATATCAACTCAAAGAATCAAATATTGTAAACTCGTGCGATGGTTTTTTGCGGATTGTTAAGCATTTTGAGAATCTGGTTGAAAACTGTAGAAGTACCTGATCTATAACACCATATATATTAAATTTAGGTTTGCGTTTAGATCATCAACATCAGTACAAATCACACCATATTGGAGAGGCTTACTGAGTCATAATGTTCTACTGTCTATGATCTGAGCTATTATATAATTAATAAGATCAAAATGTTAGACAATCAAGAAGCCATACTGGGTTTGATACTCATAAGATAGTTGTTTGGGACCTGGTTAATCAAAAGTCTTAGATGCTACAATCTTCGGGAGAATTACTATCATATGGGAGACTTGATCCACTGATACAAAGCTGATTTGACCCGTATAGTGTATACTAAAGAGTTATATGAAAGTAAGAAACATAACTTCATTAAGTTTTTGGTTTCACTTTGAAAACTCTAGGCCTCCTGAACCATCTTTTGTACTGAAAGCCTTGGAAACTGGAACACATATTCCTTTGTTAATGAGATAAGCGAGTGCACTTTGTACCCAAGAGATATAATACCTTATACATCACAGATTACAAAAGAGACGTCGACAGGTGCAAAATTAGCTTTGATACAACTGAGCAGAAACTCATGATTCATGCTAGTATACTAATATAAGACGTACACAAAGCAAAAGTCCTCGATGGTTGTGTGAAATGTATTAGTAACGATGTTTCTAGCTCAACCATGATGTCGAAAGAATGACACACTTAATACCAAGCTGTGAGATTGAACCTTTATTATTTATCGAATATACGTCGTTGATGGTTAAGGCTTGATAATTCTAGAGGACGTATTTATATTAATTACATACATAGGAGGCCAGGTACATTATTTAGTAATTGATAGCCCTGTCATGCTCACAGTTAATCCAAGCTGTAACACAAATAGGTTCTATCAAGCAGCAATACGGATTCTCTGCTCTTTCAGTACTGGTACGGTGCACCAGCTGTAGGCTTTTCATTGAAGTTAGAGGACAGGGAATAATACACGATGTTAATCCAGCTTGAGCTATGATATTAACAGTATATGAGCTCGGGGTCTCGGTTGCTAACATGTTGTTGTAAATTGCCTTAAGTTGGAAAGCTGACTGAATATAACTAACTGTATTTAACTTCTTGTTAACAATCACGATTTACAAATATATATTAGCGCTAGTGAATGATGCAGCTCCAGAATATTCTATTGCAGTTATACTTATGTATCATTCAAGCGCAATGTAAGCCCTATAATCCCAACAAAAATAGTTGTTCTCCTTCTGGCCATTTATGTGCTTCATACCTTTCAAATTGTGGTATATAAATCTTCGCCTTCCTTTTAAAAGATCACTTTAATGCTTCTAGGATTCCGAAAATGGTTAGCTCAATAATTATACTCTAAAAATTTATAGCTTGTCATATCTGCAGCGCCTAATCACTGACCAGATTCAACTGGTACACCTAAACATTTGTGACTGTGTAGCGCCATTCAGGTAATTTCTCCAACCTAGCTAGCATATCACAAATCAAGCTAGGCGCTAATAAACATTGCGTGGTATCACAGTATAACTTCTTAGGGACTTAATATTATATACTAAATTTCAATATAAGTATCAACGCTTGTTTGTACAAATATGGCTACGGCTAGTACTGAATTAGATAGCACACCCTTGGCGTAGATCTCAATATCAATTAAACCATGTTTGGACGCAGTCGCGTCTTCATGAGATATCGAATTAATTGCACGCGTATTAAAATTTAGAGTCTGTGTATAGACTTGGAATTGGAAATAGTGTATAGATGAAGAGCAGTAAATAGATAACGGTTGGGAAATAGTCGTCTAGCTATATCTCATTAGCTGTCAATGGATATCTATATAATCGAGTCAACAGCCAGTCTGAGCTCAGCTCTCACATTTTAAACGTCTGCGACCATATATAGTTAGAGTTAGCTGCTAGGTAGTCTAATGGAAATCTTAAGCATATTAATGCAAAGCTGCAAAGCTCCAGTTATATATATTATATAACCAGAAATTGGAGAGTAATTATTCAGCTTCATTTCGATGTTATTATATATTGCTCTAATTAGAATGAGCTCATGTCGAACCCCTAATATGTTGAGGTACTAATTAGGACCTCGCACTGTATCATAAGCCATTCAATTAATTATGGACAAGTAGTATATACCCACCCTCAATCATTCCAAGACGTCTATAAAAAAGAAGTCACTAATGTGTAAAATGTTAACTCAATTCTTATGCAGATCTCTAAATTTATTGGTATTTCACTTCAAAGAACAATAAAGTTTCATGAATATTTATTTTATGGTATTTGAATTTTGGATCCCCATAATTGGTACGTACTGCACATTACGAAGCGTTGGCCGAGAGATCTATTGATTTGCGCTTGTTTTGGAGAGGGCAGCAGATATACAATAGGGGTACCAAATTACATAATCTGTAGGTAATTAAACCAATTTAAACAAGACCGAAAATTTTTAATACCCTATTAAAGTACGGCTGAACAAAGTTTGAACTTTAACATTTTATTTTTGAATGCCTTAGGTCGCAGGCTTCAACTTTCTGATGTTTTCAATCTGATTGAAATTCGATCATAGACGTAGTAGCTGAGGCTTATTTCGATACACTAAACTGGTAATTAAAGCCCCTAATTCATATCCATAATCCATGATTGAAACAGCTAGTTCTCCAGTTATATTATAGACTAATTCATAAGGCTAGTGGATTGCATAGCTAGGACGTCTTGGAATCTGGAAATGGTACGGTACTTAACTAGATGTTATAGATCATGTGTATAAGTTGTTATACACGCCTCAGAAAGAGTTAACTAGTGACGTTTTTGAGCTAACTTAATTATAACTCAGCTAAGCTACTTCATTTTAATCACAGCTATAATTGGACGTACAGAGGGTACAAATAACTATAGCAGCTAGCCGCATTGATATTATTGAATTGAGTTCAAGTAGATCAGGTTTTTTTACCCCTTACACAACAAACAAGCTCAAGATCTAGTTTAAACAAGAACTTAGATTGATTTAAATCTTGACAACAAGTTTATAATTAAAACGTTTCATTCAAATCAAAAGTTGTAAAATTTTAACTCCTGATTTCTGAAATTAGACTAAGTTTCTATGTATAAAATTTCTGAATAATATATCGATCTAGACCCTTATAAGTTGAAATCGACCACTAGTCCACATGCTGCGCTTAACTAGGGACTTCATCTCACTAATTCCTAGATTACCGGTCACTCTAGAGTCTAGACTAAATATAGATCAATATTAGATAAGCGCAGCTTTTCGCGATTGACAGAATTACGTGAAAATAGACGTTGACACAAAATGCTTGTTTACAGAGTGTAATCCTGGACCCTGGTCATACAAGAATTGTTTGTTGTTGTGAAACGTTTATGAATATTTTCTATTTTGCAAACCAATAATGTATATATTCATCTGATAAGATAACAAACCAATACAATCTATAAGTAAGAACCATAGAAGATCTAAACAAGGATCAGGTGGTTAGCTAACGCTGATAGAGTCGTCCCATAGTGTGCATACCACCTTCTTGAAAAAAAAAATTATTTTGGGCAGAAACTTTTCAATCGTACCAGTTAGGAATATTAAACGTCAACATGTTAGGTAACTTATATTAAAACCAATTGATTAACAAAATTAACTACTTTGGGAATTGTGGAAATAACCATGACTAAGAAAAGGACTAATGAATCCAATGGTTTTGAATCAACAAAAGCTGCTAAGAAGCAAATTGTAAATGAATATAATGGGTTTAAACCAAGTTCCAAAAATACAAAATTAGAATCATTTAACTTAGATCAAATCAATGATAAAGTCATTAATAATCATATTAATGATAGAAAACCATTAATATTGAAATATGTTGGAAAATTCCAAAACTTAGATATTGCAAATTTCCAACCAAGTAAAATCATTGATACATTACATTATGATGAATTATTATTAGTTGAAAGAAAATATAAAGGTGGTTTTGGAAGTGGCACTCAAAGAATTCAAATGAAGTTTAATGAGTTTATGGAAAAAGTTACTAAAGGTGATGAATATTATTTAACTACACAATATGTCGAAAATGAACCTGGGAAAGAGGATGAAGATGATGAAGAAGATGGAGATGATGCAGAAGCATTAAATGGTCAAAAAGATATTGAAAATAGTGAAGAAGAAGAAGGTGATGATGATGATGAAGATGAAGAAGGTTTAGGACTTCCAGAAATACCCAATGATCAATTCTCAGATACAGATTCAATTGATATGAATGATATTCATGATGATTTTGATGATATTGAAGATCAATCTGAAAACGATGAAGGTGAAGGTGAACCAATTTCTTTAAAATTCCCAAAAGATCCATTATATGAATCAGAAGCAATTAGAAGAATTCAAGAATTTATTCAAAAACCATTAACAAATTTAATTAAAGATGATAAACTACCTCTTAAAATTGAATTTTTAAAAAATTTAATACCACAACAAGTTAATCTTTGGATTGGTTCATCAAATTCACAACAATTAAATGTTAATAGTTTAAAAGATTTAGAATTAGATATAAATTCTGATGATTTGGGATTAGGTAAAAAATTAATTGATGGTGGTACATCATCAGGATTACATCATGATCATTCAGATAATTTATATATATTAGTCAAAGGTTTTAAAAGATTTACTTTATTCCCACCAAGTGATGCAGAAAATTTATATTTAGTTGGAGATTTAAATAAAATTTATTCATCAGGTGTTATTGATTATAAAAATAATGATAAAGCACCTGGATGGAGAAAAGTTAGGGATGATGGGGCATTAGAAACTGAAGTTGCTAAATGGAGGTTAGATAATGAATCAAACTTAAATTCTAGTGAACGTGATGAATTAATTAAATTAATTGAAGAAGAAGATAGAATATTGAATAATGAAATAAATAAAAAATTAGATAATGGGAAAGAATCTATAAAAAAAGACCCACCTTCATTTTCAACAATCCCACCAATAGTTTTACATTTAGATCAAATAAAAGATGATGACTTACGTTCAAAAATAACCAAAATTGCACAATCAAAATGGCCAAATTTTTTTAAATGTCAAAAAATTGAAGTATTAATTAAACCAGGTGATTTATTATATTTACCTGCAGGTTGGTTTCATGAAGTTACATCATATGGATCAAATGATGAATTAAATGAAACAAATGAAGATAAAGACAATGATAATACTCATATTGCAATAAATTATTGGTTTGCTCCACCAAATGATTTTAACAAAACATATAAAGATGAATATTGGAGACAAGATTTCCAAAGAACTAAAGAATCATGTACTTTATTTAAAGATGGGGTTATTAATGTTTAACAAATATTATATTTATTTATAGTTTTAATATTATTTTAATGAAGTTTATGATTAATGTTTATGTACTATCGCTCATAATGAATAGGGCTTAAATGCCCTAATCTATGCTTATGCGGAACTTATGTCATCCGGTTTCCCAATTTTGGAAAAAACCTGTCACAAAAATGCCGAATTGGAATTTTGGTGCCCTTTGTGAAAAAAAAGTGTGCTCTTACCAATAATGTTTCTCACCCAGACAACAATATTTGTGTGTAATTATCAGCACCAAATACCGTGTAATTTACAGCACAGGGATTTTTATATCTCCACGTGATCTGAAAATTAGTTTTTTCTGTCAATTCCACCAGTGTCAGTTAATTTGATAGATCAAAAAGAATCAAAAGGAACAATTATGGAGAATAGAGGTACATGATACGGTGAAAAGTGTACGGAATGTCTGGAACAAGATTAGTATGTTTTAAATAGATCATGAATATAACGGTTTTTTGAGATAGCCTATAACAAGGTATCTATTACCTTTGATTTATATATGATTCAAATAGCTACGTGTTCATATAAACTGATACGTAACTCTTGTTGATCTGTACACCCTTATCATGGGAATTCCGCTTTAATTGGAGTGGAGCCGGGGAAATTCTAGTTTGACCGCCTGGAAACTGGAGATAACAGGTAATTTGAACGGGAATTTAAAAATTGGCGGCTTTTTCCAGGCAGGAATTAAGTTTATTGAGTCATAATTTATAAAATAAACTCCTGAACAGGAAGACAATCAAACTGTTGTAAATATATAATTAGAAACAGTTGTTGATTGCTAAAGTGTGGATTCCGTAAAGCAGCCTACTTTAATTATCTGGTATAAGAATTATAATTTAGGGGTAAACAGCTTATATCTACCCCTTTGTTAAGTTGTCTCTCGCAAAAGGGTCTACCGTCTTTCTCTCCCTAGACAGGACTCTTTTTAGATCTAGCGTCTAAACCCCCTGTCCGTGCATCTACCAATTTAGCATATATTTTCATAAACAACATGATTAACATAGCTAATATTCACAGTAATAACATAAACACATATCACTATTATATACTATAGTCTAATCCCTAATAACACATCCTCTTTCACAACACTTCCTCTATACAAAACACTTACAGAAATTCCAATTTTCCAGAATAAAATCTATCCCGTGCGTGTCCCTCCCACTGAGCTCATCTGTGTTTCCCGAACCATCAACCAAACCAATTTTTTTAAACAAAACATTTTTTTCACACTCTTTAATTTTTTTTTCACATAGTTAAAGAAAAGTTAAACTATACAAAGGAAAAAAACTCTTTTTTAAATAAAAGTTGTTTTAATATAAACATACACAAAAAAACTTATAATTAAAGGAAGACTCCTAGTTTTGGAAAAGCAAAGAGATTAAAAGAGGAATATAATGTAAGATTTAGATTTTTTAAATAAAGATCGGAATTTGATCTTTTTTTTCCCTTATTGTTTTATTTTTCATAAAGATATCAGATCTTTTTTTTTCTTTGATTTTCACAAGTATTATTATAGTACTATGAAAAATTTCATTATGGTGATGATGTTGTTGTCAGGATTGAAAAGTTAAGAAACAAAAGAACAAAGATACTTTTCATAGCAGTCAACTAGCCATATGCTTTTAGCATCAAAGAAGATAGAGATGGACTATCTATCATGTTGTTGTTTTTTTGTTTTTCTTGCACTTGATCTTGACACAATTATACACATCCCGATGACAAAGAAACCAAAAAGAATTTCTGTTCTTTATCAGGGAGAATATAACTGGGTATAAAACTATGTGACAAACAACTAATCATAATAACTTTTTTCTAGTGAGAAGAAGATTTAATTATCATTTTTTCTTTAATTATTATCTGAAATAAACTTTTTTTTCTATAAATCAAAACTTTTCTTTGAAAGGATCTTTTATTGTTTTTTTTTCATTATTATTAGATACTTTATATCTATATTGTTATCAAGAAAATATCACAAGTTTGGTTCAACTTTGCTTCACTTTGTTGATATTTTGTTCATATTCTGTTCTTTTGACTGTGTGCTACATCAAAAGTTATTGATTATTTTAGACGCTTTTATTAGGTTCTTTTCAGTTTGTTCAAGGTAATAATTGTTCACGGCGGTTGTTATCAAATCAACAAATACAAAGAAGAATACATTGTGGAAAGAGATTTTAATTAATTTAATTCCATTTAAAATCGTTAATTTAATCATTGAAGTTTCAAACAATATTGATTTCTTATATCAAAAAGAATTTCTTTATAAAGAATTATTATAAAATATAAGTGAAAACTTTCTTTCATCCAAATATTGAAAGATCCAACCAAATAATCAGATATCTAAGGAAAGATCATCATAGAATTAACTAAAGATTTTAATTAATACTTTAGTCTTTGAAAATCTCCTTTTTTTGATTATTTAACACTTATATTTTACCAGATTATGGCATTAGCAAATAGAAGACCAGTTGGTTTCCCAATGACGGATTCCACTGTGACAACATCAACAACTTCACCAGCTTTTAAACCTCGTCGTTTAAGTTTAAATGCTACAGATCCAAAATCAAAAATAAATACCAAGATTGAATCTGTTAGTTCTTCTTCATCAAATTTATCTGATGATACGGATGAACAACTAGTTGATGATTTAAAAATTGAAGATGATGAAGAAAATCAAATTTTAGAAGAAGATCATGATGTTGATATGAAAGAAATGACTCCAGAAAAATCTTCAAGTCCAGAAGATTTTAAAGATGTTTCTCCAACTAGTACTATTGCAACTTCAATTAGTTCAAGTTCAAATTCACAATCTGAAAAATCAAACGATTCCAAAGATTCATCAACATCAACAACAACTACTAAAAAGGAACCAAAACCAAAAAAATCAAAAGCTGAAAAGGGAGATAAACCAGAAAAGGAAAAAAAACATAATAAACCTTCAACAAGAGCTCCAATTGCCACGGGTATTTCCACTACAATCCCAGTCACAGGTGAACGTCCAAGACCAACTCAACATTCTTCATTAGATGATGGTGTATTATTTGCAATTTTTGAAATTTTATTTGATAAAGATGATGAAGGTAAAGGTATGACTGTTAAACAAATTTGTGATATTTTAGTTGAAAGACATCCAGAAATGGCAAATTTATCAACTAAAACTTCAAATTTAGTTTCTGCTAAATTAAATGCTTATGTTAAAAGAGTAGAAAAGGGTGAAAAATCTTTAATTTATTCACTTTCAAGAGAATGGGCTGATGCTTCTCCAAAAAGAATGGTTTATGTTTATCGTGGGTTATTAGCTCCTGATTATTATGTTCATGCTTTAGCTGCTATTGATGCACAAAAATCTCAAGAACCAACAAAATCTTCAACACCAATGGATGGTGAATCTGAAGCAAAATTTGGTGAAAGATTTACTCCATTTGAATCATTAAATGATGGGTTTAATGGAAATTCCAATGGTAATGGGAATCATGAAATTAAAAGAAGAGCTACTGCTTTTGATTTAGGTGTTACAAAACATACATTTGCTGATTTACAATTGGATTATTCTTTACCACAATTATCTATTCCTTATTCAGCTGCTCCAGTTACTGCTTCATTAGGTTTAGGTTCAACATTAAAATCTCCAACTTCTATATCAAAACAATATAAATCTCCAATTATTTCAGATGATTTAGATTTAGATGATATTTCAGAAAATTTTCAACAAAATTTAAATGATGATGAAGATGATGATGATGATTTTTTATTAGATGATGATTTACATTTAAAAATTACTTATCATAGAAATAATAAAAGATCAAAATCAATGTCATATTTAACTTCAAAAAAATCAAGAACTTTAACAGTTGCTGCTGCTGCTCCAAGATTTTCAAAAGTTGCAGTTTCTCCCTCTCCTTCTGCTGCTGCCGCTGCTGCTGCTTTACATGCTGCTGCTTTAGAAGGTTTATCACCAGCTGGTTCTGTTGCTACAGGGATTACAACTAGTTCAAATCCATCAAATTCACCAAATTCATTAAGTTCTAAAAGACAATCAATGAGTTGTGAACCACCAATTGCTGCTAAATGGTTAAAAGCTGTTAAAGAAGGGTTTTTAACTCAAGATATTGAAACTCCAGAAGATATATCATTAGCTGAATTGGATTCATTATTAACATGATGGATTTTTTTCCTTTTGCTTTTATTCTTTTTTACCATTCCATTCTCCATTCATTTACTTTACTACTCATTATACATTTTTACATGTAAATATACCCACATTTCTTCATTTCAAAAATTTTTGTTAACCCCTTTATTATTATAAAAAAAGATTGTCATTTATTATTATATTAATTTGTTCCAGTTTTTAACTTGCTTTTTGAAAGGAACTTTTTGTGAAGATTTGATATTGATGGTTTTGTACATGAAGTGATTATTACTGATTGGATGTTGTTACTTCTGTTTTGCTATGTTTTTTTTGGTTGATTAGTTGCTTTCTATGTCAAGACATTAAATTGAATTCTTTACAATTGGTTTTCTTTATTAAATTTTTTTATTAAAAAAATCACTTTTTTACTTTTGGTTTTGCATTTAGAGAATGTTTTATAGAGATTGAATTTTTGAATTTTTGTTTGATTATTATTTATTTTCAATATTAAATTGTGTGATCTTTAATTCAATAATTAATTTCATATTGAACAACTTTGCTTTTTAAACTTATTATTTTTGCCATTGGTGTTATGAGTCATGAGATTATACGATTTTTTTCCAATTTTGTTATATTTTCAATCTATAAATCTTTTCATATTTTTATAAGATCAATTGAGATCTTTATTTTTACATTGTTTTAATTTATTATGTTATTGTCTTTTCCCATTTGTCATTGGTTTATGAATATTATAAAATTTTATAATGATTAAAATCTTTTTGAAGAGATGAAATCATAAAGTTTTTTCAAATGTTCAAATGGATTATATTATAAAGATTTATTGTTTTGTGTTTTTTGAGATTTTTTAATTTATTCTTTAAATTCATCAACTGAATTTTAAGAGATCCTAAGTTTAACTCTTTTAGGTTTTTTAAACTTTTTTTTTAGATAATGAGCCATGAAATAAAATGATCAGTATAATATCTAATGATTAGCTGTAGGTGATCACTCTTTCATGATCTATATATGTACTTCAATTATAACACCAAATCAATCTAGATCTGTTCGGACTGAAACAATATATAAACAGATCAAGATATACACAAGTACAAGATGATATCAACAAAGTCATTATCCATCTAAACCTCTTCACACTAAGATCAGATCGTCTATTGTTCTACTAAAATCTATACACTTATATCCTCTCGCTTGTGTGCTTCCGAAAGCGATTCAGGACCTTCGTTGTCACTTGTCAGTCTAGCACGGAAGCATGCTTCCTGGTGTGACGTGCAAAATTTTTCCTAAAAGATCGAAATAAATTGAAAAATTGTGACAATTTAAAGAGAATTTATTAAGTAAAAATACTGATTTAAAACATATTCAAGAATATTAATCCAAATCTGTAAATTACTCGATCATTGTATTCAAATTCCGTATTTCCATTGCTAAACTGTCGTCTTTTATAGTAATTCATCGCGTTTAATAATTTGAAGTGTTTGATTGGTTGAAGATGGTTAGCGCAGCATTCTCGAAGACCGTTTCTTTGAAATTATTTGTATATACTCAAGTGACATCAAGATTTTTTTGAATGTTGATTATTTTTATATGAATATTTGACTCAGGAGTGATTAGAGGGGGTACTTATATCAAGAACTAGATTTGCACTTAATTTTTATAAAGTTTAACCAATAATAGATCTGTTTTTCAAATTGCATTTCATCACAATATATATTTAATACCCACAATATGAGTCTGAAAAGATGTCTACTAAATGATTCAAGATTATTATCAAGATCTTTCAGAGCAAGAACTTCAAATCTTCGATGCTTTACAACTCAATCCAAAATCAATCCAATCAAAAGAAACATCATAGCTTCAAAACCAAAATTATCAACATTCAAAAGATTTGCATCAACAGAAGTATCATTTGAAGAAATGGATGAAGAAATCAAAGAACTTTTAACAGAAGAAAGAGCAGTTGATAAAGTTGATGTCTGTATAGTAGGAGGAGGTCCATCAGGTCTTGCTACTGCAATCAAATTAAAACAATTAGAATTAGAAAATGAAGGTAGAGAAATTAGAGTTGTTGTTCTTGAAAAAGCACCAGATATGGGTTCACATATAGTTTCAGGTGCAGTTTTAGAACCAAGAGCATTAAGAGAATTATTCCCAGATAGTGAATATTATGATGAAAATGGTGAAGGAATTCCATTACCACCAGAAATTGTTACCGCTGTTACTAAAGAACATATGAGATATTTATATAATGATTGGGCAATTCCAATTCCTGAACCTCCACAAATGGTTAATTTAGGTAAAAATTATATTGCATCATTAAGTGAAGTTGTTAAATATTTAGCTGAACAAGCTGAAGAATTAGGTGTTGAAGTTTATCCATCAACCGCAGTATCAGAAATCATTTATGATGAAGAAACTGGTGCTGTTAAAGGTGTTGCAACTAAAGATATGGGTATTTCTAAAGATGGTACTCCAAAAGATTCGTTTGAAAGAGGTATGGAATTCCATGCTAGATTAACTGTTTTCTCTGAAGGTTGTCATGGTTCTTTATCTAAACAAGTTATAAATAAATATAAATTAAGAGAAGGTAGAGATAATCAAACTTATGGACTTGGTATTAAAGAAATTTGGGAAGTTGATCCATCAAAATTCCAAAAAGGTTATGTTTCTCATACAATGGGGTATCCATTATCTTATGACGTTTATGGTGGTGGATTTATGTATCATTTTGGTGATGGGTTAGTTTCTGTTGGGTTAGTTATTGGATTAGATTATGAAAATCCATGGGTTTCACCATATCAAGAATTTCAAAAAATGAAACATCATCCATTTTATTCAAACGTTTTAGAAGGTGGGAAATGTATTTCATACGCAGCAAGAGCTTTAAATGAAGGTGGGTTACAATCTGTTCCAAAATTAAATTTCCCAGGTGGTGTTCTTGTTGGTGCCTCTGCTGGATTTATGAATGTTCCAAAGATTAAAGGTACTCATACAGCAATGAAATCAGGAATGTTAGCAGCTGAACAAGCTTTTGACATATTAAAAGATTTAGAAAAAATTAAAACTGAAGAAGATGAAGATTATGATCCTGAATTACATGATGAATTAAATGAATCTCCAATAAATCTTGAAAGTTATGAAGAAGCTTTTAAAGGATCATGGATTTATGAAGAATTATATGAAATCCGTAATGTTCGTCCTTCATTTGGTACAGGATTAAAAGGTTGGGGTGGTATGGCATATGCTGGTTTAGAAACAATGTTCTTAAAAGGTGAAGTTGCATGGACTTTACATCATCATCATTCAGATTCAAGTATAACAAAACCTGCATCAGAATATGAAAAAATTGAATATCCAAAACCAGATGGTAAAATTTCATTTGATATCTTAACATCAGTTTCAAGAACAGGTACTTATCATGATGAAAATGAAAGAAATCACCTAAGAATACCAAATCAAGATATGGAAAAACATACTAAAATATCATATCCAAAATTTAAAGGTGTTGAAAATAGATTTTGTCCTGCTGGAGTTTATGAATATGTTGAAGATGAATCAAGTGAATTAGGTGTTAAATTTCAAATTAATTCACAAAATTGTATTCATTGTAAAACTTGTGATATTAAAGTTCCAACTCAAGATATTAATTGGACTGTTCCTGAAGGTGGTGGTGGTCCAAAATATGTAATGACTTAGACTGCAAACAACTCTTAATATTCATATTTATTTTGTATTATAGGTAATTTAATTTAATTTAATTTAATTCAATGCATATACCATATATAGATTCAATTACATGTAGTTAATTATTTCTTTAAAAAGTCATTCATTCAATCATGATTATTATATATAGTCCATATTTATAATTTCATAAAACCAGTAAACAGAACAAAAAATTCAAACATATAGTATAGCAAAATAGTATAGCAGTATAGCAAAAAACAACAAACACTTCTTTTAAAAACTTAGCAAATAAACAAATAAGCGAAAAAACAGGGGGTAATAGGAAATCAAACACTTATGCTACCCAAACATTTAAAACTTTATCACCAACTTCTTTAATCATTTCTTTAACTAATGACCAATCTTCATCACTTTGAATAACAATAAAATCACCATCTTCATCTTGATATTTAATTTTACCTTTCATAATACCACCACATTGTTTAATTTTTTTTTCTAATCTTGAAAAAAATTCATCAATTTCAATATCTAATGGAATCATTAAAGTAAATAAATCTTTTTCATATTGTAATTTAACAATAACATTATTATTTGGTAATTGATTTTTATAAGATTCTGAAATTGATCTTTTTTGACTTTGTATGGAATCTTGAGTTGATCTTCTTGTTTGTGATAATTGTGGGATTTGAACTTCAGATTTTTGTCTTTGATGAAATTGTGGTAATGTTGAATTTATTGTTGAAGCAGTTTCAGAATTTGATCTTGATAAATATGATGATCTATTACTTGTAGTCATTGATATACCATTTGATCTTCTTTCATTTGTATTATTATTTATGGAAAAATTATTTAATCCATTTGTATTATTATTTTGTAAATCATCTTGTAAATTTGAAACTAATCTTCTTATACAAGATTCCCAATTTGTTCTAATTTCTTCATTTTTAAATTTCATTAAAAAACTTCCAGTATCTTTTATACCTGACCATGAAATATTTAATAAATAATGATTTATTGTACTTATATTATAAATATTTGCAATTGAAATTCTACCTTTTAATTCTAAACCTAAAATTTCTTGTTGATTAGAATTTAATAAATTTGTTTGAGATTTTTTCTTTAATGAAGTTATTGAAGATTTTTTTTGTTGTGGTAAAATTTCTTTGAAAAAAATTATAATATTTTCAAAAAGATAAACTTGAAATTCACGTTCTTCTGAAGTTTTTGAATTATCTTTAACTATAACTTTATCGAAAAATAATAATTCACCAAATGAATTAACATTATAACCTTTCCAATCAACAACTTTATCATATAATTTTTTTAAAACTTCAACATTTTCTACTCTTCTTTGATTTTCATTTATATCATTTGCAATTTTTTTGGAAATTTCTAGAGCTAAATTTAATTCAGCAAAATTTGAACTTTGATTTGCTGGAGAATTTGAAGAATCAGTATATTTAATTAATTCTTTTAATAATAATGGATATTTACAAAGTCTTTGAACAGGTTTAATTAAAAAACTTTGTAATTCTAATTCATTTTCAATAATTAATGAAGAATTTTTCAACTTCATTGATGAAGAATTTATAAAATCTATTGCAGCTTTTTGACCAATTGACCAAGGTTCATAAGATTTGAAAAAAGATTGAGCATGAATGAAAACTGAACCAATTCTTTGATATTTTGGATCAACTAAATTATTAATTTCTAAAGCAACAAGAAATCTTCTTTGGAAATCTAATATATCATTTAAATTGGGGAATAACATATATAAATCATCTGAAGATATTATATTTTGATTTAATAATTGTTCTTTATAAGTTAATAAAGTTTCTAAATCATCAACATATTTTCTTTCAGTTTCAACTAATTCTTTCAAGACTTTTGATCTTGAATCTGTAATTTTTATTAAATCATCATTATTTAATTCCACAGGTTTGAAAACATTTGGAGCTTGATCAATAACTAGATTTATTACTTTAATAATCTTGATTAAATCATCAGTATCATTTGAAAAAGCATTTGATATAGTAAATAATTCTGAATTTTCAAAATTTAAATAATTTTTACATGCCAATATAAAATCATAAATTGATTTTTTACATGTTTTGAGATCATCTGAAGAAATAACTGGTAATGAATATGCAGGTTTAATTAAATTGAATATAACACATAATGGAGAACCTTGTTGAAATAAAGCCCATAATTGAGTAACAGGATCACAATTTACTGTTGCAGGTAATACACCAGCACAAAAAGTTGTTAAAGGTGAAGATGATGAAGATGGAGAAGGCATTGGACTTGAATTTGTTGTTGAAAATTCATCACTTGTACTACTTAAATTTGACATTGCACTAACTCTAAAATTTGAAGAAGTACCATTCGAAGAATTAAAACTATGATGATTATTTGAACTTGATGAACGACTACCACTTCCATTTGATGATGATGATTTTTGTGATAATAATAAAGCTTGATTTTCACTTAATACTTCAGCACTTGAATAAGCTAAGTTTAAATATGGTTTTAATTGAGCTACACTTTCTAATCTTTTTTTCAATCTTAGGCAAATATAATATAATGAATCATTTGAAGTCACTTGCTTGTTCATCAGCATTAATGTATTATTATTTCCTGCTACTGGGAGGGCAACATTTGGAGTTTGAATTGAACCAGGAGTTGAAATTATTGATGAAGAACTGGGTATTTGAACAACATTTGTATTAATATTATTGAGGTTTTTAATGGAAACATTGGAAGATGAAGTTCCAGTGTGTTGAATAGGAGGAAATACCGCCATTCTAGTAGCTCTTTAACTGTATTTGATCACTATTATAATATGATATTGAATTAACCGCTCAAAGGAACACACACAACTAGGTATTAGTTTTGATTATAAAGCCGCTGTGGAATATGTTGATAAAAATGAAATAAAGATTAAAACCGCTCTGTGAAGAAAGTAAATTAGCAATGTGGTAGTGTGGTTGTTTGTTTTAATGGTTTCCCAGTTGTCTTATGGTTGATTAGTTATTTGGTGATGTTTTTGATATTCAGTGTTTCTATTTTAATTTCCTATTTATTGTTTAATTGAAAATGACAATTTGGTCTTTTTTTTAGTTTTGAGAGAATGGTGTCTGTGTGGTGTGTACCGTGTTGTCAGTAGTTAAGAGTGTTACCCAGTGTATAATAACTCAACTAGTAATATCAGTATTAGTATTAGTAGATATTCAAGAGAATAATAAATGATTAGAGTATTGTAGATTATAGAGTATTAGAGTATTGTAATGGTTATCTATTTGTTTATTTGTTTATTTGTTGTGTTCTGTTGTTCACTTGTTATTATTCTATCAGCCTTACTGCATTCCACAATATAACCATTAAGGCAGAAGGTTCAAAAGTCCAGAACAATTCAAGTTACAAGACAACCAGACTACAAGACTATTTAATAATATCAGTTCTAATAACTTCTAACTAATCATTACTACATAATGTTCTTCTCTATTCTATAAATAAATAATGTAAATCAAATCATCCCCTTAATAATATTAATTTATGCTATATTGCATGATCTCCTTAATAAATTCAAATTCAAATCCAAAAATCAATTTTTTAAATTTCTCAGATCTGAAAAACTCACAAAAATAAAAAAAAATAAAAAAAAGATACGCGTTCTTTTACTAAAAACTCGATTATGTAATTGTTTACGTAATTATCATGTGATCATACTTTTGATTAGATAATCAATTTTCTAATTTTGTGTGGATTAATTATGGGATATACGTATTCTATCTATTGGTATTATCTTTATATCAGTTTTTTGATATCCATATCAATACAAAGTCACTGAGGACCAATATATAGATTAAAAGAGTGTCACTATCAAATAACCCCAACAATGGTTTATATACCAATAGATTCAAAAGATCAATCAACAAATACTTTAAAAGTATTAAAATTAAGAAAAAATGAATTTAAAAAAAATTTAATTAAATCTATAGAAATTACTGGATTTATATTTATAATATTATTATATTTGAAAAAGTGAGTTATATTTATTATTCTTGTGATCAACTTTAACTAATAATGATTATAGTCTCTCATTTATACGATTTGGTATAAGATTTGCAATTCATTCATTATTATCAAATCCTTTCCCACAAAATGTTCAATTTCAATTTCAATTCTCTGAAAGTTCCAAAAAACAAATTACAAAAACCTTATATCATTCTTCATTATTTATAAATATACTATTTACAATAGTAGACCTGATAATAGGAATCCCAATAATAGACTCTACAACAGATGATCCCAATACATATGGAAGTTTAACATTACAAATCATTGGAGATTCAAAACCAAATTCAAGATTAATTTTCCTATATTTTAATTTATTAATTTCAATATCACAAATTTTTTTAATTTATTTAACATTAATACAAAACCTAAATGAAGAAATTTCAAAACAAAATCAATATGACCCTGAGACAATGACTTATCCAATTTTATCAATCGAAGGAGATGGTTATACCGGGGTATCAAAAATTGTTAGTTTTAATTTGATTAATATGTTTTATGAAATTCAAAATTATCAATTAGATTTAAATGATGTTACTAATGATTATATGGGGAATAGATTAAATATGTTTTATGAATAACCTACAAACCACTACAACGAAGCAATATCAAAATTCTAAACCTTCATTATATTACATGCATTTGTGCTTTAAATATTTATATATTGTATAAAAAAAGAACCCTTAATTAACGACCTATTGGACAATTACGTAAATATTCAGCTTTATTTTTCAAAATACGAACACTCTTAAAAAAAATTTCTTCAGGTGACATTGCACCAGTACTTTCAACATTAAATATAAAATGATTTCTTTTTCTACCTAATTTAACTTTCCCATTAAATTCTTCATGTCTCAAGACTTCTCTTGATACTGTATCTCTTCTTGAATCTTTAACAAATGCTTCACCATTGTTTATACCAATAACACCAGTTGGGAAACATTTTTGAAATTTTTTAGCATCATCACCACGGATTGGTTCTATAATATCAATTGTTGGTAATAATCTATATGATGCTGTTGATACTGGTGAAAATTTTGCATGATCTGACCCAATACCCAAGACACAATGAATTCTAAGGGAAATTTCTTGTCCTGGTCTTAATTTTGCTAATAAAATATCTGGATCTGCTGGTTCAATTGGATTTTTAAAATTTTCTAATTGATTCCCCTGTGGTTCAAATTTTAAATCACGAGCATATATAGAACTATTTCTATATAATTCTTTAGGATCAGTTGAATTTTTTGGTGCATTCGGATTCTTGGTACATGAAACATCTAATGTCATAACAACAGTATTAGCATCAGTGAATTTATCAGATTCATCAACTGAATTATCAACCCAATTTAATAAATCAGGATCAATTTTTAATGGGATTAATCCAATACGATGTGCTAAAACTTCATCTTGAATAACTGAAGTATTATTAAAAATATAAACTTGTTCAGCGGCAACTGATGGAACTTCTGAAATCATTATTCTTCTGAAAGCATTTGAAATACTTGTATCTATATTTATTAAATCAAAATTTGCAACTCGTTCACTAATAAATGATATATTAATTTGGAAATTTTCTTGAAATTTTTTTTAAATCCCATGCAAAATCTTCATTGGAGTTATGATAACCTGGATAATCATTTGATACGGTGTTTGTAACACGATCTTGTTCAATATGAACAATATTATCAACCATTTTAGGGGGGGGGGTTGTGTTTTGTAGTTGATGATTACTTGATTAGATATATATGGTAAAATAAATATTTAAATTTTTTTTTTTACTAATTAAATTTCTGATGGATTATGTAAGACTTTTTTCTGAGGGTAAAATTCGCGAAACAATTAAACAAAATAGAAAGACGTTATATATTGGTTAAAATTAAATGTTGAATTAAGATTATGATGACTGAAGAAGTGCCGTGTGTTCTATTTGAAATATGGAGGTCTTGCTAGTGGTATTTTTCATTGTTGAAATCAGTTGAGTATTAAAGATTTTAAAGTGAAATCTAAAGTAAATGGTATGGGGCACAGTACGCTAGAATTTCTGAAATATATTAAAATTGTAAATTACTCAAAACTTTTGCACTAAGATGTATAAATTTAAATAGCTTATTATGTATGAGGCTTTATTGAGAATGCCATGGTTGTTAGTTTGAGGCCAAATCTCAAGTTTGAAAAAATTAAGTTTTTTAATTTATAGCATTTCAAACTAAAATATTAATGATAATGGTCTTAAATTTTAAGCTTCACTTTTTTTGACATCATAAAAGTGCTATTTTTATAAAATATCTATAATATTTGCGTTATTTTGATATTAAAATCGAGCTTAAAACTTTAAAAAAATAGATATTAATGTTTTTATAACCAAATCAATAAATAAATCTCACATATCGGCCGATAGAAAAATTTTTACGCGAAAATTATTCGCAAATTTAATTACGATGATATAAAAAACACTAAACTTATTAATTGCACAATTTTAAACGTTACGTCGTTGTCAATTCTTCTTTTTTGAGTCGTTTTTCAAATACTTTGAAACCAATTTATCCAAATGATTTGTTTCATGTGAATATGTTATATATCTTCATCCACTATTTGAATTGATATGCTACGTCGTTGTCAACTTCTTTTATGAATCGTTTCTCAAATACATTGAAACCAATTTATCCAAATTGTTTCATGTTTTGCAACGGTAACATTATTTCCTAGCCCAGTTTTTTCAAATAGCGCTTCAAAAGAACATCTGTATAACCTAGATTCAGTGATATCAAACATTTGAATGCCCTTTTTCTGGTTCAAAAATGTTGTTGAAAGAATATTGTCTAAGGTTCTTGGACTGAGATTTAAAGATTGATTACTCATATTGTGGATATTAAGATCATCACAATTGATAAATATATATGTTTAAATAAATCATTAGTCATTCAAAGTTTTCATTAGTAAAGATTTAAACCATATCTTTTATGTTAACTTCTTTGAATACTACAATTTTTTTTGAAATTTACAAGATTTGTAGTTAATCAAACTCAATTCTATCTATCTATCTATCAAATGTCCAATCTTATAAAATGTCTCAAATATTATCAAATTATTATAAATGTCTAAAAATTTTAGTACTTAATTTTGTGTCTTTTAAAATTTTAAAATAGCTTGGTTGTTAAGCAACATAAGAAAATTTTAAAAAGGTACCATAAATAATAAGAAAGTAAGAGTAATACAAGAAGAGACATTCAAAAAGCTTAGGATTGTGATTAAGATCTTGCTATTTAATTAATCATCAATGAATGAAACTATTTTAATTTCCATCAAATTCTTGTGTCAAATCATGAGTTGTTTTTTATTTTTATTGTTTACCCCAGTTTTCAACAATTCATTACGGATGATTTTGGATTTTCTTATACCGAAAAGTTTAAACTTTAAAGTAGGGATTCTAATCTAAATTCATATTACAAGAAATCTCAACAATATAGCAAAAGAAATCATATATTTATTGATATATCAAATTATAATTAAATATTAAACCAACCAGTACATAAATATATATCTAGTTATATTATAGAACAATTAAAACACGTTACTTCATAAGTATTGAATAACAAATCAATCAATCTTTATGTTCAACATCTGGTTTATCATCCCATGATTTATTTGTAACAGCCAATCTATGATGTTTATGTAAAGGTTCTTGTCTAACAACATTTTTACTTCTAAAGACATTAACTTTAATTTGATGCCATAATTCAACAGTTTGCCATCTTGCATGAACTAATAAAGGTTGATCGAAAACTTCATCCAATTCTTCTAAAGTCAATGATTTAGTTTCTGGTAAAAACCATAAAACAAGGAAAAATCCAATAACATTCCAACCTGCATACCAACCAAATGCACCTTGTGCTTTGAAAGCATCTAATAATGATGGCCATGTAATTGCTAGAACAAAATTCCAAAACCATAAATTACCAATCATAATTGATGTACCTAAAGTTCTAATATATAATGGGAAACATTCAGCTGTATATGGGAATGTAACAACACCTGAACCAAATGAATAGAATATTGTAAATAGATAAATACCTAATGTAATTGCACCAATACGACCATCTGGTGAAGTATCACCATTAATCCAAAATGAAAACCCAGTTAAAAATAAGAATGCAGACATGAATGGGAATGTAAATAACAACAAGAATCTTCTACCATAATGATCAATTGTGAAAAAAGCTGGCAAGGCGAAAATTGTATTAATTGCACCAAATCCAACAGATGCACCTAATGCAGAAATTTTACTAAAATTTGCATTAACAAAAATTGTTGAAGAATAATAAGCAATAACATTAATACCACAAAATTGTTGCATAAAAGTAACAATAAATGATGCAATTGTTGCATTTCTATTTCTTCTAACTGTAACCAATTCTTTAACTTTTTGAGTGAAAGGAGCTTCAAATGATTCTTCTTCTTGTAACAAGACATATTGATAAAATAAATCTCTTGCTGCACTAATTTCATGATTACGAATTGATCTTAATGATTTAAAAGCCTCCATATAACGACCTTTACCCATTAACCAACGTGGAGATTCTGGAATGAAAGGAATTTGGAACAAAGCAATTGTAGCAGGAATCATGGCAGATCCCAACATAATTCTCCAATTTAATCCACCACCAATACCACGATCTGGAATATGATAGAAAGCTAAGCAGAAAACATAACCCAACATGATACCAAAAGCGGTAAAAAATTGCCACAACATAGTTAAAGCACCTCTAATTGGTGCAGGAGCAGCTTCAGATGAATAAACTGGGACAGTAGCAGATTTTGGACCAATACCAAAAGCACCTAAACAAGCTCTTGCAATAAATAAATGATACCAAGTATTTGTAAAACCTTGCCAAAAAACAGTAATTGAAGAAGCAAAACATGACCAAAAGATAACTTGTTTACGACCCCATCTCTTGTTTGCAGGATCAGTAATAAATGTCCCTACAACAGCACAGAATAAATATGGTGCACCATTAACTAAACCTTCCAACCATCTTGAACGTTGATCACCATTTGCAATACCCATATAAGCAGGATAAAATAATAAAGCACCATTAATAACAGTTTCATCAGCACCTTGAGTAGCAGCACAAAGAGAAATTGAAATAATAACTTGAATTAATTTAAAAGGAATTCTCCAAGGATGATGAATTTCATTATAAACAGCTTCTTTTTCTTCATCAGATAAAAATGGCATACGATTATAATCTTTTGGATTACGAGCTAAAGCGGCACCTCTTGCAAATAATTCAACATCTTGGAAATCATGTTTTAATGCAAAATTTCTACCCATTTGCATAACTTGTTCAAGATCATATTGAGTCAAGATATTATTTTCTTCAGTTGGTGAAGCACCAGAATCTGATGAAGTTGAACCTGCATCTTCAGTTTTTAAAATCCCACCTTGATTTGTTGTATGTTGAGTTGATTCTTTTGTTAAAGATTCATCATGTTCAACATGAAGTTTTTCTTCAGGAACACTCATATTGTAAAACCTATGTTAATGAAACAATAGGCACAAATGAATATTTTTCATGGGGAATATGATGGTTTTTATACATTTTGAAATATTGACCTACATGCCATATGAGTGTAAGGTTTGGCATTATTTTAATTCAAAAGGGGTATAAGGTTGTTGATCCAAATTTGGGAATTGCATACATTTTAGAATTTAGTGTAAGGTATTTTTATGAGAATAATAGTGAACAAATTTGAAGATCTGAGAAATTTGGATGACTTTTTGCTGCGCGAATCGTAGTTTCTGGGGAAGATAAGACAAGACAAATGAAAAGACGGGACAAGTCATAAACTGGAAAAGGACAATAAAGAATGTGAGGAAAGAGTGAGAAGATTCAATGGTGAATCTTGATCGTGATTATCATAGTGGTTGATGGTGATGTTGATGGTACTCTCTATTGTATTCGTTGTATGATGTTGTTGTGTTCCATTGCTACGCGAGCCGTTCATAAAACAATTCAATTCGGAATAATCTAGAAATGAGCAGCAACAAAGAAAAAAATAAACATTTGGTTCTATAGATAAGTACCCAGATATATCGTAAATTCAAATTTTACGTATTGTCACGGAAAAGTAGCCTACTATTAACCCTCCGAGCATACAACTTCTAACAGGTCATCGTACTAAACATATACTACTCAACATGGTCATCGTATATACCTTCTTTCCCACTTAAACCTTGGATCGATCCCCTGAGCCTTTTAACTTTAAAACTCCATTTTATTTCCATGTCTAGAAACTTCATTCCATTGCTTTGAAGATTTGCGAGTACGCCATGAGAAATTACATACAGTTAAGCCTTTTAGTAACACTTCAAATTAAACAATTAACCAGCTCAACAATTAAAACAATACCCCAGAAAATAATATCACAGTATAGCCTATGCTTGAATTAAGCATAAAGGGAATCATCGGATGTTTCTGGTCCAATACAACTGTTGGTACTTCACCACGTACTTTACCATCTTATTGGTGGGTTTTTGCCGGCTCATAGATGACTCCTTGACTTGTACATATTCTTGAGTCTTAATGTCTGGGGATGTAAAACGCCATAAATTTCCATAAAGCGAGTGTCCGGAGGGTGCATAATTTAAACACACTTTAGAAAAATCTAGAATATGGATTGTTTAGCCTTATATCTGTAAAGTTAAAAGCTAATACTTGATACTTGATACTTTCTAATAGTTTATGTTTAGATAAATTTAGCGTGGTTGTAGGATTAACATGATTGACAACGTTTTCAACTGAATTAACTTTATGGGTAATTATAGCCTCTGAATCAAATCAAAAGATAAGATACAGTTTTAAACCATGTATACTTATACACGGCCCCAGATTATTATTAGTACTTTATGCATTATTCATTTACTCCAGCTTGTAAATCAGGTGGACACTGGATATAAGTAGAAAAGAGTAGACATAGGCTATATGTACCATTGGCGTTAAAACTGGGGTTAGATTGTGGGTTGATAACTGTTAGAATCATATCAGATATACAGCTTTTTTTAAAATATCATAACATTCATTCATTCATAATCATCAAAAAAGAAATATACATAATAATTCATTAATTATATCAAAAAATCAAAACCAGTTGATCAATGGGCAGAAAATTCATTAATACAGCATGTAATTTTAAATCATTCTTTCCTTCTAAGACTTGCAATTGGAATATCTAATAATCCACTACCACCTCTTTTAACTCCATTAACTGCACTATTTGATCTATTCCTAAATTCTAATGAAACATTTTCTAATTTATTATTTAATTTATTTCTTAATCCTTCATTATCGAAAAATCCTGATAATACTGAACTTGTTGAATTACCTGTATTACCAGTATTAACTTGACTAATTTGATTCATATTTTGTAATGAACTATTGAAAGAACCTTGAGATTCTTTACGTTCTAAATATGAAACATGATCTTGATCTTGATCTGTTGTTGTTGTTGATGTTCTTGATAAATTTCCTGATGAATTTGGTGGTGAAATTTTACCAGGTTCTTTAGATTTTGTCTTCATTGAACTATATGAATTTGATCTTGATTTTTGTGAAGGTTGTTGTTGTTGTTGAGGATATGAATTAAATGATTGATTTGTTGATGATCTTGTTCTACCACCACCACTTAAATTTAAATTAAATTTTTCTGGATAATTTGTTAATGATTGTTGTTCTGGTGTTTGTTTCCCAGAATTAAGACTTGACATTGATGGGAATGAACTTAATGAATGAGAATTTACTAATCCAGATTGTCCTTCTTCCACTATAGTATTTGTAAGACGATCACCTTGTTGTGATCCTTGTCCTTGTGATCCTTGACCTTGTTCTTGAGCAAGTTGTGAACCTCCAGATGAACTGAAAACTCCTAATCCAGAAATTGGTGATACTAAAACTGGTGAATTTGAACCTGAATGAATTTGATAATTTGATAAATTTGGTTGTGGAGGTTTTATATTGAATGAAGTTTGTGTTGGTGAAAATGTAAATGAATTTGAATTTGATCCATTAAAACCTAATGAGATTGCACTTCTTGGAATTGGTGATCTTGTATTTAATGATGCATTTGATGAACGACGTGCTGTTGTCACGGATGGTAATGGGGGTAATGAATTTGAATGTGTTCTATTACCTAAAGTTGGCCTTATTGATGCAGATGAAGTATTGGAAAAAGATCCACTTGACGTTATCACTGGTGTTGATGCAGTTGTTGTTGAAGTATTTTGATTTGATGTGAAATCATCAAAATATTTTAATTCATCTTTTGGAATTGTTTGTAATTTATTATAATATTTTTCCACTTGAAATGACATTGAAACATCAATTGGTTTTAATCCATTATTATTTTGTAAATTTTGATTTATTCCTGCCATTATTAATAATTTTATACTTTGATAACTACCAAATTTCATAGCTAAATGTAAAGAATTATTACCATCATCATCACACATTTGTAAATCAGCACCAATGGCTAAAAGCATTTCAACACATTTGAAATGATTTTTAATACATGAAATATGCAAAGGGTTTAAACCTTCATCACCTTTTAAATTCAAAATTTTGGGGAAATGTTGTAATAATAAATGTGTAGTTTGTTCATGACCATTCATTAAACTTAAATGAACACTTGTATTTTGTTTAAAAGTTTTCAAAACTTCATTTTTATCATGACCTAAACTTATCAAATGAACACAAATCAAATACCAACCATTGAAAGCTGCATAATGTAATGAAGTCCAACCATTTGATGAATCTATATTTTCTAATAAATCAGGGAACCGTTTTAATAATCTCTTTACAACTAATAAATTCCCTTCTTTAATTGCTTGACGAAGCCGTATTTGTGGCTCAAGCATATTCTCTTTAAGCTTTTTATGATTTTATGTCTTGAAAACGAATGAACTCTTTTGTAAGTGTTTTGTTGAATGATGTTTGAGTGAAATGCCTTTATCAAACCGTGTATCCTGAATATATTCACGGTCTAAAAGGTACCAAAAAAAAAGACTTGATGTACCGCTGAGCTGGAAACCTTGAACTAACCCCTTGGATTGGTTACTATGCTAATGTTGAATATGAATAGCGGTATACCCAACTAAAATAATAAACTAATATGAATCTTTGTTTAATTAAAACAAAAAAGTTTGGTACCAAATTAATTTATTTCATTTAACCAAAATTGGATTTTCGTGATTATGAAATTGGGATTACGTAACAATTCCATATTGAGTAAATGAATTTCATATCAAATCTTTAACAAAATGGTTGAATTTATAAAGAGATGTGAGTATATTATGATGGTATTGACCTGGTTTATATATCGAGAGAATCTTATTGTTATTGTCTTTTCATATCTCTCTTTACTTGATTAGCTTTTCTCTTTGAACCCGGCTTCTAAGTTAATTGTCATCTGTTGATTGTCAGGTCGTTTCAAAACCGATGAGATCTACATCTGAACTAAAAGGGTAATCAAATGTCAACTAATGTATAGCTAAATCTAAATTAAAATACTCTATATATGATAAGACTATATCCAATCGAAAAACTTATAAACAGATTGCTTGAAATCAACAGGGTTATCCAGATAAATATGATGTCCTGCATCTTTAATAACTTGATATTTACTATTTGATGGACCCAATTCATTAATTTCTTTAGATATAGTTAAACCTGCTTCTTTACTCATCCAATCTTTATCTCCATACATAAATAATGAATCCATTTGTAGATTACCTGGTAATCTACTTAATAATGGATATCTTGCCAATGCTCCTGGTGCTAATATTCTAGTCAGTGCATGTTCTCCACTACCTTTAGCAACAAATGTATTATAACTATAAATATGTAATTTCATGATTTCTGAAGCATCCCCCATTTGGCCAAATCTTCTAAAAGACCACGATGCACTCATTTGTGGACCCCATGGTCCTAATACTCTAAGTATAGTGAATGGGGAAATATGTTTATCCCATAAATATTTAAAAGTTTTAGACATATTTGGTAATCTATTAACATAACCTTTAGAATCAACATTCAAGAAAGATGAACTTGGTATAGGTTCATCTGTTGGTTCATTATGTAACCCAATTTCTTGTTCAATTTCTGGTCCTTCAACAAGACTTGTTGAATCTATATTTGATTGTTGATCAATTGGTAATGGTGTCTTGGAAAGATCATAAATACTTCTTTCTACACCAACGGGACTAATCAAGATTAATTTTGAAACATGTTCTGGATATTTTAAAGCATAAACAGCACTTAAATAACCACCAAATGAATGACCAATTAATTTAAATTTATCAATTTTTTTAGCCTTTCTCCATGATTCAATCGAATTTATGAAAAAATTCTCCACAGTTTCAACATCTTTTAATGAAATTTCATTAAATTTTGGTAGTTTGGGTCTTGATGATAATCCATAACCTAAAAGATCTAAAGCATGTAAATTCATACCATGTTTTTCTGTAAGACTATCAAAATTTTTATAGAAAAATCCCAAGGCGGCACCATAACCATGAACTAAAACAACATGATCATCTTTTAATGATTCATCTTGAATATTTCTAATATTGAATTCATGAATATGTTGATTATTACCTATATCAACATTTTCAATTTTAGCAATTCTTTTACCATCAGATTCTGGATAAAATGGTAATAATGATAAGACATCAGATTCAGATTTACTAAGATTTGATTTTTTCAACCAATGACGGAATGAATCTTTATATGTGTAATTTATATCAGCCTTTTCTTGGATATTTGAGACGTTTGTAGCTGATGCAGTAGCAGTAGACATGATGGAATCTTGTTGATCTTCTGGTACAACTTCAAACTTGATATAGCAAGAATCAAAGGTATAAAAGAGGCGTTTGGGCCGTTTTTATTTAGGATCGGATATAGGATTTAAACAGCTGAAAAAAGAAAACAAATCAAGTTCGGAAGCTGGAAGTGTTGAAAATAAGCAAAGTTCCGACTCCCGAGAGTTATGTAAATTGTATTATAGGAATGTTAATTAATTTAGTACAACATTCTCCAGAAACTAGCTACAATTTTGACACATAATTGATTTACATTTGATAAATAGATTGTCATAAATATAGTTAAATGTTATATAAGTCATACATAAAGTCATTGGAATCATCTCAATTGAATTGCATTCCAAAGACCATACCAGAAGAAAGCAGCACCTGCAATATCAAAAATACTACTAACAGTATGAACTTTTAATCCAAAACGAATATCTTTTCTTGGATTTGAACCATCATTCTCAATTGTTTCATTATATTCACTAATCTTTCTTGCTTTATACTTGAAATATGGAACAAATAAAAGATAACCAACACTTGAAATACTACCCAAGAGATAGTAAAATCTTGCAAAACTTTCAAATGGTAAATTAACAGCAGCATGAATACCAAACCCAATTGATAACAAGATTGCACCAACAACTGAACGTCCAGCTAAAGTAGAATATTTAGAAATCCAATAACTAATTGATGTATTATCAATACCTTTTTCTAATAATGCTGGTAATGTTGCCCATGTATGGAATCCATGAGTAAGAATAACTGTACCTAAAGCTGGTGCTGCTAATTGAGAAAACCCAACGATTGGAAGAACCATGATTGATTAAATTTATTGAAATGTTTGTATATGAATTGATAATATATATGGCTGGATTCTCAATTAAAATCTGGGGAATTGTTGGGTTTAAATAGTGATGAGGTTGCTTATAGCAAACTTTATGTAATGAATTGGAGTTTAAACATCTTGAAACTGATCAAATGCACTGATATTGAGAATTTTGAAACTATAGATATATTTCAAAACTAGTATGTTCCACTAAATACTAGTTTTTAATATGATTACCACCTAATAAACCCATAAAACTCATGAATATCTTCTGAAAAATTTAAAAAAACCTGGTATAATTCTGTCAATTTTACAAGTGCTCATCATCGAAAAGCTTTGTTTCCCTGACAACGTTATTAATTTGATTTTTTGTTTCGCGCAGCACCAAACAAAGTTGTTTTCGCATCAAAACAAAAAAAAGTGTTTGTTTACCTTTTGAAGACGGAAGCCAAAGTCAATGGGATAGCGGCATAAAAGAGTGTGAAAGAAGGTGGATTTGTTGTGTTATTATACTGGTACTTAGAATAAGAAATTATTGGTGCTTTTTTACATTCATTTGAAACCATTTGGAAGAAGTTGAGCTATTGATTTTCAGATTTTATAGGCTCATTGGAGCAGAAAAAATAAGTTACAGATACAATAAAAGAATTACAAATTTATAATAAGGACAACCATTATCTTTGGAAAACTGGATCATATGGAACAAGATGGAGTCCAATAATGGTAATTATATCAATAGTCAAGAGGATTTCGAAAAATGGATTCGTATGGCTACTGATAACGTGAGTATAAAAGATCCTTTCTATTTTTTCGTGTTTCTAGATGACTAACTTTTATGAAGAAAATCAATACAGCAAATAGTTGGGATTTAGCATTGATTGATTATTTCTATGATTTATCATTATTAAGAGATGGTGATGGGATCAATTTCCAAAAAGCTAGTGCAACTTTAGATGGGTGTGTAAAGATTTATTCTTCAAGAGTTGATTCTGCAGTAACCGAAACTGGTCGTTTGATTAATGGGTTAGCAACCAGCAAGAGAAATCAAGCACAAGATGGAAATGGTGAAGATGAGGAAGAAGAAGTTGAACTGGATCCAAATGCACCAGTGAAGGAAAGAAGATCAAGAGTTAATGTTGCAAATAAGAATACAATAGTAGATTTTGATGTGATAAAGTTCAAAAAGAATGATTTAGAATTATATGTTGATCCATTATTTAAAAAGGCATTGACAGATTTTGATGAAGGTGGATCAAAAAGTTTATTATTGAATATGTTGAATATTAGTGACGAGGGAAGAATAATGTTTGATACTACAGATTCAGCACAAGGGAAAGCCATTAAAGATGATCCAAATGATCAAACGTTACCAGAAGCTTCTGATCAACCAGAAAAAGATACACAACAAGATAACATACTAGATGAACTCGAAGATGATGATGAAGAAGAAGCAGGTGATCAAAGTATGATGGATATAGATAAAAGTTTTGCAGAAATGGATATTGATCAAGATGATGATGTTCAAGACGTAAATGAAGATAAAAAACAAGAAATGTTGGAATTGGAAGTAATGAATTTAGGTAAAAAATACTTGGGAAATTTCCATGAATCTCTGATATGTCCATCGATTAATGAATTGGAAGGTGTATTAAGTCAAAAAGTCACATCTGCAGAACTTATGGCAGGTTTAGAAAATGCTAAACTGATTGAGGAATCAGACGATGAAGATGATGGTGATATTGGTGATTATGTTGATTTTGATTTTGGTGGTGCTAATGACTTTGATGATCCAGGTAGTTTCCAAAATGATTCAAAATTACCAGCAAATAAAACTTCAGTGTTTTTTGAAGATTTTGATGATGAAGCTGATGATTATGGTTTAACAATGAGAGAATTATTTAATGAAAGTAAAGATTATGGTGTGACACATATAGGAGAAGAGGAACAAGATTTCAATAGAACAGTTGCAAATATACCCGATGAAAATTTATTAGCATACTTTGATCAATATCAGAGAAAGAATTGGGCAGGTCCGGAACATTGGAAAGTTCAAAGAATAAAGAATGCATATAAACCAACATTTAAAAGCCCATTGAGCAATGAAAATAATGATGATCAAGACCAAGAATCAAGTACAACAAAACAAAAGAAAAAAACAAAAGAACATGTAACGATAGATTTCTTATCAGATGATTTCCCCGATGAATCAGAAATTTTCCTGGAAGGAAGTGCTGGTCAAAATCAGTTACCAATGGACAAAAGAGATGCAGGAGAAGCAAAACATCAGTTGCCAGAAGATCATCATTTTTCAACTAGAAATTTCATCTATTTATTTACAAAAGAAAAATTAATTACTAGTGCATTCAATAAAGTTACCAATCTCGATCAACCAATTGATACAACCCTTTACGCTGATAATATAACGTTAAATTTGGATAATCAACCTGAGAATGTTAATGATGCAAATTTTTATAATGATCATGGACCTGATATTGATTTTGACTTTGATGATGCAAATGATGATGATGAAGGAAATGCCATTACACAAAGTCAAGAACTCATAGGATCTCAACTGCTGGCAAAATCACAAGGTAAACAATCACCATTAAGTTATTCAAGAGTTGCTAAAAGGGTTGATATTATACTGTTAAAAGATAACATTTGGGATTCTTTACAAAAAGAAAGAGCATCTAGAGAATCGATAAGATTAACAAATGTACCAGAATTATCAAATTCATCAACTGATACATCTACATCTTCTGAACCTGAAGAAAATCTGAAATTTACTGAAATTATTCATGGATTAAATGGTAAATATGAACCTGAAGCTAAAAAAGACTTATCAACAAGTGTTTGTTTCATTGCATTGTTACATCTTGCAAATGAAAATGGTTTTACAATAACGAATACAGAAGATAATACAGATTTGATGATCAATAGACTTATATGAACTTAAAGTCAATAAAAATTATACACATATAAATGGACCTTAATGAATAAAATAAATGTATTATACTACTAAAGTTCTACATATGTAGTTATGTAATTTAAATATGCTTTTCATTACTTTTTTCTATATATAAGAAAATCAATTATACATCAAAAAATTAACTTTAAAAACGTCACCTCTGATAAGAATAAAACAATGCAGTTTAAAACCAAATAATAAATATAAATATAATAATAATTATAATAAGAACAAAATATAGGTATAATGTTTCGATGAATCAATCACCATTCTTGAGCTTTAACACCAAATTTACTCTTTTTGGTACCTTTAACAGGTTTAATTAATTTAGTACCACCTTCCAAGAAAGAAAATTTATCTCTTCTTTTAGCTTCATATTTTTCAATATATTCTTCTTTTTGTAAAGTTAATCCAATATCATCAAGACCATTAATTAAACAATGTTTTCTAAATGGTTCAACATCAAAATGATCAACTAAAACTTCACCATCTGGACCCAAGATTTTTTGATTTGGTAAATCAATTGTTAATTTTTTACCAGCTCTTGCTGGTGGTGCTAATTTTTCCAAGATAATTTCTTGTGGTAATCTAATTGGTAAAATGAAATTTTTGAAAGAATTGTTATAGAAAATATCACCAAATGATGGAGCAATAATAGATTTAATACCAAAATCTTTTAAAGCCCATGGTGCATGTTCTCTTGAAGAACCACAACCAAAATTATCACCACTAACTAATAAGATTTCTGCATTTCTCCAAATACCTGTATTTAAGACGAAATCTGTTTCAACATCTTTACCTTCAGAATCTTTAACAAAACGTAATTCATAAAATAAACCATTTTTTAAACCTGTTCTTTTAATTGTTTTCAAAAATTGTTTTGGAATAATAGCATCAGTATCAACATTAGCTTTATCTAATGGAGCAGTGATACCAGTTAATGTAGTAAATGCATTACTTGGTTTTTCTTCACCTGGTAAAACGGTTTGTTTAACAGATTTATCAGTTTTTGGAACATCATTTAATTTTTCAGCTTGTTTTTCTTGTTCATTAATATCAATTTCACCTTCACCATCATCAACTGGTTGTTTTTCTTCATCATAAACAGCATCTTGTAAAGCTTCATCTTCATCACTACCAATTTCTAATTTTGGTTCATCAATATGAGAATATTTATATTCTCTAATATCTGTGAAATAACCAATAATACCTGCAGCTGCAGCCATTGCTGGTGACATTAAATGAGTTCTTGAAGCAGCACCTTGACGACCTTCAAAATTTCTATTTGATGTAGAAGCACAACGTTCTTCTGGATCCAAAATATCAGGATTCATACCTAAACACATTGAACAACCAGCTTCTCTCCATTCAAAATCAGCAGCTTCGAAAACTTTATCTAAACCTTCTCTTTCAGCTTGTTTTTTAACAAGACCTGAACCTGGAACAACCATGGCACGTTTAACATTTGAAGCTTTTTTATGACCTTTAACAACTTTTGCAGCAGCTCTAAGATCTTCAATACGGGCATTTGTACAAGAACCAATAAAAACTTTATCAATTGGGATTTCCTTAAAAGGGGTATTTGGAGTTAAACCCATATATTTTAAAGCTCTTTCCATACCTGATTTTTTAATTGGATCATCAACTTTTGTTGGATCTGGAACTGCACCTGTGATTGGTAAAGCATCTTGTGGAGAAGTACCCCAAGTTATAGTTGGAACAATATCTGAAGCTTTAATAATAATATCATCATCGAAATGTGCACCTTCATCAGTATGTAAAGTTCTCCAATAATTTTTAGCTTTTTCCCATTCAGCACCTTTTGGAGCTAATGGACGACCTTCAATATATTTAAAAGTAGTTTCATCTGGTTTAATCATACCAGCTCTTGCACCAGCTTCAATAGCCATATTACAAATTGACATTCTTGCTTCCATTGATAAATTTTCAATTGCCTTACCAGCAAATTCAATAACTGAACCAGTACCACCAGCAGTACCAATAACACCAATAACATGTAAAACTAAATCTTTTGATGTAATACCTTCTTCTAAATCACCATCAATAAAAATTCTCATATTTTTTGATTTACCTTGAATAATTGTTTGAGTTGCTAAAACATGTTCAACTTCTGAAGTACCAATACCAAAAGCTAAAGAACCAAAAGCACCATGAGTTGAAGTATGAGAATCACCACAAACAACAGTTGTACCAGGTAAAGTGAAACCTTGTTCAGGACCAATAATATGAACAATACCTTGTCTATCATCAGTCATACCAAAGAAAGTAACACCAAAATCTTTAACATTTTGTTCTAAAGTTTCAACTTGTAATCTTGAATCTTGTTGTTTAATAAAACTTGCAGTTGATTGGAAATTTGCTCTTGATTCAGTTGGAATATTATGATCCACAGTGGCTAAAGTACAATCAGTTCTTCTAACTGATCTACCAGCAGTTTTTAAACCTTCAAAAGCTTGAGGAGAAGTAACTTCATGAACTAAATGTCTATCGATATATAATAAATAAGAACCAGATTCATCTTTATGAACAATATGATCTTCAAAGACCTTATCATAAAGAGTCTTTGGAGTGTTAACTGTAGCAGGCATAATTGAAAATTGATTTAACCTTTTAACTAAAGAACTAAATAAAACACAAATAAGATTGGAAATATGTTTATAAAGTATTAATTTTAAAATTTCAATGATTCATCTTTTTCCACAGTGTAATAGAAAAAAAAAGAACCGGTGATTTTTTGGCTTAAAATCTCCTGAAACCGGAGCTTTTGAGTCACCGGTGACGGTGCGCTTACAGGTTGAGCCAATCAGAGTCATGGAGTTGGTAATTTAGTAAAGTGACAGCTTGAAAATGGGGGAGGTAATTTGCAGCGAAGAAGGGGTAATAAAGATCATATATGATATAGATCAGAAAATAATACTAGCCATGTCCCACTTCACTTTAAAATCACCTAATTAGCTGTTTTCCTGTAATCAATTGTCCCAATTGTAATTAATTAAGGCCAATAACTCTGTCAAAATCCACCGGTTACGCAGCCCCGTCAAATTTAACTTTTTGACACACAAAAGAAATTCGCGGGTTGCTGATTACATAATTTGTGTCTGCTGATATTTTTACCGAAACCGGTTGAAATTTTCCACCTGTTTCGGAGTTTATAAGTCTTATTAATTTAAGCTTATAGTTAAAGTTGGTACATGAATTAGTCATATTTTGTTCTGGATTAGGACAGATAAGAGATCTCTGTTATATTATTACAATAGTATTAAGTATTAATATAAACTTGTATAATAAAAAGTATATATAGATCAATATGGTTAATTAAGCATTGTCCAAAGAACTGAATATTGAAATTAAACACAACAATGAAATGATATATGTATCATTTATGTATCATTGTGGAGAAGAACGAAAGAATAGCCAGAATAGAAAAAAAGAACTAAAAAATCCATAAATTATGTGTGATAAGAACTAAAAAAGAATATGTTTAATAAACTTGTAGGTTTGAGATTATGTTGTCTGTATTTTCAATATACCATTTTTTTCAATTTTTTCAAAAATATCAGCAATTTTATTTAATTCTTCTTCTTGTTCTTCATTTGATAACTCATCAAAATTATCATTTTTATTATTTGAAGAAGAATTTGATGAGTTTGATAAACCAGGATTATTTATAAAACTTGATTCTTGAATCTTGGTAAAATCAAAGGATGATTCAATTTCTAATTTTTTTTTCAATTCAATTAATATAGTACTTAAATTTAAATCTTTTGAACCTAAAGTTTCTAAATGATCTAAATTTAATTCATTTTTAACTATATTTTTAACTTCATTTTCATCATGATCCATCGTTATTAATACATCTAAAGTTAATAAATTTGAAACTGGAGTATTTAAACCAAATACATCACCAAATGAAATTTTATTTAAAAATTTAATTTCATTTTGTGCAAATGTTTTCTTATTCAACATATAATTCTTGGCAACTTCTATTGATATTGTAATTAATATATTACCAAAATGTTGTAAAATTTCATCATAATCTTGACTTGTTTGAATGGATTTGTTATATAATAAATTAAATTTATTACAACTTAATACAAAAACACTATCAATACCTGAAGAATCTTCACCTTGATGAACAAATGAATAAATAATTTTTAAAATTTCAATAATTATTTTATTTAAACTTTTAGTTTCCACTCCACTCAAAGTAATAAAATTTAATAATTTCCCACTAATTTTCAATATAGCACTTTTAATTAATGGTATTAAGCTGCTATTATAACTTAATAAATAATATAATCTAAAAATTGGTAAAAAATCATTATATTGACTTTCAGAATTAATTTCACGTTCACTAACATAATCTAATATATCTTCTAATCTTGGAACAGATTTTTGTAAAATTTTTGAAGCTTCTTCATTTCTAAATTGGTCATTTAATAATAAAACATTACATATAGTTGATATTATTACTAATTGATCCTTGAGAGTAGACATTTTAGAATAAACAATAATTAATTGATCTAATTGTTCTGATGGGAAATTTTTTAAAAATGTTTCATCTCTTGATTTGGTTCTTAATTGTTCTAATAATAAAGAACGATCATTTGATGGAGAATCATCTAGGGATGAATTTATCTTGTTTATGATTTCATAAGTCATTATGGTATTCTATAATCTATTACCTCCCTAACACCCTTTTGTTTTGTTGATGATGATAAAATTTATTTATGTCTTGTGGATTTTCAAACACGTACTTTTTGATGTAAAGTAAGGTACCGAATTTTCTCGCAGCAGAAGCGAAAAGTGAATAAAATCTGAAACAAAAGGACTTTGAATGAAGAAGTTATTGAAAATTATAAGTATTTTGTTTCAATGAGTGTGAACAGAGTATGTGGTGTGTGTTAAATGGGTTGTCTGTCAATGTAATAATATACAAATTGAAAGTTGTGGAGTTGATCCTTGCGTTTCTTGTGATTTGCTTTTCCTTTCACTTTTTCCTTTATCAAAATATCAAAAAATGCACCAAAAAAAGAACAAAACAAAAAACAAATTAAAATTCGCGTGGCCAGAATTGCAAAAATTAAAAATTACATAAAAATTAAAAATCGAGCCATAATTAAGATCTACACGGCACACGGCAAAAAATGGCAGATTATGTAAGTGCTAATGTAATCAGTGGATCTTCGCGAATTTCAATTTCAATAGGGATCTTTTCAACCCCATAATTAAATTGGTCAAAACAAAGTGGTATATGGGAGAGTATAGGAATAGTCAAAACTACAGCTTATACTGGTTTGAAAAGAAGTATAGGCACCCGAGATGCTACTACCAACTGCTAGACTCACTACAAGAAGAGCATCTAAGATCGCTTCAATTAGATTCTTTATGGGATTCATTTCTATCCCTAAAAGATGGTCACATATTGATGCTGTTCATAGAAATACAAAAGATAATAATCCATCTGTTAAATTTGAATTTAATGATAAAAATTCCCAAGAAGTTACCAAAATCATTGCTAAATATCCTGAACAATATAAAAAAGCTGCTATTATGCCATTATTAAATTTAGGTCAACATCAATTTGGTTATTGTTCTATTGGGGTTATGAATGAAGTTGCTAGAATTTTGGAAGTCCCACCAATGAGAGTTTATGAAGTTGCAAGTTTTTATACAATGTTTCATAGGAAACCTGTGGGTCAAGTTAATGTTGGGATTTGTACAAATATTGCATGTCAATTAAGAGGTGCTGATGATATTTATTCAAATGCTAAATCATATTGTAAAAGTGAAAAAAATAAAGATGGATTTTTTTCATTAGAAGAATTAGAATGTTCTGGTGCTTGTGCAAATGCTCCTGTTGCAGAGATTAATAATATTTATTATGAAGATTTAGATAAAGATTCTATTATTAAAGTTCTTGATGATTTAAGAATTGGTAAAGCCAAACCTGGTCCTTTTGGTGGGAAAAGAGTTTCTTGTGAACCTGAAGGTGAAAAAACTTCACTTTTTGGAAAAGAAGCTTTTGATATTAGAACTGTAACTCGTGATGATATTTAATCCTTTATTTATTTATTACACCTATTTATTATTTATTATTTATTCATTATTTATTGATCACTTATGATCTTATATATCAAATACACGAAATCAAATTAACATTAATAAGCACGATATTCATTAACGACCACATTTCTTTAATTCTAAATATCTTAAAGGTGGATAAACAATCCCTGAAATCCCCATAGTTAACCACATTGCTAAATCACCACCAAATTCACCAAAATTTCTAGCAATAACTCCAATATAATAAGCTTGAGCCATACCAAGAACTGCACCAACAACACCACATAAAAATGCTATAAATGCAGCATACCCATGTGTTAAAACACCATAATTATTCCATGCATCCCAATTATAATTTTGTTTACGAGATCTTAAACCAAGTGGAACTTTTTCAACATTATGACTTGAATTTGCAATTTTTTCTTCTTCATTAACAGGAAATTCTTTTATATATAAATGTAAAAAAAATTTTCTAAAAATTGTGTTCTCTTCTAATAACATTATAAAATACATTGAAATCCAATAACCAATCATTGGTAAGAAATTCCCCAAAATAGTACTAAAATGATCTCTCCCCACAAGTGCACAAACTAAATAAACTGCAGTTATAATAATAGCCCATAACCATCTTGGAATTTTAGCAAACCAAACTGCAGTTAATTGTAATGAAAATGCAGCAGAATAAGTATTTATAATATTATTTGCAATTAATGATAATAATAAAATTATTGTACAAAATTTACCAAATCCATTCCAACGACTAAAACCTTGATGTAAAAGACCACCCATACCATGATCTTCATATGCAGTTTCAAAACCTGGTTCAACCATTGCTAAAACACTTAAACATGTCCCCAAAATACCAACAAATGTAGTTGGAATACCAATACCCAAGAATGTCAATAGGAAAACTTGATATGATGGTGTTGTTTCTGGGAATAAAATATAATAATCTGATGTAATAGTACCCCATGTCCCCGTGACAGCATAAGCTAATGAAAAAAATGATAAATAATTACCCTTTAAAGTTTGTGAAGCAATTTCTGAATTATCAAATGTTTGTAAAAGATGGAATTTATTTGATGATGAAATGTATAATAATACAAATGCAATTGTAACAGGTATAGCAATAAATTTTTCCACTCTTAATAATTGTTTAATACCAAAAATTGCAACCATAAAACTCAGGATAGCCACTATAACAATCCCAATATATAAAGGAACTTTATCATTTGATACACTTGCTAAAATTTGTCCACCAACAACACAATTAACAATTGACCAACCAACAACACCAAGACATCCAATCAATGCAACAAATTTAACAAACCACCATCCGAAAAGATAACGAGCTGTAACCATTTGTCTACAACCGGATCTTGGACCCATAGTAGCACAATAACCTGCAATTGCACAACCTAATAATTGGGCAATCATACCACTTGTTAAAGCTTGTTTAAAATTTAATTCAAATAATGTAGCACTTAGTATAAATGTTGACATTGATGAAAGACCACCTGCAGCACTAAACCAAAATCCAATGACTGATATGAATTGAGTCCATTTATTTGTTGATCTTTCCCATGGTTGAATACGTTCAATACCTCTAGTTTCAACACCTAAAGAATCTAATTTTTTGGAATATTTTTGTAATAATGACCATGGTTTTAAATTTGGTTGTTGTTTTGTTGATGTTGAATCTGTAAGGATTTCTTCAACAAAGTCTTCTTTGGCCATGATTTAAAGTCTTGTTGATTCTTAGTATGAACTCCAAAGACAATAATGTAAAGAGGTTAAATATGAGTAATAAATACGATTTTTTTTCATTTTCGATATGCAAAGTGTGGTTATATCTTTTTTATATCAGTGGAAAACTTCAGCGATCTGGGGATCCGAGTCGTAACGGTTTCGAAATTTGACTCCGATTTAAGTATTACCGCGAATTGTTTATTTTGTGCCATTTTACTGAGAGCTAGGCAGACGCTAGGCAGGAGTTAGGCAGAGGAGATATTCCTAGGAAGAGATCTTCCCACCTACAACGTCATCCGCGCTCTGTCTAGCTTAAATAAGAAATATTTGCTCATATTGAAAACAAAGGTCAATCGAATCCATCATGTAAAATTGTTTGAATTGGTTGCAAAATATAACCGTTGTGTACTTCGAGATGTCATAGAAAAGCTCTTGTTAAAGTGAGATTGTATTATAACTACGCTGTTGAATCATTTGAATTGAAAAAGGTTCCTTATCATATTCTGAATTGTATTATTAAGTGCTCAAGTTCTTTCCCCGAAGTGAGAAACCATTATTATATCAAGAGAGAATATTTATTCAAAAACAGATTTATGTGGATCTACAAAGAGATTTCAATATGATATTAGTAGACGGTGAGAAGTATGCGTGTGTTCAGTGTATCAGAGGTCATAGATCGTCCACTTGTAAGCATTCACAGAGAGCTTTGGTTCAAGTTAGAAGTCGAGGTAGACCTTCGTTAAATGCTGGTCATAGAATCGCTGTTACGGAATCACAATTAGTTTTATCAAGAGATGAAGTTACAATTCAAGATTCAAATGGGAATATTCAAAATGGAGGGGCTAAACAAAAACTTAAAGAGAAATCTAAATCACCACAACCAGAATCATTACCTGTTAAATCTTGTTGTTCTTCAAAAGTCAAATCACCAGAGCCACAACCATCAACAAAAGAAAAGGAAGATGAGGAAGTCCCTGTACCCAAGAGTTCATGTTGTAGTTCCAAACCTAAATCACAAGAATCATTAAATTTACCACCAGTATCGTCATCATCATCATCATTATCATCAACAGTGGATAAACCAACAGATAGTTCATCATGCTCTTCAGCAACCCATGCAAATTGTAATTGTGGTAAGAATGGTGTTATAATGTTAAAAGCTTCAAGAAGACAATTTGTTGATGTTAGAAATGGTGCAATAGATTATGTTGGTCCATATAATGAATCTTCATTAAGTAAGTTCAAGATTGCAAGTTTACAAAAATCATTTAATAGACATAAACATTCCAAAAATTCTTCATGTTGTTCATCAAAATCTGGGAATTCTAATAGTATAAGGAATAAATTAAAATTATTGAAAACTATAAAAATGAATGAAACTGATTATCAAATACCCAGAGATCAATTAAATGGATTAAATTTCCCCTTAGCACCTGCTAATATAGCACCAAGACATGATCAATTACAAGATCAACAACAGCAACAACATAGTTATCAATATTATCAACGTCAACCAAATGATACGGGACAATCCATTTCAAGTACAACTTATCAAAAAGATTTATCCGCCTTGGGACTTCCAATTGAATTACCACAAGCTGAACAAATTCATCCACAAGATTCTCAACAATTTGATCAAGCTTTAATAGAATATCAACAATTACAATTACAACAGCAACAACAACATAATCAAACTCATACACAACAACCCTCCAATCAATCAGAACCAAAGTATTATGATGTTGTTCTTTCATCAGGTTGTGCAACAGAATGCGGTTGTGGACCAGATTGTGAATGCCCAGGTTGTTTAATCCATCGTACAAATGAAGAATTAAAAGAATATGGTATCCTAGACACATCACCAGCTTCAACACCAACACCAGAACCTCAACAATTACCAAGCCTAGACAATGGATTATTCTCAATGAACCCTAATACTAATGGTAATTTTAAACTAGAACCTTCAAATTATGATTTAATTAATCTTGAAACTATTGATGAATTATTACAAAATAATTATATGTTTGATGATGAATGTTATTGTGAAGCTTTGGAATGCTCTTGCTATAATTGTCCGAAACATGGTATTGTTGATGGGATTAGAACTAGTGATGGTAAAAGAGTTGCATTTGGTGATGATAGAACTCCAGATAATGTTAGTAGTATTGGGAGTGAGACATCGGTTGCTAACCAATGAATATAATGACCTTGTATATATTATTTAAGATCTAATATTTAATGAAATTAATCATAAAACTTCTATTTATAGTTAAAATCTCTTTTTAATTTTTCACTTCTTTTTTGTAGAAATGCAGATTTGTTTATACGAAATTGGTCCTTACCGATTCTCTCGAGATTCTGCCATAATAGATCAACCGCTGAAAATGTATATCTATTGTAAATTCATTTTGCCACCAATCCAACTCAACTTTCCACAGATCTTTCAAGGACAAAAGCTCAATTTATTCTGAAATGGCTGAAGCTGAATTGAATCTGATCAACAAGGTTGAACTTCGGATCGCATTGGCTGATACAGATGCAAAGTTCCAATCTTCTTTAGATCTTTATTTATGTCCTTTATTATTAAAATTATCATCTCAACATGGTTCAGTTCGTCAAGAGATTTTGAAATTTATACAACATTTAATACCAAGAATCAATTCTCATAGATCTATAAAATTACCAGTCTTGAAATTGGTGGACCAGGCTAAAGTTGTTAAAGAAGATACAAATTATTCAAGTGTTCAATTATATTCTTTATTATTTGCATCAAAGGGTATTGATAGATTAGATTTATCCGAAAAAAGAGAAATATTACCTAAAGTTATTAAAGGGATTCATAAGTTCGATAACAATGTTGGTGCTAGACTATTTCATGTTTTCTGCAAACTTTTGAATGGTTGGACTACACCTGATCGTGGTAATGATGATTTTAAATTAATTAGAGATGAATTAGATATAGATTTAGCAGATGAACTATTCTTGGTACAAAACATTGCAAAATTATTCTTGTTAGTTCCAGTGGTGAATGATGATGGTGTCATACCAAGAGGCTATACGTGTGCTGGGTTAAGCTCAAAAGATACATCATTTTTAACTTATGATGCTGGTGTTTCATACAAAAAGGAAGATTTAGCTATAGTGAAAAAGAACATTGCAGCTTTTTTACCAGTTTTTCATGATGAGAATTTAATTGAAGCTTTGATAATTGGTGTAAATGATTCAAATGAAACTGTTGGTAACCTATGTGCTAGTTTATTTAGAAAAGTTAATATTCCTTATGAAGATAAACAATTGATTGATCGTCTTGTATCTTTATTTGTTGGTGATAAAACAGCTCCAAGATCCCCTGTTAGAGGACCAGTACAGGAAAGAATCTTATCTATTTTGACAGGTAGTAAAATTGCTGCTCAAAACCCAAACGTTTCAATTATTACCTCTATTGGGTTGAATGCTATGCAATTTCCAAGATTGAAGGCTACAACTATACAATTTATCCAATGGGTTGCTAAAAATGGAAGTACAGGTATTCTTTCAAATGATTCTGCAGAATATTCAGTTAATGTTGCATCTCAATTAAGAAATAATTTACATGCTGAAGGATGGCCAAGAATTCAAACTGCTGTTGCCTCAAGTAATTCAACTGAATTAAAACATAGATCTGCTCAATATGAAGCCTTAGGTGAAATTTTGAAAAGAGATTTCAATCTTTTGAAAGATTTATCATATATTGAATTTCTTTTTGATTCATTATTGGGAGATTTACCAGTGTTGAGAACAACAATTCAAGAAGCTTTAAGTTCTTTAGTTATTCATTTACCTAATTTACCAGATACTTCAAAGGATAAACTTAAAAATTTTTGTACAAGATTTTTACAAAATGATGATTTTAGTGATGAAGGTTCAGATGCTATAAATTCTGTCCGTTTCGTTGCCATCAAATTCATTAATACCGCTTTCCCATTTCAAGATCATGAAGCTAGATTATTGAATGTTTTGGGTACATCTTCTAAGAATAGATCAGATGTTATTGAAGAAGCTAATAAAGGCCTACATCCATATTGGTTTAATATCTTACAATCATCAAATACATTAGAATTCAAATCAACGGGTGAATTATTAGGTGTTGGTAATACACTTCAATTCCCTTCTTTTAACAAATTTGTTGAAGGATTAGGTAAACAAATTCAATATGCTAAAGAAAGAGATGCTGCGACTTTAAGATCTTCTATAAATAACGGTGTCGAATATGCATTACGTGTATTGGTCACTGAGGCTATTGGTGATACCACGACAGTTGTTGTTCAAGATCAAGAATGGGCAACCAGAGTTGATAAAGCATTGGAATATGATGATAAAGTTATTGGTCTTGTTCAAAAACAACTGGAACATATTGAAGGACTCACTGAATACTTAGGCATTTTGTTAAATGAATTTGTTAAAACTGACTCTAATGAAGTTATTGTTTCAGTTTCAGAATCAGTTACCGATCCAATATTTGGTAAAATTTTCTTAAAGATCTTATCATTATCTCCTCAAAATGTTGTACAAAACTTTACATCACATGTCTCTAGACTTGTTAAAATCATTGAACAAACCAAATTTACAAGGGATGATATTATTCAAAATGTTGCTCATTCTATTGGTATCCTTGGATCACATCCTTCAGTTACAGATGATGAAGTAAAGAAAATTTATCAAAGTGTTTCCACTTATCGTGAACATAAAGAATATTTGAAACTTCCAATAAGTGGTAATATCCTAACTATTGGATATTTAATTGGTAGATTACTTTTGAGAGGTAGAAATGTCTTTAGTGATGATGATGTTACTGAAATTTATAAAATTTTGGTTGAAACTCTATCTTCAAATGATTCAAGATTGAATGGTGCAGCTACAACTGCAATAACACAAATTGCATTATTTGGTGGGTTCATTCCATCTATTTTGTCTAAAAGCTCATTAGAAGAATATAAATCTTAAATATTAGAATGTTTGAAACCAAAAGTTAAAAAATCAGATGAAAGATCTGTTTTAGCATGGTCTGTGCTTTCCTTATCAGAAGAAGAATCCACTGGAGATGAATTTACTAAATTTGAAGAAGCAATTTATGAAACACATATAACCAAACAAGTTGAATCTTTGTTCACTTCAGGTGAAGCATTCTCAATTTTAGCTGCTGGTTGGGATTCCAAATATTTGAAAAAGCAAATTGAAATCCAAAGTGAAGATCTTGTATTCCACACATACCCAAGATCAAACAGATTAACATTCATTTTGAATAAAATTCTACAAGCATCAAGTAGTACAAAGCCAAGCTTAAGAAAAGCTGGTTGTATTTGGTTATTATCAATTGTTCAATATTGTGGTCATTTACCAATCATTTCAGAAAAATCAGGTGCAATCCATGTCACATTTATGAAATTCTTAGCTGATAGAGATGAATTAGTCCAAGAGTCTGCATCAAGAGGTTTAAGTATGATTTATGAATTAGGTAATGCTGATTTGAAAGAAACACTAGTGAAATCATTATTAAGATCATTTACAGAATCAACATCTTCCGCTAAATTAGGTGCAGGTACTGTTTCTGAAGATACTGAACTATTTGAACCTGGTGTTTTGAAAACTGATGATGGTTCTGTCTCGACTTATAAAGATATTTTAAATTTAGCTTCAGAAGTTGGTGATCCTTCACTTGTTTATAAGTTCATGTCATTAGCTAAAAGTTCTGCATTATGGTCTTCAAGAAAAGGTATTGCTTTTGGGTTAGGTAGTATCATGTCTAAATCAAGTCTTGATAAATTGTTATTTGAAAATGAATCATTATCAAATCGTTTGATTCCAAAACTTTACAGATACAGATTCGATCCAAATCCTTCAGTTGCTAGATCAATGAGTGATATTTGGTCAACTATTGTTCAAGATAGCTCTAAAACTATCGATCAATATCACGAGGCTATATTGAAAGAATTGTTGACAGGAATGGGTAACAAAGAATGGAGAGTCAGAGACGCCAGTACTGTTGCTTTGACTGATTTGTTACAAGCTTTGGATAAAACCAAGTATCAAGATAAGATGGAGGAAATTTGGACTATGGGATTCCGTGCTATTGATGATATCAAAGATAGTGTCAGAAAAGCTGGTGGTGGTCTTACAAGAGCTTTGTCACAAATGCTTGTCAATAGTATTAATGTTGAATCAGGACAATCAGAAGCTCATGCAAAAGATGTGTTATCACAATTATTACCATTCTTATTAGGTACTAAAGGTATTCAAAGTGATGCAGAAGATGTTCGTGATTTTGCCCTAAAGACTATTTTGAAGCTTGTTAAAAAAGGTGGTAAAGCCATCAAACCATTTATTGCTGATTTAATTGATCAATTTGTGCTATTGATGTCTACTTTGGAACCACAAATCATTAATTATTTGGCTCTTAATGCTGACAAGTATAACTTAAAACATGATGATATTGATGCAAAGAGATTACAAAGTATTGGTAGTTCCCCAATGATGAATTCATTAGAAAAATTAATTGATTTAATTGATGAAGATATCTTAGGTGAAGTTGTGACAAAATTACAATCTACTGTGAAAAGATCTGTTGGGCTACCATCAAAAGCTGCCGCTAGTAGAGTTTTTGTCACATTGATCATTAGACATTTACAACTATTGAAACCTTATGGTGATACCTTGCTAAACACCTGTGTTGCGCAATTAAGTGATAGAAATACAACGGTCTCTTCTTCTTTTGCCACTGCTGCTGCTTATGTTTGTCGAGTTTGCTCAGCTGATTCTGTTGCCAAATATGCAGAAAAGATTCAATCATTTTATTTCGAATCAGAAGATGACGTTCCAAAAATCATTGCTGGTGTTGCATCTGAAGCTGTTTCTAAATATTCAGGTGATAAATTCACATCAGTCGCAAGTGCATTTTTACCAATAGCTTTCATTGCCAAAAATGATGCTAATAAAGAAGTAGCAAAGAATTTTGAAAGTGAATGGACTGAAAATACTTCAGGTAATGGTGCTGTTAAACTTTACATTCATGAAATTTGTGAATTAGTCAAGAAATATATCTCATCACCACAATTTTCTATTAGACAAACAACTGCTAAAAGTATAGCACAAGCATGTAATGCCATTGATGGTGCTACTGGTATCGGGTCAAGTGCTGACGAATTATTCGAAGTGTTAATGAATGCATGTCAAGGTCGTTCATGGAATGGTAAAGAAGATGTTTTACAAGCTCTCGTTTCGTTATCTGCCAAATCTAAATCCTTTGTTGAAAAGAAAGAAGATTTATTAGCTAAAATCAACAAGATTGTTGTTACTGAAGCAAAGAGACGTAATAGAGAATATCAGAATCATGCTATTGTTTCTTTAGGTGAATTTGCCAAAGTTTATCCAACTGAAGAGCTCCATGATAAAGTCTTAGAAATCTTTGAACCAATCTTGAGTGATGAATATTATGAAGAAGAAGATGAAGATGAAGAAATGGTTGACAAAGATGAGAAAAAATCAGCTAATGAAAAATCTTCTAGAAAGAACTTGACAAGAGAAGCTCATAGAATCAAAGCTCTTGATTCATTAGTGAAGAGTTTCCAATTGTATGATGATAAGACATACCATACTGAATTATTAGAGTTCATTAATGATTCATTGAAAGGAACTATAATTTCAAAGATTATAATACCAACTTGGAGATCACAAATTGCAGTTGTTGAAAGTTTGCAAAAAATAGGTGATGTTCTACATGATGCAAAATCAATCAATAACAAGACTGAAGAATCTTTGTTAAAGATTTGGGTTATAACTTTTGAAAATAATACCCGTGAAGAAGATGTGGAAAATGTTAGAATTCAAACAGTTAGAGCTGCTAAGTCATTATTAGGGGTCTCAAATGAAAGATTGACATCCAGAATAAAGGATGATTTGACCTCATTGGAGAATAAGGAAACATCATCTGTTGTGAAAGTAGAAATCACAAATGCTTTGAATTAACCAAATTTCAAATGTTGGAGTATAATGTATAACTACAAATAAATGAATTTAATTACCAATCGAAATTTGTATTATAATAATTAATTAGTAACCAAATAGAAAAAAAAAAAAGAGAATACTAGATTAACACAGCAAACCCCCTGATAATTAAATATAAAATGATTGATACTTTTACAGTCTAAAACCTTTCATAAAATCCAATTCTACAGCAAAGTTTAAATTCCCTCAACATAATTCGTAAATAAAAAATAATTGTTTGTGACAAGTAATCATCTTATAAAGATTCACCACCTCTTAATCTAAGGACCAAATGCAATGTTGATTCTTTTTGAATATTGTAATCAGATAAGGTTCTACCATCTTCTAATTGTTTACCAGCGAAAATTAAACGTTGTTGGTCAGGTGGAATACCTTCTTTATCTTGGATTTTTGATTTAACATTGTCAATAGTATCTGAAGATTCAACTTCTAAAGTGATAGTTTTACCAGTCAAAGTCTTAACAAAGATTTGCATACCACCTCTCAATCTTAAAACCAAATGTAATGTTGATTCTTTTTGAATGTTGTAGTCTGATAAGGTTCTACCGTCTTCTAATTGTTTACCAGCGAAAATTAAACGTTGTTGATCTGGTGGAATACCTTCTTTATCTTGGATTTTTGATTTGACGTTATCAATAGTATCGGAAGATTCAACTTCTAAAGTAATAGTTTTACCTGTTAAGGTTTTAACGAAAATTTGCATACCACCTCTTAATCTTAAGACCAAATGTAATGTTGATTCTTTTTGAATGTTGTAGTCTGATAAAGTACGACCATCTTCTAATTGTTTACCAGCGAAAATCAAACGTTGTTGATCAGGTGGAATACCTTCTTTGTCTTGAATTTTGGATTTAACGTTATCGATGGTGTCTGATGATTCAACTTCTAAAGTAATGGTCTTACCAGTCAAAGTTTTAACGAAAATTTGCATACCACCTCTCAATCTCAAGACCAAATGTAATGTTGATTCTTTTTGGATATTGTAATCAGATAAGGTTCTACCGTCTTCTAATTGTTTACCAGCAAAAATCAAACGTTGTTGATCAGGTGGAATACCTTCCTTGTCTTGAATTTTTGATTTAACATTGTCAATAGTGTCTGAAGATTCAACTTCTAAAGTGATAGTTTTACCAGTCAAAGTTTTGACGAAAATTTGCATACCACCTCTTAATCTTAAGACCAAATGTAATGTTGATTCTTTTTGAATGTTGTAGTCTGATAAAGTACGACCATCTTCTAATTGTTTACCAGCAAAAATCAAACGTTGTTGATCTGGTGGGATCCCTTCTTTATCTTGAATCTTGGATTTGACGTTATCAATAGTGTCAGAAGATTCAACCTATTTCAATGTTAGTATTTGTTCATTTCTTAGTAGTTAATGACATCTATACCCTTCAACCTTCCCATATGTTGATTATCTTTCTCAATAACCGCTGTGGTAAAATCTCTATATTATCAACATAAATAACCTCTAAATTTGCCACAAAACAGAAGGAATGCAGGTATAGATAAGCATTAAACTGGTATTAACTTACTTCTAAAGTGATTGTTTTACCTGTTAAAGTTTTGACGAAGATTTGCATGATTGAATAGCTTTGTTTCTCAATATACTTGATTAAATTTAGTATAAACTAAAGGGAAGAAATAGAAAAGGGCTGATTTGCCCCCTTAAATATAAATCCACAAAGTGCAATAAAGTGGCAAAACGTGTTTCGCATACCACTCTTTCCCTTTTCGGCCTGATAACGTAAAAGAAATTCCACGAACATTTGTGACAAAAAATAAACAACAGAAGGGAAATTTGAAGGGAAATGGCAGGCCAGAGTGGTTGAAAAGTACGTGATTAAAAGGACAATTGACAGAGTGGAGTATACTTTGGATAGATAGTTACTGGGTGATTATAGCTTGCTTTTAAAATGTTTGGTAGCACTTTCGTAGCCCAAATTGTAGCACTATCTATTGATCACTAAATAGGGGCCGGTAGAAAGCGTCGGAAGAATTCTCGTGTTCTATTTAGGAAATATTCAATATACAAAAAGAAAGCTCTTTTTCAGATCTAATATGCAAGTGTCTTTATTATTCATTCTCGTAACGGGCATGTTAGTGATGAGAGATGAGCTACTTCTTGATAGTCTTTTACCACTACTATGTTGCAGTTCGTATGTTTCAGGATGAATATATTAGTGGTTTGTGGGATTAATGTATAATCTAATTTTAGATACCTTAACGGTTGTATCCATACAGGATACAGTACTACTTTCATAAGTAATGCTGTATTTATGTTATTGAATATGCTATTACTATATGTAAACCAGTTACATTTTATATAGATTATGTCAAAGTTCCCACCTCATTAATTATTATTTCTTTCTTCTTCTTTGCTATCAAAGCAGCACAACTTCCTGCAATTACACTCTTCCTTCATCAAATCCATGAGCTTCATCAACACCAACTTCAATTACTCTTCATCAATATTTGCTAAAATTCTTGATATTTCATCACTACCTCTACCAACATTCCTATTACCATCCCAATCAATAGATCTTCTAATTTCCATACTCTTTGTAGCTCTACTCCAAGGTGCATCTGAAGTTAATTTAATTGGACTTTCCAAGGATTGAACATTCAAATCATCAGTTCTTGTTATATCTAAAGAGGACCTTTTACCTGAACTTGGTTGTGACATTTTTGTTCTATAAATATGATAATTTGCCCTTTTGGATTGTAATAAGTTATCATCTTTTAATAAACTTGTAATTTTTTTAGCCTTTGACCTTATTTGATATGCTATCTCATTTGAATCTTTCCATTGAAATTCCTTCAATGTCTTTATTAAATATGAATTATTTTGAACCCAATAAACAAATTCGGTTGAGCCGGCAAGAAGACAATATTGTATAACAGTAAGACTTTTCAATATATGTCTCCAATTCTTAGTGGAATCATTTAACCTCTTTGTTAGCACTGTGATGATTTGTCGTAGATGTTTATTATCCATTGTTAAAAGTGCAATTTCATTTAAATCACTTGTAGTTGGACCGAATGAATCATTACTTGTAGCTGATTTGATTTTGATTTCTGCTGGGGTAGCACTGATATTTCGTATCGACCGTACAAATCTTCTTGACATGATATGATATTTAACTTCTTAATCTGTGTGTATGTATCTATGGGTAAAATATAGTGGTAAATGAATCAAATTAAATTCTCCTTTCCATGCTATCCGTGATTATTTACTATACGTAATTTTTTTTGTTTTTTTTTTTTTTTTTTTTGACAGGTATGAGTCGCGAGAACATAACTTTAGTCAATCCGAAAAGGGCATTAAAACTTAGAATCACACTATCACACTACAAAATCATTATAATAGTTCTATAATACACTTTTATTAACCATCAGATCATTCTGAGAGTACGAATTGTTCGACAGCTGAAGTTTTACTGACAACACCAACTACTAATTGTTCAGGTTGTTGATCATCAATTAACCAACCATTTGTAATATCACCAGAAATAGGAAGTTCCAAATTACTTTTAACAACCCAATCCTTAGCCTTCTTATTGTATTGGAAGACTTCAATACCCTGTGAATGTAAACTTATGATTAAATGACCTGATTTATCACTTAGAAGTTTCACAGTTGGATTAGTAGTTTGGATATCACTATATGAATCTTTTCTTAAATCCCAAACTCTTATTATATTTGAGCTTTGTGATTGATAATTTACATATAACCAGTACCCATTGTTACCAAATAAGATATTATTAACGCTACCAGCTGTTGATTCAAGAGTCTTTACAATTTCAAAACTTTTCAAATCCAAAATGGTGATATTACCTTCAGCATGACCAAATCCAACCAATGAACCATCAGGATGTATATCAGCAGCTGTAGAATTTGAAGGGAGTGTACTATTGATGACATTTTTTGCATCTTGATAAACAGAATATCCTTGATTAGAATCAACAATAACATATAAATCTTTGATAGAAGGATGTGTTAAGAATTGTTCGATAACAGAATCAAAAGCTTGTTTTTCACCATTAATGTCAATGAATTTTTTATCAGTTGTACCTGCTATAGAAACAACTTGACCATCTTTTTCAACCTCACCAATAATATTAATATCTTTTGACTTTGGCACAGCTTCAGATTTGATATATTGATTTGATTCAGCACTGTATACATAGGTTATACCAGTCTTAGATGTAATATAAGGTTTTGATCCGACAACTGAAATTGAAACAGCTTCTTTTAAAGGTGCTTTAGCAGGATCCACAAAGTTTTTAACTGAAGTCAATTGTGTGCCTAAGTTGGTATTTACTTTATGTTTTGTAGCTTTATGTTCAGCAAACAATTGGGAGTTAGCTTCTGTAACAGCTTGTTTGACATTTTCAAGTAATTCAGGATCTGGAGCAATCGGACCACGAGTTTCACCTTGGTCTTGTGCTTGTGATTGATCAACTTGTTGACCTTGAATTGGATTACCATTACTTATAGATATGGTTAACTCTTGTAATGCAGCTCTAGCTTCATCTCTTTCCTTTATAGCCCTTGAAGCAACTCTAACAGCTGCATCATGATGGTATAAAGCTGTAGATAGTTCTTTTCTAGTATCATCTAATTGTTTTCTTAATTGAAATAATTCTAATGCAACTGAATCCCATTCATTTTGTAATGATGATAATAGAGATGGGATTGAATTAAGAGTTGGTTGTCTTGGTGCTTGGTATGGTGATTGCCTTATTTCGATCAATTCATCTATAGATAATGGATCTGACGATATTGGATCTTTATGATATTCATTAACGTATTGTAATATTAGTTCTTTTTCGAAAAGAGCACCACTTTTAGGTGACACCACTGGTTCTTTTGGAGGAACACCGGAGACTAAAAAGTTGTTAGTATATGCATCACACTAAAGTATTTGACTTCCAACTTACTTGCACACTGCATTTGTATTTGATGCTAAGGTTACTGATTAACTTATGAATGCCTTTACCAAAGATTCAGTAATAAACAAAGATTTTATTTTCATACTTTTTGGGAAATTCGCGGGTTTAGTTTTTGCAATAGAAGAATAGAATGTTATTGATTTCCATATGCGGAAGTCAAGGATTTTTCAAGATTTAATCGAATGCCATTCTACCTTTGAATGAAATCTTAGATTTAAGTCTTTGGAGCTTTGTTTTTGAGAGTCTAATAGTGGATTCAGTAGATACTGATATTCTATTTATATTTCTAGTCTCGACTAGCCATATGACTCTGTGTTGACTCTCTTGGTGACTCCTCACAAACTTGAGACTCTGTTGTAATCGGTGGTTTGCCGTATAAGTTATAAAGCCCGATGCTAAAAAAAATTTACACAGCTAATAACGAAATTAGACAACGATCAAAACCGTTGTGCAAAATTGATTTCAATAGCCTATTTTTATGCTTGGATTAAACTTTATTTGATCAAACTATCACCAAAGTGTTCATATTATACTTCTCAATCCGTTAGAGAGCTCCACAGTTGATCACCATTAGATTTATTTAAATCTTTATGTCTAATAATCGAAATCCCCAGAGAACCACATCAACCAGCCATGATCATAATAATACAGAAGATAATAATGATATAGATTATAATATCTCATCAAAGCGTCGTGATTTGAACGCAGCATTAGGTCTTGATTCCACAGGTGCTGAAGATGATTATTATGAAGATAATCAAATAGATTATACAAATGCCTTCTTGAAAGAAAGTAAACATTCACAAGAGATCTTATCAAAACTACGGCCGGATATTTCAAATTTTGATAAAGTTCTTCTGGGTCCTACAGATTGGAATTATGATGATGAAAAAATGAACTCATTAGCTAAAAAGCAGTTTGTCTTTGATTTGTTACCATCTTTTGAAATGTTACATTCAATGCAAAATACAACACCTAGATGTTCTTTTGAAAATCCAGATGACCATGATTTCCCACCAGATTACTTTAATAATAATATTCATGGTAGAATAGGTTCTATTGCTGGTAGTGGCTCACCAAGTTATGCTACTACGCCAAACTCAATTCAAAACTCATCCACATCTTTAAGTTCAATGACTTCTAGAGATTCACAAATAACAATAGATGATTATCAAGATGACACAATACCAGATACATCTGAAAAGAACTTACTGGATAAATCACACTTATTACCAAATTACGATTCCTCGAACATTGATGTTGGTGTACATGTTACTAGAGATGTTCCAGATCCAATCAAACGAAATGAGAATGAATCCATGTTGAAGGAATATACTTCTGGTGATGTGGTCCATGGTTATGTCACTGTCAATAATACATCGACAAAACCACACGAGTTTCAGATGTTTCATGTTACATTGGATGGTTACATCTTGGTTATAGACCCCAATACAAAGAGATCAAGTCATAAACGATTTTTGAATATGGTCGATATAAGTGCTTCATGGTCATATGGTACATTATCACCAGCAGCTAACTTCAATTACCAAGCTTCTACAAAAGATGAAGAAGGATTTATATTAGGTTTACCAAACGATCGAATTCTACGACCAAAAAGCAAATACAAGAAGTTTTTTGCATTCAAGATCCCATATAAGTTGTTGGATAATACTTGCCGTCATGATTTAGAGATACATACATTATTACCACCAAGTTTTGGAGTTGATAGAGTGAAAAAGAAGGGAAGTTACGCAAATATCTCAATCAATCCATTGTTACATTATGGACATTCTGGTGTTAAAGGTTCACCAATTTTGACAGATGATCTCTCTGGTGATAATTTATCAATATCATATGCTATAAATGCTAAACTGATTAGTTTCCATCCAAGAAAATTAAACAAATTATGTGTGCTGAAACAAAATGAGTACAATTTACGATTCATTCCTTATGGGTTTGCTATACCTTTATTTTCATCAAAATCAGCATTAATTAACTTAACTTCACAAATTGAACATGGGTTTGAAGTTGCTCAACATGTTATTGATATGAAAAAATTAGGTAAAGATGTTCCACAGGAAGATGAAGCTGAATTTGTTAGGGTATTAAAAGATAGACAATTACAATCCGTCAATCCAGAGTTAACCCCTTCATCAAGCAATAATAATACATATTCTAATCCTTCTTTCATCGATAAGATTCATGAGACTAAAGATTTTTCAAGAGTTGAATGTACTTCAAAATATCTAGATGATGGTTTAGCAAATACCAGATCAAGTTTTTTGAAAGGTTTAAAACTTGGTGGTGGATCACAGAAATCGAAATCTACAAATACAAATGGTCTAATTACAATTTCCTCCAAGATTCCAAAAGGTGGTCTACCTTACATATCTCCAAGTTTGTTACGAAAAACTAATGAAGTCTCAAAACTAAATGAACTAGGGATTAAGAACCATGATAAATTATCATTATCATTACCAGACAAGGAAAAGAAAAAACTTTCAACCTTGAAATTTGAGTTTACGTTTACACCTTCAGACTTTAGCTCAGAATCAATCACTCTACCAGAATTAAAGAATATTAAGGCATCTCTACTGGCGTTAAATATGTCATCAACTTCACCTATACCAGTTAAACTCTCAGGTGATTTCTTTACTAAGAAGGATTCAGAAAGAGTGATTGCCAAGTTTCAAAAATATCATGATCAATATCAATCATTATTAGAGAAATTCAAAGAGTACGAACTAGATCTCTCTCGTCATATTGATAAGTTTACATATCAGGATATTGTTGCTTTGAAGAACTTACATGTTGATAGCACCACAGTGGATGTATTCGATTATTCAATCAAAACTGATAGTTCTTGGGAACAAACACCTAGTGAATCAAACCAAACCCAATGGAAAAAGAAAGTGGAATTGAATATTGATCTGAAAGATAATATTTCTGAGACGTTGGTCCCAAATTTTCAAACCTGTTTGTTATCAAGAGTCTATTCAATTCAATTGGTTTTCAAATTTAAGAATGGTCATAGTACTGAACTTGTTGTTCCTATTCGTCTTAGATCTTTTGATGATCTATAGATTAATACAGACTATATATAGAGAGTATAGAAATAGAATTTTAATGAATAATGAAAGAACAGCTGAGTTGAAATCGTAGAAGCTTAAATGAGCTCGAGTATACCGAAGTTTATTCTAGAAACCTAAAATATGCAAACCCCGAAGAAACGTTTTAGTTATATTTGGAAAAAAAAAAAAAAAAAAACTTATAGACATGATTCATCAGCTCATTGATTAAATTTTGATAAAGAAGTCATATTAATAGTTAACATTAAATATTGGGTTGAATGATCAAGAGAATATAATATCCATATCATCATCAATACCAAAGAGCTATATATTGACATCAGTACTCTAAGGCTAATTTAGAAAGAATTCAAAAAGATAAATGTCAAAAAGAGAAAGCTGGAGAAAGCCACACAACATTCCTAATGAAGAGAAAACAGATTCCGCATCAACAAATATCACACAACTTGATACCAACAATGCTATGACAATTAAAGATGACAAAAATCTTATACCGAATAGTCGTGGTCTAAGTACAGCTTTGGGACTTAAATCAACTGCTGCTGATGACGATGAATATTATCAAGAAGATTCACAAATTGATTATACAAATGCCTTTCTCAAAGAACATAAACATGCACAAGAAATTTTATCCAAGCTAAGGCCTGATGGTTTAACTGATTTCGATAAGATCCAGTTAGGATTCTCAAAATTAGATTATGATGATGGCAAAATGGATTGTTTAGCTAAGAAGCAATTTGTTTTCGATTTATTACCATCTTTTGAAATGTTACAATCAATGCAAAATCCATGTTTGGGGAATTATATTGATAATCCTGATGAACATGATTTCCCACCTGATTACTTTAGTCAAAATATTCAAAAAATTTATGGTGTTACTGGGATTGATGATTTTGAGAAACTTACATCGGGGAGCTCAAGTGATAGACCACCAATTATGTTATCACCAACTGTAACCAGAAGTCAAACTACAATATACTCTAACGGTATAACATCTCAAGATTTGAGTGCTACACCAAGTTCCAATGCATCATCAGATAATGCGGAGAACTTTGAGAAGAATTTATTTGATAAATCACATTTATTACCAAATATAGATTCCTCAACATTAGATATTTCAGTGCATGTTACCAAGGATGTTCCAAGGCCAAACCAACCTACAGAGCAAGAATCATTATTGAAAGAGTACACTCCAGGTGATGTTGTTCACGGATATGTCATAATTAACAATTTATCAACAAGACCTCAAAAATTCCAAATGTTTCATGTTACATTAGAAGGTTATACCTTAGTGATTGACCCGCAGACCAAGAAACTTAATCAAAAGAGATTTTTAGATATGGTTGATATTAGTGCCTCTTGGACATTTGGTGCTGTTTCACCATCTGCCAATTTCAATTATGAACCATATTCACTAGATCACGAAGGATGTTTATTAGGTTTACCAAATGATCGAATTATTCCACCAAAGACCAAATATAAGAAATTTTTCGCTTTTAAAATACCATATAGATTACTTGATAATGTATGTCAACATGAGTTAGAAGTTCATACTTTACTACCACCAAGTTTTGGAATTGATAGAGTTAAAAATAAAGGCCAAAATGCTGATATTGATGTTGATCCAATGTTGAACTATGGTCATTCTGGTTTGAAAGGATCGCCAGTGTTGACTCTAGATCTTTCGGGTAATAATAGAGCTATTTCTTATGGTATACATGCCAGATTTATTAGTGTACATCCTAATAAACCCAAAAAATTATGCATATTGAAACAGCATGAACATAACTTAAGGTTTATTCCTTTTGGTTTCACAACACCATTATTTTCATCCAAAGCTTCATTGAAAGAATTATACGAAAGAGTGCAAAATGCTATGGAGATTTCAAATCATGTGTTAGAGATGAAGTTGAAAAATTCAGAATTTTCACAAGATGATGATGATGATTTTATAAGGGATTTGAAAAGTAGACAATTAAGATCTGTTTCTTCAGATGCAACAACTTATGAGAGCAGAGACACTAAAGGAAATTTAACTTTTCCACTAAGGAATAAATCATTTGGTAATAGAGATTTTTCTAAAGTTGAAATTATAACGAAATATATGGAAGATTCATCGAGTAATACATCAGGTTTTTTGAAGAATTTAAGATTTGGAGCTCAAAGGAGCCAAACAAATAACTCAATAGGACAAGAGCTTGGATCTATCAAGATAACAACAAGAATCCCAAAAGATGGTTTACCTTATATTTCACCAAGTTTGGTGAGGAAGACAAATGATCTTTCTAATTTAAATATTCAGGGTATTAGGAACATTGACCAGTTATCATCTACACTCTCACCTGAGGAGAAAAAGAAGTTAAAGTCTTTGAAATTTAATCTTACTTTCACTCCTACAACTGCATATGGTCCCATCAAATTCCCAGAGTTGAAATACATTAGAGCATCTTTGTTAGTCTTAAATATGTCATCAACATCACCAATTCCAATTAATTTATCAGCTGATGTTTTCTCAAAGAATGAATCATACAAGATTAGATCAAAATTTAAAAAATATCATGAACAATATCTTAAATTATTGCAACAATTTGAATCACATAACTTGGATCTTGCTCGTCATATAGACAAGCATTTACATCGTGATATTAAAGCAATGAAAGATCTTCAAGTTGAAGCCAGTACAGTTGATAATGCTTTTGATTATTCAATCCAATCACAAACAGATTGGACCATGTCAGAATCTACCAATGAATGGAATAAACAAGTTGAGTTGAAATTAAAGCTTCAAGACGCAATACCTGAAACTCTGGTACCTAATTTCCAAACATGTTTATTATCAAGAGTTTATTCAATACAATTGAATTTCAAGTTTAAAAATGGACAAAAATGTGAGATGGTTGTCCCTATTCGTATTAGATGCTTTGCTGATATATAGTTATAGCATTTCTTGCATCATAGATATAGTATATAGTAATGAAAGTAATGACACTATAAATAAAGCACGTAGCATATAGATTGAACTTACTCTTAGAGATAGGAAAATTGATACAAGTGAATAAACATTTTTTTTACCTAATCCGGAAGTCTAGATCTTAGACATAAATCTATAAACTTTAAGCACAGAAGCTAAAATTGATTAGAATCAATCGAGTATGGAGAATTGTGATTTATACTTAAAAAGCGGAGAAATAAATAGAGTTAAACAATATAAACAGATCTAGTTCTTACCTCCAGGCTCCCACGAGCCCATTCACAGTTGTAACTGGTGCATTGAATCGATAATCCAGGTCCAGAACAGCTTGGAGCTCAGAGATCCACCGTGCATTGTTCCTTCTAGCTGTTTAAGAACCTGTCTAGCTCTAGAACCACCACTACCTACCCCCTGTAAAGACCGGTCAGAACTCAGCAGCTAGTTACAAATACCCCCATGATACAGATATGCTGCCGATAGTAAGGAAAGAAACCACAACCCCTGGCCAATTCCTTTGTAATTCCTCTTCAATTCCACGTTCAAAAAACCGTTTTCTTTGCATGTCAGAATCAGTCAGATTGAATTTGAAATTCGTGGAAAAACTAAATCGAAAATCAAAATTCAAAAGAAACGTTGGCTAAAAAAGTCATATACAAAACAATTTTGAAACCCGTAAATAAAGAGACACCAAATTAACCACTGTTCAAAAGCTTTTTCTCATATCCTTAGCTCAACCTTATCATACATTCACATATCATTGCACTCTACATTCATTCATACGCGTTCTTTGTGACGTTTAGGCCTAGTTGATAAATATTTTGCAAAGGAAATTGAAGAACTAGCTATCAGTATGTCTAGATTGAGAACTTCAACTCCATCTAATGATGAAAAACACCAATATGATGAAGATTCAACAGTGTATGATCATGAGCAACAATTACACCATGATGAAGATGATATAGATTCAAAATATAACCATAATAAATCAGAGCTCACTATAATATCAAATTTTATAACCAATATATTTCAAAATTCAAATATAACAGATTCAATTGGATCAATACTGAAACTTATAATACAATCTATATATTCTATATTACCAATATTCATCATCTTTTACCTTTTCCAAATATATAATGACACTACAGAACATTTATACTATCCAAACTTCCCTAATTCACATAAAGAATCAACTTTAGAATCAATGAATGATATAGGTGTTGAATTTTATGATTTAGCAGATTATAGATCCACTGGTACGGGATGGCAAAATCAAGAACGTGTTTTATTCTTGGTTCCATTAAGAGATGCATCAGCTCATTTACCAATGTTTTTTGGTCATATGAAAAATCTAACATATCCACATAATTTAATTGATTTAGCATTTTTAATTTCTGATACTTCAGATTCCACAATTCCAGATTTGAAAAGACATTTAAAAGAAATTCAAGCTGATTCAGATATCTCCAAAAGATTTGGTAGAATTGATATATATGAAAAAAATTTTGGTCAAATTGTTGGTCAAAGTTTTAGTGATCGTCATGGATTTGCTGCTCAAGGTCCAAGAAGAAAATTAATGGCAATTGCAAGAAATTGGTTATTAACCACAGCATTAAGACCAGATCATTCATGGGTTTATTGGAGAGATGCAGATGTGGAAACTGTTCCTGCTACAATCATTGAAGATTTGATGCATCATGATAAAGATGTTATCGTACCAAACATTTGGAGACCTTTACCTGATTGGTTAGGTTATGAACAAGCTTATGATTTAAATTCATGGCAAGAAAGTGAAGGTGGTATTGAATTAGCTGATAATTTAGATGAAGATGCTGTTATTGTGGAAGGGTATCCTGAATATGCAACTTGGAGACCTCATTTAGCTTACCTAAGAGATCCATATGGTGATCCAGAAGTTGAAATTGAATTAGATGGTATTGGAGGTGTTTCTATATTGGCAAAGGCAAATGTTTTCAAAGAAGGTGCAATGTTCCCAGCTTTTTCATTTAAGAAACATGCAGAAACTGAAGCTTTTGGTAAATTATGTAAAACTATGGGATATAATGTTATTGGGTTACCACATTATGTTATATGGCATATTTATGAACCTTCTTCAGATGATTTAAAACATATGGAATGGTTAGCAAATGAAGAATTAAGACAATTAGAACATGAAAAAAATAAACATGTTTATGATAAAGCTTGGGAATTAGCTTTTGAAGATGTTACTGAACAATGGACCGAGGAAAAATTTAATGTTTTCAAAAATACAGATTTAACTAAATTAGGTATTGGATCTGTTGATTGGGCTGATGTTGATGAATATTTAGCTGAAGTTGATGATGATGAATTACTTTATTCACCAGATAATGTTAATGATGAAAATTTCTTGATTAATTTAGATAATACAAATAAAGAATTTGAAGAACAAGTATTGGAAAGATTAAATAAAGGACCTGTTAGATTTGGGTTTTCCAAAAATGAACAAAAATTTGATAATTATTTCAAGATGGATGGTGCTAAAAAGAAGAAACAAATGAAATTTAAGAAATTTGAAATTTCCAAGGAAGAAGAAGAATTAAGATCCAAGATTCAAGCATTAGAAGAACAAACTGAGGATAATGTTTTCCATGATTTCTATGATCCAGATGCTGGTAAAGTTGTTGAAGATGTTAATGATAAACATCGTACTTCCAAAACCAAATCTGGTGAAACAGATGAATTAATTGATAAATTAACAGATGATAATACCATTAATAAAGATAAACAATTATTTAATGATTTAGAATCTAAAAAAATGGATAAAGATGGTGAAGAAGGTGAAGTTGAATTTAAAAAGCAAAAACTTATCGAAAAAAAAATTAAAAAAGCAACAAAAGGTCCAGATGGTTCTAAAAAAACTGTTGAACAAGTTGCTACAAAGACTTTGTATGAAGTTGATGATGCTGGTGTTACAATTAATACTGTTTACGAATGGGGTACTGTTACACAAACTCCAGAAGTTGAATTGAAAGATGATGATCAATATATTGGACCTGCTGGTAAAACTGCAGAACAAATTAAGGCAAAAAAATTAAAAGAAGCTAAAGCTGCAGTTGCCAAATTTGAAGAACAAGGTAATGATGAACAAGAAGTAATTGCTGATGTTAAAGAAGTTAAGAAAGCTAAATCTGAAGAGAAAGTTGAATTGAAAGAACCAGAAGTCAAACAACCAGAAGAGAAAAAAGTTGAAGCTGAACCACCAAGAGATGAACAACCTGTTGTGAAAAAAGCTGTAAATGATAAACATGCCATCCCAACAGAAGAAGAAATTAAAGAACAAGCTGCTCAAGTTTGATCCTAGAGTAGTATACTAGATATTAATATTGCATTTGTGTTTAAGAGATTGTAAAATAGAATTGAAATTAAAGTAATTACAATGTAGTATTAAATAAGTATGATTAAAATAGTCTTTTTATTTAAAAAAGACCCACTTTAATATGTATTAAATATAAATAACACTAGTATACCATAAAAAAACTGAAAAAAAAAAAACATGATAATTTTTAATTCCCACTTCATAATTAAACTTTCATAATAATATAAAAAACATATATCTATTCATTAATTTCATCTCTAATTTCATTCCATAACCAATTTCTCCATAATTCACCAGCTTCATTCAAAATCTTATCAAATTCATCATTTAAACTTAAATCATTGTTTTCATTATTCTTATCCTTATATCCATTATTTTTAACTTTATTCAAAAATTCCTGGATTTCAAATTGATCAAATTCTAATAATTTATGTTCATTTTTTTGTAATATTGATATATAAATAAATACTAATTGAATTTGATAATCAATTTGTGACCATTTTAATTCATTCTTAGTATCAGTTGATGGTTTATACCAAAAAGAATCTGTATTGAAAACAACATCCAATTCATTATCAAATTTTAAATCATCATCATTATAAAATTTTTTAAACCTTTTCAATAATTTTGGATTATCATAATATTTGGCACCAAAATTTGTATAAGATAATCTAAAACCAAGGAGTAAATCCCATAATCTACCACGATCAAATTTATTTAGAACTTTTGCCCCACAATATTTTAACCACCAAGTTAACCATTGATTATTTTTATTTGAATTTGAATTTAATATTTCCTCTTCACTAAAACCTTTATATAATTCAGGTAATAATTTTGCAAATGCCAATAGGAAAAATGAAATTCTTGATTCAATATTCCCACTTTTGAAAACTAATTCCATCATATTTAATTTATTTGAAGAAATTAAATCTACTGTATTTTCTTCAATTTGATCATCCGGTCTATTTACAACTTGATCCATTTCATCATCATTTTCATTAGAATGTAATAGGACAAGTACTAATCTTTCATAAACTTCAGCAAATGTCATACTGTTTGTTGTTGTATGTTGTTGTTGTTGAGTTGTTGTGGAACTTGTTGTAGTTTCTTGTGATTTATCACTAGCTGAATCATTAGTCAAATAATCATGATTCCCATTATCCAATGAAAATGAATCAAAATCATCTTTATTTAAGAAAGATGGGTATAAATTTGATAATTGTGTAACATGTTTATTTATTGAATCTTCTTTGTTCAAGGAATCACGACCTGTCAAGATATAATCAGAATTGGGGATTGGTGGGAACCATTCAGCTAAACCTAAAGCAATCCAAGTAAAACCAGAATCATATTTAATAATTTTCCCCCATTTTTTAAAAAATTTTATAATAGCAAATTCTAAAATTCTTATAATTTCCTCTTCTAATGGAGAAGTAGTTTGATCTGGTGATGAAGAACCAGAATTATTAGAATCTTGATCTTTTGAATTCCTTATTCTAAAATATTTTAATAATTCATGTTTTATTTTACCTTCTGGAATTTCACTTTGTGAATCATCATCAACATTTGAAGTTAAATATGGATTTATAACATAAGGATGATATTTTAATAAAATTGGCCAAACTTTATGGCGTAATTGTGGTGGGATACCTTTCTGTCTTGCAATTAATGATAATCCTAAATGATTATTTTCTTTTATGAATTGATTACATAGTTGAATCAAATTCTTAGTATCAATTTGTAACGTGTGTAATTTTTGAATTTTTTTATTTGTTGCTGGTGTATTAGTTATATGATTGTTTAAAGACGGTGAAGATGGTGAAGAACTTGTATTTGAATTTGTTGTGTTTGTTGATGTTGTTGATGTTGTTGATGTGGATGTGATATTTGACGAATTTGACGTCCTTGATATTGATTGTTCCATTATAATCTGCTAATATTCCAGTTATTTGTTGATTGAATACTATATGGTCATAACCTGGGGTAAATTCGGAAGGTGTAAAGCCAGTTTAAAAAGTGATTTTTTGTTGAATAGACAAAATATGAATGTGAAGGATATGATGATTCTATGGATCCTTTGTAGTTTTTATAAGAGTTGTTTGTTTTATGAGTTGATAGTTGAGTTAATAATGTCTATTTGAAAAGTGCTCAATATTGTTTTTTTTTTCTGAAGGGTCGTTTGACTTGAAATTTTTCTTTTTTTCCGTGATTTTTTTTTTGTTGGCGTGTGACAAATTTTAAAACTGTGTTGAATTGTTGTGATTTGTTTGGATTGTTTGTATTGTTGAAGCTGTTATTAACCAGTTGTTTGATGTGATTATATTATGGTTGTTGAAGTTTTTTCTTCCTGATTTCCCACAAGTTTAAAGGAAAAAAAACCGTTGAGTTCCCGTTTTCCAGAATTTGTTTGGTTTGATTATGTCTCGAATCAGCTTTTTTGGCTGCTTTGGAATCTGAAAACTTTTATTTGACGAGGGAGACAATACAATTAATACCTAGACAGTCTAATACCAGCACGCGATGAGTTTATATACTATCTTGTAATCATCTTATCTCACTTCTACGAACTTTTCCCAGTTTCAAACGACTCGTAATCACTATTTTAAACACAGTTAGCCATTTGTGAAAGAAGGGTTACACAAATCCGCGGGCACCATACATATTTCCGCGGATTTATATACCACTGGAAACTTGAATACGTCAAATAAACCACAGTAAATAAGTCTTATTCAGTTGTTTATTGTATTCCTCGGACCATGGTTTGTGGGAATGTTGTTTTGTGTCATATCATGAGTTATTATTTAAGTACAATAGTACAATAGTTAAATATCAAAGTTATTACGCGTCAATCAATTAGATTGCTGATCATCTAATCTAGCGGATGAACCGTTGAAAGTTTATCACAGATCCACTTGGTACAAAAGAAGCAATTGGTGATACATTTATGGAGATACAACTTAATTTGACACTACTATATTGGTCACTAGTTTATCAAATGAAGAACTTTAAAAACAGTTGACTATTGGTGTCGCTATATCACTATCACAGCTTCTGAATTTGTTTGGGGTTTTAATCTGAAGCCACACTATCAGTCTTAAACAATATCAATATTGTGAGGTTTATACTATGGCTTTTTGTGTCATAAATCAAACTATGCATCAAAGATAAGTTAAGGGTCCTAACAAACTCATGATATTAACAAACTGAATAACTTATTGATTGATTAATCATCGCACGTTTGAATCAAAGTGATGATGAACTTCTCCATAACATTGGTTTGAATATTTGAACCACAGTGATTCACTTACACAATCATACGAATAGTATTTGCAGAAGTTTTTCCACTTCTTCTCTTGGTATCTCTGGTTTTTATAACAATATTCCTTGGTTTTCAAGCTTACTTTACTTAATGTGGAATTCAATGATTTGTTTTAACGGTCCAACTATAAAAGCTGTTATGAATGTTGCGTGCCATACTGGAAATTATCTAAAAGATTATTTAAAAAATTTGTAAAGTGATCATTATATACAACCATTAATTACCCACAGTTCAAACATTGATTTTCATATATATATCCAAGATGAATTCCTGATTATTCAAAAAACTCTTCATTATTATCATCAAGTGTTATCAAGATGACTGATAAAGAACCTGTTCTAACAAGAACTGACTCTCATAGTTCTCAAATAACAACATCAACAGGTGTTCAAGTCCAACATGAATTACATGGTCAAATAGCAGCAATAAATGATCATGATCCTAATGAACCCTATATTGACATCACTGTTCATTTAACTCCAAAAGAACAAAAACGTCGTTCAAAATGGTGGTATAAAACTGCTGCTTTCCTTTGGGATTCTGCAGATAAACATCCAAATGAACGAAGTTTTTTATTTAAATTAGATTTTTTCCTTATGAGTTCTGCAATGTTGGGATATTTTATCAAGACTTTAAATCAAACAAATATTAGAACAGCATATGTTAATGGTATGAAAGAACATTATAACATGTCTGGGAATCATTATAATTTATTAAATACATTATGGACCGTGGGGTATATCATTGGTCAAGTTCCTTCAAATTTAATCTTACATAGAATCAGTGCAAGATATTATTTAGCAGGTTTAGAAATAACATGGGCCATCTTAACAGTTTTAATGATTTTACCAACAAATATGGCTGGATTATATGCAATTAGATTTTTAATTGGTCTTACTGAAGCTGGTTATTTCCCTGGGTTAGAATATCTCTTAGGTTCATGGTATTCATCAGCTGAATTGAACAAAAGATCAACTTTATTCGCATGTGCTGGTACTGCTGCTGGTCTTATCTCTGGTCCTTTACAAGAATCTGTATTACATGCTACATTTACTCAAGGTTCCAAATGGGCTCCATTTCAATGGATGTTTATATTTGATGCTGTTATCTCTGCACCTGTTGGATTCTATACATTATTTGCAGATCCAAATACTCCATCAACAACATCTGCTTGGTTTTTCAGTGAACGTGATGTTCTTGTTGCTTTGGAAAGAAGAAGAAGAATTGGTGCTCAATTAAATACAAGAGAATCTTATACCTGGCCCAAGATTAAAAGTTTTTTCAATACATGGCATATTTGGGTTTTCCCATGGTTATTTTTCTGTTTTAGATTGGTTAATGTTGCAAGTTCATCCCAAGGGTTCCAATTATGGATGAAGACTGATTTAAAATTAAGTAGTTATCAATATAATATTTATCCAACTGGGATTGATGGTGGTGGTATTGGATACGCTATAGTTGCAGCATATATTAATGATTATCATAAGAATAGGTTAACAGTGTATTTTTTGTTATTTATGTTTATATCAGGAGTTGTTAGTTATGGAGGATTATCATATTGGAATATTAATACTGGATTTAAATGGTTTTGTTTTTTCTTTTATTCAATTGCAAATTCTCCTGGTCAAAGTATGATTTTCAGTTGGGTTAATAAAAATTTAGCTTATGATGATATGAAGAGAAATTTCTTAGTTGTTATAACAAATGTTGTTAGTTATATATTTACCGCGTGGATTTCATTAGTTGTCTTCAATCAAGACGATGCACCTGAGTTCCAAAAGGGGTATATTTTCGTTACTTGTATCAGTGGGCTTGGTTTGATCTTAACTGCGTTATCATGGGTATTGTTGAAAAGAGATGATGTTAGATATTTGAAAGAACATGGTCATGCTAGAGATATTCATGATGGTAATGCAGAAATTATTTTGGATGATGAGTCTACAAATGCTGATGATTCGCAAGAATTTGAAGAGAAGACAAAGAGGAAATAGTGCAGTAGGTAGTGAAGTTTAAATATAACTTCCGTGCGTTTATTACACGTTTTGTGACTTTCTGTGATTTTATTTTGTATGTACTTGTGTCCTTAGTCCTTATATACCCGTAAGCCACCTGCAAAGTGTAAACCCATACATAACAGGGTACTCCCTTGGAAATAAAGGCACAAAGTAAACTACCTGATAATCACTCATTGACAATCCCTGTTTCAATGCGCTTAAAACTTTTCATTCCGTCTAAATAAAAACACTATGTCTAGTTTTTCCTGTTTATTTAACCCCCGATTTGTAATTTGTAATATAACACAGTGTGAAATCTGGTGAAATCTGAGCCATAGTTTTAGATCAAAATCAACAAACCCACAAAGAAAATCACACATAGAAATTGGATCATCTAGTGGCTTTTCACTTAATATAAGGAGAGATCTATCGCTTGAATGAATTTGTTGAAATCATGAATATGTCCTGATAGGTTCCTATTTGATTAGGATCAAGTATCCATAATGTCTAAATTAAACACCAAGACTAGTGTTTCCTTACTCAAAGATGATCCAGATATCAGAAATTATGGAACCACTCAGCTAGATCAATACGTCTCTATAGATCAATTAGTGGCAGATGAAGATGAATTAGAACCTTTTATCGATATTGATGTTAGATTAACCACCAATGAATTTAAAAGACGTTCAACAACATGGTATCAATTTACAAAATTTGTATGGGATTCTGCAGATAAACATCCTCATGAACGTTCATTCATGTTGAAAATTGATGGATTTTTAATGTCTTCATTAATGCTTGGTTATTTTATAAAATCTTTAAATGGATCCAATGTCTCCACAGCATATGTTAATGGAATGAAGGAACATTATAATATGAAAGGTAATGATTATAATTTATTAAACACACTTTGGTCATTGGGTTATTTAATAGGTCAATTACCTGCTTCTTTATTATTACAGAAATTATCACCACGTCATTTCCTTTGTCTGTTGGAGCTTACATGGGCTGGATTAACAATTTTATTAATATTACCATCAAACATACAAACAATATGGATATTAAGATTTTTTATAGGTCTTACAGAGAGTGGATACTATCCAATAGCACAATATCTTATAGGATCATGGTATTCATCATCAGAGTTGAATAAGAGATCAACATTATTTAGTTGTGCCGGTACAGCAGCTGGTCTTGTATCAGGTCCATTACAAGAAACTATATTACATTCATCATTCATCATCAATTCAAATTGGAAACCATTCCAATGGTTATTCATCTTTGATGCTTCAATCTCAGTTCCAATTGCCATATTCACATTGTTTTCAATTCCAAATACTCCAATAACTACAAATGCATGGTATTTAACATCAAGAGATAAATTAGTTGCATTAGAAAGAAGAAGAAGAATAGGTGCACAAATTTCCAAACCAAAAGCTTATACCAAAAGTCAACTCATATCTTATTTCTTTACATGGCATGTTTATGTTTTCCCAATGTTATTCTTCATGTTTAGATTAGCTTGTATGGGTGGTAGTGGTCAAGGTTTTACATTGTGGATGAAGTTAGATTTGAAATTACCATCATCTAGATATAATATATTCCCTGCTATCTTATGTGCTGCAAGTATTGTTTATAATTTATCAACTGCATTTGTCAATGATTATTATAAGATGAGATTAACACCATGGTTTTTATCATTAATGTTCATTGCAGGTGTTGTTAGTTATGGAGGCTTAGCATATTGGGATATTCCAACTAAATTTAAATGGTTTTGTTTCTTTTTCTTCAATATTGCAGATTCTTGTGGACAAAGTATGACTTTCAGTTGGTTAAATAAGAATTTAGCACATGATGATATGAAGAGGAATTTCTTACTTTCAATGACCAATATGGTTAGTTATATTTTCACTACTTGGTTACCATTATTATTATTTAATCAAGATGAAGCACCAAGATATCATAAAGGTTATACATTCGTTTCAATAGCTTCAGGATTTGGTCTCGTGTTTGTCATATTGACTTATACTTTAATAAGAAGAGATGATCAAGAATATTTCCAAAAATATGGTTATACGCGGGAAGAACGTAGTTATACCCAATTATCATATGATCAAGATTCAGAAAGTGATCAAGAAGAAATTCAAAGTGATGCAGAGCTTCGTAGTGTCAAATCAACATTGGATTTAGGTGTTTGAAGAAAGGATTGAATTGGAGTTTTCATTCATTAGGGCTGTCAATATAGACATATATTTATCATATTCACAATACATTTTCATATACAAACGTTTAGAATGTTTAATCTGTATGTAGTTAATAATCATGTTCGGTGGCCGTGCTTGATGTATGAGCGGTTAAATGATACATTAATTTAACCTGCTTCGGAAGTATCGTTAGTATTTTTCAATTTACTATATAAACACCTTCAATATAACTTCGATCTCACCCAAAGATACTTCATTCAAAAGACTTATCAAACAATATGACACAAGCAATTGAAACAACAGAATCAGATAAAGTAGCAGTTGTATTGAGTTCCGCGTTAAGAACCACAGTTTTTGAACAATATTTATCAGGACACAAGACTGATGAAGAATCATTACAAGATTATAAAAACAGAACCACAAAATTTAAAGATACAGGTGCTATCCTACTTGAAAACAATGATTTTAATTCAGTAGCTATTTGGTTACCACCAAATTATATTATGCCATCATCAATTTTCGATCCAAGTGAACGTCAAGCAGAAGTTAAAAGTAAATTTGCAACAGTTGCCAAAAAACATGGATTAGATTCAACTCCACATTGGGAATTAATGTTTATAGGTAAAGATCCAAAAGAGAATAAAGGTTCAATCAGACCATTATTTGATCGTTTCTTGAAACAAGCTAAAATTGATGGGATACCTGCTATTCTTTATGCAATTTCTGAACATGCAATGTCAAGATATCGTCATATAGGGTTTGAAGTATTGGATATAGTTATTGTTGGTGAAGGTGTTGTTGATAAAGAAGGAAAAGAGGATAAGAATGGTGAAGGATTAAAAGTTTGGTTGATGGCTTATAATTACCAAAAATGAATATGTATATAGATCGAGTATTATCTTAATTGTGACTCATTATATAGAACCATATATTATACAGTACTTGTAAATAGATAGGCAAATTTGGTATCAAACAGCTTCAACTTTTTTATCGTATGAGTAGTAACAATAATAGATATATTCCATAAATCACATTTATGACTCACTAAAATATTAAAAGACTCATAACATGTTCTGATCTAGTATCGAGTAGTATCGAGTATATCATAATGTTACAGTTTTCCGATTAGCTGATCAAACTCGTAAATGAGAAAACGTATAAAAAGATATCAAAAGTCCTTTAAAATATAGACGTTTTCCATTGACATGAGTTCAATAATCCACAAGAATGTCTTCCAAAGCCATTGTTACAACAAATTACACAAAAGCAGCTGAAACACTAAAAGCTGCACTTTTACCTGGAGCAGTTGATAGATTTCAATTCTCCAAATATACACCTGAAGAAATAGATGCAGCTTATAACAAAAGAATCCAAGAACTAACCCAGGCAGGAGCAGAAGTTGTTCAAATTAATGATTATAACGCAGTTGCAGTATGGTTGCCACCAGAAAAGACATATCCTATAGCTCGTACAGATAAAACAAATGAAGCTATTGAAGAATTCAAACACAAGGCAAAAGCACTTATAGACAAGTTTAAATATGATAAATTACCACATTGGACCCTGACACATATTGGTAAAAACCCAAATGAGTTAAATAAAGGTTCAATAACTCCATTAGTTAGACCTTATTTAGATAAGGCTAAAGAACAAGGAATTTCAGCTTCATTATTTGCTGCAAATGAACATGCAAAGGAAGTTTATTTACACTGGGGGTTTGAAGTATTGGATTATTTAATACTTGGTGAAGGGAAAGTTAATTCTGAAGGTGAACTGGATCCTAATGGCTCTGGGTTGAAGATATATTTGATGGCTTATAATTATGTTTATGAAGTGTAAATGGATGGAATATTGTGTCAATGGTCTATAGATCTCAAATCAGATAATATAAGATTCAATATTATACATTTGCATCAGAAGAAAAACATTGTTTGTATTAAAAGATCAATCTTAATGCTTCTTCAATCCTTTCGTAGATACTCAAAGTATTGGTGTTCAAATACTTATTGTCAGTAATGTCCAGTCGTTAAAGCCTAAAGCCGCATTAGATTATCAAACTGTGGTGATTTGTAATTGTAAACAGTGAAAAGTTGATCAAGTCTCGAGAAATCAATACAATTCAAAGCTGGAAGAGTTTTGTTGTTAATGGTTACCTATACAATCACACATCATGGCCACCACTGCTAATAAAACCACTGATGTTAAAAAAGTCTCTGATACTTTAAATGCTGCATTCTTACCTGGTCCAGTTGATAAATTTCAATTTTCCAACTGTTCACAAGAACTAATCAATAATTTCTATTTCAAAAGAGTACAACAATTCATTGAAGCAGATTCAGAAATAATAGAGATTAATGATTTCAATGCCGTTGCCATTTGGGTTGCACCAGGTAAAACATATCCATCTGCCCAGTGGGATGAACCAAATGAATGTGTTGATGAATTTAAAAAAAAAGCTAAAGTAATAATAGAAGATTATCAATATGATAAGATCCCACATTGGACATTGGTGTTTATTGGTAAAGACCCCTCCCAAAATAAAGGTTCTATATCTCCTTTGATCAATCCATATTTATCAAAAGCTAAAGAACAAGATGTTCCAGTTTTGTTATTTGCAGTTAATGATCATGCTAAAGATATTTATATACATTTTGGATTTAAAGTATTGGCTACTATTAAGATTGGTGAAGGTAAAGTTGATTCAAATGGTGATAGGGATTCTAATGGTGTTGGTCTTGCTGTGTATATGATGGCATATAATCATAAAGATCGTGAGTGACTATATAGTATAATAAGAGCATAGAATAGAATGAACAATAAAAGATACGTAGAGTTTGACAACTGAATGATACTTCAATAACAAGACATATCATTCATCAGATACCATAGCTAGTCAATATCATCAACACTATAAAAGATCTGATGTTAAGATGTTGTTATTCTGATTTAAAGTAAAGTAATTTCGCGTGTTTTGTTTACCTCGGTAGAATTAAAACAAGCTAAGAAAATTAAAAACATCAAAACATCAAAATAAAATAAATATCATACAACTGGGAATCTTTTTGATTTTATTTCATTAATTGATTCAATAGACTACTTTGGGATAGCTCATAGACATAATGACTGCTCTTCCATTACCAAACAGTGACAAGATCAACAACTTGGAAGAACTCTATCCTCATTTACCATTATCATTTGATAAAATTGATACTTCATTCCCAATCCCAAATTCAGAAACAGATGGTTATTCTCCAATCTTCAGAAATTCATATTTACAAAACCATGATGAATTAGTTGGTTATTTACATCCAAAATATAAAACTTTTTATCATTTATTTCAAGAAAATTTAAAAATTCATGGTGATAATAATGCATTAGGTATTAGACAAAAAAATTCAAATGGTGACCTAGATAATTTCTTTACTTTTGAAACTTATAAAGAATTAGGTATTAAACGTGATTATGCAGGGTCTGCTTTCTTACATTTAGTGGAAAAATATGCACCTGAAGCTGATTTAAATAATTTTATCTTAACTTTATTCTCTTCAAATAAACCAGAATGGATTGTTAGTGATTTAGGTTCACATGCTTATTCTATCCCAAATACTCCATTATATGATACTTTAGGTTCTTCAGCTATAAAATATATCTTGAATTTAACTGAAAGTCCAATTATTGTATTATCTAAGAATAAAGTATCAAAAATTTTAGAAGTTAATGAATCAAAATTATTGAAAATTTTAATAACAATTGAAGATTTATCCCCAGATGATCAAGAATTAATATCAAAAGCTGAATCTCAAGGTTATAAAATCTTTGATTTCCAAACAATTTTAAAAATTGGTCAAGAAAATTTAAAACCTCATAGAATTCCAACTCCTGATACTTTATATACAATTTCATTTACATCAGGTACAACAGGTATTCCAAAAGGTGTTGAATTAAAACATTCTCATGTTATCGCCTCAGGTTCATTTTTATTCATTCATGTTACATTCCCTCGTAATCCAGTTTCATTAGTTATATTACCATTGGCTCATGTTTATGAACGTTCCAAGATAATTTATGAATTAGGTAAAGGTGCTGCAATTGCCTTCCCATCAAATCCGGAAAATCCAAAAACCTTTTTGGATGATATTAAAGTTTTAAAACCTACTCATATTAGTGCAGTTCCAAGATTATATAATAGAATTGAAAGTGGTGTTAAGGATAAAATTCAAAATACTCCAGGTTTAAAAGGTTGGATATTAAGATTTGCAGTTAATTATAAATTAAATCATCAGGATGATGAATTTTTGGTTAAATTGTTAAATAGTTTAATCATTAATAAGATCAAACAACAAATTGGGTTTGAAAATTTAGATTTTTTAATTAGTGGTGGTTCTCCATTATCAGGTGAATCAATTTTTTATTTAAGAAAAATTTTAAATTCAGGTTTTTATCAAGGTTATGGTAGTTCAGAAACTTTAGGTGGATTAGCAATCACAACAAAATTTAACAAGGATACTTCAAGATGTGGTTCAATTGGTGTTACATCAGAATTTAAATTAAGAGATTTACCAGAAATGAATTATACATTTAATGAAAATAGATCTGGTGAATTAATTGTTCGTGGTACCCAAGTTTTCAATACTTATTTCAAGAATGAAGAAGCAACAAAATCAAGTGTTGATCCTGATGGTTGGTTTAGTACAGGTGATATTGCACAAGTTGATGAATTTGGTTCTTTAGCAATTATTGATCGTGTTAAAAATTTCTTTAAATTATCTCAAGGTGAATATATTGCAAGTGAAAAAATTGAAAATTTTTATTCTGGTAATAATTCATTTATAAATCAAATTTTTGTTTATGGTGATAGTTATCAAAATTATTTAGTTGGTATTATTGGTATTGATGAAAACATATTATTAAAAATTTTAAGAAGTTCTTCATTAAAAACTAAATATGGAACATTAGAACAAATCTTAACAAATTTAAATGATTTAGAATTAAGAAAATTCATCTTGTTGGAATTAAATAAAAATATTAAACATACTGGACTTTATTCATTTGAACAATTGAAAAATATTCATTTAGCTATTGAACCTTTTACAACTGAAGATGATACTATAACTCCAACATTAAAATTAAAAAGACCAAATTGTAAGAAAAAATTCTTGAATGAAATTAATCAATTATATAATGAAGGTATGATTTAATATCCCAGTTTTAAGTTTATGTCCTAACATGGTTTACAATATATTCTTATAATGAATTATAAATTAAAGACACTGAAAACAATCAATTTTAAACGTTTATAGTTTAGTCTGTTAATAAATAACTTGATAATATATAACTCTTTACTGTAATTGTCATACTTCAATGTCGATATCTGTACTCATGATGATGTTACATTCAACTAATTGTACGTATAATAATTGGTCGACGTTGTCGATACATAGTTCGGTTATAACCTAGAGCTTTAGACACCACCCGGACTAGTATCGCTTTTTGACAGCCCTAGCATAAAATTCTAACAGTTAAATATAATCCAGATACTATTTCAGACATTTAAAATACCCCAGATATTTTAATGAACCTATTAAACTTTTCTAAAGTGCTGGAAACTAGTTTTAGCCCCAGGAGCCGCGGCTTTTCCGCGGCTATGGGCACTCATAACATGTAGTAACATTTCCAAAGTCGTGTATAC